ACGTGGTGAAGGCGCGTCCAGCATGCGCCAAACAGCCTGCCCGTTTTGATACAGCAGTCATCCTGCAGGAGAGTGATGCAGAGACGACCGGCCTCCAAGGTATGTGACCGACTCGCGTTCAAATGAATATTCGTTTACTCAAAGACGCATGTCGCTCAGGAACAAGAATAGGACGAGTCAAGGTTATCTTCAGACTCCCGCAGCGCATACATGACCCGCGGACCAGCGTTGCCTTGCCTGCGCCTGCGTCCTGGCCAGATCAAGGGCCACTAGCGTATGTGGAATGGTACTCCAAGCTCGCACGTACAGCCGACCCAGTCCATATGATGTACGCGGTCAACAAACCCGCTCTCAGGGCCAACGGACATCCCCAAGGAGAGATAATACCTCTCAGCATGATACGGCAGTCTTGCCAACTGATTCCCAAGTTCCCCGGATCAGTGGGAGATTCTCCTGAGCATCTACCAGAGGAATGGACGACTCATACTGTACTGGATTGCGCTTCAAAGTTCTTATTGAACAATTGGACCTCTCACTACGCGTATCAAACACTTTGGTAGTCATTAGCTAGCTTACACGTACTCCAGGGGTCTTAATGTAGAGCACTGAAGCTGCATGGCTCGAGTCTTGAAAACAAGGCGCAAATCTCAAAGGTACTTCATTTCCCTTCAGCGGTCTTCAGGTGCATACTGCACTCGTTTAAGGTGCACAAGTTACCAGAGGTCGCTTAAGATCGCATGGTTCTTATTTAAGACCTCTGAAGTAAGAAACGTTTTTCCTGATGCGAGCTGGTCGTCGTTCCTCCGCTTCACGACTGTGCTCGTCGCGACGAGTCGATTTAGAAATGTGTGGCGGTAGATCTCTTTTCTTACCACCTCCTGCTTGCGAAATCGATGAACCAGCTCCCTTAGGTCGTTCAGGAGGCTTAGGGGCTTCCTCTTCCTCCTCCTCGACTCCAGACGGGAAAATCTTTGCGATCCTAGTGAAGTACTTTAGCACGGTCTCCACCTCGTCCCGGTAGCATGCACAGAGAATTTGGTAGTCATGCGGAGTGTATGCTACACTAGGATCGAGCCCGTCTTTGTCGAATACGGGAACGTTCGGGACTTCGTACAGTTGACCATTCAGAAGTCCGGCAGCATTGTAAAAGTAACTGCTGAGCTTTCGTTTGAGCCACAGGTAAGTGTGCTCATCAGGTCGGATAGCTACGACGTGCCCGTCCTCGTTGTACAGAACACTAGGAAGCGTAATGAAGCTATCCAGCTTATCAAAGATTTCTTTCCAAGCTCTAGTTTCCTTTCGCTTGAAGCCTTCCATAGAAATCTGAGCTGGTAGGGAGTACAAGTCTCTCTGAAGGTAAGAGAAACCGATCGATCGAGCCTTAATCCTCTTCGCAATGTCCAGATCGAGCGATTCCATGTAGGATAAAGGTGAGGCGGTCAGCGGCGCGTGAATAGAGTTCATCTTTTCAGCAAAAGGAACGAATTCGGTGAGGGGAAGCCCACCGATTAATTCGTGGACCGGCAAAGAGGAGAAGTCGATCGGTTGACCCGAAACAATCGGATCGGCGAATAGTTCTTCGTCGAGTCTCTGTTTCCCTTTGCCTTTCTCAGGCGATTGAGAACCAGAGTCTGGCTTCGATGCATCGGAATTTCCAACATTCTCGAAGCCTGAGCTTCCTGCGGGAGTAGCGTTAGCGTTAGCCATCTTGAGCTTGCAAAAAGGTTAGTCGGAATGTTCGTTTGATAAAAGTGGACCCCCCAACGTCCACCAATGTTATGGACTGGGATTGCTAACTTACCGAGTACTTACTTAGTAACAACCGTCGGTAGTTACGTAATCGTAGTCGCCTTAGTTAAGAAATGAATTGAGGATTATCTCGTTGTGAAGAGGATTAACACAACGATTTGAGTGATCGACTTATGAGGTTTAGTCGATCGAGAATCGATTTCGCTCAACAAGTTCACGCACTAAGTCCGGAGTGGCACAGTAGTGCCTACGTTCTTAATGAAGCTAAGAAACTTGGTTGAGCAAAGTAAGTCGGTTACGACTTTAGTGAATAGAGCGTTACAACAATAGTTGAGGATGCCACTAAACACGAACCCGACTCTAACCGTAGATCGATGAAGCTTACTCTTACCGAACCCTTCAGAGTAGCGCGAGGCTATACTAATGAAGGGGTCAAGGTAGATCGACTTAGCGCACGGCTATAAGTACGATCGACCTTAGTATGTCCAGCGCGGAGCTATGGACGATCGAGTGGCTCACACCGATAGATTGAAGTTCAAGAGAGTGTTATTTGTCTGGTCACTACCACAGTGTTTAAATACATTCCAAACGTACTAGAATATTCTACAAGAGAACAATAGCCTTTCCAATGTCCTCGGTCGAGTACCCCGTATACTCATTGTTCTTAGACCGAACCGATCGGCTTTAGTTCGGTTGCCCTTGCCGAGTCTAGACAAGTCGATCCCTCGCCCGAGCGATCTCCGGGATCAGCTGATACTGACTCTAAAGGGTAAGTAAGGACTTGTACCGGAAAGGAAGGTCTTCGCCGTAAGTCACGTGTCAGCGCTTAACCACTTTGACAGGCTTTCGCGACTTAGGCAATCCCTTTGACGTTAGGCCTACCTAACAGACGGGTCTGCACGTGCACATGCTGAGTCTGGAGACCAACAGACACACTAAATAGCACTCACCTCCTATCCTCCTGGCCCACTCATGCTTCTAGCACCCCCTTCTCCTCGCCGTGCTTCGTCTGATGTAGTAGCCAAGCAGCTCGGCCGAAGGTTGTACGGGTGAGTTGGCATCGCCTCCCAGGCGACCGCGCGAGGCGGAGGCGGCGCGTGTGTGTGCTCCACGCGGGCGGCGATCTGGTCGAGGGGAGAGTGTGCGCGACACGGCGCGCGCGTCGAGGGAAAGAGAGCTAACGAGAGCGAGGACGTGGCCACCGGCGCTTAGGCCATTTAGGGCAAGTCACTATGGCACTTGCGCGTCCCGGTGCAGGTGCTCCTCCTCGGTGTTGTGGCATGTCCCAGGCATGTCCTCACTCTAAGTCTCGCCCGCTCACCCTATCTTCTCACCACTTTCTCGCTCGCCTCTCTGTCTCTCGCTTGTTCTGGAGTTGCCGTGGAGGCTCGAGCAGCCAACGCACCAATGCGGGCCCAACAAGGAATGTCTGGACGTCTGGAGAAGGGCAGGATATCCCCGGTGAGTCCCTCCATATATCTGCTGCCTCGGACCTCCTCCATTTACTCCTCAACATGTTCACAGCGTGCACGTCTGTTCTCACTTGAGGTGACTTGACACGCACACTTCCAAGCGCGCCCGCCCAGGCTTCCTGTCTCTACCTCTCTCGTGCCCACACAGCCTCTCAACGCGTCAACTTGAAGCCCCACCGCAATTCTGCCGGCCCTCAAGACCACTGCGAGGTAGTGCAACTTATCCACGCACCTCGCAACCACCTCGTCCGGCCGGCGTGCCTCAGACGGGCAAAGAATGCCGCACCCGTGTCTGCGCTCAAGACAATGGTGCCCAACACGACGTGTCTGCGCTCCCGCGTCCTCTCGCTCGCTGACCTGCGTCCCCGCGCCGCTGCGACCTCCTCCATTCCAGCCAGCTGCCCCCGTTGTCTGTCCACCAATCTGGTCTTGAACACGTCTTGTTCGTGTCACTGTGCGCGCCGGAGATTGCTCTGATCGGCCTCGCTCGGAGTATACCATCCGCAGCGATGCACGCGCGCTGCTCGACAACCCAACCGGCGTAGAGGAGTGCGAGCGTTGTACGACCGGTGAGTGGCTGTGCATCGAAGGACCGGACCTCACCTCACCTGCCGGACTGCGCGTGCGGACGACTGGAGCCAATCTCGTAGCTAGCCTCCCGCAGGCAATTGAACTGGACTGGCGGGCCACTAGTCTCTGTGCAACCAGAACATTGTGGCAACCCGGGAGATTATCAAAAACACCGCGCCCGGTACGTATTGAGCAATGTTGACTGGGCAGTGTCGAGTCGAGCACGTCCGCTCCTCCGCTGGCGAATGTCCTCTCATCAAGCTGGAACGATGGCCAACAAGAGAACGTGGCTTTGAGAAAGCAGACGTGCCTTTGGCTGATCACGGAGGCACCTGACCAGCGTATTGTGCGTAGCGGATGCCGGGCTGAGGGCGTCGATCCTCGACACGTCAGATGGACCGGGCTGACGGTGGCGTCGTGCTGTCATGTCCAACGTTTCCGGCAGGGCTTCTGTCTTCCTCTCGCTGACGGTCGAATTGCAGCGTTTACGAGTGCGCAAGTTCTAGGCCTGCTTTCAGTGAACACCGTTGCGTCTGACCGGTTCATACGCTCACTCAACCACCGGTCGACTCAACCGTAAACCCACCCGTGGACCCACGAACCCGCGTTACCTGCACGCAACCCGTACCCGCTACGGCGGGTCTGTACCCAGACGGGTGCATTTACTAGTAGTACATAGAGTAGTACACAATGTGTAGCATACGTTGACAATGAGATCTATTGCCAGAAATATTGAGCACAGAACTGGAGAATATGAGCTGCAGCAGTGACGCTTGCTGATGTTTGTGTGAACTGTTATGACTATGTAACGACTATCTAGCGACGCGATCGCCGCATCTTCCCAACCTTCTAAAATGCGACGGGTCTTGCTAACGAGTGATACGCTGACGCTATGTAAAATCGGAATTTTAGCAACCGTTACGGCCCGTCACAGCCCGTAACCGAAATCAGAGAAGTTCTGATGTGTCTTCTCGGCGCTAAACTGTCGGTTCCCAGACCTCGATTGGGAGGCTCGGGCTCGCACGCTCCTAGGACCTAATGGGGATATGCGGTAGTCCAGGCTTCTAGGCTGGATGCGCTAGTGTCGGCGGCTTATTTTCGGCGTCACTTGTGGTGTTCTTGGCCTGGACAGGGACGTCATGAGAGGATTAGTTCAGTCAGATCCGTGCGTGAAGCAGAGCGATCCATTCCATTTGCATGTGTTATATACTAGTTCATATCTAGGCCCTCCTCTCTCGCCTCGTCAACTTGGTCTGTTGCGTCCGGATTGGACTGCAATTGCGCCCGGAGGCGGATCTCTTTCCCAGCGGTGAGTTCGAATTCGTATGGATTGGCATCGGGATCCGCGAAGTCCGGGGAGTTCCTGAAGGCCTCATGTGGTTCCGGGCTCGGTGATAACGTGAGGAACTGAGTCGTGTGAGTGTAGGACGCGTGGCCGCTGAGACCGGCCCACGGGATCGGAACACGGACCCGCATTCCGCTGCGCGTGCCTGCGAGTCGGAACGTGACCCAGTGCCGGGCGAGGCACGTGATTGTCGAGATCCTGCCCGATCCGATCATGTGGTCCCCAGCCCAGAGCGTTAAGACATGGCTCCGGGCAAGAGGGCGTCCTGGTTGTCTGTCTACAACCCACGTCTCCGTCCTGCTGGCGTTGTCGATTTCTGGTACATTGCGTACGAGTACCTCTATGTTTACGGCGTAGCTGGGGGGGTTGTGGGGACGGGTACGTAGGAGTTCTGCGTGTGTCTCGTTAGCGATTTTGACTGTTGTGCAGCCGATTCTATACCTTCAAGGGGCCTCGTTCCCCTCAACGTGGATACGTCTGGCTTCTTCTTGCTGGCCGAGAAGGTGAGGAACATTGTCCAAGCGTTGAGCGCTTTTATTAATCGGATACGTATGCTTTATAGCCTCTGGGGTACTTCGAAGCGTGACCTGACGTACGGGCGTTTGTGGAGTTTTATGATTTTATATGCTTCATGAGGGGGGACATAGTTCCATAGTTCATAGGCATAGGGCGGGGCTTTCTGTGTTGCTGAACTCATGCTTCGTCCCGAATTTATATGATGGAATGTGCGGCTTGTTGTGTTCTGGCTGGTGTATTCAGCCTAAGCTTTGGCGCTCGGCTAGGCGTCTGGGCCATGGTCACGTGATTCCGGCCACGGCCAGGTCTTTTAGCCTGCGTTGGTCGGCCGGCCCCGTGACCCCATTCTGGGTGGAGCGGCTGTTCGGGGTTAGCCGTTCGGGCCGGGCGGGCCTTCTGCATAGCCTTTGTTGTCATGCTAGGCGTCGTGGTTGTTATGCTCGTCGACAGACGGGTATGGCCCTGCTGCGTGTCCTTACAGTTGTCCATACCTTATGTACGAACGTAGCGGTTTGGCTTAGTTTGGGTATACCCCTTGGAAGTAGTGGGTGACGTTCCCCAGGTCAGACATTATCCGTTGTTGTGCTGTATCTATAGTCTGTGACCGTCCAGTCTATTGTTTACCGGGTTCGGTATAGCGCAGTTCGCTCCGTCTCCTAAGAGATTACTCTCCCCCGGACAGGGGGATTCGGTATTAGCATACCAGAGGTAGCTCATCATTGGCGTTGGGCAACGTCGATGTTCGGGCCAGCGCGACGGCTGTTTTGGCTTGACTATCCGCCCTCGATCCTGAGTCCGACGACAATCATGGATCGTTTTTGTGCAGTTGGCTTCACCTCATATGAGGTTACTAATCCCCTGGACCACGTAGAGGTCTGCACTGGACTCGTCGGCGACGAGCCCACCAGGGGGGGTAGCCGGTCTCGAAGACTTACTAGTAGCATGTAGAGCAATATTGGCGGCGGCGCGCGCGTCACTAGCCTGCCGCCGAGCTCGGGCGAGGAATTCAAGCTTAAAGACTTCTATCGCTTGTCAGACTTTCGTAGCGCTAGCCCAGACGGATTCAGTTGCGGAAGGGGCAATGCAATGCGCGTAGCCTGAGCTTGAGGCCTTGAGGCTCGACTGTCGGTCTTATCGCGGTGAGCTCGTATACCATTTGCTTAAGTCGCATCGTACTTACCATAGGTGCAGCTTCGGAACGCAAGTAACCGAAGCCAACGATCACCGAGTCCGCCGCATTCAATCGTTACAGGGAGTCCTTGGTGGTCATCTCGGGCCCGCGCTCCCCGAGGTACCTGTGTTTTGAGAGAACACATCGGTCGTCGTGCGATCAGTGGACCATCACGCAAGTTACAACAGCTGTTGACCTGAAGACGCCGATCGCAACGCAGGGTAGGTATATAGTCTCCTCAAGAGGTCATAGCTCCTTTGCGCCTCACAAGTGTTCGAACGCACCTCTCACTACGACCATTCTGCCTTGCTTGATTTCCGCAGAAAGTGTGAGACGCTGTATTGAGTTCACGTATGATCAGGCTGACGCTCTCTGTTCAGCAACTATCTACCAGCATGTCTTCAACTGGACCACAGCCCCTGACTCCCGAGGGCAGCGCAGAGGCGTTCTACGTTCATGGGCCGTATGTGCTCATCTTCAGCACAGCCAGTGTCGATATCTGGCGGACAGGCGGCCCGCACGGTCGCCTCGAGCATATAGCGACCCTCGCCCAGTTCGTAGAAGCTATGCCGTATCACCTTGACCCCGTCTTCGACACCGACCGCAACCTCATCATCATCGCCGATCAGGAATCTGAGGATGACGTACCTTCCCTCCTCGTCTTCAGCCTCGTCGACGGACGGCTCATCCGCAAGCTCGAGTTGTACGGCACCCTATCAGAGGACTACCCTATGTACGCCGACGGCAAGATCCTGGTAGACATCGAAGAAGACAAGGAGCACTTCCCGCCCCATGGCCTTACCAAGATCTTGCTCTGCGACGTCGTGGGGAACGGCGCTGTCCTCGGCAGTGTCAATCTTCCCGCACGCCTCCAGGCTCGCGAGCGGTTGCGAATTAGCATGAACGGAGGCGTGCTGCTACCGTCCACGTCCGGCAAAACGGCGATATCTTCGCGACGTCCTCCGAGCAATGGGGAGACAAGATGGAGGTCCTATGCTGGCGCGGGGCGGACGTTCCGAAGTCCCCGGAGCCAGCCGCGAGCTTCACGCTGGAGGTCGGAGTCGAGGACGGCGATCAGATCTACCCGACGTGCAGTGCGCCTCTGGACGAGACGGCGTTCTTGCTCGCCGTCTACGAGGCGGACGGTAACGTGCTACCGGTGCAGTCCGCCTGCCAGACGTCGATCTACGCCATCGACGTGGAGACCATGACTATCCGGTGGCACGCGAAGCCCATCGGAGGCTGGGTGCACACTGTTCGGTATGTCGCTGCGCTAGACGTCATCGTCGCTTTCGGGCGGCATGACAATAGGGCTGCTCAATTCTCGCCGCCCGTTCATCGGTTCGTCGGGCACCTGCCCCGTAAGGCAGGTAGCATCAGATCCGGATCAAGCCCGACAGATTCCCGATTGATCCAGCCACCGCCTACCGAAAGCGGCAGGACCAACGAGAGAACGAGCTCACTTCCCGACTGTACATTACTTACGAGGTGTCGGATGTGTACGATACCCACAGAATATTTGAATCTTGCCAATTGCTATGGGATGCATGCACACAGTGTCGAGGGCTCGCTATCAGTGGGCTTACATAATCACATAGGTAGTCAGCAGTAACTTTCCGTTAACGCGCGCGTTCACTGCTGTCAGTTCACAGTCTTGAGTCTCGTTTCTAATCGGGCTATTCATCGCGTTTTTCTTCCCCTGCCGCTCTCTCATCTGTCCCGACAATAACCTACATTGACTGCTTAAAATGTTATGTGATGCATCTTACATTTACATTCTTTAACTTCGAAATCGCCGTTCACAGCTCTGCGACGGTAAACCAACCAGGACGTGAGCGCTTGAGCTCCGAGTCACCCTAGGCTCGTCCTCTGGCTGGTGCAAGGTCGTATCAGTCAGTGCTAAGTATCGACGAGTCGTTAAGCGTCATTGTCGGTAGGCGGTGGCTGGATTAGTCGGGAATCTGCCGGGCTTGATCCGGATCTGATGCTACCTGCCTTACGGGGCAGGTGCCCGACGAACCGACGAACGGGCGGCGAGAATTGAGCAGCCCTAATGGCGACGGCGTCAAGCCCGACAAGTTCGGGTACGTAGTTGCCCTCGACCCCGCGACTGGCAGCCAGCGGCGGATGGAGACGATCAGCCACAATGTGCAGGGTGTCCCGGTGGAATACGGCGGCCTCAGTCAGACTGCAGATGACTTCCTAGTCGTGATTGTTTTCCGCGACGGGTCAACGTGCGCTGTCGGCTTGAGGCATTTCCTCGAACATGGCTTCTCGAGGGAAGGAGAGCAGTTAGCGGTTTTCAGGCCGCAGCTGGGTGAGGAGTCCAATGTCAAAGAAGTAGCCGTAACTGGGCAGACGGTGATCGTTTCTGTCGGCCATGGCAACCGCGGGTCTCGTAGCTTGTATTTCACTTTCCCGTAAAACTACTCAGGCATTACATAGAACGAAGTGATAGTTTTTCATCCAGACTACGGTTTCATTTCTCCTGACACGTCCGCTGGCTGCGCGTGGCGGTTCCAGACCTCACTGCCATACAAATCATGATTCGGTGGGTCTGAAACATCACAGGTCGTTGACGAGTAACACGGCAGCTGATGCATCTGTACAGTCTTCATATTCAGTGTTCATGGAATGATCCACAGGTGTTCTCTAGCCACCTAGACAACAATCTTCGCTGTAGTGTACGGTCGTTGTGTACGCAGTCTCCTATGCTGCAGACTCTCCAGGTTGTGGGACCCAGCCTCATCTGATCAAAGGCGGGTGCTACATTATCCTCTCTGAGTCCAAATGTGTCTCATGTGCGTCTATGCACTTGTCTCTCGCAGGTCTCAGGCGTTTGTAGCACGCGGTTTGTGCGAGTCGATAAAAGACATTTCTGGAACCCAGTCGCGCTATCAAATTCTTCTGCGACCTGAGACCATTACTCGTGAGTACGGCGGTCTGAGACTGACATCAGCGACGACCAGTGTCGCTCCGTCCACCCTAGTGCAACTTGCGCGTGAAACTGTTTGACCCAGAGTACAGCTCGGGTCGTTTACAGGCGCGGTAGCTCGGTGTGTCCTCCCTATATAAGCAGGCATACATTGCTCATCCTCGTCAGTCCGCTCTTCACTGCAGACTCACCTCAATACCATCGCACGGCACTGGCTGGTAAGTCGACAGCTCCACGCTGAGTTCCACCCGTTCACTTGATGTTGATGGCACCCCCGTTGTCTTCTAGCTCTGCGACTTATTTGACGATCTCACGAACCTTCATTGAACTCAACACCCCGAACCGATCATCCGAGAGCATCCATCATGCGCTACTCCGTCGCCACCGTCGTCATCGCCGCCACATTCGCGGCCACTCAGCCTGCGCTGGCTGCCCCCGTCGCGTCCGTTCCTAGCACGTCTGGTCCTTCTAATAACCACGAGTAAGTGCACCATCCGCACGCAGATTCCCTATGCATCAGGCTCCGGCGCTGACGTGTATCCGACCGTGCAGTGATTGCAAGCGGATGTACGACTACCTGGCCTTTCGCGGCGTCGAGGACTCGAGGACGGCCTGTGGGCCAGACATCACATGGGCGATCTCTACGCACGAGGCTGTTTGGCGAGTAAAGAGGCGGAGGCGGATGTCCAGCTGGACACGTTCTTGGGTGATTCAGGAGCAGGGTCCACCGGTCACCCCCGACCCCACCCCAGACTCCAGTCAACACCCACCCCCCAGCCCTGGGCCCTCTCGGGGGGACCCCTGCCCCCGGCGGCAGTAGCCCTCCCGTGCCTCCGCCTCCTCAAAAGGACGGTCCCAAGGGCCCTCAGAGGCGTGGCGCAGCCTGGCGGAAGCGCGAGCTCGAGCAGGGGAGCGCGGGGCAGCAGAACAGGCGCCGCGACTTGGAGCTCGAGTTCCGGGGCGGCGGTGATGTCGTCCAGCTCGTCCGGGCTGCCGCGCGCCGGCGCGCCGTGGAGCAGCTGTACGCACAGATGGACGGGATGGTGGACGAGCTGTACTATGCCCGGACGTACGCGATGGTGGAGCAGCTGTACGTCCGGACGGGTGCGATGCTCGACGAGTTCGACTGAACGGCGGTGTGGACCTGGTACCGTGCGATGGTGGGTTTGTGGTATGTGAGAGTGTAATCAGTAGTTTGTGTGCATGCTTGTGTTTGTGGTACGTTTGGACGCTTACTACGTATTGGATGCCCGGCTTTGGGTGCTCACGAGCGAGCAGTGCTTCGGACTCTGTCGAGGGATGCGATAAATCAGTATCGGGAACCTGTACCAAAGTACGGGCCGCTAAGGCATAGAGCGATGAAGGAACCCCTCGCATACCAAATGAGTGCACGAGCAGCAAACACTTCATTGCAAACAATGTCGACAACTTGAACTTCACACCTTGAGCGCACGTAACGTCAGCGCGATGCGCTCTCCTTACAGGCCGCTTGCAAAGAGCAGACGAGATCAATCCGGTGTGTATCATTGCGGACTCATGGCAGTATCCATAGTGCATCAAAGCAAGTATAAGAGCATACAACAGCGTGTCATAATATACTCGTGACCCTGGCATCAAGCTATGCGATGTTTTATGCGGCCTGGGCCTCGGCGACCGCGAGCAGGTCACTGTCTCCGGGGTCGGAGACGGTCATGACACTGAACGCGAGATGAGCGACTGCGGTGACTGCAGCAGGGAAAAGACGCACCCAACCCGGAAGAGCTTGCCGGCGGCGGTGCCGAGGGCGACGTTCGTGCCCTGGAAGTGGTGCACGGTGGTCTTGGAGAGCATGGCGTAGTACTCGAGCTCGGACTTGCGGAGGGGCGGGCAGTTGCCAGCGATGAGGACGAGCTTGGCTGGCGGGCGGGGAGGGGGAGAACAGGACGGCGTCAGCACAAGGGACCTTCTCAGCCTCACGCTCCAGTCCCCGGAGATCAAGGCGGGAGGCGGACTCACCCTTGCCGCTGCGCATCTGCTTGAGGGCGGACTTGTAGCCGAGGGAGTACTTGCCCGACTTGACGACGAGGGCGAGACGGGAGGCGATGGACTCGGTGGACTTTGCCGCCTTGGACTTTTTCGTGGGGGCCATTGCGTGTGCTTGAGGTTGCTGGGAGGGGCGAGGGCGGCGGCGGCGGTGTCGGCGGTGGCGGTGGGCGCTGGCTGTTCTCCCCGCCCGCTCTGTGGACGCCGCGGTGGCGCGCAACTGCACAGTTCCCCAACAAGGTTTGATCGCACCCGGAGCGGGCCGGCGCACGTCCTAACCCTGGTCCAGGGGCAGGGTCGGGCCAAACAGGGCCAAAGGGATCGCGCGAGGATGGCAAGCGGGTGGCTCACCGATCACCTGGCCGTTCTCGGATTTGCACTCCGGGCGCCTCCTGCAGCCTCTCCCTGCCGCTCTATTTCCTGCCAGCGCCTCCCCCTCCCTCTTCGCCTGCAGGTATGTCGTCTCCACAGCCGCCATGGCCCGGGGGTCGCCGCGGGATGTCGGAACATCCAATATTCGTAACCCCCGGGTCCACGCGGCACCTATTCCGAATAGCCCACTTGCATTTATTGACCGCCGCGCCGACAGGTTCGCTCACACCATGACACCCTCCATCAGCGCTGTTGCTCGGATCGCCTCCCTCGCCTCGGACGCAGTCATCAACTCTGCCTCAGTCCCGCCTTCCGTCTCACCCTTCGCCCCCGCCCTCTCCTCCACCGCCGTCCACCACATTCCCTTCGGCGCGGACCCCGGCGCAGCACTCCTCCAGCAGCATGCCCACAACACCAGCAACGGTGCAAAGTCCGGGCTGGTCTCCTTCACCACTGTCTCCCATAGGCGTGTGTTGCATCCCCTCATCCCCCACCTGGCCGAGCTCTCGGCAACGGCCACCGTCCTCCATGTCGCCATCCCGGCTGGCGACGACCTCTCCGACGTCCTCGTCCTCAGGGCGTCCGTGCCGTTCTGCATCTACTCCCGCACCGCCCAGCACGCGCACGACCACGCACTCCTCGCCAGTCGGTTAGCACGGACCGAAGCAAAGGCCGTGCTGCACATCTTCTACGTCGGCACAGAGTCGGACGAGCTCAGCGAGCTCACTGCCGACCAGGTCGAGTCGTATCTCTCTGCCCCGCCGCTCTCTGCCAACGGGCATGCGAACGGCCACGCAAATGGCCACGCAAACGGCGACGTCAAGTCTGATGGCAAGGACGACTCTGCTCAGTTGCTGAGGGCCTTCCATGCTGCCTCTGCAACTGCCGTGTCCCTTCTGCGCCGGCCTCTCCGCGCGCTGACCACTCGCGGCGCTGAGGAGCCCCACACCGTCCTGGTTACTCTCGCTCCCCTCCCAACAACTCTGGACCTGGACGGTGTCTCATTCGTAGATGTCAACCTGCTCAAGCCGCTTGCCCCCGCAAACCTCGCGCACGCAATCCCCTCGTCAGCAGTACGCGTCCTCGTCTGCGAGCACGTCCGCCGGTGGAACGTCAAGTGGACGCCGCTGTTCCTCGAGGTCGTGAGCGCGCTGCAGGGCGAGGAGTCGCCGGAGCGGGAGACGCGGCCGGCCGTGCAGAGCGTGCTCGTGCGCGACGCGACGCAGCTCACGCCATCTGACGTCGACCAGCTTCTCCAGCAGCCCGCGGACGCCCCGGCCCGGCTGACGCTCGGCCCCTCCGCGTCCTCGTCCGCGCAGACCGCGCCGCCGCACGTCCCCAAGCACGAGGCGTCGTACACGAAGCTGCTCGACACCCTCTTCGGCGCCCGCCTCGACGTCGCAAACGACCCCGCGCGCGTCGCCCAGCTCGGCGCGGTCGCGACGACCCCCGAGTTCACCCTCGGACGCGTGCGGGGCGAGCTCGAGGCGCTCGCGAAGCTCGAGGAGGACGTGAAGCAGGCCATGCGCCAGCCCGACCTCCCCGGCGACCTCCACCAGCTCCTCGGCGCGTGGCTCCAGGCTGCGAAGGGCAGCAGCGCGCCCGCCACCGACGACGCCGCCGCCCGCCTCGCTCAGGCGCTCGAGGAGCACGCACCCGCCCTCAAGAGCGCAGCTGCCCGCCGTGTCTACGCCGCACGCTCGTTGCTGTCCTCCGACGCGCGCACCAAGTCGCGCTGGATCATCGGCAGCGACGCGTGGGCGTACGACCTCGGCGCGTCGGGCCTGCACCACGCCATCGCGTCCGGGCTCAACGTGAACGTCCTCCTCCTCGACTCGACGCCCTACAGCACGCGCACCGCCGCGTCCCGTCGCAAGCAGGATGTCGGTCTCTACGCCATGAACCACGGCGACGTCTACGTGGCCAGTGTCGCGCTCTACTCGTCCTACGCACAGGTCCTCCAGGCGCTGGTCGAGGCGGACCGCCACCCGGGCCCCTCAGTCGTGCTCGCTTACCTGCCATACACCACCGAGGACTCGCCGGCGCTCGACATCCTCAAGGAGACGAAGCGCGCCGTCGACGCGGGCTACTGGCCGCTCTACCGCTGGAACCCGTCCAAGGAGGGCGACGCCGCGTTCACGCTCGACAGCGACGCGATCAAGAACGAGCTCCGCGCGTTCCTCGACAGGCAGAACCACCTCTCGCAGCTCGTCGCCGCCCACCCGCAGCTCCCCGCCGAGCTCGTCGGCTCCCTCGGCGAGCAGCTGCGCGCCGCCCGCAAGGCGCGCGCGCAGAAGGCGTACGCCGAGCTCCTCACCGCGATCGACGCGCCCCCGCTCGCCGTCCTCTACGCCAGCGACGGCGGCAGGGCGGAGAAGCTCGCGAAGCGGCTCGCCGCGCGCGCGAAGATCCGCGGCCTCGTCGCGAGCGTCGCGCCGATGGACGCCGTCTCCCTCGAGGACCTCGCGCAGGAGCAGTACGTCGCCTTCGTCACCTCCGTCGCGGGCCAGGGCGAGTTCCCCCAGAACGGCCGCGCCCTCGTCAAGGCGCTCAACGCCGCCGCGGCCCGCGGCGAGACGCCCCTGTCCGACGTGAAGGTCGGCGTGTTTGGGCTGGGCGACAGCCACTACTGGCCGCGCCCCGAGGACGCGCACTACTACAACAAGGCGGGCAGGGACCTCGATGCGCGCCTGGAGTCGCTCGGCGCGCAGCGCGTCGTGGCGCTTGGACTGGGAGACGACCAGGACGCGGACGGCCCCGAGACTGGGTACAAGGCCTGGGAGCCCCTCGTGTGGAAGGCACTCGGCGTCGACGCTGTGGAGGTGCAGGAGGCAGAGCCGGAGCCGATCACCAACGAGCATATCAAGGTCGCGTCGCAGTACCTCCGGGGCACCATCGCGGAAGGTCTGGTTGATACAACGACCGGTGCGCTCGCGCCCAGCGACACGCAGCTGACCAAGTTCCACGGGATCTACCAGCAGGACGACCGCGACATCCGCGACGAACGCGTCGCGCAGGGCGTCGAGCCCGCGTACAGCTTCATGATCCGTGTCCGGATGCCCGGCGGTGTGTGCCGCCCGGACCAGTGGCTCCAGATGGACCAGATCGCGGACGAGCACGGGTGCGGGACGTACAAGATCACGACGCGCCAGACGTTCCAGTTCCACGGCGTGATCAAGCGCCACTTGAAGTCGGCGATCCAGGACATCAACAGGGTGCTGTTGGATACGCTCGCTGCGTGCGGCGACGTTAACAGGTGGGTTTTGTGAGTCTGCGGTGTCGTTTATGTGCTCATTGTTGCTCGCAGGAATGTGCTCGTCTCGGCCATCCCGTCGTTGTCGAAGCTGCACCACCAGGCCTTCGAGTTCGCCAAGCGCGTCAGCGAACACCTCCTTCCTCGCACGACCGCGTACCACGAGATTTGGTTGGACAAGAAGCTGGTTGCCGGCGACGCCCTGAAGGACGCGGAGCCCCTCTACGGCGAGTTCTACCTGCCGCGTAAAGTGAGTGGGACCTTATGCGCACTCGGAGAGTTTTTCTTAACGTGAATGGCTAGTTCAAGGTAGCAGTGGCAGTCCCGCCGACGAATGATGTCGACCTCTTCGCCAACGACGTCGGCTTCATTGCTATCGTCGGTAAGGATGGCAACCTGGTCGGCTTCAACGTCACTGCCGGAGGTGGGATGGGTGTTACGCACGGTAACAAGAAGACATACCCGCGTTTGGGCAGCGTCCTTGGTTTCTGCACGGTTGAGCAGGGAGTCGAAGTCGCAGAGAAGATTATGCTTGTGCAAAGGGACAACGGGAACCGTGAGGAGTGAGTGCGCGTGTCCTCTGCGTTGACGACCTTGCTTACATGCTTCCTACGCTCAGCCGGAAGAACGCACGGCTCAAGTACACCATCGACCGCATGGGCCTCGAGAACTTCAAGGCCGAGGTCGAGCGCCTTCTCGGGTACCATCTCGCCCCCGCCCAACCGTTCACGTTCGACCGCAACGTCGACGACTACGGCTGGCACACGGGCGAGGACGGCAAGCACCACTTCACGTGCTTCATCGAGAACGGCCGCATCCAGGACGAGCCGGGCAAGGACTTCAAGACTTGCCTCCGTGAGATCGCAAAGATCCATAAGGGCACGTTCCGCATGACTGCGAACCAGCACGTCATCATTGCGGACATCGCGACGGAGGATCTGCCCCAGATCAAGGCGCTGTTGGCGCAATACAAGCTGGACACCCTCTCACACACGGGTTTGAGGTTGTCTTCGTCTGCGTGTGTTGCGTTCCCGACGTGCGGTGAGTAATCGCAGTTTAGGTACTGAACGACTAGCATTCTGATGTTATGTTATGTTTTGCAGGCCTTGCGATGGCAGAGTCCGAACGGGTATGTTTTCCGCTCTTGCTCACACTGTGCATCTCGCTGACGTGTTGACTAAATCAGTACCTCCCCATTCTCATCGACAAGGTCGAGAAGATCTGCGAGGAGAACGGCCTGCGCAATGACTCTATCGTCATGCGTATGACTGGATGCCCTAACGGTTGCGCACGACCGTATATCGCAGGTATGTTGAGTCATGGTGATAATGCGGATCAGTTGCTTATGTGAACGTCACGATACAGAAATCGCATTCGTCGGCAAGGCACCTGGCACGTATTCGATGTTGCTCGGCGGCGGATACCATGGCCAGCGTCTCAACAAGATCTACCGAGGTTCGTGAACCAGCTTCTACTCTTCCCATAATTCGCTGACAGCCTTTTGCAGAAACCGTCACCGAGCCTGAGATCCTTGCCATTCTCACACCGATGATCAAGCAATACGCCCTCGAGCGCCAGGAAGGAGAACACTTTGGCGACTTCGTCATCAGGGCTGGCTACATCGCACCAACGACCGAGGGTAGGGCCTGGTACGACCGCATGGGCGGCGAAGGCCAGCATCGGGAGGGCGCGACAGCCGCATAAAAGAATCATGCATTCAACGATTTACCTTACAGTAGAGCGATCGCGCACAATCTAGCAGCAGTTATGTGTATCCATATTCGTACCATTCACAGTAGGTGTTGTCGGGTTCTAGAGTCTTCACGTACAAGCAATGTATTCATACCAATAATGCCATTGTTACTCGGATATCTACTCCACGTTGAGGGTACAGTCGCGTTGCTGTTGAGAAACAGCTACGATGCAGATATTTGCAGTACTCGAATCCCATATCATGCCTGTTGAAGGCTCGCTCCGTACGACAGTTTCATTCACAACCTCTTGACCGACCACACGAGTAGATGGAAGACGCGTGTAACCAATGGGTCCGAGCTTGAGTTGATCGGCTGTAGCTCAGTGTCGACCTGAACCTTGTCCGTTCCAAATATCAACTCCCACATCTCCCTCCAACTCTCCGGCGAATGGCAGAACATTGAAACTTGCTTGGATCCGGACCCATCGAGCGACCAGGTAACGATGCCCTTCTCCGGTGCGCCGCCGTGCGAGCCGAACAGCATTGCGCCTCGATGAGGAGCGAGAAGGCCTGCGAGGGCACGTGCCAGCGCGAGCTGCTTCTCTTCTTCAAACAGGTGGAAGAGTGAGGATGCGTGGATGGCGGAGACGCGGCCTTGGAGCATTGTCAGGCTTGTAACCGAGGACAAGGCCGGTGCAGACGTAGTAAGAGGGGCGTATGCGGGCGGCGCCGGCTGAAGGAAGGTAGGGTCGAATGCATCTCCTCCTATGAATGGTACCTGGAACGACTCCGGGGATGTCTTGAACAGACGGTGGCCGAGCTGCCAGAAAGCTATTATGTATGTCAACAATCGTTGACGTCGCTTCAAAGCTTAGATGACTCTCACCTGGCTCGACATCTGAGGCGATCACGTTCTTGGGAGGATAACCATCGGCGATGGCCTTCCGGACGTCGTTACCAACTGCACCTCACTATCAGTGCGACGGTCAATGTGATGAAAGGAGAAGATAGCCTACAACAACAGCCTATGTCTAGGAGGATAGCATCACGCTCCTTGCCCAACTTGAGGATGTCATCGTACACAGGAAGGCGTGATATCTTGAGCCTGCATGAAGGCTTTGAGCATGTTTCAACCTGACATGGTGCTGTAGCGCAAACTTACTGTGTAAAGCCGAAGCGACGAATGCACGGGTAGGGGTACAACTGTGAATCGAGAGCCAGTCCTTAGTCGTTCGCTCCCAGTCCGGGTAAAGCATGGACGTACCTCGTATGCCTCCGTCTGGACTTTCATGATGTGCTCTCTGAGCCCCTCATCACCATCAATCCCAGTCTGCTGCTTGAAAAAGGCAACCTCCTCATCATCAAGCCTATACAAGCTCGGGTCCAGTGGTGGCGCGATTCCAGCCCTTCTGCCCGCTGTGTCAGATCCAGGGGCAACACCTTGTGGAACAGTTGGATCAGACATGGCCTCCTCAGGCTGAGCCTATGCGGCCGTGAACAGAGCAATGGAGACGGTGCTTTGCACACCAACTTCGGCCCCCTATACTATATACCTGGGTGGATGTGAAGCCTACGGTCCCGCCGAAGCTGAGGCTTCTTGACTCGATCGGGCCGCTCAGGCTGGTACGAACACTAACGCGGTCCTCCGGGCGAGACCCACGCAGCACGCCGGCTGAATGACAGGTGCCGTAAACCACAGTGACAGTGCGGCGAGCCGCAGTTGTGCCACGTATCCTTGTAAGTGTATACCACTGCCTATGAATGGCACAGCCTCCTGAGTAGTGACGTACATACTGTGCGCACTGGACTGCAACGTAGTCTCCGGTATAGAGGACAACAGCCGGCAAGCGTAACTGCAACTTTGCTCAGAGATCGTCGTATCGAGCTGGCCTAAACGTGAGTCACGGTCGTCAACATGATCTGAACATCGTCATCGTTGAACATCCATACCTGAATTGATACAGCCCTTCAGATATATAGGTACATGCATTACTGCAGTCACAGTCTTGTCACAGACCACGCCATCTCCCAAATTCGCATGTTTATTCCTGTCCTCTGCGCCCCGTTAGCCATTTCCTTGAGCTCCGTCTCAACCTTCACTGTCCCCGGCTCGAAGATATTGTCCCACATCTCCGTCCAGCTCTCTGGCGAGTGACAGAAGATTTCGAAGGGCTTGTCGCTTCCCTCCGAGCGACGGACACCTTTCTCCGGCGCCGCGACATGTACGCCGAGGATGAGCGAACCGGGCTCTGGAGACAGCAGCCCTGCGACGGCACGCGCGAGCTCGTGCTGGTTGGATTCTTCGAAGAGGTGGAAGAAGGCAGAAGTGTGAATCGCGGAGACGCGTCCATGAAGAGGGTTCAGGCTCGCAAGCGTCCCGAGTGCAGGCGTTGGACCCTCTGGGACAGCCTTGAGCGGTTGACGCGTCTCCAGGAAGGCAGAGTTAAAGACATCCCCCGCAATGAATGTGGATGGGAAGGTCTCAGGAGTTGACTTGAACAGCTCGTGACCAAGCCTCCAAAATGCTTAAGATACAAATGTCAGCGCTTGCATACGGGCGCCGCTAGGTGCGTGCATACCTGGCTCGATGTCAGACCCGATGGTGTTGTGTGCAGGGAAGCCGTCTGCGACGGCCTTCCTTACATCGTTGCCAACTACATGGACTATGAGGGTCATCTGCTGCGATCATGAAGAATTCCTTACAGCAGGTTCCGAGGTCGAGAAGGATAGCACCCGGGCGGTGCCTTCCAAGAGTCACCAACTGCGGGTAGGCAGGAAGGCGCGAGATCTTCAACCTGTGAATTGATTCATCAGCATACTCAGATCTCCCGCAATGCCTGTACGCACTTCGTAAAGGAGAAACGCCGGATACACGGGAACGGCCAGACCTGTTCGTGGCTATGATCAACGGGGTGAAATGAATATCGGTGGAGATCAACCGACCTCGTAAGCCTCCTTCTGGACTCTGAGAATATGTGACTTGAGAGCCTCGTCGTCCTCTATGCCGGTCTGCGATTTGAAGAATGCACTCTCCTCCTCGTCGAGACTATACAGGCTTTCGTCGAGGGCTACATCGCGCATCGCCGCTCGAACGGTAGCACTTCCTGCGAGACCCAGAGCCATGTCTGAGGATATCGATTTTGGAGTAGGTGAAGTAGGTCTTCGTCAGAAAGCCAACCTTTTGTACTCCAGAGGCTGACAGTGAGTCTCTGTGGCGCTGCGCCTGTGCAGCTACATCACCTTTGACTATTAGCCTGGACTGCTTATTAGCAGTGATGGTGAGCTTGCTCCGACACAGGGCGGAGCAACGCATCTGTCAGAGACAGATAACATCTGTCAATACGTCACGGCAGCCCACTCAATTGCGCCGTCGATGCCGATCACCCTGCTCAGATCAGCGCATCAGCGCTCAAGCCCTCAGCCTTCGCTGCCTCAGGCTTACCGTGCATGATACAAGCATATAACTCGTCTCATGTACATCCTAGAGCATGGGGTACTACTATAGCTTGACACCTCAACTATCTGCAACGCGGAGAATGCTCCCAATCAGTGACATCAACAATGTTTCCGGTCGGATAAACACCCTTTTTTTACTCACATAGTTGTGTCATGACTCAAGTACTCATGACGGGGCCGCCGGGCATGTGCTGGGTGGCCCCGACTACCCAGGCCCTGTCGAGAAGTCGGAAAGAAGGACCTGCTAGTACTGATTCCTGCGGTGCTTGACATCGATCGTTGAACTGCTCTCGCTCCGGCAGGAACTCAGACTCTTGTGCGACACAGCTTGGGCTCAGTCGCGCCTTCCGACTTCCTCGACTACATACTGTGAAAACGACTGTCCTTGCCAAGATAACTTAGAAAGCGAGGGATATTGGATACGTGCTCTAGATGTGTCGTGCATAGTGCGTGTGCGCGGATTAACCCATATGTACATTGAGACCCGTTACATTGATTGTGGTCTATACCTGTGACAATCTCATCTCAATCCACCCCTACTTCATCGTGAGAGGGATACATAACTCACTTTTAACAGGAACAGCGTGGCACTCAAGCTGCATTTTCCTCATTTTCCTCATTTTTAGCTCGCGTTTCGCCGGGGTGCACCCTTAAGCTTTCTCGGGACGGGAACCTGAGATGGCGAACCTAGAGACGAGCGAGCGGCCGAGGACCTTCCGAAGAACCATTCACTGGAATCGCACTAGCGGACAGCGAGGAGCACGTCACGACAGGTGGTATCGGTTCAGCATTTGTTCGCTCATCGTACAACTGTATTACTGCTCTCTCACGCTTTCTTGCTGTCGGCTTCCGCCAACGCCTCTGAAATGCTCTCCTTCACCGCCGCGATGATCTTGTCGACGTCGCCGCGCTCCTCGTTCACGACCGTAATGCCCATGTGCCTGCAAGGATGGTCAATACAACTCACTGGAATAGACGTGCGCATGAACGTGCGCACCCAATGCGGAAGTACTTCTCTGGAGGCGGCCGCGAAGAGAACGTCAGTGATCCGCAGAAGAACATCGGTGCGGGGAAAGCATACCCTTGTTGTCCTTGTGCAGGCCGCCGGCGACTACAACGTCCTTCTTCAACAGACGCGGAATAACATCAGGCGCCTTCAAGCCCTCGGGGAAGTACACCTGAGAGCGGAGTCCACGCCATGAGGATGAGAAGCTGAGCATCGAGCGGCACGCAACTCACTGCTGTCATCCCATTCGCCGCATAGTACGGGTCGAGGGCCAATTGCTTGAGCCCAATGGCAGCGAGCTCATCCTTGATGCGCTGGCTGGCCTTGCGGTGCAGTGCGAACCGCTCTTGGAGGGTCGGCGTTCTCTTCGTGAGCTGCGTTAGCGAGGCGTGGTATGCGTAGATGAGGTTCACGGGCGGAGTTGCGAAGTAGGCCGCAGCGCCGCTCTCGTAGGATTTCATGACTGGAAGCCACCTACACGGGTATCATACAATTAGTACATCCCCGACGTGCACGATAATTTTGAATGATTACTTCTTCCAGCTCGCGTAGTATGAGGCGGGTGGACGTGTGCGCTGCTCGAAGACCTATGGGACGCTCCTATTACGCATTGCTGAGACATCTCGACATTGGCCAGCGTACCTGGATAGCTTTTGGGCTGGCAAGAAGGATGCTCAACCCTGGTGGTGTAGCCAGCCCCTTCTGGCTAGCAGTGAGGACAACGTCAAGTCCCCACTGATCGAAGAGGATCTCTTCACTCGCTACAGAGCACACAGCGTCTACAACGACCTGTACCACGTCAGCTCATGAATTACGGAGTGTCATGTACGCGTACCAGAGTGTCAGGAGATACTCTCTTGACGGTTTCTGCAATTGCCTTCGCGTCGGAGAGAACACCTGAGAGACTTGTATAGACTGGCAACAATCGAATACTACTGCCACACACCCACCTGTAGACGTGTCTACATGAGTGAAGGCAACGATCCTATACTTCTTCGCCTTCAAAGCCTTCTCTACATCGCTCAGGTTCGCTGCTGTGCCAAAGTCTGCACGGACTTCATCTACTTCTGCGCCGTATGCTCGGAAACTAGGATCATTACGTGAGATGTGGAGATGGGAAACATAGACACTGACGTACCATTCGGTGAAGCTATCCCCAAAGTAACCGCTGTTTAGCAGCAACACGGACTCGCCGGGTTCCGTCAGGTTGGCAGCGGCCTGGGGTACGATCATGTCTCAGTTAGATCAAGATCAAGATTCTACGGCACCGACGGACCTGGTCCCAGCCGAGCGTACCCGAACCAGCGATGATGAATGGCTGGCCGGTGGTGGAGAAGAGGACCTCTCGGGTCATGCGTATGCAGTCGCCGATGACTTGGACGAATTCCGCTGACATGTGAGAGACGGCGGGGTGGGCATTGGCGTAGAGGACCTGGAGGACTAGAGGTGAGCACTTCTCCCGCGAAGGCGGACGGTCGCGGTACCTCATCGGCGACCTCGATGGGTCCCGGGATGCTGGACAGAGTGCGATGGTGAGTGGATCAGAATCGGAGGCATCGTGTCGTGTAACGTACACTAGCAGCCTTAGGAGCGCCGGGCGGTCAGATAACACGGGGCGTGCTGGACGGAGGACTCACTTGTGTGGTTCCTGCACGTAGCCACGACCACGTCGGGGTGAGCAGGGGACTACGGGGGCGACGGCGACGACGTTACCTGCTTGAAGGCGGACATGTTGCGGGATGGTGGGGGTCGCTGAGAAAAGGAAGGCTTGAGGGAGGATCGCCCGGTGGCTGAGAGGACAGGCTTGTCCGGGTGGAAGAGGGCCGGTGCGAGGGAGGAGGCCAGTCGACGGCTGAGCATTGATCCGTCAGCTGACGGTATTTCAGGCTCGGGGAATGCGACGAGACGAACGGAGGGGCTGCGTTTGTCTGCCTCTATTTCCGCACTCTCCAGGGCCAGCGAACGCAGTGGGCAATCCGAGTGCTACGCAGTGCGCTTGCCCCGCCGAAGCGCGTTTATACTCGCACGGACGCCCGCCCTCACCTGCCTCGGAACCCCGAACGGCCACCCGCCCACCTCCATCCATAGCACAGGGTATAACATATCCATTACACTCTTGCCGCAACCAGAGCAACACATGCAAGCACAACACGCGAGATCCCCAAACCCGCTACCGCCCAGCCTCGATGATCCCGTTCTGCGCTCCGCCTCCGGCCACGCCAGAGATCGCCCGTTGCAAGTCCGTCCACTCCGACTCTCTGGGCAGCGCCATATCTCCAATGTCGTAGATATACAGCTTCCCGTCGCTCCCCCCCATGGCTGCCCGCCGGCCGTCCTTGCGGTCCCACTGCATCTTGTTCAGCGCCCGTCCAGAACCTACTATTGTCGACACAGTCGAGACCTGGCACATCGTTAGCGCTCCCGCCACATGCATCGTCTGTCAGAAACATCGTGATTTACCTCCGTGTCCCAGTTTAGATTCCACACGTCGAACCGGCCTGAGCCGTCCACAGCCCCGAAGACCGCCGGATGCGACGGGTGCCATTTAACGTCGTACACGTAGTCGTCGGCCTCATCGAACGAATATATTGGCGAGATGACGTTCGCCGCCGTCGATGGCTTCGCGAGCGATTTGGCACGCCATAGCTTGACCGTCCAGTCCACGGAGCACGTGAGGAACATGTCGGAGAAGTCGACCGGCCCGTGCTGTGGGTGGAAATGCAGCCCCATGACAGGGCCAGAATGACCCTTGTAGACATCGTACTGGTTGAGTCCGGCCTTCGCGCCTGCCCGGTCGTATCGGTTCGCCTGGTAGACATTGCCTTCCTCGGTACCGACCCAAAATGTCGTCGTCTCGTTGTCCGGGAAGTCCAATGTCGTGATAGCCACCTCGCCGGTCTTGTTGTGACCAGCATGTACGAGTTCCAAGGTTTCCTAGACGAACATCATATGAGTACAGTAGTCGCAACAGCGTGCCGGATTACTCACTTGTGGTTGAGCCAGCATGTCTACCAGCCAACTACATACCGTCCCGTCCGTACTGCTCGTGATCAGGTTGTGTGCGTTCTGCGTTCCCACCATCTGCATCGCATACACAGGATGTGTATGTCCCGCCGCCGATAGTGGGGTCTTCAACACTGGCAGATGCTTCGAGCGTGTGTCCCACAGCAGGATCTGCCCCGAGTACGTTCCGCCGAAGACGAGATTTGAATGGAACGGTGAGAAGGTCACGGAGAGGACGTCGGACTATAACACGTCAATTGAGACACTGCACTCTCCGGTCGGACGGGCATACCTGTGAGTGGAAGACAAATTCCGGCCGCTCCAGAAGATGCAAATTCCAGACGGCAACGATGCCGTCGGGCTCATTCAGCGCAGCAGGGTTCTTGTTGTAGGATGCGCAGCTGAGTTCTGGGAACTGCAGGGCTGTGAGCGAAACATACACGACGCATAGTAGGTTCTCACCTTTGGTGACCAGGCCACGTCTGTGACTGATCGGTTCTTCCCGTACCGTTCACTATAGAAAGCACAAACGCACTTCACTCGCCGGCCTTCTGTGTCATCCCTGCGAGAGTCATGTTTTGCAACATTGTAACATTTGTATGGTACTTACCCGCCCGTCTCGGTACCGATTGTGTAGTCCCGAACGTAGTCGTAGTTATCGTTAAGTGCTCGTTGGATTATCTTCGTCGACTGCTCAACGAAGTCGAGGAACTCCGGTGCTGCGAAGATGCTTGTCTTCTCTTCCTCCGTCATCTCTGGAGGTGATATAAGGATACAACTGAACCTCATATCACGATGATAAGCTTGCCTCGGATTACTTCTTCAATCTGCTTGTCGAGAAGGATACTCTCCGCCTCTAACGCTCGTTCGCGTGCGGCCTCCAAAGCCTCCTCAGCTTCACGTTCCTTCTGCGCGATCGCTTCTCGCGCCTCTTCGTCGGACTCGTCTGAACTGGGCTCAAACTCCATCGTCTGCACCTCTTTGTTGTATATGACACGTTCCTGTAGAGAGCGAGAACCACCATTTAGCCAAGATATGTGGGTGGACCAGAAACGTACCTTCTGTGGCATTTCAAAGAGCTCCTCCTCTACGTCAATTAAATCTGGGACTACGCGGGGGATCATAACGCTAATTCCATGAGCGAATGGGAAACGAAACAGCACAATGACATACCGGTCTACAACATGGTCTGTTGTGCCGTTCGTTGATTGCACGAATGTCGTGCCCACACTGATCCGATCGGATGCAGCATCGCTCTGTCTGCTTAGCCTGCCAGAGGGGGAGAGCGTCGAAGGCCCCGCGAGTGATCTGTTCTGCGCAAGTAACGGAGTGCCTGGGACGGAGGTCGGTGGTGAGCCGGCTCGGCTGTCTACACGCCGCCCGATGTCGGTGCCGATGAGCGAGCTGACGAGGTCGTCGACATCCCTCCGGACTGTCGATGGACCTGCAGTCTTGTACGAACGACTATGAGATCCCGGGCAATATGGGCATGACGAAGTAGACGAACCTCGGAGACGCGACGCTCAGAATCCGCTTTCTGCCTATCTGCCCTCGCCTTGCGGAGCTCTGCGAGCTTCGCCCTCTTTGCCTCGATCTCTGCTCTGCGCTTGTCCGACATGGCGACGGCGTAAAAGTGACCACGGAATACTTGCCAGTGCCACGACCGAGTGACCAGAATATTCAATACAGAACAGACGCGCGGCGGCAGGACGACGCGCTGTTGACGCGCTGTTTGGCTGCTCGATCATATATCTTTCCGCCGACCTCCATCTCCGCTTCAGCTTCGAGCACATCGGTTGCATACACATGCCTCTCATCGGACCTACGCAAAACCGCCAAGGGGGCACGAAGAAGGGCGGTGCCCGCCGCGCAGACAACAACCGCATTTACGCTCATCCACTACCAGTCACTTTCGAGAAGTCGCAGTCATGGGCGAATCACATCCTTGGCCTCTTCGGAGTCTCGGGGACCAGGGTGCTCAATCCGCATTGTACAGGCATATATGACCCAGATACGCGGTCTGTCTGGGTGGTCGACTCGAAGGATGCGATGATCCTCTGGAGGCGAGGTTTCTTTGGCAAGGGTGATTTGTCTCGGAGCGAACCTTCGTGGAGGACGAGGCAGATCAGCGCCAAGAGAGCTGCTGCGGGCAAATGTAAGACGCCTTCTCTCTTGAATAACGCAGTCGGCCTGACTTCTTCATCCAGTCATGACTGCAGAAGAGATCAGAGAAAAGCGCAGGGCTGAACGAAAACAGTTTAAACTTGACCGTGCCGCTGCAATCGCACAAGCCGCGGCGGAGGCAGAGGCCGCCTTCGCTGAAGGCCGCGAAGCAAAGTCCTCCGTCATCATTCCTTCCGGTGCAACCTGGAAACCACAACAATCCGTTCCGGACGAGTCACCCAGTCCCTCTCCTACGCCCGATGCAGAGCAGACTCCGGAATTTGACGAGGATTCCGTGCCAGATCTGGAGCATATGCAGCTCACTCTTCAGGAGGCGTTCTTCCTAGCCTGGAACCTAGACTGTTTGACCATCATTGACCCAACAACGGTATCTACATGTTGCCATGAATATATTTTCTTCGCCGCTGAAGTTGGGCCCATAGTCTGGACCAATGACCCTAAAGCACATATGGACGGCATTCCAACAAGTACACGGTATCCCCCACATACCTAGTGTTATGCCCGAGATATACGCAAACCGTTTCGACAACCCGTTCCTTGTGAACTACGCTGCATATCACTACTACCGATCCCTCGGATGGGTAATCAAGGGCGGCATCAAGTTCTGCGTGGACCTGCTCCTGTACAAGCGTGGCCCAGTGTTCCATCATGCTGAGTACGTATGCCATGCCTGATGAAGGGACACAAGGAGCTAACGGGTCGTATAGATTTGCGATTGTCGTGATTCCCGTCTATGAGGATCCCGCAGATCAAGAAACGTCGCCTTTCGAGCTTGCGAATTCTCAACCTTTCTCCTGGACGTGGCTCAGCACGGTGAATCGCGTCAACTCGCAAGTACAGAAGGTATGCAAGGCCGCTGTGGTTCTGCGCCGGGAATGCTGATGATGTTCTGCAGACCCTTATATTGACCTACGTGACCATTCCTGCGCGGTCGCGGGTCTCCCAAGAGCTCCTGTCCTCTCCAGCATGTCTCGCACACTACACTGTCAGGGAAGTGGTACTGCGACGATTCATTCCGGCACGCATGCGCGACTAGGCTTGATAGTGCGAGAGATGTATTGCAAGTGACACGATAGGCAGAAATACAAACAGGAAGCGAAACCTACACTCTATCCACCGCTACTGCAATACGCGATATGACGCCATCAGTCTCGAGTCGCCTCCTGTGCGGGCCGACCACGCTACGACGGAAGCGTACGATGGATGTAGAACCTTGCCTTGATGGGGAGAGTCCGGATGCTGAGCGTGGCCGTGGGGAGGGTTGGGTGAGTTATGATATAAGGATAGATGCGGAGGAACGAAGAGCTGCAATGTGACGGAGGGACCGGAAGCTGGTGCGAGACGGGCGATGAATGGGAATAGTGCGCCTTATACCGCGCCCTTGATCTGTACTTTTCGGTACTTCTCCTCGAGCACCTGTACGAGAGGAGCGCCCGCCGGCTTGCAATCCAGGATCTTCTCCGCGTCCGGGGCATTCGGATTTGTGAAAAGACCTGCTTTGTGCTCCGTGAGGAAGTCGCAGGCCTGTGCCAGACCGTCGAATGCCAACTCGTTCTGGATAAATGACAAGGGTAGTGTTCGATACCTACGCATGTGCGGTCAGTAAATGGTCAAACGAGGATGCATGACAAGACTAACGCTTTCGTCATGACTATGAGGGCGCGTGTCCGCTCTCGATCGATGAAGTGGTCCATAATGTATGCACCCATGTTGGGTGCGTTAAGGTATAGATCGAACAGCCTGTGATAGTTCCCCATCGCCAAAGCCCTCTGCACATCCAAAGCATGCCGCACTGCCGGGTCGACTTTCTGTTTGTCGGTTAGCTGACCTACGTATAGATTCAAATCTAAAGATATGTCACGCTCGAAGTTAGAGAATGATCTTCGAGCGGTGAGACAAACACTGGAACGTACCACTTCTATTGCGCCCATGGAGGAGCATCAGGATGCGATATGCGGTGAACTCTTCCACCTTCCCCGGGATGCCGAGTTCATACAGATTACGCAGCATGGCCTGACACTGGTTATATTCTACCATGTCGCCCTGACCGCGCCCTATCAACCATAACATCATACAGATCTATAACGCCACGTACCACTTCTAGAGCCATGCGTGCATGTATTTCGTAGACCGTTACGGTAAACTCATTCTTGACTCTTTGGACCTGCAGAATCATGTAAGTCGACACCTGCAATCAGGTGCCCGGGCTACGTGGGGCGCCACCACTCACAGTGAGGTCCTGTCTGAGACTCTTGAATTGGCTGCATATCCAATTGTAGTTGGCCTTCTCGCGCCAACGCTTCTTCAGCTGGGCGAGAGTCTCTTGAAGAATGGGGTATGGGCGGATCTGCTCCGGTTTGGGCTCCTGGATGTGGAGAACGAATCAATCTGGGATGTGCATGGAACATGACAAGCACACTCGCTGAAGTCAAGCGCAGATAGTCCTTGAAGATCTCTTTCGAGGTGCCAACGATGGTGTGCTTGTCCCAGTTCGGTACATTCTGGAGACATGTCTAGCATAAGTCACACCAATATAGGAGAACACTACGTACAACGTTCATTTCTGGGGCATCCCCGTCAAATGAAGGAGTCGCGGATCGATTTCCAAAGACATGAGAGTATGGAGAATGTGCATGACCTGTCTGACCATGGAGGCCCTTCTGTCGTTCGAGGTCGTGTTCCCGTTGGAAGCGAGCAGCTCTGCGGTTCAGTGCGGCGACATCATTAGTGTCAAACGAGCTCGACGATGGTGGCTTGTTGTTGAATGTCTTCTTGACTTTCTTGGTGGTTGTAGTCGACAGGTGTGTCTCATTCCTACGCGGACGTCCATGGATCGTGCAGTGCAGTATGACTTAGAACAACTCACAGTTTACGCTTGAGACTGCTGAGAGAATTGAGAGAATTGAGAGTGGGAGGGGGCTTTGGCATAAGGCTCAAGGCGATCGGTGCTGCGTCAGGTAAGGCAATGGATCGCACGCGTGCAACACACCTTTGCAATTGCACACCTCCCCAGTCCGTGGTCCACAAGGTCTTGTTCACGAAAGCATCAGCAATTACCTGTCTAAGCTCAGCTTGAGCTTCTTCCCGATTGGTATCCGTCATCTGGCCTAGGCATTTCGCGACCCATTCTCTGCAGAGATGATGAGTGAGCCTTCGCACGACGGGCGCAGGGTGGAGATTCACTTGAGAGGTGGTGGCCAACTTTCCGAAGACATCTTGCGACAAGACTGTGTAGAGTCGTGTCAGAAACTAGAGGCGGCAAGCGTGAAGGAGCTGTGGTCGCTGTGTGTGCTGCTGTTCGGCGTATCGCAGAGATGAGAGACGGTGTGTAGAGCCTGAGGCAGGTCTCGGCGAGGACTGGTCGCAGTTGCCAAATCGGGACTTCTCACGGCCGCCGTTGTGTAATCCGGACGCCTCACATGGCCCGTCATCGCGAGAAGGCGAAGGCAACGGCCAACGACGATAAATAGACGGCAGGCGAGGATGATCTCTTCACGCCCCTCTCTCATTTCATTACAGGACGCAGCGACAGCGACCGGAAAGACTACTCTCGATTGAGAATACTATTTACTTCATGAATAATGTTCCCCAATCATAGCTCTATGTCTAGTCCGCTGCTAGTGGGTCGACTTGTCCGCGGGAGGGTTGTAAACTATAGGACACAGGTGAGCGCCGATCCCCTCGTCCGTGTGCAGACAAAGTCAACTCACTGATCTTCCTCGACTTGATAACGGACCACTTGAAGCGCTTGACATACAAGCTCATTGCGGTCAGTGCAGAGAAGAGGATGACCGCCTTCAGGCCAAACTGCTTCCGCTCGTCGTGCTCAGGCTCCGCAGCCCAGTTCAAGAACGTGACAACATCCTTGGCCATCTGCGAAGTCGTGGCAGGGGTTTCTGGTCGTCGCTGTTAGTCTACGTTCTCGTCGGAAGGACTGCCACTCTCACCATCATCGTACTCAACAAGGCCATCGAACAAGACTCGCGCCATTGAGATGGCGTTGCCGGGGAAGTACGGGTTGTAGTTCATGCCCTCACGGATCTCGAAGCCAGCCGGGGGATCTCTGTAACCAGTGAGAAGAGAGAAGATGTAGTCCTGTATCATGGTGTGAGTCCATCTATTTCACTCCGTTCTCATTGGAGTGTACACACCGCAGCGCCGTGACGAGCCTTGACAATCAAGCTCAAGTCCGGTGGCAGGGCACCACCGTTGCCGGCACGAGCAGCCTCTTCATTGGCGTACGGAGGGGGCATGTAGTCAGAGAGCTTTCCCGGCCTCTTGAACATCTCGCCCTGGTCATCCGGGCCATCGTCGTACTCGATCTCCTCAGCCATGGCCTTCACCTCATCCGCGGTATGGGAGACGCCGACCAAGTTGCGCCAGGCAATGCGGTCCAGCGAGTGGCAAGCAGCACAGACCTCGCGGTAGACCTGGTACCCTCGGCGGATGCTAGGGTGCGGGACAGGACGTTAGCGCGTTTACCGAGGTCCGGAGGGGCGGAGTTAGAGGACTGACCTGGCATGGTCGAAGGAGTCTAGCAAGCCCGAATGCGACCAGGGATAGTGAGGGGGGTGGAGACCATCGTCAGCGGCCGAGTTTGCATGCACCTCACCGACAAAGGGAAGGGTGCCGTAAAGGCTTGTGTACCATGCGATCGAGCCGGCCGTGAAAAGTGTCACAGAAGCTAGGGTTGCGCGCGAGTTAATGAAGGACTATGTCCGAACAATGAGCACCACCTCGGGATGTTGTGAGGCCAACACAGGACATACCTCAAAAGCAGAAGAAGCAGACGAGCCCGAGCTCGTCGACGCAAACCGAGCGCGCTGGTTGATACGTGACGTTGAGCCGGGGGCACCGGGGCGTGGACGGATGTACTCACCGCTGCAAAACGCGCGTTTGAGGTGAAGCTAGCAGAACGGGGGCCTGCGACGGAACCGACGTTCCTCAGCGCACCCGCAGGGAGCCTGGACAGCATTTTGGCGGAGGACGGTCAATGACGGGGATTTGAGACGACGACGAGCAGGAGGTGACCGTATAGGTATCACGCGTCACACACGTCACATCCGGGGGAACACGCTTCCGTTGCCGACTCGTTCCGACCTATCATGTCGCGGGAATTTGCCCCGACCCGTCTCCACCAGGACACCGGCCGGACCGTCCACGACCAGCGGTGGACACCGAGGGACACCGTCTAGTGGACTCTGGCAAGCACTCGTCCCCGCGGGCCAAGCCACGCTCAATTCTTTCTACGGGCTGACGCAACGGCACTCAAAGCGAAACAGTCACATTTTGGCTTGTAGCCATGTATTATGCGCTGTAGTAGACTCGAGTCACGCGAAACGAATACATAGCGGTAAGATCGCAGAAAGACCGAGAAAGACCTGATATACAGATATGAAATGGGAACCACGCCACGGCCGAGGTGGAGGGGTATGAAGGAATCGCCGGTCATGAACTTCGCCAATCAATGGCCCAGAGAAGTATCCATCGTCAAGTCATAGACCGTCTAGAGTAGGCAGTCGCATAGGAGCTCTGTGGAAAGAGAGCGATGAGTCTGGTTTGCAAGCCGTGCGAGCGATCATGACACGCACCTTCAGCACAGCAACACAAGCATGCTCCGGCTAGACAGGCGCAACAACCATCTCCTCCTCCACCCTTCTGCTGAGGCTGTTGTCTGTAGCCCCGATCGACACGTCAGGAGACACAAGACTGTCTTGCGACTAGGGACTTACACATAGACGGTCTGGGGCTGCGGTTGAGGCTGGTACTGCCCGCCGTAGGGCTGGCCATATCCACCGTACGCCTGCTGTGGCTGTTGGGGATAATAACCACCCTGGCCGGATGGAGGACCTGGGTGTGGTGAGTACGGTCAGTGAATTGAACAGCGAACAAATGCAGGGGTGTTGGACGGACCTTGGGGAGGGTAGTACTGGCCTTGGCCTTGGCCCTGGTTGTAGTAATCCCTGTTAGACATACCTGGAAGCAGATGAGGTGCGGGAGAGAGAGACGGACGCCCAGGGCGGGCTGTTGTTTTATGTCGGTCGGCCGGCGCGTGAGAGACTGCGCGGACACGTGCAGGCGCCCACACTCACTGGCAGTACAACCGCGGCCGCAGCTGTAGCCTCGTTCACTTTGCCCTTGACACAGCCCTGCCGCGGGTTCGACACAGCCATCTCACACTACCCTTGCTGCTTGCCCACCAGCATCCTAGTATGTCCTTCAGCGATAAGCAGTGCCCCCGGCTGACTCTGTCCAGGCTGTCTCACCGATGCCCTACAGCCACCACTCGCATTCCGGACAGTTCTGCAGACATGCGGCCGGCACGCTGGAGGACGTAGTGCGCGAGGCAATACGACAAGGCTTCGAGGTCTATGGCTTGACCGAGCATGTCCCTCGCTACCGCCTGGCAGACTTGTATCCCGAAGAGGTAAATTCGCATCCGTTTCTGCCAATCACGTTGCCCAACGCATTGCCGTCTGCTGCTTTTTCGGTCTCTGGCATGTGAAGGAGGGCATGTCTCTCGATGCGCTGGCGACACAGTTCGATGCCTTCCTGACCGAAGCCCACCGGCTCAAGGCGCAATATGCGGGCGACATAACGCTACTGGTGGGGTTGGAGACAGAGTTCATCATGGAAGAAGATGTCGCACACCTGGAAACACTTCTCAGCAAATGTCAGGGACGAATAGAATATCTGGTTGGATCCGTCCATCATGCCAACGCGATTCCCATCGACTTCGACGTCGCCACGTTTGGGAAGGCTCTCGACAGCTTCGACCTGTCCCCGACCTCAGGCGGAGATGGCGATCAAAAGCGAATGGAAGCACTGCTCTGCTCATACTTCGATGCTCAGTATGAGGTCCTGAGACATTTCCATCCGGAGGTAGTAGGGCACGTCGATCTATGCCGGCTCTACAACCCCACTCTGCAGTTCGGGGACTACGGAGCAGCATGGGAAAAGCTAGAACGAAACGTCAAATATGCCACAAATTATGGCGCGCTGTTCGAGTTGAACGCCGCAGCATTGAGGAAAGGTTGGGAGGCTTCCTACCCTGGTGAAGACGTGGCACAGGTGAGTCCTCGCCGTTGTCATCCAGTGTGCTTCTCTGAAACATCCAATAATCATCACAGCTCATCCTCAAGCATGGCGGACGCTTCGCCCTGTCGGATGACAGCCATGGGCCACATGCAGTCGGTTTGAATTACGATCGCATGGCTCGGTATGTCCAACGACTGGGGCTAGACGAGCTGTGGGTGCTTGAGCGGTCCGAGAGTGCCAATGTGGGAGGCCGGTTTGTCCAGCCGCGCAAGGTGGATGGGAAGTGGTGGGAGCATCCGTTCTGGAAGACGCGTGGGGTCGAGCTCGGACCAACAGCGTGAGCGAGTGTGCGCGGTTGTGGTCGTACATACCGTAGATCGTTGAGTAGAATCGATATTCATTCGCGTGATCGATCAGTCAAATACCGCCCTGAGTCTGAGACGATCGCTCAAACCAGCCAGCAGCCTCGACTCGCCACACATCTCCGCCACCATGAACTTCGGAAAGCCACTCACTCCCGAACAGACTGCGGCCTACCTCCGCACCCTCCCCGCCATCCGCGAGCGATGCGGTCGTGTGCATGCCCTCGCGAAGGAGGACAAGCTCGAGTACTTCACATACCATCCTGAGAAGGAGGCGGATGTGGCGGCGTTCTGTGTGGACATCATGAAGGTGCGCTTGACCGGACGACCATGGCGGCGCTTCTGCTTATCCCGCAATCGCACAATGTTAGCGTGACTTTGGGAACAACTTCGCCTCAGTGAGTAGATTCGCGAATGCTCGTCTGTCTCCTATTCACTCTGACTCGGCACCCTGTAGATCCCGCCTCACGGTCGATGGCGGCACCTAGATGCAGGTCGACCCCGTGTGGAGCCCCTCATCAGTAAGTGGAAGGCGTCGGCAAGTCCTCCCGATGACAAGGAGATCACCAAGCGACTCCTTGACCTGTTCCTCGTATCTGTCCTCCTCGACGCTGGCGCCGGGAACAGCTGGACCTACCATGAATCCGAGTCCGGTCTGAAGTTCTCCAGATCTGAAGGTCTCGGGGTCGCCAGTATCAACATGTTTGAGGAGGGATTCTTCTCCTCGGATAGCCAGAACCCGCACAGAGTTGATGGTATGCATCCTCGTGATACAGACCTTCTACTGCATCTAATCGTTTGAACCGGTCAGCGGAGGGCTTGTCGCGCATCACCCCAGAGCAAACTGCTTCTGCTATGCAAGTGAGCTCAGGCAACCCGATGGTAGGTCTGAAAGGCCGCTCGTCGTTACTTGTCAACCTCGCCGACGCTCTACGAGCAAATTCAACATATTTCGGAAGCAGTGCGAGGCCAGGGAACATTCTCGGTCAGTGCGACCTGTTCAATGCACTAGACGTACGCCAATATGACATCCCTCTAGACTTCCTCGAGTCCGAGTCGAAGCCAGAGGGGCCAACGCGGAAAGTGCACATCTTCTCTTTGTGGTCGGCTCTCATCGAAGGCCTTGCGCCGATCTGGCCCAAGACGCGGACATCGCTGGGTGGTGTCTCACTGGGCGACGTATGGCCCTGTGACGCGCTCAAGTCGACGGCGGTGGCGGAGGGAGACGAGCTCGTACCATTCCACAAGCTTACTGGGTGGATCACATATAGCCTTGTTGAGCCCATCCAAAAGGTCCTAGGTTGGAAGATCGAAGGCATCGAGCACATGACAGGGCTGCCTGAGTATCGGAACGGTGCGTGACGTCGATGCCGGGCGTGCTAATTGAGCTCATCGCCATTCCATGCTTCGGTAGGCGGCTTGCTCGTTGATCTCGGCGTGCTGCAACTGAAGCCGGGCGCTCTGCCCTCCTCGTTCTATCCTGATGCTAGTTCTGGCATTCCCAAGCTGCCGCCTTCTCACCCAGCCATCGTTGAATGGCGTGCCATGACCGTCATTGAACTGTATGAAGTCCGAATTATCTTGGAGGAGCACGCGCTGATGCTAGCCCACTTGCAGTGACCGAATAGCTGATGCTATCCGCCAGAACCTTAGCCTGAGCCTGGCTGAGCTGTCGCTCGCGCAGGTTTTGGAGAGCGCGACGTGGAAGGGCGGGCGCGAGATCGCGAAGCAGAAGCGGCCCGCCACGGGCGGTCCGCCGATTGATATCGAAAGCGACGGTACGGTGTTTTGAAGCGGCTCGAGAACATGGTCGGGCAACAAGAGCATTACTCTGCTATAATGCAACTCGTAGGGTTCTAGACAGTCGGAGCTGTATGCGACCCTCGGTAAATCTGTGGTAATTATTGTATAGATGTGACGGCGACATCATCAACTCTTTTTATCGATACAAATCGACTACGTTGGACATACGTAGTAAGCAAAATGGTCGTTACTAATACACAGGGGTGGAGAACGAAGGATGTATCACGGCATATGAGGAAGCTAATACAGAAGGCGGCGACGAACAAACGAAGAGACTCCCGCTCCCTGGTCTATGGCTGCAGCGTTCCATAGGAGCACAAGACACCGACATCAGTACGCTATCGTGACTGTATTCGAAATGTACGCACCGTAGGAATAGCGCTTGCGACGATCAACCTCTGTAAGAGGAAGACGGGGGCGCTGAGAAGGCATACATGCGGGCACCCTGTTGCAGAAAATATTGCGTCAACGGCGTTTGAGCTGGGTGGAAAAGAACACATTCCGGAGTAGCTATGAGTTTCAGTCTCCTGACAGACATTGACATGCTGCCTACCAGGCGCAGTGTATCCTTCCCGCGGGAGCACGTCGAATGGCAGGGACCGAGCGTGCGCCAGAGCCACACCAGCTCTCTGGCTGCTCATGAACTCGGGTAAATCCGCTCTGCTATAGGCGTCAATGTCGATAGGCGTAGTGGACGGAGAAACGTGCCATTCACCTTGGTATTCTGAGGAGCGTTACGCAAAGCTGGTATTGACCCTGTCTGCGCACGCTGACATCGGGGAACAGAAAATATACCCCCTGCCGCCCTTGGAGATTGCGTAGTATGTGCGGAGAAGAGACGAGATTCCCGTAGAGCAGCCGTGGGGCGCTCGTATGTCCCGACGGAGCCTCAGCTGGTACGGCGTCGTAAGTAGATAGGATGGAGACTTGCGCCACAAGGAATGAAAGATCGGGATCACTTCAGGCGACTCAGTCATGCGTTCGACGAATATTGCAGGGGACTCACTCGACTATTTCTGCGTCAGAGTGATCTGGCACCACAAGCCGGGCGATCAACGGTGGTGCCAATGGTAGACGGGTGAGAGTTGCGTCTCCGAATTCAGCCGTTTTCACAGGATGTTGTACTATCTCGATAGAGTAAGATCTGCCTATGTCAGCGAGCGTATGTACTCTATGAGACTTGACATACTTTGAATTACTACATGGTCCCGAAGATGCAGTTTTCGGAGTCGCCTGGCTAGTCGAGTATGGTTGCGTACGGTGGCTGCTTCGTTGAGAAGCACTTTTACTGGTTCGGATTGGGTTGCAGCTGGCCTGGGAGGCTCGAAGGCTGGCCTGTGCAGATATGACCGGCTTCTTGTCGTCTGCAGGAGTGTTGCGGCGCCCAGTTACAGGGGAAGTTTGAACACCTGAACCTGCGCATGCTGCCTTGTCCTGGAGCAATGCTGACTCCCAAAAGACAAACACCGTCGGTGAGCCCCCTATTTACACGTGTATGTTGGCTGACGAGGACTGACAAGACCTTGATGGCTACGTACCTTCGCCATTCACAGATATGTGGACCGATCCCCGTAGCGAGCGACATAGACGGAGACCTCCATGCCTACGTGTGCTTTGCCGGCCATGCTGCGTCAAGGTAGCCGCGGTAGGAAATATAAGGCGAAAAAATGCGGACTCTTCTGTCAATTCTGTCAAAATGTTTGGCGGCTTGTCTGATATCACTGTTTCGGTAGAGGATGACGCTAGACATATGGTCATATTCTGGAGCATAATTCATCCCCTGGTCGCGACGGCAACGAGAGGAGCGAGGAGCGGACTGGGGGGCACAACAGCGAGATTCAACAGATCCCTAGGTTCGGCACGGAGGTCGCACGAACGGATGGCAAGACAATAACAGCGTGAGCCGCGTGGCATAAATACCCAGAGGATGGGAAGCGCAGAGAGCTCCTTTGGGCATTGACGCACAACCCAAGTCGGCCCCCAGGACTCAGAAAACGCGGCGGCATCGCAGTCAACGGCGCCGGATCGACCGTACGTCAGGCGTGAACTGGGCTGCTCGAGCTTAAGGGGACAATCGCAAGTGATGCGGATCGGATCTGAGCGGTGAACTCACAGATGGTAATTAGGTATATTAGACGTGTAAGTACTAGGTTCAGACACTGCGCTTGACGTAACTCCAGAGGCCCGCAGACGAAGCAACCAGGGTCGCTGCTGCCAAGGCGGGGCGGACGCCAGCTAAAGGACAAAATGAGTTTCCATAGATTTCAGAGGCTTCATATACCTACCTGTTGACTTGTACAGTGCACCTGTCAGCGCGCCAGCTGCCATGCTGCCCAACGTGTCATGTTGGCCTCGCACATGGTCAATTGTCGAGTTGAGGGTGTTGTAGACAAGTGCTGCAGGATAGGATGGATGAGAACAAAAAGTAAGACCAAATAGGAAAGGTGACTAACCGAGGACACCCGCCGAGTTGCCAATGAAGGTACCGCGCCGGGTTACGGAGTTTAGGACGCTGTTGACACGCAGCCTCGCGTTTGAGACTGCTAGGGGTCTTCGAGCGCCTTCACGCAAGCCCCACACACCGCCCAAGGCGAGACCTGAGAGAAAGTGCGGTCAGCATGTGATGGTGCAAAGACAATAAGGAGGTCGTCCAAGATGGTATGTAGCATGAGCCGGGAGTTCGGAAGGGCCACGAGTGTCGAAGAAGACATGGGGAAGGCCGCAGCATGGCAGGACACGCACCGGAAAGATACATCGTCCCGGTACCATAACATAGGTCATCACTCCAACCCCTTGATGGAATTGCCGTGCCCGAGCCCGGAAGGTCGCTTGTCTTGTCATCCTCCAAGAGTAGATAGTCTAATTTGTCCTCTATAGCAGCCAACGGGTGCAGTTTTGTGGGATCGTATGAGCCGAGTAGGACGTCAGCAGCGGTGACCGGGCTGTCTGCCGAGGATGTCCCCTCCGGATGGGAGAAGCTGGCATTGCGCAGCACTGAGGTAGGATCCTGACTAGAGCTACTTGATGGGTCCATGGGGACGGCGGAGGGGTTGTGGACGGAAGACGGAACGTCGAGGTCGCTGGCAGAGGCTGCAGCATCGGGCGCCTCGCCATCACCCGTCACAAATTCTGAATCCACGTGATGACATATCGAACTTCCGGCGCTAAACCGCAAGACGAGTCACGACGCAAGTTGGGGACCATCATTTTGAATGATACAAGTACTGACGCGGGTCAGTACAAGTTGAAGAGGAACATCTCGCGAGAAATGTAACTAATTTAATTCCGCCTTGCGGACGGACGTAAGAGCGTCGATTGTCTCCGATGATGCGTCGTCCAATGTGGTGCAACCGCGAAATGCAATAATCTATAACTCGACTAACAAACCTCGGCCATCGTCTTGTTCAACAAAACTGCGGACAACCGCTGCTACCTCGTTATCGACATCCGTGAGGTTGCTCTCCTTCCGCGCAATCTCCATATAAACCTGAGCTTGGTCGGGCTGATCAATGATCTCTAGTCGGCGTTTGGCGACGTGCCAATGTTGAGGATTCTGTCCCCGAGAGAACACCTCAGATACGTCGTGATCACTATTAGTCATGTTAAAACATGATTCATGGATGAGTAGTGTGTACGTCTTGTTACGCACGATTGGAACATCTGCTTCGCATGATACAGCTGCTCGGAATTCTTAGGCAGCGGGCGAGATGAGGAAACGGTGTATCCGTTCACCGCCAGTACGTGAGCGCTTTGCGGCTGCAGTATGTTCGTCGCTGACGGCAACATCGACTTCTCACTGGCCCTGGGCAATATAGTCAATGCGCGCATCGGCCGTGATGATCGGAAAACTGACGCTTTGGTTTGCTGACGGTTTGACTCTTCCCGCAGATAATCTACCATCTTCATGCTTCGCGGTATGAGCTCCGATGGTTCATGACCTTCGACATCGGACAAAAAGACAACTGTCAGACCATCGCTCTAGGCATCATCAATGCCTTTGTTTCCAGCAGACTTAGCGAGCGCGCGCACCGTGAATTGCCAGACACGTCGTCTACGGGTAACGAGAAGGTCAGCGGAATTGGCTAGATGGATCGTACTTGGCCGTAGTGTTGGTGCAGGAGATACCGGTGGAGATTTCTCCGCCACGTCAACATCGAGGGATTTGTGCATGACTGAAAATGCTGGTGAGATCGCTTGAGCGTCGTCGCGATCGGCGGGAACCTCTTGATTTGGTGCTTCAACTTCATCTGCTTTCGGACTCTCTTCGTCAGGTTTCTCCTCTTCTTCCGCCGGTAATCCTGCGATGGACAGATTCGGTGAGAGGTGTTGTGGGGTGTAGAGGGCCTCTTGCAGAGATTCCCGATCTACGTCTATAGACTTGCGCTGCTCCGGAACGTCCAGATGTCCATCACGTACTTCAATCTCGAAGGTCTCGCTAGAACCAGACTCCGCTGTAGATGCGCTCTCGCTCGTTTGAGGATCTGCTGGCGAAGGCGGTACATCGGGCGCCTTCGTCGCCGTTCCCTTTCCGAACGTGAGGTAACCAGGCCATCCCCACTTCAGCTGACGCGGATCCATGGCACGAGTCACACTTGACATCGTCACAAAGCTGGACAGGGCAGCTGATTCGACCGATTTCTGAGTCACTTGGGCGACAATGCTTGGGTCGAGGCCGCGCGACGTGATGCTCGCAGGCGCAACTGCCGAATCTCTTGTGGCTTGCTCGACTGGGGGATCCGGAGGGGCTACGGGTTGTGCGACGACAGCTGGTGGGATACGCGAAATGACGTGACGAAGAAGTGAGGGGGGTAGTTGACGGGAAGTTAGGGTCGTCGGGGGTATAACGTATGGGGGTTCGAGTACGAACACAGACATTTCATCCAGCAGAACCTTCGCAAAGTCATCGACAATAGGTACGAGGGAGGGTGCCATCGGGTGAAGACTAGAGCCTGAATACGCCCATCAGCGACGCACAGAGGTCACATAGAAGCCGGCATACCGAGGTCGGCAGAAAAGTCAGTATGCTGCTCGATATCCCATCTCCACGCCCAAACCGTGAAGAACCGTTCGAGTTGAAGCTCTAACGCCTGTTGACCTAGGCTGGTTAGGATGGAGGTGAAGGAACCATGAATCAACTGAGCAATTAGGCAGCAACGTATGAACAAGTGTGACTTCACAAAGAAGGGGGTCATACCTTGAAATCATCGTAACCACGCATGATATGGGAGCGAAGTGCTACGTCATGTACAGAAGAATCGTGGCATTCGTATATCTGCTCTTGAGCAGGCGATTCGCCGCTCTTCGCTTTCTCCTTCGCCTTTCCTTTCCTTTTGGAAGGAGCAGACCGAGGGGTTTTGGCGAGTTCTATGCACTAATGGATATCTGCAGGTTCAGTAACTGCGATGTAACATAGCCGCACGTCGTCGAGCGATGCCCATACTCACTGCGTGGATCCAGTAGTCAGGCTCGGTTTCAATCGTGATCATTCGCCGAGTCTGCGAGTGCACGTTCTCGCACGCCTGTTCTGAATTGAACATGCTGTGTACAAGTCTTACGAATGTGAGTCATTGCAACGGCATCGGATGCTTACTCTGAGAAGTTGACTAGGGCCTTCGCAAGCCCGACTTGTCTGAGCATTCGGTCGCGTGAGACGGCTCGCTCCCGAGCGGTATAGAAGAGTATTTGAGCCTGCTCCTCTGCATCCTCATCGTCCGGTGAAGTGAGCGACGCGGGTCGAAGACTTGTGTTATATATCGTGAGGTAGAGCAAGCCAGGCGGAATTCTGCTCATACCACAGCCGAGAGCGTGATTGACTTCACTGAGGCAAGAGCTTGACAAAGCAGGGGCCTAATACGGCCTCCGATGCACAGCAGGAGGGCTCTTTGAGCGTAGGATCACTGGTAGCGAGCCTGAGAGTCGGTCCGGAGTGAGGTGGGTGAATGTCAAGGCCAAGTCGAGGGGTACAGTAATGACTGTTAACGGCGAGGACTGGGGCATAGTGACATTGAATGGTCACCTGACGTCGCACTTATGCACTGATAATCAACGATAAATGACCCATTGAAAGCCTGCTTAGTAAGGCCTTGAAGTCGCGTAGAGCGGCCACGCGTCCGTGTTTGAAACGCTCTACACGGTGCTCTTGACGGGACCGGCTTCACTCGCTTTCTTTTCTATCCGCGTCCATTATAGTGCTATGCTCACTCCCCCATCTCCTTCTTCCTCTCCTTCCCTGAGCCCCAAAGACACCGTCAACACTCGCAAAAGACAACGTTCCCAATCGATGCAGTCTGAGCCCTCTTCATCCTCCCCAAAGCGGGCCGTCTCCGAAGACCCTTCGCAGGATAACGTGCGGGCGTCCCAGTCGCAAGGGGTCTCATCACTTTCCATCCAAGACTCAGACGTTGATGCGTACATGGCGGAACAAGGAGAGGACCCGTCTACGAATATCCTTGGGCCTTCGAATACGATGGCCACATCTTCGCCAGAGGAGAGGCTGAGCTCGGTGGGGTCTCTCATCCAAGCACCTATGCGTGTCGGTGATACGTGGCACGTCGTCTCGAGCTCATGGTATCGGCGATGGCGGAAAGCCATGGCGAAGGAGGTCGACAAGGAAGGTCCGGTCGACGAAAAAGACCTCGGTCCAGTCGACAATACCGATATTGTAGTGGCTGGAGGAGAGATTATTAACCAAATACTGAGTGCAGACGATTATGTCTTCGTTCCGGAACAAGTATGGACGTGGTTCACCGAGTGGTAAGTGTCAGCTCGACACAATCACTGCTGCAGTGCTAACTTCCCGCAGGTATGGCCAAGCTCGGTACGAGCTACCCCGTAAAGTCATAGGGCGGGGTGATCAGTCGGAACCCACCCTCGAACTCCATCCGCCACGGCTCAAGGTGCATGTCCTCACGAGCAATGCTGTTCCAGGCGTTAGTATGCCACCGCACTTCGTGGCTGTCTCAGTCAAAGACACAACCGAGGACCTTTGGGAAAAACTCGCATCGTCTGTAGCCCCTGGCGATTCACGTCACCTTCGGATCTGGAGACTACCGGAGGGCGATTCGTCTTGGGATCAACTATCTTGCAGTCCGGAGCAGCTGAAGCAACGCGGCGGGACGATGCTCAGTCGTACTCAATCAACGGTAGAGGAAGAGCTCATAGAGGCGGGGGATTCGTTCGTCGTAGAATTCAAGGAAGACGAGAAGTGGATTGTCGATGCGAAGGAAGTCCCCGCCCAACCTGGTGGCGCATCGACCTCGAACTCCCAATCAACTGTGACACAAATCACACCGAAGCTTTTCGGTGCGGAAGCCGACTTCTTTGACCTGATTCAGGCGAGAACTTCCCCGACAAGTGTGAGCAACGTCGCATCGTCTCCTGCGAAGGCGTTTCTATCGAATGCGTCAAATAGGATCGGCTCCTCTGCTGTCGCCACACGATCCAAAGGTGGGGGATCGGAACCAGGTACCCTCGGGTTGGGAAACATGTAAGCGCAGATACATCCGATACTAGCCCCGCTCACCACTTCTTCAGGGGCAATACATGCTTCATGAACTCCGCGCTACAATGCTTGGTACACACCAAGGAACTCGCGGACTACTTCCTCAGTGGGTCGCAGCAGTATTATCGGCCAACCTGAGATTTATTGATGCTTGTCCAGCCGGTGTCTTCGAGGAGGAGCTTAACCCTGATAACCCTCTCGGCATGGGCGGCGCTATCGCACAAGCTTTTGGTGCATTATTGCAGCGCATCTGGACGCCGGGTTCCGGCAGCACATCCTACTCGCCTCGAGAATTCAAGCAAGTGTTGTCACGCTTCGCTCCCCAGTTCAGTGGCTATCAGCAGCACGATTCACAAGAATTGGTCGCGTTTCTCCTTGACGGGCTGCACGAGGATCTGAACCGAGTGTTGAAGAAGCCGTATGTGGAGAAGCCCGACTGGGAAGGTGGGGGAGACAAGGAGTTGGTCCAGCTTGCAAACGAGTCGTGGCAAGGCTACATGAAACGGAACGACAGCGTCATCGTCGATCTCTTCCAGGGACAGTATCAAAGCACGCTCGTCTGCCCAGAATGCTCCAAGGTACAGTACAGTCCGTACTGATGTGTCCTACAGCCGTACTCAGGCGACCAAATGCAGGTCTCGATAACCTTTGATCCGTTCATGTACCTCACGCTTCCCTTGCCAATCCAGAAGAAATGGCGGCACAATGTCTATTACATACCGTGGGATGTGACGAAACCCCACGTGAAGGTGTGTAACGAGTGTGAGTTTCGCTTTTCTGCCTCTTAACGCTCGGACAGGTTCCTATAGAGATCAACCGGGATGCATCGTTCAAAGAGCTACGGCAGCTGCTGGGACGGTGGATGGAAGCCAACCCAGACAATGTATGTGTATCTTGTCATAGGCGTGAAGGCGTGAATGTACTAACGGCAGGATAGCTGTTGACGCTGGAAGTATTCAGTCATCGATTCTACAAGAACCTGGACGACACCGTCCTGGTGGGAGACATGGCCGACAACGATATCATAGTCTGCTTCGAACTTCCTTGTCATGCTCAACAGAGCAGGACGTACAAGCCCAGTCCTGAGGACCCCTTCATTCTTCCCGTCGTTCTGTGCGACACGAACACGCCTAAGCGGTCGTTCGGCCGCAGCCAGAACCTCTTCGGGTATCCCTTCGTCGTTGTTATCACGCATCAGCAGGCGATCGACCCGGACGCTATGTACGACGCCGTCGCCGATCGCTTGCAGCGGTGGACGGAGAACGTCCGCGACCTCTTCACTTGGGAGGCGGGCTCTCCGTCGTCCATGGAGCCCGTTCAGATCCCTATCGCGGGTATGCCAGCTGCAGACTCGCTTACGGAGATCATCCCAAACGGCGACGTGATCACTGTCCACGAGACGGCACCGGAGGAGGGCGACATCACTGACGAGAAGGGCACTATGGTCCAGGACGACGAGAACATGGACGTCGAACTCGATGGCGAACCACGCAAGATTGGGTTCAAGCGCAACATCTTCAAACTCTATGTCCAGGCTGGGAACGAGAAGTTTGGCACGGGCATCAGTCACAATTCTAGCCAGGGCTTCGATTCGTTCGAGCAGCGCATGGAGATAGCGAAGAATATGTCGGGCGAGGATTCGACTCCCGAGCTCTTGCAGGAGGGTGACGCCTTCTTCTGCGAACTTGACGAGAACATGAAGGATTACTACTTCGGTGGCGACCGCCTGAAGTTCGAACATACGAAGTGGAGCAGCTGGACGGAGTTCGTGCATCCGGAGTACACTGCGGGTCGGGAAGCGGCTGCTGCCAAGAAGACCCGCGGGATCTCGTTGCAAGACTGTCTGGATGAGTTCACGAAGGAGGAGCAGCTTGGCGAGGACGACCTGTGGTACTGCCCGCGGTGTAAGAAGCACCAGCAGGCGACGAAGCGGTTCGATCTGTGGAAGGTGCCAGATGTTCTTGTCGTACATTTGAAGCGCTTCAGCAACAGCCGGACACTTCGAGACAAGATCGACGTCCTTGTTGACTTCCCTGTGGAGGGCCTGGACATCTCAAGCATGGTCGGCGAGCGCCAGGTCGCTGAGCGCCTGAAAGAGCAGGGTGTGGACATCACACAGCTTGACTTGGGCGACACCGAAGAACCGCTGGTGTATGATCTCTACGCTGTTGACGAGCACATGGGTGGCTTGGGCGGCGGACATTACCGTGCGTACGCGTACAACCACGTCACCGACAAGTGGTACCACTTCGACGATTCATATGTCACCCCTGCCCACGCTGACGCTTCTGTGGTATGTGTCTTCGCTTGTATATGGTGATGATAGGTGATCTGACGCCGCCGTGCAGAACGCCAACGCCTACCTCCTCTTCTATCGCAGACGGACAAGTCGACCTATTGGCGGCAAGAGTCACGAGAAGATCGAGGCCGCTCGACAAAAAGCCGCGGAGCTGCCTCAGCTTGAAGAGGACAGCGTCGTTCAGCTGCCCACACCTCCGTCGGAATCCAACCAGCTAGACGCTCTTCCTGCGCAGAGAGATTCAAAGCTCCCGTTTTTCACGGCATTGTCCCTTGTGGCGGACTCCTACAACAACGGCTGGCCGACACCCCAGTCAAACGCACGCTCGTCCCCCGCTTCGTCCCCGCCTCCGCTCGATGACGGCGAGCCGCCGTCGTTCGATGACGCTCAGTACGACGACCTCGTGCAGACCCCGCTCGACCCGCTCGCACTGGCTACACATCAGTTCGAGTTCCCCGATCCGTCGTCGTCGTCCAGGAACTCGCCCACGTCGTCTAACGAGGCGGAGCCCGATCCGGACCTGGACGGCAAAGACCCTTTAGAAGGGTGGTCGGGCGGTGATCTTGCGAGTCAATTCGGCGAGACTCGAACGATCTCCATATCGTTCGACGAGTCCGACGACGATGTGCCAGCAAGGGGGCCGAGGGTGAAGGGGGTGAATCGCGGCTTGCAGACGATGCTTGGCAGCCAGATGTCTGTGTCGGATGACGAGACGGATCCGTCTGCCGCCGTCGGAGAGGCGAGCAGCGCCATGTCGGATATTGACACGTAGGTATGAACCGGACGATGCTGTCGGTAGCTGTCGTGCCGCAGCAACGGGCGTTGCACACGCACGCACGGGTAGATTGGCAGAGGACTCTATGACTCACGACCATGATCGACAACACCTATACTAGTATTGCATGTATGATAGACCAGATGCGTGTATTAAGCTACGACGTCAAACGCTTTGAACAATGCACTAAATTAGGATGCCCGGTCCAGGCGTTCTGACTGACCTCCGTTCGCGACATTGGACGTACGTGCAGTACGTACGAACTCAAAGGCCTCGGTCGAACCCATCTCCACTGCGACCTATGTTTACCTGTGGACGAACTGGACTACGAGTTATTGCCACTGCTCTGGATGGACCTGGCCACTGCTGGAGACACCCACAGATTGCGACGATGTCTGCAATGTAGACGGTTGTTGAGCAAAAATAGCGCAGAGGGCCTACGGGCGGCTCCAGCCCTCTATTTCCATCTCATTCCGCTCGTACAGACTGCAATCTGGGCGATTGGCCTTCGAGATACGGCGATGTGCCTCTGCACGCGCGCGGACCGTGACGCGCCAAAGGGTGCGGTGCTCGAAGTACTGTACATGTTTGCAGTGATTATTCTTGGAAACATATGGAGATTGCCCCTGCAGCTGCTGTCGTGTCTGTCACGGCATTGCTATTCATTGCATCATGTTCGGTGGTACACGCGTTCTACTCATGATGAACGAGATCAGAAAGGTGGGCCGTTCACCAGTTATGCGCTGGAGCTCGTCGTCCAGATGATGCTCTTCGGGATACGCAGGTACAACCTTCTCCACGAAATCCTGCCAATGTCATTCCGCCTGGGCACTGCCCATCCCATGCTGTCAATACTACATACCAGACATATACACAAGTCTACAGTTTGCAAGACCTGAGGCCTGAGGGCGTACGGATGCAGGAGGGGTCGAGGGACGTCCGGATGGCCGGGGCGCATGAGAGGGGCGCGGCGGGTCTGGTGCCTCGGGACACCGCGACGTCGCGGTCACAAGCCTATCTTCTCGTCTCACGAAGTAGCTGCTTAGGGGCCGGCGGGACGCGCCGTGGTCTGTGCTGGTATATAACGGCCCGTCGGTGAGCGCAGGACGACACAACATCCACTCTCCACCACTACAGCCAACTGGTCTCTGCACGGTCGCCCGGTCATGTCTGTACAATGTGCGTATCCGCATGCCCGCTCACGGTGTCTACGGTGACTTATGCGGCGATGTACCACGGTGCAGCGAAACACTTTCTGAACGCCCCCGAGAACCTCGTCGTAGAGTCGCTGCAGGGCCTCTGCGCCCTCAACCCGCAGATCGCACTCGACGTCGCGGATAAAGGTGAACGTGCCCGCCCTCGCCCTGTCGCCGTCGACTGACTTGAGACCCCTGCGCAGTGGTGTATGTGGCGAAGCAGGACCGCTCGAAGGTCGCGCTGATCTGCGGAGGCGGGTCGGGGCACGAGCCTGCCCACGCAGGCTATGTCGGTGCGCACCGCGTCTGTCTCTCGCGCGACGATGTCATGCTAATGGCCGGGTGCAGGCGACGGGATGCTGACCGGTGCGTCCTCCGTCCTGTGTCCCGCGCGCTACTCACCTCTTCACAGCTGCCGCGTGCGGTACCGTCTTCGCCTCACCCAACACAAGCCAGGTCCGCAGGGCCATCGACCTCGTCGAGAACGAGCAGGGGTGCGTCGTGCTTCTGCCGTCCGGTCTTCGCCGCGCTCAATCACGCCCTCGTCCTTCGCAGAACCGTCATCATTGTCAAGTAAGGTTTCCATTCAAGGTGCGAGGCATCGCACGAAGCTGACGAGTGCGGCCGTGCAGGAACTACACCGGCGATATCCTCAACTTCGGTCTCGCCAAGGAACAGTACGCCGCGCAGCACCCAGAAAAGTCGGACAAGGTCAAGTTCGTGATCGTCGGTGACGACGTCGCAGTAGGCAAGACCCAGGGCAAGATCGTCGGCCGCAGGTACGTCGCGCCTCTTCCCACTCCAAGGAGACTCTGAGTCCCACCCCGCTTCGCCTATCGCAGAGGCCTCGCGGGCACCTGCCTCGTCTACAAGATCGCCGGGGCCCTCGCAAAGCGCGGGGGGAGCCTCGACGAGGTGTACGCCATCGCGGAGTACGTCGCCGCACACGTCGGGACGATCGGCGTCGGGCTCGAGCACTGCCACGTCCCGGGCACGGCCGCGGGCGACTCGCACCTCGCGCCGTCCGAGATCGAAATCGGGATGGGCATCCACAACGAGCCGGGCAACCGCCGCCTCGCGCCGGTCCCGCCCCTCGCGGACCTCGTCCCCCAGCTCCTCGACCTCCTCACGAGCACGACCGACCCCGAGCGCAGCTTCGTGCCGTTCAAGGGGAAGGACCGCGTCGTGCTGTTGGTGAACAACCTGGGGGGGACGAGCGAGCTCGAGCTGCCCGGTGTGGTGAGGGAGACGAGGGCCGCGTTGGACAAGCAGGGCTTTGTGATCGAGCGGGTGCTTGCGGGAACGTTCATGGTGCGTGTTGCGTGTCTTGCGGATCCGCGGCCCCTGAGCTCGCGATGATACAGACCAGTCTGAACATGCCCGGCTTCTCCATCACACTCTTGCTCCTCCCCGACGGCTCGGACTCGTCTGCACCATCCGCGGAGTCGCTCCTCTCCCTGCTTGACGAAAAGCCCGACGTCCCAGGCTGGAAGTGGGCTTCCGCGGCGGCGCCCGCTCCGCCCGCCGAGCAGATCAAGCAGACGGCGGGAACGCGCCCGGCAGGCGTCTCTCAGAGCACAAAGCTGCGCGTAGAGGATGCGAAGGCGTTCGACGCGGCAGTGCGGAGGGCATGCAAGGCGATCATAGAGGCGGAGCCGGAAATCACCAGGATGGACAGTATCGCAGGTGACGGTGACTGCGGGCTGACACTGAAGGACGGTGCGAACGGTGCGTGGATTGTGCGGGGTGGTGCGCGGAGGAAGCTGACAGCGTGGGCGTGCAGGCGTGCTCAAGGCCCTGGAGAGCGGCCAGATCACGGGCGAGGACGTCGTCGGATCTGTCATCGCGGTATCGAAGGTGGCAGAGGAGCAGATGGGCGGAACGAGCGGAGCGCTCTACTCGTGAGTTCTACGAGCAGGGTGATCATGCATCTCTCCGGGCACTCACGATCGTGCCTAGGATATTCTTCTCCGCGCTTGCGCAGGGCCTGCAGACGCACCACAGCGGCGCGAGCACGCTGAGCCCTGTTTTGTGGTCGGCCGCGCTCTCGTCCGCGCTGACGAAGCTCTACACGTATACGCGCGCGCGGCCGCCGTCGCGCACGCTCGTGGACCCGCTGGACGCGTTCGTGAACGCGCTGGCGTCGTCGCGGGGCGCGGACCTGACGGGCGCGGTGGACAAGGCGGGGGCAGCGGCGCTGCAGACGCGGAATCTGGAGGCGAAGGCGGGGCGGAGCGCGTATGTCGAGGGCGACAGGCTGAAGAAGGAGCACATCGCGGACCCGGGAGCGTGGGGTGTGAAGACCATCCTCGAGGGCTTCGTCGCGAGTGCGTGAGCGCGTCGCGATAGCGGCGAAGAGCGGGATCGAGGCATGGGCCAGTGGAGAAGCTCTGTGATATCGTGTATTTCTAGGCGGCGCGCGGCGTTGTGTAAAATATGGGCGTGCCAAGTGTTTGGACATACTTATGTAGCGAATGAAATTTGTCGAAACATAATGGTTGTCAGCGCGCAATGCAAGCGCAGACAGATGCTCCGTACCACGTCTCGGACATTGTCAAGAGGTGTCGTACCGGGAGGCTCAACGGCGCCACAGGGGCGCGAGAGTGATCACATTGCTATAGTAGGCTATGGCTGATCGAGAGAAGGTTGTCGATTGAGTCGGGACGTTGCGTTGATCTGGATCTGGCACCCTCTCCGCGCCCTTCTCCGCTTCGTACGGACACGCCCTCAGCCAATCGCCGGCCATGCTGGGGTACACCGTCCTGCACGCGGAGTCAACGCAAACTTCGATGTCAGGTTGGGAAACCCGTAGTCCATGGTTGGACGACGTGTAACCGCGCCGCCGTCCACGTCCGATAGACGAATAGTGCCCGCGAACAGATCGTCCTGTACGAAGCCGCCCCGCTGCGCATCCCAGGGGGTAAATTTCGTGATGGGCCCCCGCATGGGGCCCCACATCGCGCGACGCTAGACAGGAAATGGCGGGGCGGGCCATCGATGCACTGGCAGGCGTGGCTGCGAAGAAGGCGTGAGCCGTCAGAATCGCACGGCGCTGGGCAGGATCATGGAACCTCGAGCACCGTGGGGCGCGGGGATCGGGGCCTGTCGCGCGAGTAGGTAAACGGCGACGTGGGGGATCAGATGGACGCGCGTGCACCACTCTCAGACGCACAGCAGGCGTGGGAGGCGGCGGGAGTGTGTTGCCTCAAGGGCTCAGAGGGGGCGCAAGAGGATGTCATTCAACGGGGGAGTGCTGGCTGGGAGCGAGGATCTGTATCTGGCGGTGGAGGATGGCCGCTTCTGCTTCTGGCTGTGCGAAGGCAGCCACCGTCTTCGTTCCCCGCATAGGCGCCACTGCGGGGAAGAATCACATGCATTTGTCTTCGATCCTTCCCTCCGTCCCACTCCCGCAGAGTTTAATTTCTGGACTCTGTCTGAGTCGAAACTCTGTGGCCCTGACAGCTCTCACCGTCCGACGCGGGCAGTGCACCCGTGCGCGAGAACACACCGGGAACCCCGTGGGCTGCCCCGGATCTTCCGCTGCCAGAATATTTGCAGACGAAACCGCGGACAGCGGGAGGAGCTTACGCGCATGGAAGGAAACAGGCACAGTGCAGCCGCGATCGCGAGGCGGGTGCAGTGTGCGCGAGCCGGCGGGCGAACAAACCGTTCAAGCGAGACGAGAGGCTCCGTGCCGCCGTGTGTAAATCGAATGATCGCGTTCGCTCCCTTTGATGAAAGACAGGTGAGCAACCTCTGAGTTGTCCGGCGTGTGCGGGCGCTGGGAGAGGCGGTCAGGTGGCGTACACGGCCAGTCTGAAGATGCTGGGGAATGGAGGCGGTACCGGGAGCCAATCACAGGAGGGCGCACGCGGTCCCAATACGGAAGGCGCCCGGATCTCGGGGCGGACCTTCGATCGGACCGGCGGCTCGATCGAAGCGCGTCCGACGAAGCGACCTCGGAGCGTACCCAGCTCGGTCTGCAGCTGCTCGACGCCCTTCTACACGCCGAGCCGCGATGCAGAGACGCGTCAGCAACGTCCGACGCGTCGAGCAGCGCGTAAACCGCGCGTCCCGTACGCGTGTCTCGTGCGATCACGCTCGGGGTAGACGCGGGCGGGGCAGATGCGGGGTCTGCACGCTTGTCTCGATGGTCGAATGGCGCGGTGCTAGGATGCAATTTTCGCGGGGTGCCTGAACCCGGTGCGTGGAATCCCATCCGCGAGGGACGTCGAGCTGCTGGCCCGGAGGCTCATCGTGCACGCGCGGCGCCCGTCCTAGCGACGTACGAGACGGATCCCGGAACGTCGCGCGCGGAGAAACAGTATGGGCGCGACGTGCGGAATGCAGGGATCCCTCGACATGGCCCGAGCGAGTGCTGTGGGTGTCCTCGCCTGGTCACAAGCAACGGCCGGTAGAGACAGATGTTCGGATCACAGGTGAGGGCCGCATAGCGCTGTTTGGTGGGAGATTGACGGCATGCTACTGCCAAGGCTCGCGGGGGGGAGCAGGCTGGAGGAGGGCCTGCGCAGCGACGAGGCCAGGCGCGGGGCGGGATGCGCTGGCTGGGCGGGGCGGGGGCTGGGCGTGCTGGGCCTGTGGCCATCCCCGGACCCCCACAACCGCCTCGTCTGGGGACTGGCACACGGAACCGTGCCTAGCACCCGATCCCATCTCCCTGATCATCAACCCTCCATGCGGCCTTGGGCGCCCGTCCCATTCGGACACACCTCTCCTACCCGCCGCCCACTGCATATAAAGCCATGCCCGCCTCCCTCCAACGCCGAGTCGTCGTTGTTCCCTCGACACCCACCCCCACCCCCCGCGCGCACCCCGCCCCGCTCCGGTCACCACCACCGCTCTCCCTCACGCAGCCATGCCCGGTCCCATCATCGCGTCCGGCAATGGCATCGGTGCCAATGCCCCCAAGAGCAAGCTTGCCGGCATTGCCATGACCGCCTTCGCCGCCTTTGGGGGTATCCTCTTTGGCTACGATACCGGTACCATCAGCGGTATCATCCAGATGCTCGACTGGTTGAAGCTCTTTGGTGACCCATGCCCCGCCGACATCATCAACACAACCTCGTGTACTCGCGGCTACTACCTCCCGTCACAACGCCAGTCCCTCGTAGTCTCCATCCTTTCCGCGGGTACCTTCTTCGGTGAGCACTCATTGGACGCGTCTTAACGAGTTTGCCCTCATCTCCCCCTCCTCCCTAGGTGCCCTCTTCGGCGCGCCCGTCGCCGATATCCTCGGTCGTCGTCACGGCATCCAGTTGGCCTGCATAGTCTTCGTCCTCGGTGTTGCCCTCCAGGTCGGCTCCCACAACATCGCTACCTTCGTCGTCGGCCGTGTCTTCGCCGGCCTCGGTGTCGGCCTCGTCTCTACCCTCATCCCCATGTACCAGTCTGAGTGCGCACCCAAATGGATCCGCGGTGCCGTCGTTGCAGGCTACCAGTGGGCCGTCACCATCGGTCTTCTTCTCGCGTCCGTCATCAACAACGCGACCAAGGACCGCAACAGCCACGCTGCATGGCGGATCCCCACCTCCATCCAGTTCATTTGGGCCTTCATCGTCTTCACCGGCATGTTCTTCCTGCCAGAGGTGTGTACCTCACGTTCTCCGCATCTCCGTGCCATGTAACTGAGTTTCACCCGTTTTCCCATCAACAGTCACCTCGTTGGCTCGTGAAGCAGAACAAGCACGAGCAGGCTGCCAAGTCTCTCGCTCGCCTCACTAGCCTCTCGCCCACCGACCCCGAGGTCGAGGTCGAGATTGCCGATATCAAGGCCAATCTCGAGGAGGAGCGTGCGCTTGGCGAGAGCTCGTACCTCGACTGCTTCCGCATCACGCACAACAAGATCTGCCTCCGCACCTTGTCTGGTATCTTCATTCAGGCATGGCAGCAGCTCACCGGTATCAACTTCATCTTCTACTGTAAGTAGCCGTTTGCCATCTGTGACGCTGCAGGCTCGTTGACAGCATCGTGCAGTCGGCACAACCTTCTTCTCGCAGGCCGGCATCGCGAACCCCTTCCTCGTGTCGGTTGCCACCAACATTGTCAACGTGGGCATGACCATCCCGGGCATGTGGGGTGTCGAGCGCTTCGGTCGCCGCTCGCTCCTGCTCTGGGGTGCTGCGTGGATGACGATTTGCGAGTTCATCATCGCCATCGTCGGCGTCACCATCTCCGTCGACAACAAGGCTGGCCAGCAGGCGCTCATTGCCCTCACTTGCCTGTACATCGCCGGCTTCGCCTCGACCTGGGGTCCCATTGGTACGTGCTATCTTTGCCCCGGATGGCAGATCACACGCTGACGGACGCTGGCAGCCTGGATTATCACGGGGGAGATCTTCCCGCTCAATGTCCGTGCCAAGGCGATGTCGCTGTCCGTCGCGTCCAACTGGCTCTGGAACTGGGCCATCAGCTACGCGACGCCGTACCTCGTCAACTCGGGCGCGGGCAACGCGAACCTCGGCTCGAAGGTGTTCTTCATCTGGGGCTCGACGTGCGCGGGCGCGTTCGTGTTCACGTACTTCTTCATCCCCGAGACGAAGGGCCTCTCGCTCGAGCAGATCGACCTCCTCTACCAGAACTCGACGCCCATCTCCAGCGTCGCGTACCGCCGGGAGCTCGTCGCGAACGACGTACACGTTGCGGACCACGTCGCGGACCGCCATCACGACGAGAAGGCGAGCGACGAAAAGGTCTGAGCACCCCCCTCGTGTTTATCCGAGGCGGCTGCTTGGTGCTGTTGTAATGAGGCGGAGGAGGCCGCACTGGACGATGGGCCCGATTCCCCTTCGCCGGATATGTTAATGTTGACGACTTTGTAATGTGTAACGATTAGTCTTTTATTTGTCGGGGCTCACGATGTATCACATTGCTATCGAGATACCGCTCATTTTACATCTCCACCCCTCTGGTGTGCGTACGTGAATAATCGGCGGCGAGAAGATATCGACGCAACCACGGCTGGGAATCAGTAATCGTGCCTTCGTATGTGGTATTGTAGACCCCGAGGGTTCGCGTACTGGCAGGAAGTATGCACTCTGCAGTATACTTCCTAGCCGCAATGATCGTATAATGCGGAACATCCTCGGTGTACTGTCAACTTGAATGTGCATACAAGCTTGGATTCTGGCAGAACCTCTGATCTCAAAGCCGGGAGCAATGATTGCAAGCATCATCCTCACTAAGGACGCGACGTCGATGGCAGAGGCCGCCAAAGACGACTGGAAGGCAGAGTCAGGGTATGATGCCTGTATCTTGTCGGATTGCAGAGATGTGACAAGGTCAACCTTCTAGCACGTCGCGCGACTCCCACGATAAGTGTCGTGATAATGCATAACCTGGTTCGCGAGGGGTGATACGGATGTAGGCTGCGGTGATAGCGATGTTCGCGGTCGGGTTGGCATTATGGTTCAACGCGGTGAAGACAGGCGTGAGCTCGAGGCTCGCTAGGATGATAACAGTACAATCTCCGTATCGTACGTATGGTCCGCACCCCTCCCTGCCCATGCGCTCCGCCTCGGGTCCTCCGAGTGGCGTCGCGGTGAGTAAGCGACCTACGGAACTTCCACCGTCCGGACGGGCGCGGTGATAAGTTGACGTGCGTGCCAAGGGAGGAGTTTGGCACTAGTTTGGCGATGGCGTTAGAGTAGAGGACGTGCGGCTAGGTCCGAAGTGCCGGCCTCGGACACTCCACCGCCGCCGATAGTCAGAAAGTGTCGACTAGACGAGCCGTCCATGAAACGCGCTTGTTGGCCAGACGCTGCCTCGAGGTACTGGGACGTGGCCATGTTATTGGACAGATACGCGACAGAGACTTGAGGCACAAGCTAGGCTAGCTTGGCTGTCATCATCATCCGCTCAAAGTCTTGGAGGCTCATCGACTTGTCGGCGGAGCTGGAGAACATCTCGAGCATCTCGACGGTCTAGTTTGGGCAGGAATATCGGAGCGCCCGTCAGCGACCGTTTGCAGCTTTCACACAGAATGCACAGGTACACACCTCCTCTGCAGTGATCTTCTCCTTGAGCAGCTTTGCCGCGCGGGTGATGTCCTTGATCATGATCCTCTGCTTGTCGAGCTGCGAGTCCGGCATGTCAGGGAAGAAGAGAGCGAATGTACGACGGCTTTCGAGGCGTTGTCGGGCGGTGAGCGGATGAGTGCGGGGGTCCCCCGTTTCCTCGTCGTCATCGGATGTCGCGAGTGAACTACGAGGTTTCCGTGACGGTCGTTTGGACGTGCGTATAGTCGCAGACTCCTTGCCCCTGGCCCTGGTAGCGATGAAGCCGCCTTCTTGGTACTCATCGTCAGAAGCGTTGTCCTCTGCATCGGATGGGTCGCCTTCGAGCTCGCTGGCCTCGTACTCATCCTCAGAGTCTGAGCTCTCGAGTGGAGTCAGTTCGCCGCCTTCGTTAGATGCGTCCTCCGCGATAGGGCGCCCGTCATCGACGCCTGTGTCATCTTCGTCGCCCCCAAGCAGGGCGGCACACACGGCTCTCCAGTCCTTTCGACCGACATATGGCTCGTCTGAGGTATCCGGGCGCGAGCGGGAACGGGCCTGGTCTTCCCACCCCGAAGCTGCATGTCTGAAGACAGCGAGGACGTCTTCGTCATCTGGCTGCAGGTCAAGTAGTTGCAAGGCGTGAGGAATGAGTGAGAGCGGAAGTTTGACGTTCGCTTCGTTTTCAGCAGTACCAGAGTCATCGTCTTCAGCAGTGGAATCTGGAACGGAGCCTTCCGGTGTGGCTGCAGTGTCAACCAGGAATCCTCCTGGCTGGTCGCCTCCAGACTCATCATCAAGCAGGAACCCTCCCGCCTCAGGTGCCGCTGCGCCAGTCCCGGGATCGGGATCCGCGTCACGTCTACGACGTTTTCTCGGAGGCCCTGCGACGGAGTCGAGCGCCTCTTCGAAAGCACGGTCAATGCGACGTCTAAGACGAGAAGGCAACGCGGCAAAGCCTGGATCTTCGGGTTCTTGGGAGCCAGATGCACTGGGAAGGGTCTGCATACTGGAATGGTGGACGAGTTCGAATGAAGCCTCGTCCAACGTCGAGGAAAGGAACGAGAATCTGAAGTGAACAACAGGCTAAGTACAGGCTGACAGCCACAATCGCGGGGGCGGTCACGTGCGCACCCTCGACGCGTGGAGACGCGTGACCACGGTTCAACGTGAACCACGACCATCCACCGCGTCGCGCATCACATCGACCCCATCATGCCTCCGACGCGTACGGCCCGCCAGACCACCCAGCGCGAAAACCCCCAATCACGCGACGACGAGGGCGACACTGAGCCCGAGGAGGACGTGCCTACCCCACGACCGACGCTCCGAACGATGTCGAAGAAACGCCTCAGCGACGTCTACGTCCTCGAACATGAAGACAGTTTCACCTCTGATCCTGGACGCGCGCCACTGCAGTCCGTGAACATCAACGACGATATGGCAGAGAAACGCAGGCGACGCAAGTCCGCGAAGGTAGCCACGGCCGTCCAAATCACCGATTCGGCCGAGGCGGGGCCCTCGTCCACTGGCGCGAACGGTGAACATGGTGGCGCAGAGGGGTCTACAACTGCAGCTGCGCAAGCCAGACAGAAACAACAGCTTCTGTCTGTCGCGCAAGCGCCGATCATCAACGTCCCCCTTGACGTGATGAGCTCGAATTTCGAGGAATGGATGAAGATGGCTACAGACAATGTACGCAGACGCTTCACTCACATATTGCGCTGTACTCATCAGGCACGCGCAGAAAATCAATGCCGCCAACTCCTGGAACTTCGCGCTGATCGACTACTTCCACGACATGTCTTTGCTGCGCAACAACACGGATAACTCGATCAACTTTCAGCGGGCATCCTGTACGCTCGACGGATGCGTGAAGATCTGGACGAGCCGTGTAGACAGCGTTGGTACCGAGACGGGAAAGCTTCTTAGCAATCTTGCCAATGAAGGCCGCCCGGACGACGACGACGATGCAGCATTAGACAATCCCGACGGTCAAGAACCCGGACAGAGTCAGCGTAAGCGCAAGGCTCACCGTCCGGAATCCACACTTGCAAAGAATCTTACTCAGCTTCGGAGCAAGAAGCTAGACCTGGAGTTCACTGTTGACCCCCTCTTCCGAAAGACATGTGCGGATTTCGACGAGGGTGGTGCTCAGGGCTTATTGATGAACCATCTCAGTTTGGGCGAGGGTGCTCAGGGTAGTCTGCGTGTGGTCTTTGACGCAAGTGATGCAATGGGTGCAGGCGATGAAGACGACCCGCTCATGGAGCCTGAAGACTTGGTTGACCTGAGCTATCTCCGGAGTGAGCGTTCCGTCATTCGATGCTCTTAACATGTACTCAAATCATCCCCAGAGCAGTTCCTGCCCGATCTGGATGCGCTCGACGACATGGCAATATGTCATTCTCTGGAGGGCTTTTCATTCTCCAAGGATAACTTCTCGTTTGACGACGCAACACTCTTCCGCGATCAGACCCCTAACTACGACGACGGCGCCGATGACGATGAACCATACGCGTTCGAAGGCGACAATCCCCAAGATAATGGGGCACCCATGGAAGTCGACGGTGATCAAAATGGGCCGCCGGTGGAGGACTTTTTCATGGGCGACCAAGCAGTCGCGGAAGACTACGCTCCCGGCGATTTTGCCCCTGGAGATGACATGGAGCCTGACTCACAACCAGATGGACCAGACGGTGCCTCGGGAGAGCGCGCTCATACCGGCGCGTTCGTACCTTTTGATCCTCGTCGACCGCCAAACGAGCGCGATTTGATCATGGCCATGGCGGATGGAGAGGAAGGCGGCCTCATGATGGACTACTTTGACCAAACCTTCCTCAAGAACTGGGCTGGTCCTGAGCATTGGAAGCTGCGCAGAGTCGTCAGGAGACGTAAGTTGTTATTGTCCCTCGGGTGCATAGGACATTTGGGCTTATTTCCTTCAGCGGAGACATCGGAAGCAGCTCCCAAAGCCAAGCGTGAGAAGAAGGAAGCATTCAAGATCGGCTTCCTAACGCCTTCAGAGAAAGATCCCAAAACTCTCGCGAAGGAGCTGTTCGCGCCTGTCACGCGTGGCGCGGGTATTACTCTGCCGGGCCCATCGTCGGGCAAGGGATCGGGTCGCAAGGGTAGCAAGAGGAAATCAGCAAAAGACAAGGAGAGGGAACGGCGGAATGATCAGACCCTCCCCGACGACATGCACTTCTCTAGCCGCCAGCTTGTGACACTGTTCCTCAAGCCACAATTTTCTGTATGTGCTCTGTACGTTCGCTTAACGCCTCGTGCTGACTATGCTTGTTTGTTGCCTCAATCCAGCTGAAGATGCGTGGCCGCAATGTCCAAGGACGGGGCGATGAAGAGATCGACGAGAACTTCTGGGCGCAAGCTGCGGCTGAACAGGCGGCTGGACGGGCAGTAGAAGATGGCGACGACTGTGAGTCGTCACTCTCTCTCACTCTGATTAAATCGAGCTTAACGTTCCTTGCTCAGCCACGCATGACGGTGGGATTCCGTTCAACACCCAATTCTTCCATGATGATTTCGACGAGGCCGGTGGTTTCGACGATGTCTTCGATGGCGTTGACGGCGCGAATGGAGCAAGCATCGAGCCCGGAGAACAAGATCTTCTTGCTGCAACTCAGGGCCTGACGCGGCGTGTGCGTCCAGAGTTCGTCAACTATGCCAAGCGTGCGAAACGAGTGGACGTGCGCAAGCTGAAGGAGAATATCTGGAAAGGCTTGGATATCGTTGTCCCCAAAGCTGATGGCGCGAATGACGAAGACGATGCTATGGTACTAAGCATTGTCTCTGACATTCAACCGAATGCTGACTTACTGTAACAGGACGTTGACGACCGTCCCGCCACCGATCCCACGGAACCTCGCGAGTTCACCTCGGTCATCTCTGGACTACAGAAGACGTATCCTAAAGACAAGCTGGAGGAAATCAGTACTAGCTTCTGTTTCATCTGTCTTCTGCATCTCGCGAATGAGCGTGGCCTCAAGATCCACTCTGAAGAGGGTGAGGATGCGGAGGAAGAGCGGAAAGTAGGCCGAATATGGGATCTAAAGGTACTGTACGCTGTGTGATTAATCCGAGTCATGGCTAACCGTTGTTTGATCTGTAGGTCTACAGGGATCCAGATGCATGACGCCTCTTTCTTCGGTTTGTTTTGCACGTATCTCCCACGTATCTTTTGCCTATGAGTGCTATCGCTTCGGTCTTCTTTATGATGATATCTTATTGCCAGCCGCTTCATTACCGGTCCTATGATGTCTTTGAGACCTCAACGTTGGTCCTAAGTCTAAGAATGTGTCTCGAGGCATATATACTGAATCTGACATGCCCGCCAGGGTCGGAGCAGAAGGAATGAAATACAACAAGGTGATGTCTACGGATACAATATTGCGTAACTCTCAGGCTAAGGATTGGGTAGAAGACGAAGCGGCGTTGGTCCGCAAGTTGTCGCGGCTAGCATTTGAACCATTCCCTGAGCAATTGCTCGTACTTCTTCTGCATTCGATCCCTCAGCTCCACGAATTCTGAGAATGCCTTGGGATGTAGCTCGAGGGTGCCATCTGCCGGTAGATGGACGGCGTCGTCAGAGGGAAAGATGGTAAGGATGTCGGTTGACAATATCCGAGCAGAGGCGACGTTGGATGCCAGGAACAGGCGGTCGCCAAAGGGGCTGAATATGTGCACGTCGAGCCAGCGTTCTCGGAGGTTATGCGTACGCGCGCCTGTGAGTTCGCCTTATTGTCAAGCCTCACTTTCGTCATCGACGGCCACGTACCTTGCACGACCATGACCTGTTTCTGCACCAAAGCGACAGCAATGTCGCCTTGCGTCAACATTGCCGCTAATGAAGCGGCGAGGTCTGACGGGGGCGACGGTCGATCTGCATATCGAGATAACGCCACGGGGAGTGCTTTTATATGCCGGCCTTCCACAGGTCAAGCGACGCGCGGGCACTAGTGTTCTCTGGGAAGGCATGTGTTCTGATTCTGCCCAGGCAGGGAGGCCAAGGGACGATGTCGAGATGAATCTTCGTAAATACAAGACCTTCCACTTCCGGGTGCAAGGACTGACCATGCGGACCGAAGCTGCCCGTGGACTTACAACAATGAACAAAAGCATGGGAAGCTCCTCTCGGATGCACTATTTGCAGAACAAGCGATGGCCCATATATGAACATACACCCGTGGCCTGCACGAGTACCTACGGCGGCTGAGCGGGCATACCGTTATAATGGTGTCTCCTGCCCGCGCCGCATGCAGCTAATGACAGTTTCGCGCCCACACTAACGTCTTGAAGTATCGCAAGAAGGAGCAATGAAGCGGACAGTACTTGTCCACTATATTTGCATAAAATCGAATCGCTGAGTGGCTGTACAGAGCTCGGGTATGTTAGTAGTTACATGCCCAGCCGACGAGCAATGTCAAAGGCTACGGCAAAGAGCTACTGGATTCAGGTGAGGACGATAACATCGAGAGAACCGAAGCAAGAGACAGAGCTATGGATATACACATGACAGATTGGGAGAGTGACAGAGCAACAGAGCACCGTAGCATACGAGAAGTGTCCGGGACGCAGTGACCCCTCCAAGATCCGAGGAACAGGAATCCATGCTTCGGCGAGGGTCTGAATGGGTACCCACGTCCTTCGCACGTATCAACAAAAAAGGCAACGCAGAGGGATGGGAGTGAAGCACGATGGTGTATATAATGGTGGTTGGGGTATGAAGCAGATAGCTTAATGACGTCCGGGGCGGAGGACGACGTAGGCTTGCCAACTGCCCATGGAGACATGCTGCAGTCCGACTAATGTCAAATCTTGCAGCTGTATGTGTCCAGCACCGACACGCCATACAGGGTTCGCGTCCTCCTCCATTGGACGCTGCTCCATATCCTAGTAGTGTGATTAGGGGGGCAGTTGCAAACAGCTAAGGCATGTGGCTAGGCAAAACACATACATGTATGAATCGCTGCACTGTCTTGGCAACGTTCTTCGCCAGCTTGGCCTTCGTGATAGGCTGAGGCGGCGAGCGGAAGTCTCTCGTAGGGATCTGCCTGCTCCATGGAGCGTAACCGGGCCACTATACACCGTGATCAGACTTCACTCTCCACCGATGCGTCCAGTGTTGCATAGACCGCATGCTCATCACATACCATGAGTCGTATTGAGACGGAGGGCCCACGGTTGATGAACATGTGGTCATCTCTACCCATCAGGTCCATGAACTTGCCGTTCAAGGCGTCTTGAAGGGTTATACCGCAGCGCTGCGGGTTCTGCAAGTAGAACATGATAGGCTGCTCTAGTTCGACATCGTCGACATAGCGGCGCCGGTCGCTCTGTGTGTGCGGGCGATAGGTCTTCTGAGGTACAAGTGTGCCATCGAAAGGCGGTATGTGCTCCCTTGCGAGCTCCGTCACTGTCCTGATAGCCGATCTGGGACGATAATCGGTCTGCAGGGATATGGCCTGGAGTTGCGTTAGATGTGATGGGACGATACAAAAACTGAAAGAAGGTACACACCTGCTGCTCAAACATGGTCGTCAATGACGTAGACGGAGAAATCGGCGAAGCGTTTGGCTTCAAATACTCCTGCGACCGAATGACATCACCCGGCGAGTGTTCAGGAGTAGTGAGGTGAGAGCTCGTCGACGTCGAAGGCGTCGTCAAACTCGGACGGCGAGATATCGGGCCGAGCGTATCGTACGGGCTAATGAGTCCGTCGACGCTCGCCAGCGATGATTGCGAGCCGTATCCCGTCGTGTCGATGTGGATCTGGGGCTGCCGCAAGGGAGTCTGAGTGCTGAGAGGATCAACCAACGAAGGGTAGCCCTGGCCATACGGTAAGGACGGCCCCATGTCAACTGTCGGAGACCTGAAGAGCAGGGGGGTGGTATGGGGGTCGGAGAAGTTCATGTTGTCCATGGTGTAACCTGCAAAACCACTCGTGTCCGGTTGCCCGTAGTCCGACATCATGGAAAACTCCATAGACTGTGTAGACAAACAATGTGAGCGTGGTCGAAAGGCGTCGTGCCTGGCAACTTACCCCAGATTCATCGAAGGAATCGAGGTCGGGAGTAAGCGGGCTATGTCCACCGAATGGACTGTGCTCGCTCATCGACATCATTGGTGTGGTGCCTTGACCATGGTGAGGAGTACTGGTACTATGTGAGCGATGCGAGCAATAGACACGACAGGAAGAGCACTTACAAGAACGGGGCGGACATGGACGGCGAGGGTTGAGATAGAGGAAAAGGCAGTACAGCAGCGTAGGGTATATATACCGCGTCGAAGCGCTACAGCCACAGAAGCAATGAGGTAAGATCCCGGAACGGATGTACAGCTATTGAGTATACCATTCTCGGGTTGAAGCTTGTAGTGGAGATGCTAGCGAGCCTGATAATAGGTGTCTTTGAGATATGACAGCCAAGAGACGTCGACTGAATCGTTGTCAAGGATACTCAAAATTTGCCGTTTGTACAGGAGCTGGTAGGGCGTGAAACGAGAGTTCCGCCGTCGCATATATCGGGGTATGGCGACTGACCGGCAACATGACTCGGAGTGGGAGGCGGTGGCATCGGAGCCGCGCATTCTCTGAGCCCTGGGCTCAGGCAGGCAGTCCTGCGGACGCTATCGAGTCAGGATACAGAGGAGGGATAGGATAGGTCCCGGGGACGAGAGGCTGTCCTGGAAGGACCTGAAAGAAACAGATCAATTCGGCGCACGGACAAGGACAAATGAAAGGAGGGTACCTGCCTCTTTGGGCTTAACAAGCTGTCAGCCGCAGCGGTGGTGGTGGGACGTGGCAGTGGGTGGATAGCAGTGGCAAAGCGGCCTCGCGGTGGTAAGGGTACCCACGGTCCAACCACAAAGGAAGAACCTCGAGACGACTGGCCTTCGCACTACGGCGGAATGGCCGAGAACGTCATTCACTCATGGTCTGTGCGATAGCCTTCTCCGGAGCGTTGAGGTGCACAGGTTCACAGCACTGCACGTCAGCGGCGCTGCCGACAAACCACGCTGTGCGCCCGCATTGCAGGCAGTCGCCCCAGCGGCCCGGTCGCCTCGTTCGACGTTCCTGCAGGCCAGTTTGGGGAGGGTCGCAATACGCGACATCAAAGGGCAGTCTGAGGCTCTCCGAGCAAGGCGAGCGCAGGTCGAGCACGTCTATAACGCTGACTCGGAGGTGAGCTGGTGTGCCCTGGTTGATGACGGACGTAGGCGGCAAGCGTCCACGCCCGATCTAATCAGAAGCAATGGGACGGAGTACATCGCCATCCACTGCCATCCATCCCGTCTTATCTTTGCCCATCCGCGCGATGTGGAACTGGAGGAGGCTACTGCACACCGAATGTACTACATGTGGTATTTACTTTGGTCTGCCTACGCTACATAGCGCTCCGTCCGAGCGCGTCTGCTCAGTCCAACGCTGCAGACATCGTCAAATCCTTCGCGACATAGAATCCATCGCGTAGGAGCGCGACGCCGAGTCGCTGTATATTTGAGAGTTCGAATTGTCGTGGGGCGACGGCGAAGCGAACATATGTAACTACCCCTACTTTGGGCAGATCAATTGTCAACTTTGTCCTGACTTTGAATCGGCGCGCCCATGCTCGTAGTTGTAGGGAGTGCCTTTCCATACTATGCACTGTAATACGTACTCCTACCAGAGATCCGTATATAGGTTACGAGGTACTCGGCTCGTCTACAGCAGTTCCATGGCCGTCGGGTACTCATAGCCGCACCTATGTACCCTTCAACGTACTTCCGTAGGGAAACCGACGCACATCCCAGTGAAGTGGACAGCGCGCCCCGGTAACCCAGCCCGTGATATGCAAGCCAAGTAGTACTCCATACGACGATACTTATAAATCTACCGTGCTCGTCGCGGTGATGTAGCACCGATAAGCACCACGTACACACTATAGCCTAGTATACGTAGGCCAAACCAGCCAACACCGCATTGACTGGCACTCGTGACGCAGCCGTCCGTACACAGTGGACGCCTGCTTTCCCTTCTCTACGAAAAAAGTATACGAGTTCAGCTATCGCATGGCGACTGAGGAGCGGTCACCCTCGCTCGATGGCACTGCTTGTCAATGTCTGAGACCGGGACTTTCTTCAGCGAACTTCTACCAATGTCATTTGCTCGTGTATGGCAGTATTACCGGGTATACCAGCTGCCGCACCTGCTCCATAAGCTATACTTAACCCATTTGCTGTCTCGGACTCGTATTGTGATCTTATGTACCTCATGACGAGACAATGTCGCGTCTCGTGAAATGAAAATCAGCTGCGGTTCGATCGCCGACACCCCGGTCGACACGACGAATCGCGGAGGCTACGGAGTTCATACCGATTGAGGATCAAGGGGCCTAGAACTCGACGCCGAGCCCATGTATAGTCGGCAGTCAGCTTGACGACCCCAATTGCCACCTGTGAACGAGCAACAAACCTTAAGCAGCGACGAGGTATCGGCACATAAGTTACCTGACGCGCATTACTACACGGTGCTGTATACGGCTTCTCGGTATCTAAATACGTTCGTTGGCTAAGCTTGTGGCCGAGCATGGTGGCGTTTGTGGCGGTGAATCACTCACATGTTTCCCTGTAGATACTTAGTTCCCTAGCAGGTACAACAGCACAATACGTTCATCGTACATTCGGCTGGTCACTGTATACACCGAGGTGACGCATCAATTCCGACAGGTACCACCCTGTCAGTCCCCAAACCTCGAGTCGCCCTTCGCGGCCACCGCCTATTTCATCGCGTTGCTGAGGATCGTTTGTCCATTTAGGTGCAATGTCCGGTCCTGAGTGCACGGCATGAGGTCCGGAGACAAGGTCCGCAACACTGACGGCAAAGTAAGGCCTTGCGGCACGGAAGAGGTAGGTGTGTAGGCGCGGAGGCGAGACCACGGCGGCCATGGGTAGGTGGAACGCGTGGGCAACCTCGGCGGGCGAGAGTGTCAAGGTGGAAAGAGACAGAGACGGCAGCGGAGCATCGACGTCAGGGTCGTCAAGAGGGGTCTCTGCCTGTCGCTCAGCATGCACGAAACCCTGCAATGTATCACGCAATGACAATTGATATAGTGAATATTGTGAATAGGTCCCATGCGGAGAGAGTCTGGCTTACGACGTATGGCCATACCCTGAGACCGCTAAGAGATGTCTCCGTGGGACCTATGCGTCCTAGGATTTCCACTTGGCGAGGATGTATGCCTAATTCTTCCTGGCTTTCGCGCAGCGCTGCCGCCAATGGCGATGCGTCCGTCTGCAAGTTGGTCCTGTCAGTGAATGTTTTTGACCAATCACGATGTGTACTGGCCTTGTCGACCTTCCCACCAGGAAAGCTATTACGAGTTGATTCCCGCTATACCGGCCGGACAGCCATGCGTACGCACCTCACCTCCCCTGAATGTGTCCTTAATTTTCCTCGCACCTCAAGAAGCACGCCGGGCTTGTTATCCACATTGCAAAGAGGGATGAGCACCGCGGCATGCGCCTCCTGCGTGTCCTGGACATCTGTGCCGTCGACTGAGCTCGCGAGTATGGATCGTATGGAGTTCAGCGATGACCGAGTGAATGGCGATGTTATAGGCACCCTAACCAAGGAAGGGTTCGTGGTCGCAGCAGTCGTGAGCGTACGGAGCATAGCGGTGGATGTTTGCCATTGGGGCTGGCGTGGTGCCACTGGTAGAGGCGTGCAGCGAGGTCGCTTATGTACTCTATCCGCAACGCCTTCCCAGGGCGTCACATCCGCTTCGCCTCGGTCTGCACACCCTCCATCTCTTGCTCATGCGGAATATTCGCATCCGCATATCTCTCCGTTCTCGTTCGAACATACCGACAGCATCGACGTCCTATACATCTCCGTCGACTGCCTCGTCTTGCGTTGTCCCGTCTTCCATCTTCCAGCCCTTGCCATCCCACAAACCGGGTCCTACTGGTCGCCGTCACACAGTCACCGAACGGGCCCGCAACGACGACGCGGCTCTAACAGACTATCGTTTCGGTCCAATCAGAATTGACTGGGTCGACTGCGCGTTCGAGACCATGAGCGTCGCAGGGTCGAAGAAAGCCGGAGTCGGAAAGGAGAAGGCTACGGATGCGCGCCGCAAAGGTAAGTGGTACCTTTGTCGTCGTGCATTTCATTTGCTCAAGGAAGAGCAAGCAGAACCTGTGGTAGCTACATTCAGCCCATCCGCATCTCACTCGGCGACGTCTGGGTCAACAAATCTACCTGAGGGCATCGTACATATCTACCGCGATGTCGCAGGTATTGAGGAGTCTGGAGCGTTGACAAATGACGGCGCCTCGCCTGGCCCCGAGGACTCGAAGGACTCCGCACCCAAAGTTGTGTCCGACAGTCAAGGGCTCATCCTCGCAGTCTTGGCTGTACCGGCATGGATGACACCGTCCGACTTTTTGGCTTTCGTAGCTCCAGCCACCGATGGTATCTCTCTGCTGAGGATGATACGGTGTGTCCCGCTTTCTGCCTGCATGTCAAGAAGTTGGTAACACTTCCATGTTTGCCAGGGATTCCGCTCCGAATCGATCCATCGTTCTGCTCAAGTTCAGGGAAGCGTCCCATGCCTCGCAGTTCATCGAATCATATAACGGGAAGCCATTCAACTCAATGGAGGTGAGATGAAGCCGTGGCTACTCAATAATGCAGGCCGATTCACGACGACTCTACAGCCGGAGACATGTCATGTCGTCCGCGTTCTGTCTGTCACTATTGACAGTGATGAATCCCTCACCGAAAGCCTCATGCGCGAGAATGCGCAACATAGCTCAGATGCGGTGTATGAGCTGCCGACATGCCCCGTCTGCCTCGAACGGATGGATTCAGCGGTTACTGGCTTAGTCACCGTCCCGTGCTCACACACCTTCCACTGTGCCTGTTTGAGCAAATGGGGTGACAGCAGGTGCGCATCCGACCACAGAGTCTCGCGTGCGATACTGAAGTTTGCAGGTGCCCGGTGTGCCGCTACTCCCAGACGTTACTATCATCCCATCCACCAGCGAGCAGCGCTGCTAGCCGGCCCATCGCGTTCTCCAGTTCACCGCCGTCAGCCCACTGTGTTGAATGCGAGAGCACGACCAACCTATGGATCTGTCTCATCTGCGGTCACATCGGCTGCGGCCGATACGGCCGCGCTCATGCTTATGGTCACTACTCGCGGACGACTCATCTATACGCCCTGGAGCTAGAGACGCAGCGCGTTTGGGATTATGCGGGCGATGGTTACGTCCATCGCCTCATCCAGAACAAGGCTGATGGCAAGCTTGTCGAGCTTCCTTCCGCCTCGTCGGCGATCGGTTCCCAAGCATCCCGTGGCGTCTCTGGAGATCGTCGCGGACCGAGTCTCGAGGATGCCCTGAGCGCCGAAAAGATCGAAGCCATCGGTATCGAATATTCCTACCTGCTAACGTCACAACTCGACTCACAGCGCGCGTTCTACGAGGAGCAGATAGTGGATCTGCGGGGCAAAGTCGACGAACTGCATACAACAGTCCAGCGACTGACCCAGGAGCGCGACGAAGAGAGGGAACGGGCGCAAAATAACATGACGGCGCGAAAAGTCGAAGAGAATGCACAAATTGCCAAATTGCAAACAGAACTCTCAAAGGTGCACAAGAAAGCTGAGAGGACCGCAGATCTGGTGACGCAACTGCACAAGGAATTGAAAGAGGAGCGCGCGGTGAGCACAGGATTGTTGGAAAATCTGCAAAAAGCTCGGCGTGAGGTGGATGTAGCGAAACAGGAAAAGCAGCTTCACTCACAGAGGATTCATGAGTTGGAGGAACAAGTGCGGGACATCATGTTTGCGCTTGAGGCAAGAAGTCAGATTGAGCAAGGACAAGGAGTGGTTGCAGAGGCTGCAGGTGGATCCATAGCAATAGGATCACATGTGAAGAGAGACAGGAGTAGTAGTAGGAAATGAGATTGATTGTGCCCAGATTTAAGAGAGAAAAAGATGGCTATGACATGTAGTAAATGAATGATGATGTGGTATACCGGCTCAAGTCGTCTTTGACAAAGGACAGAAAGGCCGAGCGAGGCATGGCTAAACCAGACCAGCCGTCATCAACAAGATTAGGGGAATTAATGTGCAATGCAAAAATATGAATGTTTATGATTGGTGCATTGCATGGGTCTTGGTGTGCATAGGTATGGGTAGCCAAAATTTGACTAACATACCCATGTTACCCATGGACTTCTGCAACACTGTATTCAGTAGTGCAAGTCAATATTACCTAGTGAGGTAATCTGTGTTGGCTGTTTCACATAGCTTGTCATCTTCTGGGGTATCTGATGCTTGTACTGCAAGTCTTTGTAGTACAAGCAGTGTGGTACACCAGTGATTCCCTTTAAGTGGTTTGTAGCAGCTAGCAGGGTGAGAGCACATGTCATCAGGCTAAACAAGCACAAGACAATGGCTAGGCGGAATAGGTAAGCTATGATATGCAATGTGAAAGTATGATGGATTTATTCACCCTCAGTATGTGCTCGAGAGAGACAGCAAGACTGAGGGTGCCAGGGAACAAGCAATGGTATAAGGTACCAAAATGTAACCATAACAAGTAATGAATGTATGGGTGCACACAGTGCATACAGCGGGGTAAACAAGTGGGATAGTGCATCACACAGTACAGCGTGGCACAGACAAATAGACTGAGACATAACATAACCAGGACTGGACAACACACAAATTGTTGTTAAGGCTCCAACTATATAATACACATATACATGAAAGCTGTATGTATAAGGTGAACTACATTATATTGTATATATACTGTATATATACTGTATATTATATACTGTATATATACTGTATATATAGTATTTTAGCGGCACAAGCACTGGTCCCTGACTCCTCGTTTGGACACCACTGCTTCACTAGCAGCAGCACCATGAAATTATTGTCTTCCAGAAACAGTGTTTTTTAATGGTACTTAAATGCTGTTCCATGCCAATGAGACTTGCTGGAAGGCCCTTGCACCCGGGCATTTTGGGGCCTCCAAGACAGCACCTATTTAAGTTGAACTGCTGGCATGGTACACCATGCCCTACTTATGTGCTTGAAGAAACAATGGGGTTACAAAACAGCACCCTTTATACTTGTCAATCTGGTCAACCAAGCAGCCTGGGTAAGCTAGAGTGATCTAGCTGACTCTACACTGTTAGATCTGGGCAACCAGAGAGCAACCAGGCAGAACAGGGCAGAACTAGGTACTCAATACTTGAAAGACGGGATTATTGGCTTACTAATATTGCCGCAGATGGTCACAAAATGTCTTGATAAGGATGTATTTCCCACGCATCACACCCCTTGCAGAAGATCTGACACAGATCATGTCAACAGAGGGTATACTTCTGCTTTTGGAAATCAGTCTATCCTTGGTGGCTGATGGTGGCTTGTAAACCTTTTCATTCGAGCTGTACAGTACTTCACAAACCATACACTGGTCCAGACATACTGGAAACAGTGCCACAATCACATCAATCTGTCCACATGCCTGCAAAGCATATGGGAACAAGCCCCAAGGCATTGCTGCCACCTACAGGGAAGCGTGCACGCTTCCTTACAGAGAAGGCATAGGTAGCCATCACAGAGAAACATTCCTTGAAGTCAAAACAGTCTGCAGCCACAGACACCGAGGTTGTTGGAGAAACTGCTGGCACTGGTACAAACTTCCCATCAGTCTTGACATCTCCAAACCCAATCTAACCCAATCAAAAGTCTGTGGCAACTGCCACAAAGCCAAAGCATGATTGCCATAGCCATGTTGTAGAGATTAGTGATGAGGAACCAACCACAGGTGACAATGAAGATATTGTTGAAGTCAACAAGGATGGGCGCTGCAAGGCGGCTGTCCCACCCAAGAACAAAACCCCTGAAGAGGAGCTCAGTGAGTGTTTGGCAATGCAGGGTATGCCATGGTACTTACAAGCCGGTAGCGCAATTGAGCAAGGAATGGTCTGTGCTGATCTATGCTTTCTACAAGCCAGATGTCAGCATCAAAGTCAACAAACATGGGAAGCGCATGCACCTGTTTGTGTGCACCAATTGTGGCTGCACAAAGTGATTAAACAGTGGTTAGATAAGAAGGATAAGAATTTGACCAGCAATCTTTGCAAGCATGTGAAGAAATGCTTTGGCAAGGAAGCGCTAGCATCTGCGGACACTCTTGGTATTATGGACATGGAACAGGGACTGAAGGAGGTATTCAGACGTAAGTTCAATAGTGTGTATAATGGCAACCCATATCCCTTTGAACATTGGCAGTTTAGTATAGTATAGAGTGTTAGCGTGTAGCTTACATAATTACAAATGTGGACATCTGCTGGTGCGCATCTGTTGAATGGGCATCTTAGCTTTTGACCTCACATACTTGTGCAACTCACACCCTTTTTGACGCGCCAATCAGCTCTGCTGACCAACCCATCTCTTCAAGAGCTCCTGGCTCTTGAGGACTGCTTTCTGCATCCAGATTGGTGGACTTGACAACCCTGGACTTGGTTTTGTTCAACGACCTCCCCCTTTCCTCTGTTGCTTGCTCTCCAATCTGCCTTCGATCAACTACTCGCGGCCCTCTTCAGAGGCCCCCATCTACTCTCTTGGACCGGCAGTTTGGCAAACCCGCTCTGAGGTCCCAGTCAACCTCACAGTGGTGGACACTCAGTGGCGCCATCATCACACTGCCAGTCTGTGACCTCACATTTACAACCTGTAACACTTGCATGATCCCAGCAACCACGGATAACCCCACACCCTCGCCTTCACCATCATGTCGGAATTCCCCTTTGCGCTCACTGAGTCAAGCCCTCAACTGCTGAGCCACCCCTCTGCCCAGCTGCATGGTTGGTATTCCCTAGCCTCACAGACCTATGGTTCCCCACAACACTCAGGAGCACTCCAGGAGGAATGTCTCCATCAGCATGGATGATACCGCTGAACTCTGCCAGATTGTTGCAGGCTCCATTATCTCCTAGTAAGTTTGACTCACCGTCCAGCACTCCATATCTACCCAGACCACTATTGCCAATGGCTCATGACACAGCAGCAGCCACTGCGCCTGCAGCAAACTCACAGCCAGTGGGGAATCCAGCCTTGACATCAGCAGCGCCTGGGGGGCAGCCACAGAGGGATCAACTGCCGCACAAGCCCGCTGACGCCCTGGTGGAGGAAGCTGGTGTGCAAGACAAACAGTGCAGTCGCAGCTTCCAACACAAAAGGGAGCAACCTCAGGTCGCACAAGTCTGGAATGGGCAGTACTGTCTCTGACACCTCCTTGCAACCCTCACACAAATCCCTGGCAACCAACGCCATGGCGGAAGATCCCGGTGAGGAATCCATTTGCAAGCTCCTTGACAAGGATGGTCAGCTGCCCGAGTACTGTTGCTGCCCTATCTGTTACGTCAACATTTGTTTTCCCTTATTTGCACTTGAGCATTGTACTATCCTAGCATGGGCCCAACCCCATGACGCTACGGTTCCAGTCTTCGGACTCCTTCGCTGTTTGCTCCGGTCCAACCCGGAGCAGTTCACGTGATCTCTGACTCAGTATGACTCGTCCCTTACTCATACCTGACTCATCATTTATGACTCGATCCCTGACTCGTCATGACTCACTCCCCCACGCTCCTATTGGCTAGGTAGTTGTGACTCGTTCAGGACCTGCCCTGAACTCCCCATGTATATAAGACCTGTGTACAGTAGCGGTCGAACCTCAGTTCGACCTGGTTATCTATTGAAGCTTCACCAGCTCCTTGGATATCAGAAACTCCCCGCTCGACCTGCTAGACGGACTTAGCAGCGTCTTCGACCATCCTCCCCATCCAAGGACGATTAGAACCTAAGGTCCCTACGTTTAGGGTTAGGTTGAGAGCTAGTGCTCTAGGTGTCATGCTTCGCGTAACACTATCAAAGCTGTACAAATTATGGAAGATGCAGCTTGACCCAGTACCCTTCCGCCGCACACCAGTGTCTGCAGGAAGCCCAATGGCTCATCTCGCAAGAATAGTCCACTGAGTGGCTGCACAACAACAGCAAATCGGTGGGACTGCAGAACTGTTGGTCAATAGCAGTACAGTTTTGCGCCCACATTCTGTATCTAGCAGGAGAACTGCAGAAGCTTGTGAACTGGATGTGCAAATTGGAAGGGCACACAACAATCTGGCTTTTTGATCCCAATGGTGAACTGCTTACCATCATAAAGGACGCCAGTGCACGTCACTACATATACAATGCGTTTGTTGTGGTGCGGGACCGCACCAGGAAAGGAATGGACTTGTTGCATCACAGAGTGCATCTCCATGGTGGTGTGTGTCCCTTTTTCACTCCCTCATTGACGTTGTCAGAGTTATACATACTGGACAATACATGCAAAGCCAGGACACTTCTCGACTTCCACCTCCAGAAGCCAAGGGTCTTCATGGAACTTACACCAGAGTACCAGCCGGTGGTGGCTGATTCTCTGCATGAAGGACCACTGTGACCAGCAATGGAGCAGAGTTACAGGATGATGCCAAAGGAATGCTTTGTGCTGAACCCTCACCAAGGCAACATTGTGGACACACTGATTCAGCAATTCCAGCCTGAGCCACCCAGGCCACTCAAGCCACCTGAGCCACCCGGGCCAGCAATTCCCGAGCAACAACCATTGGCCTCGGCTGCTCCACAGAGCACAGCAAGACTCACATGCATGGACTAAGCCCCAAGCCAATGCACAAGATCAACCACCCTGCCAGCAAGCTAGTGCCTCTTGCAGGGATGGCACCCATTTGACAGACATGACAAGCACCGGTCTGACCACAGCAGACAGCCACTGTTGGAGCGCAACTACCAGCTACCTCTGGGCAGAGGAGATCCTGGCTCCTCCTCTGACAAGGATGGAAACACAAATGGAGGACGCACCACTGAAAGGCCCTGGGCCACCACCTTTTTGATGCCCAACTTCACCATCGCCATTGCCACCACTGTCTGGGGGGGCAGGTGACAGGCAGGAGGACCACAATGTCGGATGAACAAGGAGTGATGTGGTGTAGCCTGAGGCAAGGCTACAAAAGAACTACAGAAGCAAACAAAGTACTGTAGTAACATAGGACTTACAACAGATCTCTTAGGAGCTGAGAGGGAAGACTCAGAGGCGTAAGACAAGAGGAGAGACCGTTACATTCTAGGGTGTATCCAGCCCAGTATATATACACATGAGAGAGCCATTGCATGATCGTACAGTAAGTGTAACAGCGTAGAGTCATAACAGAGCAATATGGTGCAATGAGCGAATATGCAAGGATGCGGCGATATTGCACCATGGATGGAATGTACTGGAAAGGACTGAACAGGACTGGAAGGGATCTGGACAGTCCTAGAACAACAATGTGCTTGACAATGCAATACAATACAATCAAGGAATGTGCTGGAACATGCTGGAAAGTGGTGGAATGTTCCATCAAGGTCTAGATCTAATCATGTGCTACAGGTCTGGAACAAATTCAAAAAAGAATGTACGTAATATGTAGCATAGTAGAACATAAGTCCATAACAGGTAAGGATAAGTCCTATCCCATGTGATAACACCTAGAATAGTTGAAGTTCAACATGCAGAAGCCAATGGGACAACAACAACTGGCAGAAGTATTTTCCTTACAGTGATGTCAGTTAAAGTGACTCTATTTGAATTCATTAATGTATTTTTTGCTGTCTTAACTTGAGTCAAGAATGGAACCATGTTAAGCCATGTGTAAGTCAGTTCTAATACACTGACTAAGCCACCTGACTCAGATCTCTTAATACACTTGTAAGACACCTGTAAGACACTCCTTAGTCATTGTTTTAAGTTGCATGTTACACCTTAAGAACAATTAGATACAGTCTTAGTGCATATATGTGGTCCTGAGTCACTGGATTAAGGAAAATCAAGAGAAATAGGATTTTTCAAAAAGCACACAAGTGGGGTTTGAACCCCTGACATCAGCAAATGTTACCTAATCAGACAATTAACTCGGACACCAGCATCACACCACAGGTTTGTTGCAAACCAGGTAACACAATGTGATATGACACAATGCTGGAATGCTGGACTTAGACATATTTTGGATGCTGGCACAGGGTGCCCTGTATCAGTGGTGACTTAACCAGGTGCATTAGAGGTAAATTAATAGTGTATGAGTGCTAGCCAGACAGGTGACTCAATAGTGACTCAACTGACAATGGATGCTGGATGTCAATTTTGTCAGGTCAAAGGTTAAAGTCACTATTGAGTCACCTGTCTGGCTACACCAGGATGTGGATCACGCATGGGTCGCAGTCTCTAACCCAACTGACCACCCCATTTGCATCAGTAAGGGAGACACTCTTGCCATAATGTACCCAGCAGGGGATTGGTTCCAATCTCCTATGGATGAATTGGCTTGCCACGTGGACACAGTGCAAGGGATTGTCCAGTTGCAGCTGTCCAAAACATCCGCCTTGGAAGAGGAGGCTTGGGGACCCAAGACCGCTGAAGCACCAGATCCTACCGTGTACCCTTCCAAGGAGTTGGAGGAGTTACTAGACATAGGACCGGAATGGCCCCTGGAAGGGCATTCTTGTCTGTTGGAGGTTCTCTGAGCTTGACAGCAAGCCTTTGTGTTTGGTGGACGGTTGGGACACAATCCTACAGAAGTAGAGATCAAAGTGCTGCCAGGCACAAGGCTGGTGTCTTTGCCTATGTATGTGGCCTTCCCCACTAAACGTGAGGTCATTGACAAACAACATGACACTTGGCTTGCTCTGGAGGTTATCAAACCCTCAATCAGTCCTTGGGCTGCCCCAGTTCTAATGACTTATTGTAATGGGAAGCCATGCTTTTGCATCAATTACCGGAGGTTGAATGTGATCACAGTGCTGGACGAGTTCCCCATTCCACAACAAACCAAGATATTGCAGGCTCTATCAGGGGCCCAAGTCTTGTCCTCCCTGGATGCTCTATTGGGCTTCATGCAACTCACCGTTGCTGAAGCAGATCAAGAAAAGACTGCTTTCTGGTCCCACCGGGGTCTCTTCCAATTCCAACAGTTGCTGTTTGGATTATGGAATGGCCCCTCCGCTGCTCAGCGCGTAATGCAAGGAGTGTTGGCACCCTACTTATGGCTCTTCACACTCACGTACATCAACAACATTGTCATCTATTCTAAAAGTTGGGCTGAACACGTCACCCATCTGGACTGGGTACTCTCCGCAGTCATCCAATAACCATGCTGTCGCTGCCCAAGTGCCACTCTAGATACTTGTCTATACTCCTGCTTGGACGGAAGGTTTTGTGCTTAGGATTCTCCACACACAAGGAGAAAGTGCACACCATCACGTAATTTGCTCACCCGACCAGGGTTAGCAAGTTCAAACAATCCTTCTTGGGCATGGCCGTGTACTTCTCCAACTACATCCCTTACTATTCTTTCATGGTGTTGCCTCTATTCCAACTCCTCAAGAAGGCCTCTTGATGGAATTGGACGGCAGAATGCAAACATGCATGGTTGGAAATCAAAGTCGCCTTGCAGCAGGCCCCTGTTCTGGCACACGTGATGGCCAGCCACCCATACCAACTCTACATTGATGCATCTGACGTAGCTCTAGGAGTGTGCCTGCAACAGGTTCAACCTACAAAAGTAGCGGACCTGAAAGGAACACGGACTTATGATCATCTTGCTAAGGCTCACCAAGCTGGTGTGCTGGTACCCTTGTTGGTGTCCCGGATATTGAATTGTTTTGACAACCTCGGTCAAACACAATTATGGGGCAAATCATTGGATTATTGGATGAAACAGTTGTGAACATAGAGCAGGTCATCGCATACTGGAGCTGCACATGCAAACCTGCTGAGCAGAACTACTTGGCCATGGAAAGGGAAGCTCTAGCCACAAAAGAGGGACTAGTGCACTTTCTTCCCTTCATTGAGGGCGAACATGTCATGCTCATCACCACCAATCATGCTGCCCTGCAATGGGCCTGCACCTTCAAAAATGCTAATCGGAGACTTGCCGCGTGGGAGGCAGCGTTCTCCGCCTTTGCTCCAAATCTATCCACCAAGTGGGCCGTGTGCACTCCAACGTAGACCCCCTGTCCCGCATACCTCAACAGCCACCAACTCACAACTCCCCTGTTGTTGATCCTTCACAAGCCATTGAGCCAGACACCGGCAAGATGGGCTTGGCTGAGGAAGTGGCAGACAGGAACTTGGTTCTGCGGAGAGCTGCTGGAGCTAGTTCTTTCCATCCTTGGTCACAAGTATTGGAGGAATTGCCAATAGGGATGTTTGGCTACTTGTCAGCAGAAATGGAGGGAACAGGCCAGCAATACCGAGCAGAAGCTGCTTCAATTGCTACTCGCAGCCTCATTCCAGTATATCAGTGCAGCAACCACGTTGGACCCGAGGGACTTGCTGGAGATGTGGGGTGCGGTGCAGCAATGGAAGAGCCATCTGCGCCCGGGGCCTGAATTACAACGACACCTCAGAAAGTCAAACCAAAAAGAGAGTCAACATGTCATGCACCGTGTTGGCCTCATACCGGTAGTGAATTGCACAGGTATACCCCCGGGTGCACGGGAGCCTATTCATACCCGCAGCGGTCAGGTACCCGCTCGGCAGGTATGGGATGTCCGTGGGTCTTGCGGGTCTCCGCAGGTGCAGGTAATGTGACGTGTTGGGCAGGCAAAGAGGTGAGGAGATGGGCATGCAAGTGTGCATGCGCAGATGATCGCGCACCGCGGGGGGGGGGCACGTGCAGTCCCAGCTGGTCGCCGCAGGGAAGCGGTCCCACTGGAGATGGTTGTTGTTGGCAGTGAGGTGCCGCCAGAACTCACGGGAGCTCATGCAGCCCTCAAGGCTGTGGAACACGAGCACGTCCTCCTTCTGATGCATCACAATGTTGTCCTCTGCGCGGCCAGGCACGCGCGGCAGCATCAGCAAATTTGGAATTCCCTGAGGGCCTGAAACTGCTGACAGGCCAACCTCAGCAGCTCATCATATCCAGTACATCAGGGTATTGCACTAGTGTCTCTCAGAACATACCAGCATGTCAGCACATTGTACAACAGTAATATATTGTGTACTTTGTAATTGTAGGGTACAATAGCGAGCACAACTACAGACTTGATGATGCACCACATGCAGTAGCGACGTTGTTGGCGCGCTGCCTGCATGCTGATCATACAGGTACGTTGGTTCTGGCTGCGTTGCAGAGTGGTTGTCGCAGAGTGCAAGGTTGCTCACCTGTCTGATACGGCACCTACTAGTAGCTCGCTTTCCAGCAGCGACGTGGGCCGGGGGTCCATGGATCACACACTGCACATTTGCCTGCGTGCGAACACAGTTTAGCTGCACGACCTGTCCAAGTGGATTTTTGTTGTGCACTCGGACGATGAGCGTGGGCAATCTGTGGTTCCAGGGTCGAAGGCACAGAAGTGGGCTGCATTTGTAGCACACACATCTGGCAGACCCAGCATGGCTGCATCAACACACCAGTGTCTATGGCCATTGCCCATGACAAGCTGTGCGGCAAACCTGAACACTGCACCATGCATGAGTAATCAAATCCCGTCCAGTCAGCTATGTTGAGCACATTTAATGGACTCAATGTGTTGTACAGAGACACTGCCCAACTCGACTCCAATAGTTGTCAGCTCGGCGGTTCACAAGGGAATACGGGAGACGTACCGTGGGTGGCAGTGACACTCAGCACACAGGACGGCGATATACAACACGTCGTAAAGTCCATACGAGCTGGGGCCCATGTTGTGGACAAGTACAGAGGTATACTAATGATGAATGATCACTGGGAAATCCGCAGACAAGATACTGTAGTACATACCTTGAATGAAGTTGCCTGCCTTCTATCACACTGACGGTGCACATCAGGATCGACAACGGCAGGGCGAGTCTTCCTTCTGCGCACATGTGAGTGCAATTGCATTGTCAAGCAATGGTGTGTCGGCTTCAACATGCTGTCAGGGTGTGTCAGATGTCATGCCTTCTTGCACAGGCAAGAGCAGCGCGGTACCACTTCCTGTGGTGAGGTCTTTCCTGTGTGCAGGTGGTGGGGAAGAGGCAGGTACACAGTGACGCGCAGAGCAGATGATGGCTGTAAAGACCGCTTGTGCCTGCCCTAAACATCACACATGCCACTGGTTCGCTGGCAACTGGCAACACCGCTGCGCTCGACCGGTGTGTCCTCCTACCCTCAGTGTTGTTGCCCTTCACGCACGTGCTCTGCCCAGCCAGCCCCTGCTGCCGTACTTGCTCAAAGATGTCCGCAAGGAGCTCCCCGTGCCGCAATACGAAGCACGCTACACCCCGACGTCGCCCGCAGCTGCCGAACGAGGACAACCTGCGTCAGCTGTAGATGTACACACGGGTGATGCGACGGCGGCCCACAACGGCGAACAAGGACAGCTCGAGTTTGGACTCGGACACGTATGTGGACAGGAACTCACACATGGGCAGTGAGGAGCACTTGTAGGAGACGGTGACGCCAAGCCCGGAGAGCTCACCGTCTACGCCGCTCAAGGTCGGCGTGGGTGTTCACATGCAGAAGGTAATTGAATGAAAGGTAACCACCGGTTCACCAATGTCTAAGCTGCACGGACTGATGACAGAGAACCACACTGGCAGGTCTCGCTCAAACGGCCGTACTCTGCATGAAGAGGTAAGTCGCAATTCTGTATTCATACTGCCTGTCAGCTTGCTCACTTGTTTGCCCATCCACTCATGTGCTCGTCCATCTATCTACCCGCTCTCTCTCCACCTGCCTGCCTGCCCACTGCACGAAGGCTTTCAACGCAAGCACGTACACTTGTCACCCAGGATGGGGCAAGGAGTGTATGGGAGAGTAGGAAATAAGGGCAAGGAGGAGCGGACACACGTCACCGTCTTGTGACGAAGACAATGGTAGAAGGCTAGAAGCAGCATCGCTGTCCCGCATTGCAATTTGTGCAGCGTGTGATGGTGCTGCTGCCGTTTTCTGTGCGAGAGGGAGAGCGGTGCAATTGTGCAAAGTATGGATACCATGAGGCCGCCGAAGTCGTCGCTCAGGACACCTGCTCACTCTACGGCTGCTCACCCGTCCATTCACTGGCTCGCTCGGGCATTTGCGCATGTTATGTACTAGTAGTGTCAGCAGTAATAGTGCAAATGTACATAGCTTGTTTGGATCATTCTGATTTTATTTGTTTCGGAGCATCTTGTTTGAAGTTGCCTGAATGCCTGAATCCACTGACACACTGAGGCTCACTGACAAAATGCCTCTGACAGAATTGGAGCATGCAAAATCCAGGTGCTGAGGGCTGGACTTCTGAAGCCCTCTGGAGCATCGCTGATGGCCTGCTGAAGCTTCTGAAACGGCTGATGGACGCCCGTCAGCAGTTTTCCACTTTTACTGATGAGGTCGGGCTTGGGTGTCCAGGAGCCGTTGGCGTACGTGTGGGGCCTGGGCTTGAACAAAGGTGGGTGGGGAGACACACAAACACGTAGGATGGGGATGTGGACTCGGAGGGCTTGGGACTACTCACCTGTGAAATCTGCTCACCGGCAGCCTGGCCTCTGGCCGCCGCCAACCTCGCCCCCACTCATTCCGCCATGTTTGCTCACGCTCAACTTTGCACGCGTGGCATCCGTTTGTCGGCCACACTTGTGTGCTGGGCATTTGCCCTGCCCACTTGTGGTCGCCGTGTGTATTGCCTTTGCGGGTAGCTCAACCACTCTCCTGGTCTGCTCGTTTGAGACACGGTGGGGTATGAGTCAGAGAGCTGACATATCATTAGTGCAGTGTGCTCAGCCATGTTCATCCTTTCCTGCCTCGCCTCTTCCCTCAGAGAATACCCCTCGACGCTCTTGGGGCGTGACTGGCGGTATCTGTGGCCGGGCGGACGCAATATGCCTGAGGTGGTGTGTTGCTCATGTTTGGGACACAAGCAAGCAGGCTTCTTGTGGCCAGCTGGCGTCCACTCAGCCTTGCGCCAGTTTCTTGCGTGTTACGTCGCCAGCTGCTCATCTCTCTTCGTGTTGAGCATGGGAGCAGCGATGTTTTGTGCATTGCATTGCATCAGCAAAAGCAGGGCAGCAGTGAGGCGCGCGGACACGTTGTGCTGCCTCACCGTCGATTAATGTGGGCTGAGGGAAATGTCGCGCCACCTGACTTTATGTGGGTGGAGGGGCTGCTGGGCTGCAAGAGAGGGGTGGAGGGGCGTGACATGAGAGTCAAGTAGAAAATTGTGCACAACGTGCTCGGGCACTCGGGTGATGGTGCGGTTCCCACGGGCATTCAAACCAGCACGTCTGGTGCCAAGTGAGTCGTGCCGGAGCGGCGGGTACTGGTGGCGGGTCCGCGGGTCCAAATTTGGCTACCCGTACCCCTACCCAGTGGTACCCGTACCCGTGACCCTCACGGATTGCCCGTACCCCTGCAATGCACTACATACTGGTGACGACTGCGGAACAATGGGCGTACACTTGGGAGATCAACACATTCCTTTTCCATGTGTATTTGTAAGAGTTTGCGGGCTTGGAACCCTTGTTTGGGGGGCCGAGCTGCCTGTGAACCTAACCTTTGGTGGTTGCGGCGTGACCGGGGAGAATGTCATGAGGTCTTGATGTCGTTAGCGAGGCAAGGAGCTCCCGCTATAGTCATTGCCGGGCGAGGAGCCTAGCAGTGGCATGGTGTGTCCTAGGTCGGGCGAGGAGCCAGGCCAAGGGCGTGTCCTAGATGAGGGAGAGGAGCCATGTCGAGGGAGAGTCCTGGATGCAGGCGAGGAGCCTTGTCTAGGGTGGGTCCTAGGTGTGGCGAGAAGCGCAGGCTGAGAAGGGCTGAATGTACTCAGACAGTGCGGGGTTCGCACACGGACGATGTGGTAGTTCAGGTGTAAGCAGATATTACTTCCCAATATGGAAGGAGGATGGCTAAGTACAGATGATCTAATCTAATATCCACTAGACAGTTCATAATCTAAGCTACTAGGGGAGGCATAGTATTGCCCACCTGTAACAGGATTTTGAGCAGCTCACGGCACAGTTGCACACAGGAAACCAAGCCTCTTGTCCTGCAGATCGACCGCAAGCGTGGGCAACATTGCACAACTGTATCCGTAGGATCTGGGGCTTTGACATGCCATACTTCCCTATGGTCATGGAGCAGGCATACCTGGACAGTCTGGATGAGCTACTGTGGCTACAGCATTGGAGAGCCCTCGGGAGGATCATGATGGAATGGCAACTGGAGGTGATTCATGTCAAGAGCATACAAGTCGCTCTGGGGGGCACTGTTACAGACATGGAATGGGAACTGAAGGAGGTATTCAGACGTAAGTTCAATAGTGTGTATAATTGTGACCCATATCCCTTTGAACATTAGCAGTTTAGTATAGTATTAAAGTGTTAGCATGTAGCCTACATAATTACAGATGCAGACATCCACTGGTGCGTGTCTGCTGAATGGGCATCATGCACTTGTGCAACTCACACCCTCTTTGACATGCCACTCAGCTCTGCTGACTGACCCATCTCTGTGAGAGCACCTGGCTCTCAAGGACTGCTTGCCGCATCCGGATTGGCGGACTCAACGACCCTGGACTTCTATTTGATGACCTCCCCCTTTCCTCTGTCACTTGCTCTCCAATCCACCTTCAATTGACTACTTGTGGCCCTCTTTGGAGGCCCCCGTCTACTCTCTCAGACTGGCAGTTCAGCGAACCCACTCTGAGGTCCCAGTCATCCTCACACTTGGGTCAGCCAAGAAGGCCCGCAAGGGTGTCAAGAAGTACCTACAACCGGTTGATCTGATGGTATCATTCAAGCATACAGGCAAAGGTAAGGTGACGTACTCTGTACACCAGCACACGCATAACAAGACAACATAAGTATGACTAACTCATGGTGACTCATTGTCAAACACTGACCTTCTTGACCATCAGAGCGGAGATAGTCCGCTGGGTCACCAAAAGTCTGTGGCTGTTCTCCATCATTGGAGACCACACGTTCCAGAGCTTGATGAAAACCAGCCCGCTGGAGAGTACTGGATTCCATTGCAATGGACCGTTACACGCAATGTTCATAACATCTTCATGCATATGCATGAGCGCATTGGGAAAATGCTTCAGGTAAGCGCACACTCACAAAACAATGGACATGGACTTATCTTGCATCTCCAGCAGGACTTCAATGGCAAACTCAGCTTTGCCACTGACTGTTGGATATTGCCCAATCATAAGGCAACGGTAGCATTCTCAGTCCACTTTGAACAGAACGGCATACCTGCGCGGCTTGTCCTTGACGTTGTTGAGCTGGCCAAGGCCCATTTGGTCATCAATCTTGCAGTGGTCTTTGCGAAAATGCTGAAAGAGTTTGGGATTGACACTAGAGTAAGTTTTTGAATCATCCATCATTGCCTAACAGACTCACCAAGGTCTCACTCAGATCCTTGCCGTCACTGCAGACAACACATCCACAAATGATGTTATGATTGACGAGCTTGACATCCTCAATGACTTGTTTCAATGTCAAGTGGGTCATGTTTGATGCTTCAATCATATTCTGAACCTTGTGGTGAAGACACTCTTGCATCAATTTGACGCAACACCAGCCAAGAAGCAGAAGAACACACACGATGTTGCTCTAGACGCTGCAGAGCAAGCCTTGCAAGATCTGACTGGCGATCTTGAGGACTTCAATGATGACAATGACATGGGCAAGTGGGATATGGACACTGTGTTGAGGACATTGAGGGTTGGGCTGACAAGCAGGACAACATAAGGTTGCGGAGCTTGAGGCAACTATGCACCCTGTTAAGCTCGTTCTTGCCAAAGTCTGTTGAGACCATTCTTCAATGATATGAGTGATCACTCACCATGTATCTAGCTCTGCAAGTTTGCCTATAGTGTGATCAACTCTTCAACCAAACTCCTCCTGGCATGGCGCAAAAGGCTTCTGGAGCTCAACTTGCCATTGGAGAACATGCCATGCAATGTTCACACACTGGAACTCCACCTACTAGATGCTTCAGTTTGCACTAGCATATTGTGAAGCAATCAATGATCTTACTGGAGATCACACAATGGACCTGCGGTGAATGGAGTTGGACAGCAGCAAGCGGAAGATTGTGAGTCAATTATGTGACATTCTGAAGGTGCGTCACACACTGTCATGCCTTGTCACAACTCAACTCACAGTGGAATGTCACACATCTCAGGTCTTCTGGGATGGGACACAGTTCTTCTCTTGCACTGTCCCCAATCTTGCAACTGTCATTCAAGCAATGGACCTGCTGGATGAGTGGATGACTAATTTTTCTCTTGACACATGCTTCCTGCCTTCAATCTGTGCTGCCGTCAGTCTCACAAAAAAAGACTCTCGACTGGTATTATGGTAAGACTGATGAGTCAAATGCCTATTGCATTGCAATGGGTAAGTCAGCCAGAATCATTTTAAAGTCGAATGTATACTAATCATGATGCAGTTCTTCACCCACATCAGAAACTGCAGTACATTGAGAGGGCAAGATGGCAAGAAGGTTGGAATCAGACAGCAGAACAGCTTGTCCGCAACAAATACAGGGAGTGGCTTATCTGCCATGGCACAACAGAGATTGTGTCATCTGGTAAAAGCTCCAGCAGCAAGGCAGGTGGTAGCAGAGACAACAGCAAGGGTGGCAAGGTATGCCGTATGATTGCTTTGAGGTGTTCTCTGATTAACAGTGTTTGCAGCAGTCTAAGAATATTTTCAACAATATTCCTGCACTTGCGCCGCCCAAACAGGTCAAGGTCACATCCAGTGTTGAGGCAGTTCAGGACCCAATCATGTGGTGGTACAATAACCGTCACATGTACCCAACTCTCTCCTGGATTGCAATCAGCTACTATATCGGGCCGGGATCTCGGCCACCCTAGCTAGTTGGTCACTGGACCCTTGTAAAGCTCCAGCCTCTTCTGTAGCCAGGAATTTAATACTATCGCGTTAATGTGCATTTGTTCTTCGCCTGTGCATCAGCTGAAGTCATTGCATTGAGGTTTGCATCCTAGAAAAATCATTCTTTGAGAGGATGTCCATTTTAGGTAATCAGTGGCTGGATCTCCTGGACCCCTCGGCTTTGACTGGGCACGTTGCTCAGATCTCACTTGCTGGGGATAGGGCCATTACTGGCAGTATGATCCCTTCAGTGTCAGTTCACATTGTTTTCTGCTGTAGTTCACCGGGTAGGGACACTAACAAGCTATCACAGTGTTTGCTGGGGGTTGCTGTATTGATGATACTAGATACTATCAGTATTGATTAACACAGTATGACAGAATGAGTTGCTACACAGTATATTGTGTGAGATTGGGGTATGTTGTATTAGCACCCACTGTTTGGGCCACTCTTCCATTGGAAAGTTGCTTATTGAGTGTCTTGTTGAGCTTACTGACTACTGGTATACCACCACTGATTCATCGGATGACATTCTTGCACCTATTGTAATCTACGCGTACTTGGGGAATTCAATTGGTGCTACATTGGGAATAGGGAATTCATCTTCGTAGTATGACCACTGCCCATTTCCTGCAATTATTTCGAGCTGCACCAGTCGGCATGCATGCGACATATTAAACTGTACGCTGCACAAGAGGCGGCGTCCGTCACGGTTGACATAACGGCATGAGAATTCTACCCCTCCAGCATAGGTGACTATGCGTTTGTAGTAGGTAGAACTGTTGTGGCAATCATATTATGTGAATTAGTCGGAATGATTAATGATATCTAAACTCACTAGGTGCGTGACCAAGGCACATTGGGTTCAGTGGCAGCGGCAAGGCACGCATCGAGAGCGGCTTGAGAGCGCAGAGTGTGAATGCCCAAGGGATGGGCAAAACCTGCTTCCACTCGGTGTACCCATTCAACTATGACGTCCGGATACTGCTCAGTGCCAATAGAGGGATCCATACTCGAATAGTAAGGCTGAACTGATGATGAGCGGGTTGTGGTTTGGAGTGAGAGAAAATTTACTGAACGCGCGGCCTTACTTCCCCAGCATCTAATTTTGAACTCCTATTTTTAGGCTTTAATCTATCTGTAGCGGTGCAAGCACGGATCCCCAACTCCTCTTGGGAAACTCAGACTGCATAAGGTTCTAACAATAAGTCCTTAGTACTAGGAAACAGTCTATTAGAACAATACCACTATGCACCACATAAAATATTGTGGTACCGAGCCAGCATCACTGTCATTCAATATTGTCAATGCCTACTGTTGGAACATACGGCCGAGCACGTGCCCAAATGCCAACGCACTGACATGTTGCGATATGGCACAATGTTACTGTACCTGCCGCCACCCCTTAATGTACCCTCCCCATCAATGATACCCCATACATAGGTCTGTGACTGCCTGTATTTACTCTTCGCACGTTTGCCTCCCCGCCCCGAGGACGAGACAAACCGCTTCTCTGATCAGGAGTATGATTGAGGATGTTCCACTTGCAAAGAGCCACGCGGAGTGTGGTCACATCGCATACAGTGACCAGATTGAGGAGCTGCATGATGTGTTCCCGCTGATCTTCTTGCTTGTTCTCACGTGATGCGACCTCACTTCAACACCTACTTACTAGTGAGACTCACTTGGATGCCGCCCGGGCATCTTGGGGCCTCTAAGGCAGCATCTGTTGAAGTAAGCGGTGGTGGGGCATGGGAACGAGCAGGCGGAACAAGTAAGCAGCGGGAATCAATAGGTACTGGAGCGGTTTGTCTTGTCCTCAGGGCGGGGAGGCAAACACGCAAGGGTAAATACACAAGGATTGCAAGTAATATACGAGTCCGTAATTGATGGGGAAGGTACATTAAGGGGAATGGCAGGTACAGTAGCATTGCACCGTGATGTGGCGCGTCGGCGCATTGGTATTTGGGCATGCACTTGGCCATATGTTCCAACAGCATCCACTTTGACCAGAGCTGTCTTAGTCTATGTTACACCACACCCAATCCTTTGTTGAAAAGAAACTGGAGACGCAACTTCATAACACACTTTTATACATACTTGCAGAGACATTGCATTGAGATCCAGCCAACGGAGCTGGGATGGAGTGGAACTACCTGCTATATGTGGAAAGCACGTGTGCTTGGTGCCGGGACTGCACCTCGTTATGGTAAGAGTTGCTCCTGTTATGGACAGTTCTCCCACGTGTATGGTGGCATGCTACGGCTTGTTGATGTTTCATCTTGAGAAAGCCCTCCTCCCTTTGGGAGGAGTCAGGGATCCATTTATGGTGCTTGTCCCCTTCTATACATTGATAAGTACTCATTCCTCATCCATATTCTTTGTGCGTGTTGGGTTGATAGCTGTTCTGCCTGACAGGTGTAGGTTGTGTGCATGATGTTACAATAATATTGGGGCGAGTGAACGTAATATTTGCAACAAAGAGGGGGGTTATAATAGCAGCTGGTGATGACTTGGATGTGCTCAATACATTCCCAAGTGCTCCTCCACCTGCAAGCACACTTTGTGTGTGGCCAGCATCATGTCCACACCCTGCTCCCACAAGTTGTTGTCCCATCCAAGGAGACTTGAATCCTTGGGATAGTCGTATGGCCAATAGTAGAAATAATCGGTCCACACTTGACCGAAGTAGTCCGTGTACGCGGACATGTACTTGTACGCGCCATTTGGGAGGCGGACCACCCAGGTCTTGCACAGCCCGCTGCTTGAACAGCAGCTAAGGGCGCTATGGGTAATAGATCTTTACTAGGTCTTGCAGATATGCGCAGTGTTTGCAACTCTGCCATCAACCTTCTTCCACTTTCAATGCACACTCAGAGCCCAATTGAGGGCAACTTGTGGTCCCTGTGGCATCAGGGAGATTGAGCAAGAGCGGGTGCCGTCATCGCAAGGTAGAGGAATTGCCGGCCTGACCGAGTCAAAGGCTGGGAGGGACAGGCGGCGGCTGCGGATGGGCACCACTGCATTGTGGACGTCAAAGTTAGGGATGTTCAGATAGCAGTGGCGGGGGTTTTGAAATAGTGATGTGCTTCTTTTACATGCGCTGAATGCTTCTGTTGGAACACGTGTATCAATTCCGATCATTCTGGCAGTCAGCGTCTATTGGTACAGTCTAGAACGAGCCATTGTCCAACTGCCAGTTGTACCCCCCTCTGCTGGTACCGTAATTGAAACACTGTTCGTACTGGAACTCTGACCTTCCCCATGGAGTGACCACCACCAATTGCCAGGTGACCATGGTCGCCATGAGATTGAGTTGGATGCTTGCACGCATCTCGCGGTTGGCACATCGGTCGTAGTGTGCCCACACGAACTCCACTCCATCAGGCAGGATGTGGATCCATTCTTTGTAGAATGTCCTAGATCGTGCTAAGTCATTTTGGGAACCAGCTGAGAATTCACCTAAGCCTACATGGTCCGGTGAAATGTATTGTCGGCTTGTCCATAGTCTTTGATGTAGGTGATTGCATCACGCTGACAATTTGTCCAGATCTCTAGCCCAACGATCCCGATCGGCATCTCCCGGGACACGACTCCCTCAAATGGTTCGACGATGTGGATGATTGGTTGCATAGTTGTGGTCAGCTTGGGTGCTAGGAGAATATAGGGCATGGGGCGTGGTTTAAGAGGCGGGATAGGTAGGGCTGAGTTGCGGCACAGAGTAAGGTCGTGAGGGACAGGTTGCGGTTGGGGCATGTGTGAGTATAAATATACAGTGATAGGCCCTGCATCTGTCCGCAGAGCTGCTAATGCATGTTGGGATGACAGCTAGGGCCGTAGCTTCACGAAGCTTTGCAGGCCATAAGTCTTAAGCGCCATGTGAATTGAGGAACTTGAAGTCCGAGAACAATGGAACGTGTTTGCAGTCTGGCTGGGTCAGCAGATTTGATCACCGATCCACGTCTTGATGAAGTCGTGGCGCTTGTCCCCTTCTATGCATTAATAGGTACTCCTTCCTCAACTCTTCATCACTATTGCAAAATCCCTTCCCTGAGTCAACCTCATTGTCTATATCAGCTTCATTACTATCCAGATTTTCCTAGGTCTGAAAATTTTCATATTCATCTTCAATCCAATCTCTTTCAATATGTTCTAGCCGTGATACATGTACGCCTTTAGCATAGAGGAGGCCTGTAGATGTATCACAGAATACATTACAGATTGTGCTGTAATGTATTGAAGCACAGCAAGAACATGTGCTAGCACTGCACAGCTGACTAACCACTGATATGCCTATATCTGGCATGGCGGGTTTGATGTGCCTGCCCTGCTGTTCCGCATGGCCAGCAGCATGCAGGTGTGCAGCACACGCTTTTGACACAGTTATGTAGGGCTACATATACATGTATGCTGACCACTGTCAGTGACACACAGTATGTGGCTGTACGCGCCAGCGGTAGTGTGATTACATAAGTGTTGGGTGATGTTCTACCCGCGTTAATGCTCACCTTAGCTTGTAGAGAAAAACTTCATAGCAACATGTATTAGTATTGTTAGTATTATGTTACAAAGCTATGGATCATGAGGACCAGCAAAAGCCTTAAGATCCAAGGCAAAGGTGTAGTGGCATGCATGGTGCTCTTGACTATTACCGGATTCAGTATTGCCAACATGGGTAGATCACATTAGTGCCCATTGCTCAGGCCACGAAAACATGACATGGACGGCCGGCTCACTTCTGCACTATATTGTGCATACAATGTGCAGATTCCTGTACTACTGTCATATCGCATGATTACTTATATAAGATTAGGTCCATAATTGTACTATCCAAGGCCGGAGTCTAGGCTGTTTTCAAAATCACTACACTGGGACCCACAAGAAAGCGCAAGTGAATCTGAAGAATCAGATTCAAGGTCCGAATCAAGCGGAATTGATGAATGGGTGTAAGATTCGCAGAAGTTTCCCTTCAATGCTAATCAAAATTCACTCACACACTGTCACACATGACACATCACATATACCTGGGGATTCAGGTCAACACCCACCATCCCACCCCAATACCTCACACGCTACCACAATGAGCTCAGAATCGTCCACTGTGTCTTATGTTCCCACCCCGTACGTTCCTCCTAGCCACTGGCCTCACATCACTGGAATCTTCCATAACCACAACCACACAATCCTTAACCCTGACTTCTTCTCTGAGGTCCCTATCAAGTACCTTGTGCTTGCGCGGCTTGGACGTGCGACATGCGTCTGTATCCCCACACCTCAGTCCTCATTCTTGACATCGTGCACATCAAATTTGCCTCATCAGTCCTCCGGCCGTATGGATGGGTCGTCATGGACATTTATGGTCCAGTCCACCTCACGCGGCTGATACACTCTGCACGGTGCAATGTGCTGGCCTTCCAAGGCTGGTGCCTCGACCTCACCTATCAGGCGGACACCAACAACCGTGCCAACTTCAACCCCTGTATCATATATACCTTCCCCGCTCCTGCTTCATGGAGCCAGTTGTTCCACAACCTGCGTGTACCTGGATGTACGTCTGGGAATCAGTCATCAGTTGCTTCAAGTCCATGAGCTGGTATGTTCTTATCATTTCTCCACCCCTCATGGCAACAAGGACATTGCATTCTAAACATGGGGGTGGATGCCCAACTTGCAAAGATCATTGCTAATGGAAAACATGTACCAGCATTTGCAGTCATGATGAAGATACTGTCTTTGACTCAGAGGTTGAGATGGGCAGCATGGGGGAGAGTGGTGAGATGGGTATCTGACGACCAAATTGCTTTATTTGTATAATTCATGGACTACATAATAGACAATGACTGCAGTTTGGATGATCTTATTTGAGGGAACAAATAAGTGAGTAATATACTTCAGTAATATGAACAATGCTACTGCACTTTTGAGAGATGTTCCATCATGTCCTGACATATAATGCTACTGTCATATTCCTATTTCCCAGTGTATGCAACACACCTGTTGCTGTTGCTTTTAATTGTCCCTCATTTGTACATTCTTACCCGTCTCTCTTCCATCATTGAACCATATTTTACCATCTGTTGAGATAATGCGGCAGGTGAAATGAGATCCTCCAAAATAAATTACTCCCACCAGACGGTAATCCACTTGGCCTTGTAAAGTGGGCAATGTGAGCTGCTTACTGAGGTTTGTATTGTCTGCTTGGTATACATTGAAGGCAATGAAAATGGGTGCTCGCAGAACTGTACATTCATGGATCATAGTTGCATTGCAGACTCTGCATCTGTCAGGCAACCTATGTTTCAAGGCTGCCTTAATCCATTGGGCCATAGTCCGGGTCTCTGATGGACGGCCACGTGCTATTCTAGAATTCCATAGTGTTGCATCCAGTGCCCAGAGCTTGGTGCTCAATATCAGCCATTTTCAATGTATTGTTGTCATCCAGCCAACCACTTGTATGGGCAATGTGTTCAACTTGCTGCATCTGAGCAATTCTCCCTAATGCTCTTTTTCCTAGAACACCCCAGTCTGGGTCATAGTAGATGGCACCATCATCTTCAGTAAGGCTGTTCTGCACAATGTCTGCATAGTCATCTGCATCTGTATCATGCTGATCTTGTTCATCATCATCATATCCAAAGCTGTTGCCCTCAGTCTCCCTCTGCTTAGAGAATCATCTCTGGAGTCATTGCATTCATACTGTATATGGAAGAAATTCATGATATCCATCTGACAGGAAGTGAACTGGTGTGCAGCAAATGCATCATCCCAAGATTGCTCAGATTGCTTCAAGTCTGTACCTGTCCTCCATGGCTTGAACAACATAAGCATAACAAGACAATACTCTTCCCTGTTTCCTTTGTCTTTCCTTGGAAGACTGCCACCTACAAAGTTAGGGACCCTTGCAAAATGCTCAGGCTGCCTGACTGCCATGTGTGTCTGTTCAGCAGCATACTTCTTTTCAGCCACTTCTGCCTGAAGTGCAGTATCCTTGGTAAGCAACATTTCATCGTCACTATCAGTCTCATATTGTGTGGTGGGTCCACCACCACGCCGTCTGGGCAAAGGCTTGATGTCCCAGACCTGTTCAGCTTTCACATTTTGTGTCAACTGGGTGACCTTTTCATTGACAGCTCTGAGCTTTTGTGTTGCTTGTGTTTTTGCACAACCCGTGGTCTGTTTTTCAGCCAGTCAGATACAGTCATATAGGCTAACATGGTCATATTTTGTAGGCCTGTGGATGTAATCCATCTGCTGGGATATGCCAACACAACTGTCCTTGCTCTTTCCAATGACCACCTTGACAGGGTTCTGGTCAAGATTATACAATATGTCTTCCTCAGTCCAGGCTTTCATCACTTCATACTTGTAGCTGCGCCAGTAAAACAGTTTGAATATGTGGCTAATATAATGATCAGGATGGTTGAGTAGATACATACACATAGGTGCTCCAGTTTCTGCACTTGCAGACAGTGCATTGACCATTTTTGTAATAAGCTTACGGGCCCGGATTTTCCTGTCTGTGCCATCCTCCGTGAGGAGTTCCGTGTTGCGTGTAAACACAGTCTTTACTGCAGAGAACATTGTGTGGGTCTTCAGTGGTGTTTTGGTGATGTAGTCTGTGACATAGGCTGTGATAGCTTTGATGGCAGTCCCTGAGAGCAGACTGGTCACATCACTATTGCATCGCAAGATATATGTCAGTGCTGGGGCAAAGCTATTTAGCCGGGCTTCTCCCTGTTTCATCAGCAATGCTCCACTGTTAGGGTCAAGTCTATAGAGTGAGATGACCTGGACTGACCTCTGATGACCGATATAATACCTCAGAGCCAAGCCGTGCCACATTGCCAGTGGTTGTCACAATAGATTCCACACGCTGCCAACGCAGAGTACAATCTGGCAGAGTGATCTGTGGGAGACTCTGTCCAGTGGTTGTCTGGTCCCAAGTGAGTGGAGGCGGTCGTGTACACATGTTCCACGGCATTGCTGGTAGGGTCAGCTTCCCTCTATCAATGGGCTTCTCCTTCGCCACGCCAAGTATATGTGCATCGACTTGGTGCAGATCTAGGTGCGCCAAGACATCCTTACCCACGCAGACCCACTGCTGCATTTGTCGGTCTTGCCAAAAGCCACCTGTCATGATGTGACGGCAGCGCGCCTGGTGTGCGAAGGCGATGGCGATGTCACGACTGGGCACCTGACAATTGCTGTGAATTGAGCATAGATGGAAGACATGGTTGAAGGACTCATAGCGTTTAGTGGAGAAGAGGAGGGCAGGCCCAAAACATTCGATGTGGTCAGGTAGGTGCAGAAGGATGTGGAATTTGTGTTTGAGAGTGACCAAACTCGGACTGAGTTTTGCGGCAAAGTCATTGACGTCACGCACAGCCGCACGTAGATCCGCCTGCACATCAGAGTTCGGGAGCACTCATGAATGACTCGCAATTAGTTATGTTTTGGGAACTCACAACAAAGGTCTTCATGTCGTGGATCTTCGTCTCCCAAATCAGGACAGTTAGCTGTCCAATCGCCTGCCATACTTGCTGAATGGCCTCCTCCACGAGGCCGCACACAGCAAAAGCCATGGCCTACGAGATGGTCTTGAAGTGCTTGCCAATAAGACTTCCACGATAACGACACATGTAGCCAGCCATTATATTGGGAATGCAGAGTCCGGCTCGCTCAAGCGAACTGAGTTTGGCATGGAACGCTGCAAATTTACCTGTTTTCTCCAATATCCAGATGGTCTAGGCCCAGAAGTACTTCATGATGCCCAAAAGGTGGGTATGTAATGGCTCGACAGGCATGTCTCGGTGGACATCCACGCCTGTCAACGAGCTCAATTCATCAGCTGCTGCAAGCAGAGAGATCATAGCATAACATACCAGGCATCTCCAAACCAAAAGCAGATTGATTATTGGCACATCATTCTTCTCCAACAGTTCAGCATAGAGTTTCTGATTCACCTCAGCAGGTGACAATGCCATTCGCTGCATCGGCATCGTCTTGCGCATGGCTTTGTCGGCCGCCAAGAACTTATTAATTATGGGTACAGCCAATGAATCCTTGACGCCGTCATCCGTCCTGGCGTCTTTCACCCTTTTTAGATGCTGCAGCATTTGTTGATAGGACAAGCTGCTTGATTACGGCACCATGTGTCTCTTTGACCGTCCGAGGTCTCCCAGTCTGGGAAGGCATGACACCAGTTCAGTCAGAACGGAGAGCATGACATGCATCCACAATCAAATCACTGACCAATAGCAATGATGCAAACCCTTCATCAGATTCTTTCGGCACCTTGGTGCCGCCAACATGACAGCAGCGACAGAAATAATTTGCACTGAGTCCGATAGGACTGCAAAGCTCTGCCTGCATCGGGTTGTCACCGAGAAGGAATATAATTCACGGGCGAACCATGACATGGCTACAATTGACTGAGTCCCAAACCTTCGCCGGTGTATATCCACCCATTTTTCTATGGAATAACGCACAATTACAGATGTGCTGACCCCAGACATTCGCACACTTACCGCAGTTCGTCAGAAATTCCTTGCATCATCTCCATTGGTGATGCATTTGGGGAAGTTGCGACAAGTTTGATGTTCTTCTCCTTCTCGATGCTTGCACGTGGGAGCCCACCATTCAACAGATAACAAGAGTAATGAATGTTCCATTGCTTGGACGTATTGCCGGACATGTCATCGATGGACAGCACAAGCGGAGGGCATTCCCACTCTAAACCGTCGGCTGTCTTTCGATCTGGATTGAGCAGCTGGGAGGCCCATTGCTGTGAATCAGCTGCATGGCCAATGAGCATTTCCCAACAAGAACACAATGTACGGGCATATGACAGGGATTGACCTGAACGCTCAAGCTATGCAATGATCTCCGGTGCATTGTTCCGAAATGACGTGCAATGTAGACATACACCCATATGGGGATATGGGAAGTAATTAGTATGTGAGTGCTCTCCGCCGCTCCCCATGGGATGATCCTCCGTGCCCAGCGCATCTGGCCACAGCGGTGCATCCTCATTGAACTGCGCTGGCGGCTGATAGTACCAGTTGTTGCTATCCTCGCCCCCACATCATACCAGTCAGTGACTGTTGCCTGACGACCACTTGCACTGTGAGCTGCTGGTGGAACTTGAAGAACAGCTGCCTCCACTCATTCACAATGCCCGGCCTGCTTCTCGTGTGCACGGAGGTTTGCTATTTTCATCCACCTGTCAGACGAAGCGGACCAGGGGCAAAACCGACATCGCCCCAGCTTTCCGTGCAGTTCAAAATCTGTGTAAGCACGAGATGTGAGTCTCCGGGATATGACCCCTGACATGGGACATGCACCCTGTTGTCATTGAAGGCCGGACATGCTTGCAAATTGAGGGGACACAGAAGAGCTATACTGGGTTATAAGCAGCTGGAGAGAGCGGTCAGTGGACCATGGACAGTGAAGGTGAAAAAGAGGTGCACGCTGAAGTCACAGCACTGAGGCTGACCCACCAATCACCCTCAGCGGGCCTTGATTGATGTGGAGAAAGCCCCTGACCACGGTTGCCTGAGACAAAGTCATCACATTGGGTATAAACACAGCAAATACAAGCCTTTTGAACTAGCTACCGAGCTGTCATTAGTTCAACTGATTCAATCTGACTACTTTGAACTAACAGAATAGGTCATCAATTGCCCGATAACCTTGCTTTGTCTCTGTGCTTCCCGAACCTGACGCCGGATAGAATAGGTCGTCAATTGCCCCATAACCTTGCTTCCTCTCTGTGCTGCCTGAGCTTGATGCCGAATACCTATAGGTGGACGTGAGCAAACACACTCATTGGGTTGCGCCGGAAAGACCAAACCTTGGACTCGTATAAACCGCCGGAGCAGCTGTAATCCTCCTCTGCTTCATGTCACCATGAAGCGCGGACAAGGAAGGCTCTGCCTTCCTCTTCATAGCGCCATGATTGGCCCCGGCACGCACATTCTGACCTGTAGCTGATGTCAGAGTTTGAACCCTTTGTAGATGCTGTGAACTCACTTGTGCTGTTGTTCTCGTCTGTCATGATTGTGGATGTCTGGGCCATGACAGCATGTTTGAGGAATGCCATGTCCTCACCACTGATGGTCGTTTGTGGGATACAGTGCGATAACTGCATCATCACCTCGAGCAACCGTTCTTCCCTCATCTCACTTTGTCGCACTTGCTCTTCAAGGGCGCTAGCCTGGGACAGACAACAACTGCCCGGGCTTGTATCTGGACTCCCTGCGACCCTCTTGCTGGGATTCAAAATCTTGCGGTGCAACAGGCGTGAGATGACCTCGAACTGTTGCTTGATTGTCTCTTTGCTTTCTCGAAGTTGATCTTCAAGTATGTCGATGGCTGTACAACATGTACAGCATTGGCCGGCTGCAGCAGTCTCATGAGCCGTGCAACTGCAGGTTGGGCGTGGGAGCTGCATCGGCCCTAGAAACAGTTTACAAGATGAGATATAGGACATGGTATGACTGATGAACATACCAGATGCCTGACCAAGCAAATTGTTGGACAGCGTATCCTCAGCCTGATGAAGACCGTCGAGGAATTGCAAGTCCATGGTCTGAGAATCCAGGGCACCACCGTGTTCAAACAGACTATGATATCATGCACGGTTTCACCTTTTCTTGCGCAACCTGGGCGGCCGACCTCACAGATCGAGGCTTGGTGGGACTTGGGCTCCACCATTGCAATGGTTCAAAATCCTCATCTTCCGACATCTGCGCAAAGTGGAACCGAGGTCTGCATTTGCCTGCGGACCAATAAATATAACAAGGTCGTACTGACTTTCTTACTGTTAGAACAGCGGAGCTGTCGTGGTCCTTGTACTGACTTCGCCAGCCACAAGTGTGGACTTGCACGCAAGACAACAGGCCTGCATTGATTCACGAGTCTCCATGAGCGATAGCCTCACATGATCGTGAACAAGGGATGAAGGGTTGATATGGCATCGTCGAGGGGTCGGTTCGATGGGGACACGGGTCGTGCGTGAGAGGCACCGGAAGCGGCGCCTGAGCGGGGTCTTCTGAGGGTCGTGGGCAACAAAAGGAGTAAACATGATATTGATCTGATCTGAGGGTCTATCCTATGCTCAAAAGGGTATTGCGGTGATGTCTCCAGCTACCAGTACCTCACAGACCTTTAGCGTCCTCCGGTGGTGTAGGGATGTGCACCCACTTGCCTGGCAGCTCAGTGATGACCCAGGCAGTGATCCCATATGGATATGCCAAAGAGAAGCTACAGAAAGATCAGTACAAACCAATGGACAGTACTATTCACTACTCACTACACCCATTTGTCCTCCTTGTACTCCAATTGTCCAGGAAACCCATCAGGTAGCTTAGGAAAATCCAGCGCGGGCTACAAGTCCCAAACATCGGAAAAAAACAGTTATTTAGCCCAAACAATGGTGAAATAGGGATGAAATCTTACTTACCATGACTTCAAACATGTATTTGGGAGTGGATGGCAGATAGGGAGGGTTGCAGAGGCTAAGCAGGGCCAGCAGATCATGGTTGAGGAGAGAAAAGCACAAGTGGGTGTGCAGCCATTGATGACCCATGAGGCACCTGCATGCAGTGCAGAGTTGCATCTGCCTAATTTCCAGGTGGATGCAACTCAACACAGCACAAACACTGTGCTGGCCAGCCAAACTCAGCAGGGTGTGGCGACATTTCGGGCTCCATGCGTGTGCCAATGCTTGCACATGGGCAGAGCCCAAAATTGTGGCTCAGGGCCCTTGAGAAATCCTTGCTGCTCAAGCACCCAGAATCACCCCATCCGCATCGAACGACATGGCATGAACATCCTGCAGTGAGGTGGGAGGGAATAGAAGGGGACAAGGGCACAAACGGAGAGTAAACAAGGCCAAAAATGTCCCTGCACTTGCCCTGAAACAGGGCTGCAAGACCTGGCTGGCAGCCAGGCCTTGCAACCCAGCAACTATTGACAGACAGGTATACTGGCACGGCAACTGCATGCTTTTGTGTGAATAAAGTATCGGCGGATTCTCCTGATTCAGGAGAGTTGGACAGATTCGTGCGATTTCGTGAGGTGCCGCCGACGCAGCAAACCCGTGAAGATAAATCCATGCAAACACATCCCAAACCATGTACTAATTCCTGCCAGCCTTCTGCACACCTTCCCATCTGCTCATTGCTGTGCCCATACTCAGTATTCACAATGTGCTTATCAGCTGTGTTTGCATGTGGGGCGCTGGCCCTACATGCTTGTAGTGAGTGAGTGTGTGCGGTGCATTGCCGTGCACCTGCTGTTCCACTCAGGCTCGCCTGCCCCCTCATTTGTTGTAAGTGGGTCCCTACCGCATGAGACAATGTGGAACTCCAGGTGCTCGGCTGCCTTGCACGCTTGCTCTGTGAGGTCTGCAATAGGCATAGCTTTGTTGCCCTGGGGAGCAACACATCCAGTGGGGTGTACACAAGGATGACTCGGAGGAAGGCAGCTGAGGTCTGCGTCAGTCTTGTGTTGAAGTTGAAGTTGCGTCTGCTGTCATTGTTGCTGCCAGTAGCATTGCAGTAGTTGGGATATTGCCTGTTGTTCATTCATGAACATACTATCGGCATTATAACAAGTTGTCCTGTCTACGTACAAGCAGGGTTCTGTATGGGTGCCATAGTGGGCGGATTGAACCAATACAGATACTGGGGCCCAGCTGTCTCATGTGTGGGTTGGGCTGTTGACATGGTGGTGGCGGTGGTATGGTCAGTGATGGGCATGGGGGCAGACATGGTGGCAGGAATTGCAATGTCAGGGGATAATCAGTGTTGCAGTGTTATGGGTGTAATGGAAGTGCAACTTTGATGATAGATGTAGATGTCTGTCTAGGAAAATTGCCCTTGTTAAGCACTCTTGTCTAGCACTCAGTGGTGTTTGCTCTGACATCTCATCCTTGTCTGACTGATACCTGAGGCTTTTGTTCATTGTGTGATGTCTGCATTGATACTCCTTCTTTATTAATACCCTGAGCCAAACGGTTTGGGCTCAGGACACCACTAAACTTCATATCAGAATGGACTCTTAGGGGTAGGGGTACAGGTAGGTTCTGCCACACCCATGGTTTGACCAGTGCTTGGCCCTACAGTTGCAGAGTATTCTCATGCAGCTGTCATGTAGACTGTAAGCCATTGTGTTTTTTGTTGTGTCTTCAGCATATGTGGCACTGTGTACTATGTGAATGAAGGGCCATCAGCCTATAGTTATCCAATTGGAGTATTATTTGTTACTAGTTCACTCTATAGACAAGCCTACAAAGAGCCAATGTTAGCTAGAGTGGCCAATAAGCCAGCTAGTCACATGATTGCTGTCCCCAGTTTCCATATTGAGTGCCACCGGAGTGCGTTTCATGGGTCCTCACCCCAGGACAGAGCAGCCAGCCACAGCATTTATTTGTATGTGTTGGTGCAAGTTGCGTAATATGGGAGTTTCAAATTTTGACTCCCACTGATGGGACAATAGTATCAGTTACTTATCTCCCATTATCTGGGCTTAAAAAGTCACGTGTACTCCTTCCATATCAGGCACCACTGTAAGGTGTTTCATCCCCTCCAGTCATAAGAATGATTCCTTTGTACCTCAGAGATCATAACCTGGCTGGAGGTAGTGCTTGACTGCAGAATGGCTGGCCCTGAGCTGCCGCGGAGCTACCACTGACTGATCAATCCCTGCTTTCAAATATGCCGGTACATTTTGCATGCTATAGATCCAGTGCATTGTTGTACAATGTATAGTGTATACTATGAGACTAGTAATGAAATAAGCTTTTGAGCCATTCTCTGGCTATGCAGAAAGCCAACCCACAAGACAATGACAGCCTATTAGTGGGTAGATTCCTAATGAGGCAATCCTCCTGCAGAGACTTGTGCTTACAGCCCTACATGGCCTACACTACAGGCCCTATGTAGTGAGAGCACTATTATCTAGATCTATGTAAATGGTACCCTACCTAGCACCCTACAGGCCCTATGTAGTACGACATAGTTACATGGCACTTTCCAGTTGATGAAGACATGGTCAACTCCCAGGCCAAGTGTTTTGAGTGCATGCCAGCAGAGGCCTATGAAGGGATGACTGATGATGAAATCCTGGAGACCTTCGACCAGCAGCTGAAGACAATGGAGGAAAAGTGGACACAGCTGATGGTGGAAGCAAATGAAGAGATGATTGAAGAAGAAATCCTGCAGAACCTTGACCAGCGGCTGATGGCAATGGAGGAGATGTGGACACAGCTCACTGCAGATGCAGAGGATGAAGTAACGAACAAGGAAACCCTGCAGACCCTTGATGAGTGCTTGGCAGCAATGGAGGAGCACTTGATGTGAATGATAGCACGAGCACAAGCTCATAACTAGATATTCTGGGTTAATCTCACAGTATCTTGGATACCTACATCTGGAAACTGTGCCACTCTGACAGGGACTTAGAGCTTGATGAGGTGGACTGTCTACAGTGTGTGTTACATAATACAGCCACATCTGTACAGTAGAACAGCCACAAAGTCAAAATCAACAAACAAGCGAAAGCAAATGAGAGCAAGGGTTCAAATCCCAGAAGTGTCAAATATTCTAGAAAATGTTAAACTGGAAGAAAAGACATCGAAGAAAATACGGTATGCACCGTATAGTAGTGGCGTCCATGTAAAATAAAGGGGAACACACCAGGACACATGTTACAATGTGGACAGGGCAATGGAGCTCAGAATAATCTGCAGAAATGCGGAATAAATTTGAGCGCAACATTTTGCTGCTTTTCTGACTGTTCTTGCAGGATCCCAGCAACCCAGTATGTCTTTTCCTGTTCCTTGTGTCTGTCTGCTCACATATGCATTACAGAGAAAGCTCTGGCACTATCCAAGGGCGAGAAGCCCAAGTCTAAGCCCAAGTCCAAGCTGGCCAAGGGCAAGAAGCATGCTCGTGCAGAGGTGGAGGATGATACAGATTCTGATGAGAGACCTGCCCAACGGGGTAAGTGTTTGTCTGTCATGATTTAGGCTTCATCTCATATTTTTCAGCATGTTTGGGCTTAGTGAATGGAGATGGTACAATTAGTTTTGTGGTTTTTTTGGTTTAGGATTTTACTGACTTTTGCCTTACAGCCCATAGAGTCATAGGCCTTCTGTGTTGTGCTACACGTGTTATGGCTGTGGATGGACCTGCTGTGGATCAGCCTAGCAGTTCTGCTCAGCCATCTCAGTGCAGGGGAGGTGTGACTTTGCAGCCATGCAGTCCCAGTAAGAAGTCTGTTGTAAAGTAGCACCTCCTCTTTATTCATTTTCCCTCTAGACCCTACAGTGTATGACACAGAGGATGGTCAATCCCTGTTGTCTGTACCTCTGGATGCATGTATATATAGTTCCTCCAAAATTGTCTGCATGCACAGAAGATGAGTCTGAGCTGTCTGAGCCAGAAGATGAAGGTGTGCTTTCTTGCATTCTCAGCATGAAGTCCTGACTGACCTTTTCATTGCATAAGATGACAAGGATGAGACACAGGAAGCTCCTGTCTTGTCTCCTGCAGCTCAGCCATCTGGGAGTGTGAGCATAAAATGTGAGTTGCTCTTTTCCCCCCATTTGCTAAGGCTCATGTTTCACTTAGCATATGTGGTTGCTCTTTTGCTGTTCACTGCAGCAAAGTTCCAGGCTGCAAACCTGATGCTGCACAATGTTGCCAGTGTCCTGCAGTCTGAGGATTTGTATTAGAATAAATATTTGAATTGACAGAGTTCTTTGTCTGGCTTCTGCATGCCTTAATCCCATATCTGTCACTTGCTGGGGAGCGGGCCATGTCTGGCAATACGATCCCTTCAGTTTGAAATCTCAGAGCAAGCAGGCAACATGTCTAGTAGTGTCACATCTGTAATACTACCTCCTCAGCTCCAGACATTCAGTCTTACATATCTCCCACTCTGGATTCTGACTTGTGCATGCCTTGATAACCCCACTATTCTTCTTCATGACCTTCACAATGATTGAACTTACATATCCAGGCTTCCCTATAGACATGGTACCATCTACGTACCAACAACTATTGAGCTCGTCATCCACTGTAAAATTTACATGGGTCCACAGAATTGTGAGTTCAAATGCCTTGCCTATGGCTAGAACATTGCTTTGGTAACCATATCTCATGCCTCACTGCATATATGATCTCTAACCTCTGTTTTGAATACTGTTCAATTTTGGTCCTCAGTCCAGTTTATGATCTGTGCCTGTGATGGCTGTTGGGTGCATGGTAGCTGACATGTATGATCCAAAATGAATGGCATGATTGTAATGAGTTCACAATTGAGTCAGTCATATATCTAGCAGCAATGCAAGTAATCACTCCATTTCAGCAGATGCTACTGCCAATTGGTGTCATGAACAATTATTGATGGTGTCACATTATAACATCACATCTTAGAGGGTGCATAGGCATGTCAACATGGTGTCAGAACATTTAAGTTGTATATGATTGCCTCTTGGGCTCATATGGTTTCATTGTTGTAGTGCATTTGTCATGTGCAACCCTGACATATCTAGAGCACAGGGAGGTTGACTTAAGACGTATTTATCATTCACTGATTGCTACAGTACAATCACTGTATACTCAGCAAATTAATGGCTTACATATATTGATCAAACAGATGTCATAAGAGAACTGCCTCACTCACACTTGATTGAATCCAAAAAACCTCGAAATATTCATGCTAGTAGTCCTCATACTATAGACTCTATAATGGGTATCAGTTTGCTGTAGTGCCCATTACTCATGTCACAATATGCAAAATAACAAATGCACAAGTTGTCATGGTTTTCTTTACTTCGTGCACAGGATTCAAATAAACAACACAGCATATTCACATTTTTAGACCCACTGGATAGTGAAGTTCTATTATTGCTAGACTGCTGAATAAAAATGCAAAACTGGGAGATTGGATCCAGGGCAACTTTCATCAGACATACAGTTCATAAGGTTCCTTAGATAATATCTATGCAGGATAGCAATGACACTCCCTTAGCATACTGCTACTTTTGGTCAAAACTGCCCTTTTGAGTGTTACTGCTCTTCCATGGCCTTGATAAAATCAACAATACCCCAAAAGTCCACAATGGTATGTGTCATATCATAGATGTGATCTTGGGTATCACTTTACCATGTAGCTCACTAATGAGGGCCCCATTTGCACATCAAGCACAGAGAATTCCGACTAAATTTGGTTTCTCTCCCACTTATCTGATTCATATAACCATATATCATACTCACAGACATTCCATCAAAGTATCTGGCTACTATATGGGGCAGAAGGATTTCCCTGTGAGTTGGTGGTTTGCTATTTGATCTGAGCTCAATAATCATTACAAAATTAGGGCTTGACAATCTTTGTGGTGTTGCTTCACAACAGTGATAGCTTCTGTGCAAGTCATATGACTGCATTTGTGTTTGCAGCCCAATCCAATATTCAAGATGGCTACTACAGTGCTGCTCATGTGATTTCTGATAAAATATTGATTGAAATAACTGACAATGGCTATATAGTGCTGTACCAATATTGACAAGTTGAAACTTGTCAACAACTTCATGCTGCCCACATTGTTTCTTGTGGCAACACCTCTCTGTAGCATCCAATGAAAACCATTGAGTGTTCACTGACTTCACTACAGGGATTCCAGCAGCTATCTGTGTTGTATCAGGCAAAATGAAGCATACTTACATGTTGGATCAAAAATTCAGTACTGATACAAGAGCTATTGTATGCTCGGTAAATGGTGGTTATTACCAATCAATTACCGAGTTATAATGGTTTTGTATCGGCATAGAAAGGAATGGCTGTGCGACAATTACCGAGCCATTCCCGAAGCTGTGTTGAATGGCTGTGCTATCCTTAGGCTGTACACCAAAAATGCGGACTCTTGCATGCCTCGGTAATGCCTCGGGAATCACAGTCCTGAAACAGTGGCTGTACTGTGGCTGTACTAGAATGACTCGGTAACATAGCTTGCCTTGTTGGAAACAACGAAGTGTAAGGCTATGATCCTATTGTTCTCCTAGAATGGCCTCTGAAGCGGTGTAAATGAGTCAAGGACATGTACTATACACTTCTATGACACTCCTTGATTTTCATAAAAGGCCATTCCCAAGCACGGTCAAGGACATCTATCTTCAATTCACCATCTACTCTTCACCGAAACACACCCTGTGTGCCACTCAAAGTCTTACTTTGCCCCGAGTGCTAAGTTAGCCATACTAGCCACTCAACCACTCTCGTCAAGTTATTACCGACATGCTCTAAGACCTGCGACAGTGAAACCTTACTTAGTACAGTCCTTGCGCTACTAGTAAGGTTTAAGTAACCCATTGACTGACTTCACAAGTTGGGTTCAGTAAGAGAAGGTGCTTAGTCATCATCTACTTCTGTAAACTTGTTACCAACCTCAATAGATCTCTGTATCAACTACTTCCATACTAGCACGTCCCAGTGGCATTACTATAATTAAAGTGGTTAGCCTAACCAGCAACTCACTTGACACTAAAGCAAGCCTTATAGCCATTAGCTGGTTGAGGATTAATTGCCTTAGTGAGCTCCTCTTGAAGCACGGCCTCGCGCTACTACATTAGGGTTTTGTAACTTGCCATGGTCACTGTGCAGTCAAAGCTAGCTATTCAGACTTCCATTCAACTTCTGTTGTGTGACTTCAAAACCAAAAAAGCCCATTCCTTCGGAATCAACCTCTGGATACTAATCCTCTGTATTCAGACTTCATCCTCTATTCTAAAAAGCTCTAAACCTCGGCAATAATCCCCATTCATTGCCAACTCAAATCCATTCTTAGCTTACTCTTCCCAGTTGAAGAGCAGTACTGCATACTTGTATAGCAGCACTGACTAAAGTCCCACCCTCTTTTGTATTCATTGTGGATCTGGTATCCTCATTACAGCTCAACTTTGTGCCGTCTTGGTAATTGCATTGCCGAAGATTGCCGAGCATTTTACCGTTTGTTACCGCTTTGTATAGGCAATACAAATCTCTATTACCGAGGTTACTATTCCTATTCACTCGGCAATAAATTTGGTAACTAGCTGTCTATAAACAAAAACAGAACCATAACACCCGTTGTGCGGACAGTGGGCTTACAGTGGCTATATCTGTTGAATGTTTTTGATGTGTATTCTGTCTGTTTATCTTTCCTGTCAAAAATTCAAAGGTCATCATTGTATGCTTTCATTGTACTAATACCAAGATATTTGGACACTGACATTTCAATGCTTTGAAGCACTTAACAATGCATATACTATCTGGACTATTAGTGTGACTGTTTCCCAATTTCTGTTGTGTTCCTGCTCATTCCAGTTGTGATATGATCCTTCAGTACTGATATAATTGCTGTTGTATGCTTGGTTAATGATGATAATACTAATAAATTACTAAGTTATAATGGTAGACTCTATTTTGGTAACCATGTCAAGCATTATCAGAGTTTTCACAATATATTACCACTTTGAATAGCTCAAAGAGATCTATTTCACTGAGATTCAAATCCCTATCGACAGGGTGATTAACTCTGTGATCAGATGTCTAAAATTGAAGCAGAGATATGACAGATGGGAACTCAAACAGGGCAGAGAATGTAAGAAAATATGTTCATTGACATCATCACTCACACTTGGCAGTTCTCTTATGACATCTGTTTGATCATCAATGGTTGATTGTAACATACATATATGAAAGCCATCAATTTGCTGATTGTACTGTAGCAATCAGTGACTGATAAACACATCATAAGGCAACCTCCCTGTGCTCTAGATATGTCAGGCACACACCTAAATAATGAAACCATATGCCTGAGCCCAAGGGGCATTCATATGCAACTTAACTGTTCTGACACCACGTTGGCATGCCTATGCACCCTCTAAAATGTGATTTTACATGTGACACCATCATAACTGTTCATGACGCCAATCAGCAATAGCATCTGCTGAAATGGAGTGATTACTTGCATTGCTGCTAGATATATGACTGACTCAATTGTGAACTCATTACAATCATGCCATTCATTTTGGATCATACATGTCAGCTACCATGCACCCAACAGCCATCACAGGCACAGATCATAAACTGGACTGAGGACCAAAATTGAACAGTATTCAAAACAGAGGTTAGAGATCATATATGCAGTGAGGCATGAGATATGGTTACCAAAGCAATGTTCTAGCCATAGGCAAGGCATTTGAACTCACAATTCTGTGGACCCATGTAAATTTTACAGTGGATGACGAGCTCAATAGTTGTTGGTACGTAGATGGTACCATGTCTATAGGGAAGCCTGGATATGTAAGTTCAATCATTGTGAAGGTCATGAAGAAGAATAGTGGGGTTATCAAGGCATGCACAAGTCAGAATCCAGAGTGGGAGATATGTAAGACTGAATGTCTGGAGCTGAGGAGGTAGTATTACAGATGTGACACTACTAGACATGTTGCCTGCTTGCTCTGAGATTTCAAACTGAAGGGATCGTATTGCCAGACATGGCCCGCTCCCCAGCAAGTGACAGATATGGGATTAAGGCATGCAGAAGCCAGACAAAGAACTCTGTCAATTCAAATATTTATTCTAATACAAATCCTCAGACTGCAGGACACTGGCAACATTGTGCAGCATCAGGTTTGCAGCCTGGAACTTTGCTGCAGTGAACAGCAAAAGAGCAACCACATATGCTAAGTGAAACATGAGCCTTAGCAAATGGGGGGAAAAGAGCAACTCACATTTTATGCTCACACTCCCAGATGGCTGAGCTGCAGGAGACAAGACAGGAGCTTCCTGTGTCTCATCCTTGTCATCTTATGCAATGAAAAGGTCAGTCAGGACTTCATGCTGAGAATGCAAGAAAGCACACCTTCATCTTCTGGCTCAGACAGCTCAGACTCATCTTCTGTGCATGCAGACAATTTTGGAGGAACTATATATACATGCATCCAGAGGTACAGACAACAGGGATTGACCATCCTCTGTGTCATACACTGTAGGGTCTAGAGGGAAAATGAATAAAGAGGAGGTGCTACTTTACAACAGACTTCTTACTGGGACTGCATGGCTGCAAAGTCACACCTCCCCTGCACTGAGATGGCTGAGCAGAACTGCTAGGCTGATCCACAGCAGGTCCATCCACAGCCATAACACGTGTAGCACAACACAGAAGGCCTATGACTCTATGGGCTGTAAGGCAAAAGTCAGTAAAATCCTAAACCAAAAAAACCACAAAACTAATTGTACCATCTCCATTCACTAAGCCCAAACATGCTGAAAAATATGAGATGAAGCCTAAATCATGACAGACAAACACTTACCCCGTTGGGCAGGTCTCTCATCAGAATCTGTATCATCCTCCACCTCTGCACGAGCATGCTTCTTGCCCTTGGCCAGCTTGGACTTGGGCTTAGACTTGGGCTTCTCGCCCTTGGATAGTGCCAGAGCTTTCTCTGTAATGCATATGTGAGCAGACAGACACAAGGAACAGGAAAAGACATACTGGGTTGCTGGGATCCTGCAAGAACAGTCAGAAAAGCAGCAAAATGTTGCGCTCAAATTTATTCCGCATTTCTGCAGATTATTCTGAGCTCCATTGCCCTGTCCACATTGTAACATGTGTCCTGGTGTGTTCCCCTTTATTTTACATGGACGCCACTACTATACGGTGCATACCGTATTTTCTTCGATGTCTTTTCTTCCAGTTTAACATTTTCTAGAATATTTGACACTTCTGGGATTTGAACCCTTGCTCTCATTTGCTTTCGCTTGTTTGTTGATTTTGACTTTGTGGCTGTTCTACTGTACAGATGTGGCTGTATTATGTAACACACACTGTAGACAGTCCACCTCATCAAGCTCTAAGTCCCTGTCAGAGTGGCACAGTTTCCAGATGTAGGTATCCAAGATACTGTGAGATTAACCCAGAATATCTAGTTATGAGCTTGTGCTCGTGCTATCATTCACATCAAGTGCTCCTCCATTGCTGCCAAGCACTCATCAAGGGTCTGCAGGGTTTCCTTGTTCGTTACTTCATCCTCTGCATCTGCAGTGAGCTGTGTCCACATCTCCTCCATTGCCATCAGCCGCTGGTCAAGGTTCTGCAGGATTTCTTCTTCAATCATCTCTTCATTTGCTTCCACCATCAGCTGTGTCCACTTTTCCTCCATTGTCTTCAGCTGCTGGTCGAAGGTCTCCAGGATTTCATCATCAGTCATCCCTTCATAGGCCTCTGCTGGCATGCACTCAAAACACTTGGCCTGGGAGTTGACCATGTCTTCATCAACTGGAAAGTGCCATGTAACTATGTCGTACTACATAGGGCCTGTAGGGTGCTAGGTAGGGTACCATTTACATAGATCTAGATAATAGTGCTCTCACTACATAGGGCCTGTAGTGTAGGCCATGTAGGGCTGTAAGCACAAGTCTCTGCAGGAGGATTGCCTCATTAGGAATCTACCCACTAATAGGCTGTCATTGTCTTGTGGGTTGGCTTTCTGCATAGCCAGAGAATGGCTCAAAAGCTTATTTCATTACTAGTCTCATAGTATACACTATACATTGTACAACAATGCACTGGATCTATAGCATGCAAAATGTACCGGCATATTTGAAAGCAGGGATTGATCAGTCAGTGGTAGCTCCGCGGCAGCTCAGGGCCAGCCATTCTGCAGTCAAGCACTACCTCCAGCCAGGTTATGATCTCTGAGGTACAAAGGAATCATTCTTATGACTGGAGGGGATGAAACACCTTACAGTGGTGCCTGATATGGAAGGAGTACACGTGACTTTTTAAGCCCAGATAATGGGAGATAAGTAACTGATACTATTGTCCCATCAGTGGGAGTCAAAATTTGAAACTCCCATATTACGCAACTTGCACCAACACATACAAATAAATGCTGTGGCTGGCTGCTCTGTCCTGGGGTGAGGACCCATGAAACGCACTCCGGTGGCACTCAATATGGAAACTGGGGACAGCAATCATGTGACTAGCTGGCTTATTGGCCACTCTAGCTAACATTGGCTCTTTGTAGGCTTGTCTATAGAGTGAACTAGTAACAAATAATACTCCAATTGGATAACTATAGGCTGATGGCCCTTCATTCACATAGTACACAGTGCCACATATGCTGAAGACACAACAAAAAACACAATGGCTTACAGTCTACATGACAGCTGCATGAGAATACTCTGCAACTGTAGGGCCAAGCACTGGTCAAACCATGGGTGTGGCAGAACCTACCTGTACCCCTACCCCTAAGAGTCCATTCTGATATGAAGTTTAGTGGTGTCCTGAGCCCAAACCGTTTGGCTCAGGGTATTAATAAAGAAGGAGTATCAATGCAGACATCACACAATGAACAAAAGCCTCAGGTATCAGTCAGACAAGGATGAGATGTCAGAGCAAACACCACTGAGTGCTAGACAAGAGTGCTTAACAAGGGCAATTTTCCTAGACAGACATCTACATCTATCATCAAAGTTGCACTTCCATTACACCCATAACACTGCAACACTGATTATCCCCTGACATTGCAATTCCTGCCACCATGTCTGCCCCCATGCCCATCACTGACCATACCACCGCCACCACCATGTCAACAGCCCAACCCACACATGAGACAGCTGGGCCCCAGTATCTGTATTGGTTCAATCCGCCCACTATGGCACCCATACAGAACCCTGCTTGTACGTAGACAGGACAACTTGTTATAATGCCGATAGTATGTTCATGAATGAACAACAGGCAATATCCCAACTACTGCAATGCTACTGGCAGCAACAATGACAGCAGACGCAACTTCAACTTCAACACAAGACTGACGCAGACCTCAGCTGCCTTCCTCCGAGTCATCCTTGTGTACACCCCACTGGATGTGTTGCTCCCCAGGGCAACAAAGCTATGCCTATTGCAGACCTCACAGAGCAAGCGTGCAAGGCAGCCGAGCACCTGGAGTTCCACATTGTCTCATGCGGTAGGGAACACTTTGATGTCAATATATTTCCTTAAGCTCTCTGCCATCTTTGAGTTCCAGTCTGTCATATTTCTGCTTCAATTTTAGATAGCTGATTACAGAGTTAATCACTCTGTCAATAGGGACATGAATCTCAGTGACAAAGATCTCTTTGAGCTATTCAAAGTGGTAAGAGGGTGTGAAACCCCTGATAATTCTTGACATGGTTACCAAAATGGAGTCTACCATTATAACTTAGTAATTGATTAGTATAATCATCACTTACCAAGCATACAACAGTGATTATATCAGTATTGAAGGGTTTTATTGCAACTGGAATGAGCAGGAACACAGTAGAAATTGGGAAATAGTCACACTAATAGTCCAGATAGTATAAGCATTGTTAAGTGCTTCAAAGTGTTGAAATATCAGTGTCCAAGTATCTTTGTAACAGTACAATGAAATACAATGATGACAAGTGATTTTTTGACAGGAAAAATCAACAGACATAGAATACACATTACAAACATTCAACAGATGTAGCCACTTGCTAATAAAAAAACAATGTGGTTTCCTTCCATGAGCTCCAAGGCCATCTGCCTCAGGAATGTGTCTTTGTGACTTCCCCTACTGAGCCAGTGATCTCATTGAATCTCTACCCATTCATTTCTTTTTGATTTTGAGTGATGGGATGCACATTGGCATCAAGTACACAATGCTGAGTGACGCTTTATGTTGACACCTTTTGATATAGGCATAGGTTGGATAGAATAGGAATGTGCAGATGAATTCTGGTGGTAGTACCTATATAGTATTGATCCAACATGCAAGTGCACTCAGCAGGTATCTTGCCTGGTATATCACAGATAGATGGAAGGATCTATGTAGCAAAGTCAGCAAACAATCAAATGTTTTCATTGGATGCCACTTAGGTGTATTGCCACAATGAATGCCACAACTTGTGTGGGCTGCATGAAGTTTTTCAGTCATGTCAATATGGGTACAGCACTATAGAATAGACAGACAGTCACCTATCATCAGTGATTCCAATCAATCTACAAAACATCACATGAGCAGCACTGTTGTAGTCATCCTGAATATTGAATTGGCTGCAAACACAAATGAAGTCACATGACTTGCACAGAAGCTGTCACTGTTGTGAAGCAACCACCACAACAATTGTCAAGTATGCCTTAATTTTACAATGATTATTGAGCTCAGGTCAACTAGCAAACCACCAACTCAACACAGGGAAATCCTTCTGCTCCATATAGTAGCTGGATGCTTTGATGGAATGTCCATGAGCATGTTATATCATTATATGAATCAGATAAGTGGGAGAGAAACCAAATTTAGTTAGGTTTTCTGTGCTTGGTGTGCAAATGAGGGCCCCTCAGCAGTGAACTACACGGTAAAGTGATACCCAAGGTCACATCTATCATATGACACATACCATTGTAGATTTTGGGGGGTATTTTTTGATTTTACCAAGGCCTAGTCTCATACCAGCCTCTCACGTCCACCCTAAAAGGGAACCCGGCCGTGAGAGTCTGGACAAGAACAAGTGCCCTAGGGGGACCTTTGCGTCTCGCGTCCTGCCACCGGGCGCTTCATACGTTCGCACGTCGCGTCTCCTGCCTGCGCGGCCGTGCTTGAGCGTATTCATTGTCTCTCGCCGTATTCCTGTCACTAGCACCACAATATAACATGCCATTGTCTTACCCGACTCATTTTGCACGTAATGCTGGCCTTCAAACCCTCCCCGACTACTCAGACGAGCCTGAAGCCATGAGTTTGGTTGCACCGAGTTCTTCACCACCATTTGGAGTCCTCGATATCAAAGAGTTGCCCCCGGGGCTGTTTGGGATGCTACCGGACTTCTCGGATGATGATGAAGAAGATCTCAATTATATTCCAAGCCATAATCTCCCCACACAACGCCGCTCCGAGGAGGAGAAAGTCTTTGCAGTCCTGAAGTTCATGTGGGAGAATCTATCTCGCTTCTCGCTCATTTCATTCCTTGTGGCGCTGTTGTCCTCGAGTTCTGGAGGGATAAAGAACTACGTGAACACATGGAAGGGGAATGGTGGGATCCCAGAACTGCTAGACCTGCTTTGGGCGATGTCTGGGGTGCGAGATGAAGACATTTGCGACTGGATCACGGAGAGGGCAGCCAAGATTTGTGCATGCAAGGCTGGCTGGCTCACAGACAGAGCATCAGATGGACCGCACCGAGCGTATGCTGAAGGGCTGCACATACCAGCGACGACAGTGTCTGTTGCATGGTTGAAATCATTCCGTCTTGCGGACCTAACAGCCGTGTACGTGAAGACTATGCCCCGGAGCCGAGAGATCATGAAGGCCATTATAAATAAGGACACTACAGTGCGTGATGAGAGAAGCCGTAATCCAGACAATGTAGGTGTCTTCTATGCCATATAAAGTTTGTCATATGCTGACAGGCCTTGCCTGTAGGGGTGCACGTTGGCGATGTTGATGTTGCTCAATCTGCGCAGCCAGAAGACCAACATACACCAGGTCATCAACAGCATGATCCTGTGGGATAACCATGCCCCAAAGTGCTTCATTCAGCTGCTGAACCGGCTCGGTGTTGCAGCATCATATGACCACCTCTGTACATCCATCCTCGCACTCTCCGCAAACTCGCTTTGCATCACACGCAAGATTGCAAACAACCCACTCAATATGGTCATGTTGCCGTACGACAACTTCAATTGGGTTTCCGGAGTCTGGGAGACCTCGGTCCTTCATGGCGCTCTGCAGCATGACCAGGTGTCTGCAATGCTCATTAACCTCACGATCCCCGATGGCAGCCCAACTGCACGTCAGCTCACAAGTGTGGAGCGCTTTGACGCTTCTCATGGAGCTCATCACCAATTGCTGGCACAGAAGGCCTTGCAGGACATCATCCCGAGTGCAGCAGACCATCGCACACTTCGTGATGCAGCAGTCAGCCATGTCATGACAATTCTCGCAGACAAAGTGGAAAGCTTTGCAGAATTTCATACGCTTGTTCCAACATTTGTTGACCTGAACGCTATCCCTGTGCGCAAAACTGATCGCCACTACTTGCCAACGTTCGACCAAGAGCAAGGGCTGACACATGGGAACATGGCCGTTCTGAAACATTACTTCCTTGACGTACTGGAGATCCCCAAAGCCACCTTCAAGAACACCATGTTCTTTGTTCCCGGAGATCGTCTCACTACCATCAGGAAAACCCTGATTTACTGAAACAGTCTTCAGCTAACATATTTGCACGCCGGCCAGCATTTGTGACCATCAGTGATCTTCTCACTACACCAGTGACTGGCTCTGACTATCAATGGCCAACTGAAGTAACGCAAAGTGCCAGTTGCATACACTAATGTAGACTCTATATCAACTCGGTCAAGTCATTCAACAGCAAGGCAAAGACTCCTGCGGCGTCCAAGACTGCAGCTGGATCATCGAAGGATGCAGCGAACGCAGAGAGTGGACCGTCACGTCCGTCGCGATCGAAGTCCGGCGCGAAGAAGGCCCAGGAGAGTTCGGGGGAGCAAACTTCCAGCAGCGAGCGTGAGGTCGATGAACTTGGCAATGAGTGGTAAGTCAGTCAGTGTCCAGTGGTTTCTTTGTATCTCACTGCGAGAGGTACATCACCAAGATGTCGTAGTTGTCCTGTCGCATCAAGGCCGTGAACATCATCAACTTTGTCTGTTTCGCGTGGCAGGAGCAGTAGAATCGGTCCATTTCCAAGGCGAGTGTTTCTATGCCCATACCACCTCTATCTACACTTACTCATATGACAATCCTGCAGCTACTATATCTATCATCCTCTGTACTACTACACATCAGACGTGCGTGCCTGCTACGTATCCCACTCTCCCTCTACTACTATTTGCCTGTCTCAGCCGTGGTCGTCATCCCGGCGCCGTCTGACCTCGAGTCTATGCCTATCTGTTGATCGTGCTATACCAGTAGTTATGTGTCTGTATATGTTGTACAACAACCCGCACTGCTAATATTTATGATGTGATCTGGTACATGTGCATAAGTGGACATCAGCAGACTTAATTCTGTACATAACTGTACTTCAGCACGCCCACTGAAGTACATATTGTAGGTGAAATAAGGGCAACTAAAGACCAAAATGACAACACAATTAAGACTGAATAAGACACAAGATGTCTTTATTGCGTACATTAGTGCTCTTATGCATAATATCAAAGACACAATAAGACGGGGACTTGTCTTAAGTGCCATGTTTTGGTCTTATGTAACATTTTATGTCTTTTGTGTCCTATACGTTCCTAAGATGTCTTGTAGATGACCTCTGATGAGACCTTATGTAGGCACGGTTTTTCCTGATGACGGTGCATGATCGTGCCGTGCAGGACCAATGAGGTGTTGATCGCTCCGACTTCCGGGCTGACCACCTCTCAAGTCTTGCAATGACAAGCGGGCTCATGCACGTCTGTCTCAATTTCATCTAAGCATGTGGCAAGAATCTCTGGGGCAGATCAAACAGGGATGCTATAAGCCTACAGACACTCCGCGACTTGCTTCCAAACCGAGGCGAAGTCAATATTCACAAGTTCAACTTCTATGCATGGCTGCGTTTCCTCGACTGTGTCCTACAGGCATTCGTGATTTCCGCTGCAGTTTCCACCCTCAGACTCAAGGATTCGAAGGAGCTCAGCTCACAGAAGCTCAACGGAGACAGGTTCCATGGCCTATGTGAGGCAGTTGTCATCATGTTGTCACCCAATCGTCTCGAGGCCGATGGACTCAAGACAGTCCATGGGAACACAATCGCAGGGCACGCTGTGTTAACAATGTTTGACCTCATGACTTTGCGCGAGATGTGCCATGCTATCAAGCATGGACATCCTACCCGTATCCTACGGATCCTCAGGTTCTGGACACCGATGTACTATGCAGGGCGCAGCTATAACTATGCCCACGAATGCATGGAGCTGCTACACAACCTCCTACATGATTGGCCAGATGATACCGCCAAAGTACTCCTCGCTGGAATGCTCGTCAATACCACAGGCAAGCCTGATGGCTTCCTCGAGGCCGATCTCGACGTCAAACATCTCAACTTACGGATCAAGAGCCATGCTCATGGCACAAACACAACCCCCGAGATGCTCTGCAAAGTCACTCCATCACTTGGCCATGTACGCGACTTGACAGATCGCATATACCAAGAGACTGGTGTCCGCAATGTAAATGAGCATCACGCGAAGGTCCAACAACACACTGATGTACAGCTTCTTGTGAATCACCTCTCGGCGTCACATGCACTTTCATTCCCTCTCAACCGCATCTCTGAACATGCCGTAACCAATCTCTTCCAGTCCGGCCTTCATCAGCTTGCAGGACCGCACGGTGGCCATGCAAAGCACCTCCTGAGGCATCATCTTTGCCTCTGCACACAACATGGAGACCAGAAAAGTGGAGATACTCACGCTCCAGGTGTATCCGCAGAGATCCTGGACATCAAAGATGAGCTAGTCAATGCTGAGGATGAATTATGACCGTGCATATGGACAGTCCGAGTAGCGGGCACGACGAGCTTGCAGAAATGATATGGCAGGGAGAATTGGGGCTGAATACTAGCCGTCAGTATGACAACAATGAATAGTAATAGTTGAGTTGTACATTACTGCACAGATGAGGAAGCCACTGCCAGCCTCACACAACCGCTCTACGTTTTCCGCTTATTTACTGATCTGTATCAGGGCTCTATCTGTGAGTGTGAGTAAGACAATAGAAATCACTCACCTATCATCACCACTCAGTTAGCGGTGGCGGTGACACTGGGAATGGCGGGAACATCCATGCTTGTTGAGTGAAGAGCTGACTGGACCGCACGAAAGAGTGACTTGGCAAGCTCATCCCAGTGAACAATGTGGGACAATGGGTACAGATCACCGACCTGCGTGATTGCACCTGCATGGTCTGCTACGGTCTCAAGGTCCTTGTCAGAGACCAGCGATTTGGGGCCATACAGAGGCCAACGCACACGCCATCGCTCTCGCCACTCACTCTCTTGCCAGTCCTGGAGACATGCCAGCACTGTCTGCCTTGCGATGCCGGTAATCCGGTGTTCATTCCGTTGCGACTCGTCTTCTGTGGGATTCACCATGATGAACTTGAATTCACAGGGAGGGATGAGCTGGGGAAAGCAATTTGAGCAGCAGAGACGGCGCGGGAGAGAGATGGTATCAGAGGAGCGTGGGGGATTCTCCAGATATTGGTCAAAGACAGCATTGCAGCACAGCTCCGTCTGGACCAATTCAATGATCCCAGGGTCCTCGCGGCCGGGCTTCTGCGGACTCAATTTGCCTCCGCGCTTGAACTTCTTCTCTGCAATGCAATAGCCAATTGCAATCATCCCAGGACTTCTCGCACCACACCCACACCGCTGGTCTGCTTTTGCCATTGTGCGACCACTGCAGAGATATTGAGTGACGTGTTTCACAGCAGGAAAGTTCATGCCAGCGCTGAGCTTCTCCATTGATAGGAGAATCCGTGTACAGCCTGTTTGGAAGTCGTCCAGGGCTCGGCCTTGATGATTGGGGGATAAGCCGGCGTGCAGAATGTCGACGGCTCTTCCAGGAATGGAGATCTCATCGAGCTTCTGTCGGAACCAGTACAACATCTCCATGAGCAACATGGTGTCGTCACAGTAGACTAGTGACTTGTCTATGTCCGCAAGCATCTGCCCGGCACGAGGCAGCATGAACCGCAGGTCCTTGAAGCTCTTCGCGTCATGCTCCATATGTATGATCACCGTTGAGAGCTCCGGGCGGAAGTTTCCAGCATTGAAGAGGGTGTAGTTTTCTTTCAAACCCGCATGAGTGATGAGCGACGTTTGGTACAGTGAGGGCAGAGTAGCGGACATAGCAAGGAGCGGGATTGTACTCCCCACAACCATTCGCAGCTGATGCAACCGGCTGTATGAAGAGCGCCACGTATCAGACTCATGCATGCAATGTGCCTGGTCAATGAAGATCACGACGAGTTGGCATTTGTACCATTCAGAGTACAAGATCTGCGCAAAGACTGGTGACTCCAGCATCTCGACGCAGACATATGTCACATGGTAGAAACCGCTTGCGACCCGTTCAAGTGTCTTTGTGTCCTTACGACCGGCGTGCACGAATGCGGACACAATACCGAGCGTATTTGTCCTACAGTACTACTGTCAGTGTCTTGACACCTTGAGGTATGAATGTTACCAAGCTAACTCACTGGTGTTCGCCTTCCTCCCCAAGACTTGTGAAAGGTGTGATCACCAGGACAACACCATGATCCAGGGCGAGGAGTGGCAGAGTCCATAGAAGGGACTTGCCAAACCCAGTCGGCGCAATCACACAGACATGTCGCGGAGCTAGGTCTGACGCGACTAGAAACAGAACTGTGAACAGAAACACTTGACCTCAAGGTGTTGGACCGAGGTCAACAACAGTCTAACAGCGTCGAACGCAATGCTAGCAACTCCAAGTTAGTTACATTGCACTCTACTTAGTACAATGTGAAGTGCTTACCTAGCAACTCCAAGAGGACGAGCTGGAGTGCTAGGCAGCGTACAGGACCCTATATATACTGGCTAGGTTGAGGGCAGGTCTACCTACGCTGGATCCGAGAACTGAGGTCATGTGTACGTATGAGTCAGAACGAGTCAGAACGAGTCAGGTGGCTAGGCGCTGCCGCAGGGCACATGATAAGTTACATAAGCAAGGCCACATGATGAACGAGTCACAAGACAAACCTTAGCACGTGATGTGTCACGTGGCTAGTCAGAAAGCCGTTCCAGGCGAAGTCTACCGTACAGCGTATTGTACAAGTCCATAGAAAATGAGCAAAAATAGGATAAAACAAAGTAAAAATACGGGGCCTCCGTGTCATACCATGACAAGACATTGCCTGTGCAAGCGAGAACAACGTTAGAACACGTCGCCTGTAGTTCCTTGACATCACCAGCAAGCGGAATGGCTTTTGCACCGCGCGCCAGCATGCTCCATTGACGAGTTGACAGAGGCCCGGCTGGAGCGATGTCTGGTGGTAGATTGCGCTTGAATGCGAAGGCCTGGCGCCGGCGACGGCCTGGAGTGTAGAGGTTGTAAGGCTTGTAAGACGGTGGTTTCTCCTTGAGAGCATACCCGTTGCGATAGATTGCGTGGTGGTTCTTCTCCCTTGACGCGAGCGGGGATGCTTGGCTCGTAGCACAAAGCTGCAGCTGCTCGTGGCTGGGAGACTCTGGCTCACCACTCGCTAACGTGCATTCGTTCCGGGTTGGCGAGGGTGGCATGGGGAGTTGAGAGTTGGTTGAGGCACCCGTGAAGGGTGTACGCAGCGTATTGACACGTCGCAACTCTTGCTCAGCGCGTCGACGCTTGCGCGGTGGAGGCCATACTTCCGAGTCAGCACTGCCTGTGACTTCGGACATTTTGGAGGTGTCAAGGGTTCCGGGTGTTGCAAAATGAGGGATTGGTTATAAACAAGTGGATAGGTATCACACAGAGGTAGTATACATTGCGCATGCACGGGCTGGAGAGACGATGGTATTGAGACGCGACAGGATGCGACGCGTGAATGTACAAAGCACCCACTGGCAGGACGCAAGATGCAAAGGTCCCCCTAGGGCGCTCATTCTTGTCCAGACTCTCACGGCCGGGTTCCCTTTTAGGGTGGACGTGAGAGGCTGGTATGAGACCAACCAAGGCCATGGAAGAGCAGTAACACTCAAAAGGGCAGTGTTGACCAAAAGTAGCAGTACACTAAGGGAAAGTCATCACTGTCCTGCATAGCTACTGTCTAAGGAATCTTATGAACTGTATGTCTGATGAGAAATGGATTTAATATCCCAGTTTTTCATTTTCATTTGCGCTCTAGCAATGATACAACTTCCCTATTTAGTGAGTCTAAGAATGTGAATATGCTGTGTTATTTGTTTGAATCATGTGCATGAAGTGAAAAAGAACCATGACAACTTGTGCATTTTTTGTTTTACACATTGTGGCATGAGTAATGGACACTACAACCAACCAATACCCATCATAGAGTCTATAGTATGAGGACTACTAGCATGAATATTACGAGGTTTTTTGGATTCAATCAAACTTGTGGCTGGGCTGAGAATGGTGAATCCTGTTAAGGACAATTGCTTTTTGCAGCAGTTTGCAGCAGAGTCTGAGAGACTACACCGCAAGATGACTTGTTGACAGGTCATATTTTTGACCTGTCAACAAGTGAACCTCGCGTGGCATGGACACTTATTGGGCGCTTATTGGACAATGTAATCTGAATCATCACCAGCCTTCAAAGCACACATCAGTAACAAATGATACAAGCATACTATAGCCTCCTGAAAGCCCTTCATTCAGAGGAAATATTGTGTGAATGCTATGCATATACAATGGCTAGTGAAGCCACAAAATGCAAAAGAAAAAAAACTCACATGTGCCTCTGCATCTAAAAGGTGGGGCTTATATCAGAATTTAGCAACAGCAGCAAGTAGATTGTAATGTACACTACAGAACACAAAGGTGCTCCAAATAGCAGGTCCCGGGTGCTTATAGGCATACAATTGCATTCTTTGAGATCATTTACCAGGTGCAAAGGACTACAAGCATGTCACCGAGGCATTTGTGTGATTTTTTATGTTGTAAGTTGTGTCCTGAGTACTGAAGTGCGCGAGACGGTAAGACTAGCAATAGACTGTATAGTATGAGGGCTACAAGGCATAGAACTTTGAAGATCTTACGGATTTTGTTGGCCTATAGTAGCACAGTAACCGTGCTACTAATGGCCTTGCAGCTGAATTTGAAACTCAGCCCAAACATCGGCAGGCCTGCCTCAACAGGGCAAGGAAATGAGCTTATCAGCCAATTGGCATCTCTCCCCTGCCGCATGGAGTTGCATCTGCCTGGAAATTCCAGGCTGCCACAACTCTGAATAGCACATGGGCGCTTAATGGTGCTTAGTAAGCGATGCAAGCCTGTTCCTCCTCTTAAACTGGCTTGTATGGACCTGTATAAATGCGGAGAAATCAGTGAATATCCTCAAAAACATAGACAATGACTTTCAAGGCTCCAATTGAACAGGAAGACTCTATTTCATGTTACACCTTCAATACAGTAACATTGGTATCATCAGCCCAGTGCTTACAGAAGCAAATGTCACTGTCTGTGGAGCACACATACACTCCTACAGATGTTAAGCATGTATCATACATGCAGTGTTTAATCAGAGGGTCCCCAGATGAGGTCTATATGTGTGCTGTCCTTGTGTATTGCCATATAGAGTAGGCAACCTGCCAAAAAAGGAAACTACAGCTGATGCAGGACATATGGTTTTGTTATGAGTTTGTAAAAATGTGTAAAATCATGATAATATAATAGGACACTAAACAGGTACAGGTGGTCATCATGAGTGACATAGGTCAGTAATGGACAAGATACACAAACAATAACATGCACATTAGTGGTCAAATTGCCCAGTATTGCCCATCTTTTCTGTATTACAAAGGCAACTGACATGTACAAAGCCATTCAGCTGCATGAGTACACCATCCTGATGATTCAGTGAGTATCTGGAGCAGAAACAGGCACTTTGACTTCTGCAGAGGCACATGTGGATTTTTTTGTTTTGCACTTTCCAGCCCTACCAGCCACTGTAAGTGCTCAGGGATATTACTGAATACTCTGTGAATGAAGGGCTATCAGATGGGTATACTATGTCTACTATGGTTACTTACTAATTGACTATATAAGCAGCCTACAGAGTGTGAGTGCTAGCCAGAGTGGTTAGCCAGCCAGTAAGTCACATGATGGAAGCAATTAGTTGCCATATTGGGGAAGGTGTTTCATGGACCCTCACCCCAGGACAGAGCAGCCAGCCACAGCATTTATTTGTCTCTGTTGGTGCAAGTTGCATCATCTGGGAGTTTGAAATTTCAAGCCCCACTAATGGGACATCAGTATCAGTTACTAACCTCTGCTTATCTGGGGTCCAATGTGTCATGTGCACTGTGGGAGCCTCCTGCCTTAAAAGGAGATCAACTGTAGGCATTTCTTCCCCTCCAGTCATAAAAATGATACCTTTGTACCTCAGGGATTGTAACCCAGGCAAATGCTGGGGCAGCAGGCCGACATGGCCCATTCAAAGTAGAAGTCATGCAGTCATGTAGATTGTAACGGTACTGACCAATGTGTTACAGATGTATGGTGGTGGCAGATGCATCATTTGTCTTGTTCTCTGAAAGCAATGCTGTGTGAGATTCCTCAGTTGGACACCCAGTCCTGCACTCAGTGCGAGGCAGAAGGAGTGGCAATTCTCTGCCCTTTGATGGTACACATGACCATATCTGCCTCAGTGGGCTTTGCACTGACGACGTACACACACACAGCCACCGACCACCCCGCACAAGATCCCCTGACAGCCATATCCACGCAGCACGCCAGCTGATATGGTACATGCTATGATATTGCGACGTTATGGTACAGTACGACATGGGTAAATGACAGCAACGACGAGTGAGCAAGAGCAATACAAATATGACAAGAGATGCGCTGACGACATGGTGCGATAGCGTTAGTGACAAGAAGACTGCGCATGCTACAGTCAATACAAGCCAACATAGAACACTACACCTTGATGAAGGTCGTCAATGCAATCCTGGAGATGGAGGCAAGTGTCGAGCGAGTAACCCAGGCCCTTCACGGGCTCATTAATTGGGAACTTCGAGAGCCGCTCATGGATCTCGACATTGCTGACCAGCTGATATTCCACGACACCAACGAGGATATGGCGACCCTCAAGCATCTCAATGTCGTCATGCTGACCTTTGACCAGGTCTTCCAGCAAGTGATTGAACCAGCAGTGGAGGCAGCTAAGGCAGCGAAGGCCGCTGAGGAGGCTCAGGGAACCGTTGACACAGACATGTAGCACTGTGTGGCTTACTTGTATGCACTTTGCATTGTGTCTTCATTGACCTTGCAATCCCATCCCTTGATTGGTGATGAGCCCCTATAGTAAGCCCTCCCCTCAATGAGATGTACCTCATGTGCGACGATGTCCATGGATAGATCTCCCATTCAGGCCGAGTTTGATGGCACTATGTCAGAGGAAGGTCTGGAGAAATCACTCCCATTGCTGATATGTGTTATTTACAAATGTGTGAATGTGTCACATGCCCATTGTCAATCACACACGCTGCGACACCTCGGTGAACCCACTCAACGTATGTGTAGAGGGCATTCCATCATGTCCGCAATAGTGTGAGACTCGCTGATTTCCGTCCAAAGATGTGGTTTGTCTCAACTGCATAACCAATGAAGAACCTGAGACACACCATAGCACAGTGCAGACCAGCTGTGCATTTCCACAACCAAACAGCTTGACACATTTAGGGATGCGTGGGCCAGGAAATGCCATGCATACATATCTGCCTCGGTAACGTACAATGTGGCATGTATGCATTTATATAGCAAGTACAACGCACAAAGACAGGTCGTCACGCTCGTTAAACCTATTCGGCTGAGGAATGTTTCAATGAACCTAATTCCGGTTGAATTTGAAATATATCAATCTGATCCACTCCGGAAAAGGTCCCATGCTTGATTGCGGCAAGGATATATATAAGCAGCTCCTGTCCAAGCGCCCCTCTCCCACCTGCCACCATATCGTGTCAAACGTAAGTCCTTTGTGTTCTTGACTACCCTGATGTACCTGACAATACTCCTTTAATATAGAGAAATGTCTAATCATCGTGTGCAAACTGGATCTGGCCCTCAGAGCCAGCCCTCGAATGGTAGAAACAGTCTTGTAGTCTTTTGAAATTTGGGAATTGATCCTTAGCCAAAAAGCAACCCAGGCAAATGCTGGGACTGCGGCCCGAACTGGCCCGTGAAAAGTAGATGTCATGCGTTCATGTAGACTGTAACAGTACTGACCATTGTGTTGCAGATGCATGGCAGTGGCAGATGCCTTATTTGTCTGGCTCTCCGCAAGCAGTGCTGTGAAATTCCTCGGGTGGGCGCACAGTCCTGCACTGAGTGCGAGGCTGAAGGAGTGGCGATCCTCTGCTCTTTGATGGTACGCATGACCATGTTTGCCTCGGTGGGCTTTGCACTGACAACGTACACACACACAGCCACCGACGATGGCACGTATGATACAAATGCTTGAAGACGATCCCAGCCACTACATCAGCGAGCTGTTTCAAACCGGCGTCATGAAGGTTGCTGATGCGATTATGGATATGGAGGCTCGTGTGGTGGACATGAGAAGGGCCCTTGGCCCACTGATTAATTGGGATCTTCAGCAGCCACTCATTCCTCTCAACCATCCACAGTGCCACCTCTTCCATGACGTCAACAACAATATGAAGAGCCTGGAAACATTGGCAGTGGTGATGAAGACCTTCAAGGTTGTTTTTGAAGAAACCATCCTACCAGTGATTGAGGAGGCCAGGGAGGCCATGCTCACTGCTGAGGCTGATGTTGAGATGGAGACGTAGTCTTCATGTGGTTGCCTGGTTTTGGTGTCCCATTGTATTGTCCCTAAATTTGCAATGTCATTTCTTGTCCTACAATCAATGAACCACGTACCTCATGCGCGACTACATCTATGGATACATGTTCCATCCAGGCCAATCAATAGCAATATGTGAGAGGAAGGTGCGGAGAAATCACACCCATCACTGATATGGCCCGATTTATAACCGTATGAATGTGTCACATGTGTATTGTGATGAGGCAAGCGCCAGTGTGCACCTCTCTCTTCACTACCACCATCACGTCATGTCTGCAAGGTGTAGCCACGACCAGGTAAGCACGACAGTTATTGATTATTGATAGTTTGTTTTGATGGCCAAGTCACGTTGTGTGCTCGGATAATAGTAGCCATGGCAGATCCAATGGCGTTCTCAGACCGCAATTGGATAGTGATTGAGGCTTCGGCACTCATACCACTGCTTGACACCAAACTGGCAGAGGTGCTGACAAACAACCAGCCAGTGGAACTTTGCAGTGATGTGGACCATCCCACTGCCACGGCCTTCATACAGAAATACTGCATTGATGTGATGACAGCATGGCTTTGCATTAACTCAGAGGAAGGCTCCAACAATCATCCAGCACTCTGTCTCCTGCACATGCACTCGGAGCTGGACCAGATGGAGAGCCTTGCCATTGCCCTGGGAAATATCCTACATAGGATTGGAGGTTTTGGAATGCTATTGCACAGAGACTGGCATGGAATCATGCCGTGTACGCCTGCATAGTATTGTCTGAATGTAAAATCAATGCAGCGTGCTCCTAACCTAAGAGAGTGTTATGGAAATATGGCAATAATGGAATGTTAAGTTCATTCAAGTAATCCATGACCCATCAGCTCAGGAATAATGACAGAGCAATGTCACCACTAAACACAATGCTGGAGCATACCGAAGAGCAGATTGACACACATATCTTCTCAGAGCACTGACACATGAAATTGGAACCCTTGTCAATGTTCTACATATGTTGAATACTAAGAGGGCAATTAAATGGGTTTCAGTGAAAGACTAGATGTGTCAATGGGGCTGTATAAAAACAGCAAGTGTGACAAATATCAATATGTAGAGGCATATGCATGTGTCCTCTGTGTGCAACATACATTGCCTAAGAGATGCTTCATTGCAAGTGGGAAACACGTGGCGCACTTCTGATTTATGCCCTCTTCTGGCAGATACAGTACAATCACCACAACTTTGTTTGACACAAAGCAAATATGACATACAACATGTACAGATATAAGTGTTGATATGAGCATTACAGTGGCTCTGCATGGGATTCCATTTGGTCAGCCTTTCTTAGCAGGTGTGCATAATGAATGCACCTGAGGACAAACAATTTATTTCTGCTAAGAACCATTCCAGATGTGCGCTTACCTCTGCTTTGGCCTCATACATGTCCTCCATCAAGAGCTACTGACAGCCGTATGTGAGCCTGCCATGGCTCACACAAAGGGTCGCATGTTCCAACTGCAGCCAAAGGACCATTATGGACACTGACAGTTGAATCAGTAACAACAGAGAAATGCATTGATATTTGGAGAATCTTTTGTTCTATGTACAGCATCTGGTTCAAATGGGCACTGATTCACATAACTTTGGTCTAGATTCCTCTGACTACTCCATATACAGGACCACCTAGTGTGCTCATCCTTGACAACTGCTCAAATATTTCAAGCCTACCTGAGGCTCTGACTATCTGCACAAGCCAAAGCAGCATAAGATACTAACCAAATGTGTTAGTACACAAGAAGACAAGTTATACTACTATCCAACTGCGATAGCAATAGTTCACTAGTCAAGAGCATTGGTGTCAATCCAATCTCACTAGTCAAGAGTTAAGATAACTAGTCCATACCTTTTTAGCCTCACAAATTGCTGAAGGTCAGTAACATCATTACTACATACAATTCTTGTCATTCACTACAAGGACAATAGGGAGAAGCTTGTCTTTGATCAGGACCAACTAATCTCTAGGTTATTGGCACACCCTCACATATATCCAACCAATAACTGTCTGTCAGTAGCCTGAGGAAGAATGTAAGTTGTAGACTGAGGTCAAAGCATCCTCAGGCTTGATGCACACTTCATTGGGGTTTATATGTCACTAAGAAGACACTTCTACCACAGCAAGGATAGACATGCCATCATGCAACACTGTGAGAACACCATGATGTAACATAATGCTTATGGAATGCCCTGGAAAATCGGAATTGTACTCCTACTGAACAACATGACCTATCATGCTGTAATGAATGCTGATCCTCAGACCTCAGTCACACACAGTGCATCAGATCCCAACCTAGTGCAACAATGAGGTAGAAAAAGGCTAAAGAGTGTATATTAACCATAAGTAGCATATCTGCTTATCTAAGATCTCCTAGGCCCTGGGGTAACTGGAACAGGCACATTACACATACACTCTGTCCTATTAATGCAAACTGCATGTTGAGTGGTGTAAGTACATCAGCTCATTGCACCAGTTCTGACCAATTCTGTTGAATAATTCTATTGCATGACTAGGTCACCATAAGCCTGAGTTTACTGATACTGATGCAGCCATCATGAATGAACAAACAATCAATATGGTACATCTATAATGAACAGCATCACAATATACTTGAACCCTAAGTCTATTGGTACTTGAGGGCATGAAACAACTCTAGTGCAAGCGGTGACATGGGATATTATAGCTCCTCACTAAAAGTGCTTATCATGTATGGGCCTGTGAAGAATATGAATGCCTTGATTGCACCTGATGCATGGCATGTAAATTGTCCATGAGGGTGGAAACCAGGGCTCTACCCTGTTTGAAACAAGATAAAATACTGATATGACATAGATATGCTCAATTTGATAGAATACCTTAGGGGTATGCCTGGGGTATGGGGGTAGGAATATTTGTACCCTGACCCCTGGGGGTTTTCCATACCCCTACTCTGCACTAGACCCATCTGAATGGGTACAGGTTACACACAGGTCATAGTTGTTATGCGACGTGTTGGAGCGGGACAATGATGAAGGCGATAGCCAATACAAGAACAAACTTCTACTGAAGACGCTGCCTTTAACAAGGGCTTACTCTTGTCTAGAGTCTGGATCCGTCGGGGCGTTTGAGAGGACTAGCCGTGCTGGCTTCCTCAAAGGCTCCTGGTCGGTCGGGCTTATCCGAGCTTGGTCGTCACCTGCCGCTAGGGCGTAGGGGAAGGGAGCAAGCGAAGGAGATAGGATTCAAGAGTTAACCAGGTCGAACGTGAAGTTCGACCGCTACTGTACAACGAGTTTAAATACAAGAGATAGTGCAATCAGCGCAGAGAGATACGTAAGCAGATCACTGGGGCAGCGTCCGGTAGCGTATGGTACAGATGGCGGGCCACGGCTACAGGTGGCCGCCCGAGATAGATAATCACCGCACGGGGTGATGAGGATGGTACGAATGATGCAGATCGTACTGATGGGATGCGAAAGGACTAACCGTTCCGTAACAATACCCCCCAACTATGGTCGACGTCCTCGACGACCTTAGCTTCAGGCCTCCGGGTCAGGCTCATTGTAGCCGTCGGTCTCGCCAACATTGTTGTCGAGGTCGATGGTCCCAAAGCGAAAGGCATCCTGGGCCTGCTGGGCACGAGGGAAAGCGGCGAGGATGGAGGTGCAAGGAGTCGAGGGTAGGGTCGAGTACGGGGGAGCGGGGGTCCCCGAGACGCTTCTCTCCATCGCCTCAATGAGAGCTCGGTTCAGCGGACCTGGGCTAGCTAGAGCCGTCGTCGGCGACACTTGTGAGGGGGTGAGCGCAGTGGGGGATGATGAGAGGGCGTCCGCGATGGCCTCCCTACGAGCCCTACGCTGTTCGGGGGATGCACGCTGAGAGGGTGGAAGGGATCGAGGTCCAGTTGGAGAGGCTCGACGACGCACTACAGGAGTGGAAGGAGGGGAACCAGGGGAGTGAGCGGTAGGCAGGAGGAGAACCCGCGTTCCTCGGACATCTTCGTAGAACTTGAAGGCGCGCTTTACCCCTCGGTAGTAGCTCTCCACAAACGTGCGGGCTTCCGTCATGAGCTCTGGTAAAGCCAGGTGGGGTGAGCGAGCCCCCTCGAGGACACAGTTGCGGAAACGGGTTACACCATCCAGCTGGTCGAGGGCGGTTTGGTAGTTGGGGACGGAATAGATACGCCCAGCAGGGCGTGACACCACCATATGACGTGCCTCCTTGGGGTCCTTGTAGACCCCGTCGATTCGACCACCCCGGACAACATGATACTCCGGCCAGCTGGGGATGGGGGTCTCGTCGACGAAGATAGGGTTTCCGGTCCTCCCCTCGGGTCTGAAGGTAGTGGCGGCCGCAACGGCATCGCAAATCTCGGCAACAGAGGAGAGGAGTGCCAGGTGATCTGAAGAAGGAGAGAGGGCACGAACCACCCCAAGGAGGTCCTTGTACTCCGGGTCAGCATGTCGGCGAGATCGCGCGGGGCACGCAGAGTAGATGTGACCAGGGTGAGGAGTGGCGCAGCTAGGGCAGACGTACTTGTCGCAGTCAACGAGGTCGTGAGATATGTGCAGGACGTCATCTGTCGTACAGAGGAAACAGGCCATGGTCATGGTGATAGTGCGGAGGACGTCGAGGGAAAGCGTGTCCAGGGGTCTCTTCACGAGCGATGTGGGGAAGGTGGCTCCTTCCGGGTACTTGGTCCCGACTGCCGCTTGGCGCGCCTCTCGGAGTTTTGAGACGACGAGGGAGCAGACATCGAGGTACTCGAGGGCATTGCGGCATTTCTCGAGGGCGTCATCGCGATACTCGGTGAAGACGCGGATTTGGTCCTCCAGCAGCGACTGCCTGACGGCGAGTTCACGATACGTTTCCAGAAAGTGGGAGATGGCGCGGAAGTCGCCGGTCTTACACTTGAGCGTGACTTGGTTGTGCGGGAGTTTGGCGACGAGGGAGAAGCAATCGTAGGGACGGTTGACGAGGGTGGATAGGATTCCCCAGTCGACCACGAGTGGGGCCACTGATCCTGCTTCTGGGAGGAAGGGGAAGGCGGATTCGGTGGGAGTCCAGATGTCGGGAGTGGTCCTCGATGAGGTGGTCGGCATCGGGACTTGTGGCCTTCGGTCTTGACGCGACATTTGCAAACGGTGCAGTAGGAGTAGTAAGGAGAGGCAAGGATTCGTTCTCGACGTGGGAGCGCGGTGTAGGCGAATTCGGGGACAGCGGCGGTCAACTTAGCGTGGTACTGCTCGTATGGATCGCCGGTAGAGTAGATTGAGGGCACGTCGGGGGTGAGGTCGGAGGTTGCGGAATCCAGGATGGGCAAAAGGAGGGAGGGTGCGCTGCCTGAGAGGTTAGGAGAGTTGGTGCAACTCCTTATACTCTGAGAGGATCTCATCTCCGCCTCCTTCCAAGGAACTTTCCGGTTCCCATGTTGCTTCCGCAGTAGGGTATCCTCTCCATTTGATGAGATATCTCCGGCGTGATCCCGTACCCCTATGGCAGAGTATCGCCTCCACTTCCCATCTCGCTCCATCTTCCGCATCATCAGGGGGAGGACAGAGATAATTGGGGCCGTGCTCGGAGGTTTCGACAAATGGAGTTAGCAATGCTGCGTAGAAGACAGGGTGGACTCGCCTCCACGTCTTTGGCAGATCAAGGCGGTACGTCGCCTTCCCCATCACTTCTTTGATGGTGAAGGGCCCTTCGCGTTTCAGGTTGAGCTTCTTGGACAGGCCTGGGAGTCGTAGGTTCCTTGTGTCCAGCCATACCTTCTGTCCTTTCCTGAAGGGTTGCGTGTGTGTCTTGACTCGTCGTTCCACTGCCCGTTGGGCCCCTTCCATTGCGTAGAAGGCTTCTTCTCGAGCACGTGTTAGGTAATCCATGCAGTTCTGAGCGGTTATGTTGGTGGATTTCTCCGTGATCGGGGGAATGCCGCGAGGTTCATATCCCATCATGAGATAGAAGGGTGATGCCTTGGTTGTCGAATGTTCCCGAGAGTTGTGCGCAAACTCAGCGTCCGGGAGAAGCTTGTCCCATTGTTCTCGGTTGTTGGCCGCAAGGATCCGCAGGTACGTTTCCAACTCCTGATTCATCCGCTCCGTCTGTCCATCGGTTTGCGGATGACCCATTTCCTTGCCCTGTTAAGGCAGGCCTGCCGATGTTTGGGCTGAGTTTAAAATTCAGCTGCAAGACCATTAGTAGCATGGTTACTGTGCTACTATAGGCCAATAAAATCCGTAAAATCTTCAAAATATTATGCCTTATAGCCCTCATACTATAGAGTCTATTGCTAGTCTTACCTTCTCATGCAGTTCAGTACACAGGGCACAATTTACAAAATAAGAAATCACACAAATGCCTCAGTGACATGCTTGTGGTCCTTTGTGCCTGGTAAATGATCTTGAAGAATGCAATTGTATGCCTATAAGCACCTGAGACCTGCTATTTGGAGCATCTTTGTGTCCTGTAGTGTACATTACAATCTACTTGCTGCTGTTTCTGATATAAGCCCCACCCTTGTAGATGCAGAGGCACATGTGAGTTTTTTTTCTTTTGCATTTTGTGGCTTCACTAGCCATTGTATATGCATAGCATTCACACAATATATCCTCTGAATGAAGGGCTTTCAGGAGGGTATAGTATGCTTGTATCATTTGTTACTGATGTGTGCTTTGAAGGCTTGTAATGATTCAGTTTACATTGTGCAATAAGTGCTCAATAAGCGCCCATGCCATGCGAGATTCACTCGTTGACAGGTCAAAATTTTGACCTGTCAACAAGTCATCTTGCAGTGTAGTCTCCCAGACTCTGTTGCAAACTGCTGCAAAAAGTAATTGTCCTTAATAGGATTCACCATTCTCAGCCCAGCCACAAGTTGAAATGAATCCAAAAGACCTCGAAATATTCATGCTAGTAGTCCTCATACTATAGACTCTATAATGGGTATCAGTTTGCTGTAGTGTCCATTACTCATGCCACAATATGCAAAACAAAAAGTGCACAAGTTGTCATGGTTTTCTTTACTTTGTTCAAATAAATAACACAGCATATCCACATTTTTAGACCCACTGGATAGTGAAGTTGTATCATTGCTAGACTGCTGAATCAAAATGCAAAACTGGGAGATTGGATCCAGGGCAACTTTCATTAGACATACAGTTCATGAGGTTCCTTAGATAATATCTATGCAGGATAGCAATGACACTCCCTTAGCATACTGCTACTTTTGGTCAAAACTGCCCTTTTGAGTGTTACTGCTCTTCCATGGCCATGATAAAATCAAAAATACCCCAAAAATCCACAATGGTATGTGCCATATCATAGATCTGATCTTGGGTATCACTTTACCATGTAGCTCCAGGGACTTCCGACTAAATTTGGTTTCTCTCCCACTTATCTGATTCATATAACCAAATAAAATACTCACAGACATTCCATCAAAGTATCTGGCTACTATATTGGGCAGAAGGATTTCCCTGTGAGTTGGTGGTTTGCTGTTTGATCTGAGCTCAATAATCATTACAAAATTGGGGCATGCTTGACAATTGTTGTGGTGTTGCTTCACAACAGTGACAGCTTCTTTGCAAGTCATATGACTGTGTTTGCTGCCCAATCCAATATTCAAGCTGACTACTACAGTGCTGCTCATGTAATGTCTTGTAAATTATTGGTTGAAATGACTGACAATGGCTATATAGTGCTGTACCCATATTGACAAGTTGAAATTTGTCAACAACTTCATGCTGCCCACATTTTTGTTGTGGCAACACCTCTATGTAGCATCCAATGAAAACCATTGAGTGATCACTGACTTCACTACAGGGATTCCAGCAGCTATTTGTGTTGTACCAGGCAAAATGAAGCATACTTACATGTTGGATCAATACTATATAGGTACTACCACCAGAATACATCTCCACATTCCTATTCTGTCCAACCTATGCCTATATCACCACATAAAGGGTCACTCAGCATTGTGTACTTTATGCCAATGTGCATGCCATCACTCAAAATCAAAAAAGAATTGATGGGTAGAGATTCAATGAGAACACTGGCTCGGTAGGGGAAGTCACAAATATATGTTCCTGAGGCAGATGACCTTGGAGCTCAAGCAAGAAAACCACATTGTTTTTCCATTAGCAAGTGGCTACATCTGTTGAATGTTTTTGATATGTATTCTATGTCTGTCTATCTTTTCTGTCAGAATTTCACTTGTCATCATTGCATGCTTTTGTTGTACTATTACCAATATATGTGCACACTGACATTTCAATGCTTTGAAGCACTTAACAATGCATATACTATCTGGACTATTATTGTGACTATTTACCAATCTCCCAATCTCTACTGTGTTCCTGCTCATTCCAGTTATCATAGGATCCTTCAGTACTGATATAATTGCTGTTGTATGCTTGGTAAATGATGATCATACTAATCAATTACTAAGTTATAATGGTATACTCCATTTTGGTAACCATGTCACCAAGCATTATCAGGGGTTTCACAACCTCTTACCACTTTGAATAGCTCAGAGATCTTTGTCACTGAGATTCATGTCCCTATTGACAGGGTGATTGATTTTGTAATCAGCTGTCTACAATTTAAGCAGAAATATGACAGACTGGAACTCAAAGATGGCAGAGAAATTAAGAGAATATGTTTATTGACATCATCACTCACACTGGGCAGTTCTCTTATGACATCTGTTTGATCATAATGGTTGGTCACAACATACATATGAAAGCCATTAATTGTTGATTTTACTGTAGCAATCAGTGACTAATAAATGCATCATAAGTCAACCTCCCTGTACGCTAGATATGTCAGGCATACACTCAAATAATGAAACCATATGCCTGAGCCTAAGGGGCAATCATATGCAACTCAACTGTTCTGACACCACGTTGGCATGCCTATGCACCCTCTAAAATGTGATTTTACATGTGACACTATCATAACTGTTCATAACACCAATCAGCAATAGCATCTGCTGAAATGGAGTGACTACTTGCAATGAATGCTGCTAGATATATGACTGACTCGCTTGTGCATTCATTACAATCATGTAATTCATTTTGGATAATACTTGTCAGCTACCATGCACCCAACAGCATCACAGGCACAGATTATAAGATGGACTGAGGACCAAAATTGTGCAATAATCAAAACAGAGGTTAGAGAACATATAAGCGGTGAGGAGTGAGAAATGATTACCAAAGCAATGTTCTAGCCATAGGCAAGGCATTTGAACTCACAATTCTGTGGACCCATGTAGATTAAATGATGGATGATGGGCTCAATAGTTGTTGGTATGTAGATGGTACCATGTCTGTAGGGAAGCCTGGATGTGTAAGTTCAATCATGAAGAAGAATAGTGGGGTTATCAAGGCATGCACAAGTCAAAATCCAGAGTGAGAGATATGTAAGATTGAATGTCTGGAGCTGAGGAGATAGTGTTACAGATGTGACACTACTAGACATGTTGCCTGCTTGCTCTGAGATTTCAAACTGAAGGGATCGTATTGCCAGACATGGCCCACTCCCCAGCAAGTCTGTCCATCGGTTTGCGGATGATAGGCGGTGGAGAGAGTACGTTCCACACCGCATAATGAGCAAAGTTCTTCCATGACCTGCGAGGCAAATTGAGGACCGCAGTCGGAGATCATTCGAGTCGGTAGTCCGAAGCGTCACCATACGTTATCATGGTAGAGTTTTGCGGTGCTTTCCGCGGTCTCGTCGTCTTTGCAAGGGATAAAAACTGCCCCCTTCGTAGAGTCGTGGTCCACTACGACATATAGGGAATTGAAGCCATTGCGGGTGGTTGGGAGGGATGTGGCGAAGTCCATGATTATGCAAGAGAACGGTGTAGCGTGCGACTGGGGCAGTATTGGGATAATCGGGATTGACGTCGGGTGGGTGTTGACCTTCATCTGCTGGCAAGTGGCACAGCCTTTAACGTACTTCGCAATGAAGTCTCCCATTCATGGCCACCAGAAGTCGCGCTTGACTAGTACGGTAGTCTTCTGGATGCCTGGGTGTCCGGCTGAGGGGAGGTCATGGTAGAGTTTGACGACTCGTCGGCGTAGGTTCATGTCGGGCGGAACATATACAGCATCTTGGTACCAGACGAGTTCTCCGTACGTTGCCCAATCGGCTAGGGACATCTTCGTGGGGGTCCATGCCCTAGTAGGGCATCCATGGCCTCTTTCGCTAGCGGTTCCTTCTCCCCGCATGCTTTGACATCGTCGAGTAGGTCAGCATTTATCGCACGTATGAACAGATGCCCGGGGAGGAGGGTTGTGTAGTCGCTAGTGAGGTGGATCTCGTCTGGGTCGACTGTGAGCACTTGTCCAAAGACTTTGTCCGGTAACATTGTGATGTCGTCGTTATCGTCGCTACCATTGTCATGGTCGGCACGCCGGGAGAGGGCATCGGCTATAGTCATCTGGGACCCGGGTACATGAACCAGCTTGTAGTCAAACTCGGAGAGGAAGAGGGACCAGCGCGCCTGTCGCCGGTTCAGTTTGCGCGTGGTTCTCCAGTACGTGAGGTTCTTGTGGTCTGAGCAAATTAGCACTTCATGGGGTGCACCAATGAGGTAGTGGCGCCATGTTTCCAGTCCGCGTACAATGGCAAGCAGTTCGCGATCGTAGATCTCGTAGTTACGCTCAGCGGGGTTCAGTGATTGCGAGATGAAAGAGCAGGGATGCCAATCGCCATTCTCGTCCTGTTGGAGAAGCACTCCTCCAGTCGCAAACTTGGAGGAGTCGCGTTCAATTGCGAACGGTTTTGAGTCGTGGGGCATCAGGAGGGTGGGAGCCTTCATGAATTCGTTCTTCAGGTCGGAGAATGCCTCTTGTTGTGTTACGTCCCAGTGCCAGCGCACGTCTTTGCGCGTGAGGTCTACCAAAGGTCGTGCTTGTTCTGAGAAATGGTGGATGAACTTGCGGTAGAAGTTGGCAAATCCTACAAACGATTGGACCTGTTTGACGTTGGTTGGTACCGGCCAGTTACTGATCCCCTCCATCTTCACCGGATCCATTCCTATGCTTCCTGGTCGTATGATCATGCCAAGGAATTCCACTTCCTCAACGTCAAACTGGCATTTCTCCGGCTTAAGGTAGAGGTCGTGCTGGCTGACCATACGTGTTCGCCTCCTATGCTCCTGTCAATCGGCTGAGTAGATCAGGATGTCGTCCATGTATATAACCAGCCAGCCCTCGTGGAGCATGTCATCAAAGATAACGTTCATCATGCGTTGGAACGTAGAGGGGGAGTTGCATAGACCGAAGAACATCACGGTGGGTTCGTAGAGTCGCAGTGGAGACCCATTTGTACCTGGCACGGCGAAGGCTGCCTTCCATTTGTCTCCCTCTCGGATACGGACGTTGTTATATCCTGCACGCGGATCCATCTTGGTGAAAATCTTTGCGTGTTTGAACTTATCCAGGAGATCAGATATGAGGGGGAGTGGGTAGCAATCCTTCACCGTGTTCTCGTTCAGTGTTCTGTAATCCTGACAGGGTCTCCACGAGCCGTCCTTCTTAGCCACGAAGAAGAACGGTGCAGCGATGGGTGACTTTGAGGGTCGAATGTAGCCCTTGCGTTCGTTTTCTTCGATGAACTTATCAAGCTCCTCGCGTTGCCTCTGGTCGAGTGGGTAAACGTGGGTCTTCATCTCAGTGAAACCGGGCTTCAAGTTGATCTCGTGGTCGTAAGCCATGTGTCGAGGTAGTCGCGAAGCAGTGCTCTTGTCGAAGACAGGGAGGAGGTCGTGGAGGTACGCAGGGACTAGCTCCTCAACAGTTTTAGGCGTCTCGCTAGAGGCCTTTGCTGCAGCCATCTGTGTTGCACTCGTCAGCTTCCCCAACGATGGGATTGCCGGTGACGTGACCGAAAGAACCACAAAGGCTACACACAACACACCCGACGAAGGGCGAGCACCGATATGCGAGACCTAGTGGCCAGGAGGGTGTACCAAGACGGTACGATGGTCAATAAGGGAAGGAGCGAGGTCGGCAGGGCTTCGCGCAGGCCCAATCTGCTTCTATGACAAGGTAGCGGACGTTTCGAGACGAGTAGACCACGGTCGCGAACCGAACAAATCGAGGACTTGATGACGATACGAGGGACTAGACGAGGCAAGCGACGGCAGGACGAGAGGTAGAGACACCACTCGGGGTGTTGACGAACTCTGACGGACTGACGATCGTACTGACTGACTTCTTGCGTACGGACTGACTGCTGACGGACATACGACGAATGGGCAAGTTGAGAGGGTAAGGGTATCTGGTATTCGAGGGGGCTCGCCCCCGCAGTATATACAGGATGGAACGACACCCTAAACAAACAGGAAAACACGTGTACATAAAGTCAAACGATGCGAGCGCTGTCCAATCGTAGAGGCCAACACACCGGCTATCGACTTGTCCAGCGAGCACTCACCGAGTGCGCCAGAATGGCGTAAGATTTCAGGCCCTGTTGAACGTGATTAACTCCGGGTAACCGCCCGAACGATACTTGGCTAGCCGTAGCACCGCGACGATACGACCGAGGCTGTCTTGCAGATTCTTCCCCAACACCACCATGCCCAACCTACGCATTGAACCGACCGCGGAAGCTCACGTCGCCCACTACTACCGCTTGATCGAAGTCATCAAGGGTGAGGCCGACGTAGAGCCACGTCTCCTGCCCGTAACTCGTGGCGAATGGCTGTCGTGGGCCAACTGCGTTCGTTGGATGCTCGTAGGTCTTCTGTCGCCTTCGTCGGCCAGGGATAGATCCTCACCGGCTTTTCCAGTGCGGTCTCTTCGAGTCCTACTGCAAGGCGGTCACCGATGACCCGAACTCTGTCCCTTCGCCGTACTCCTTCAACGACGTCGTCGAGGTCATGAACTACATCGACAAGATCTTCCAGCGCTACAAGCTGCCTCACGACTCATTGGGCGCACCCTATCCGACCATCGCCTGGTCCGAGGAGTCCGTCCTGCATCGCCAGGCTGTTGACAAGCCTCTGGCTCCAGTCTCCTACCAACTCGACCCACTGTATGTGCCGGAGTATCGCCGCTTGCCCGACAACTTCAATCACTTGGCTAACGCCGTCCACCGCCTGAGCGAGGACCAGCAGGAGATTCGTAGGATTCTCGGGTCGCTCTCTACGAGTGTCGCCGAACTGGGAGGGCGCGAGCGAGGCATTAACTTCGGCGAGCCTGTTCGAGACGCGGTCGGTCGTAGGGGAGGTTTCCGAGGTCGTGGTCGTAGCACTGGAGCCTTCGTGGGACGGGACTTCCGCTAGAGTCTTCTTAGTGTAATCGTAGCATGCTGGCCAATGTCGAGCAATGTCTAAGTCGGTGAACTGCGCGCGAGAGCTCGATACCCCACGAATCGGGATGTAGTCCAGATGGGAGCGTATCACCGGAGCAACGTTGCCCTCGGTGGTTCGCTTGAAGCGATCCGTAGTTGGTTTGACAGGAGCTCCACGGGACCATATAGTGGTATCGTCGTCAAATTCCCTGGTAAGCGGGGCCTCTGGCCAGCTCAGGGACATCAGGAACGGGTTCTGGGGGTCGTACGAGAACAGCATCTCGTCTCGTTCAAGGTCGGAAGTCATGCGTGCAATCATTTCTTCATGTGTTTCCTCGTGGTAGTCTTCCTCCCCTTCCTCTAGTTGAGTGGGAAGTGAGGTGAATCTCTCTTGGTGCCGTTCCATTAAGATTGGTTCGTCCGTGGTCGTGAGGCGGTCCAGCTTGACTATCTCCTCGTCGGCTACTTCCTCAATGGTGGTTCATAGAGATGCAAACCCAGGCTTGGTTCTAGTCTTGGGGATCGGTTCTGACACTTCGCGCTTCACCCAGTCAATGGTGGGGTTCAGCTGCTGCAGCCAGTTCCACCCAAATAGTACGTCCTGCTTGCCGATGCTACAAACGTAGGCTGGGATATGGCGTCGTGTTCCAGCCCAGTCGTAGATGAGTTGGACACGATGCGTGATCGTTCCTTCTCTGTTGGGAGTGCCGTCGACGTTGAACACTCGTATCTGGGCGTCCAGCTTCTCGGGGACTATCCCTGAGCGCACAAGCATGCGAGGGTGGATGAACGTGGATTGTGCTCCACTGTCGATGAGGGCCTTAGTGTTGACGATTTTCGAGCCTCACACAGTAATCGGAATAAATAGTGATCGATTGCTGTCGTTGGATACGTGCAAGACATACAAGGGTCCTTCTGACATCAAGGCAGAGGACCTTACTGAAAACCCTTCAACAGTTCTGGGAGCACCTCCGCGCGTTCTTCCTCCGTCATCGAGCCCCAGTCTTCGACGACTCGGACTCGAGTGGTCTTCTGTGGCTGTTGTTGCGGTCTGCCTCGACCTCGGCCAAAGCCTCCTCCACGGCGTGGATTGTCCGTGCACTCACGCGTGCAGTGTCCAGGCTTGTGGCATGTGAAACAGAGTCCATCGCGGATGTGGCGCATCCGTTCCTCCTGTGTCATCCGGTCGATGTCCATCGGCTCATCAACGCGTCCATAGGGGTTGGCAAGGACGCGGTCGGGCTGGTGCTGCGCCGAGAGATTGCGAGCCATCTCGATGTACCCATCAAAGTCTGAGGGAGGTGGGTAGTGGCTGGAAATTGACCTCCAGAGCTCGGGTCGAATGGTGTTCTTCAACTCGTAGATCTTGTTGCGCTCTTCTGTGACACCCGCACAAGCGAGGAGAGTGATTAGGAGGTTAAGATAGTCGTTAGTGCCCATCTTTCCTTGTTTGAGGGCACGCAATGTCGACGTGGCCTGGTCTTGGGCACGGTGAATTGGGAAGGCTTTACGAAGCTCCTTCTTCAACTCATCATAGGTGTTAAACCGTCATTTCCCTTCAGCAGTGGCCTGTGTGTCGAGAGTCTGGTGGAGGAGGAGCCAGTTGGCTGTCTGTGTCGATTCACGATCAAGGTAGGAGAGGAGGAGGGCAATCTTCTGCGAGTCAGGGACTTTCTCGTATCCTGCGGCGACGAGGTAGTTGTCAATGTCATAGAGGAAGGTCTCAAGCTTAGCCGGGTCTCCTTTGAATCTCCCTGGCTCTTTCACTTTGACCCTCTCGGTAAGGGCGGCGCGGACGTCGCTGCCACCTGAACGGGCTTCCAGTGCCGCAATGCGCTGGTCCCTCTCGGCAATCTGATGGTACAGCTGCTGAAGCTGTGCTTGGGTCGCTGATTCCGTCATCTCGGGGTTCAGATAGCGATCAATCTCGGGGCTGATGTCGGTTTCGGTATGGGTCTGATGCTGCACCTGCTCAAGCACATTCTGGGGTGCTGATCCAGAGGTCACAGGGATCTCGGGTTTGTCGGATTCGTCGGACTCGTCGGCTTCAATCTCCTTAGACTGTTGGGAGATTGATCGGAGGAGCGATGCGGTCGCTTTTGGTTCGGGCTTCGGAAGGTTCGCCTTGGCTTTAGCAAACCGGAGTTCGTCGAGGACAGCTGCAGTGAGGGATGGGTAATCTCTCTGCGGAATGTCCTTGTGGAAGTGGTACCAGCGCCACTCGTTCTTCTCGTCCTGCTGTGGGCGGATCCCAAGGGGAGAGGGCTCGTGGTCGATGTAGAATACTCGGAGGGTAGGATCCCAGAGGAGAGTGCCTTTTAGCGCAGGCAGTCCGTAGATACTGGGTTCGATTTGGCGAAGGTCCGAGGTATCCACCTTGGCGAAACTATCGACCTATCGTTGAGCGGCGTTGTTCACCCTAAGCAATTGGATAGCGGAATGACGCTCGAGGTCTTGAGATGGGATAGCTACACCAGAGGAATGGTGGCAAAGGGCACGTTCGACCTAATGTTACGCGACAGGTTGGAGCGGGACAATGATGAAGGCGATAGCCAATACAAGAACAAACTTCTACTGAAGACGCTGCCTTTAACAAGGGCTTACTCTTGTCTAGAGTCTGGATCCGTCGGGGCGTTTGAGAGGACTAGCCGTGCTGGCTTCCTCAAAGGCTCCTGGTCGGTCGGGCTTATCCGAGCTTGGTCGTCACCTGCCGCTAGGGCGTAGGGGAAGGGAGCAAGCGAAGGAGATAGGATTCAAGAGTTAACCAGGTCGAACGTGAAGTTCGACCGCTACTGTACAACGAGTTTAAATACAAGAGATAGTGCAATCAGCGCAGAGAGATACGTAAGCAGATCACTGGGGCAGCGTCCGGTAGCGTATGGTACAGATGGCGGGCCACGGCTACAGGTGGCCGCCCGAGATAGATAATCACCGCACGGGGTGATGAGGATGGTACGAATGATGCAGATCGTACTGATGGGATGCGAAAGGACTAACCGTTCCGTAACAATAGTGGGTCATAGCAGGTCACGGGTTTGTGTATCTGCCCAAATGAGATCAAGCAATCTACTGTGGTTCTACCCAGTCTCTGACTGCAATGTGCGCTTTTTGGGCAGACTGAGAGGAGAGGATGGGCCATTCAGGTTTGGATATTCATAAGATATACCCAGAGCAGTCTTGACTACTATGGGTGCTACAGCCACAGTCACACGCGGGGCTGTACTGGGCTCCAGTGATGTAGTGTATGTACTCGCAAACAGCGCGAAGCAGGGACGTGTGATGCAGGCAGGGTATGAAATTAGTACGACTTGGAGACCATGTACAATAACAACAGTCCGAGAGCAAACACCTAGTCACGTGAAATACCAGCCTTCTCAAGGTCATCAAGGATGCTGTTTGGCAGTACTCGGTGACCATGATACTTCTTGCTTGCCCACACCGCCTGCTTGCCAGACAGCCCGCGCCGATAGGCGTCCATGAAGTGTTGGGTGCACACAGAATAACTGTTGAAGCAGATCTCAATCAGCAGCTTTTTTGCAGGTGACAGTAACATCACACTCACCAACAAATTGTTGCGAGAGGAACAGCATTGAGTGCCTTGAGCATATTCTGCTCGAGATCAGCTTCGAGTGATGATGATGGATACTTTCAGTAATCCTGCTTGGTGTGACCCCAGCACTGCTCAATGGGGTTGAGTTTGCAGTGGAACTTTGGTAAGAATACAATCTTGACTCCATTGCATTTTCCCAGTGTCTCCAGGACACTCTCAATGTCACGGAAATCGGGCTGGTTGTACAGGGTGCACCGGGTGCAACAGTCAATAGCCGGTGGCTTGCACTTGAAGTCCGGACACTGGGCAAGCTTACCGCTGGTGTTAAAGTCATGTTCCGCAAGGATCACCGTCATGCCCTTGAATACGCCCAGATGCTCCGTGCCTTCCGCAAAGTACAGTGACTGTTTCATGCCATCTGCGAACTTCATGTTGCCCATCCTGATGCGTTGTTTGACCTTCTTTCCATTGGCAGGTTTATAAACAGGTCGGCCGTCTGGGCCAATTGCATTGACATTGACGCCAAACATTGTTTTGTTCAGCACAGTGGGTTTTGCTGACATGCGGCGCACAGACAGCGCATTGTCTGGGTGTTTCAGGTGCGTTGTTGCATTGTTGAAGATCAGAATGTGGCGTTCGTCAGGGTAGTGCCGAGAAAGGATGCCCATCGCGAGTGTCGCATGGTCAATGATATCCTGATTTGTGAAATAGCTGTCACGGGCCTTGCCTGCTCGGAAGACGACTCTCACAGACTCAGAGCCATCTGGCGAGCGCAGGTGCCAGGAACCCATAGTCAGCTGACACAAAGTCAGCTGCCATGAGTGAGGCTCCCTCGCCCTTCAGTTGCAGTTTCGCTCATTCCAACTTGTGTACCCAGTGTGTTTGGTGGTGATCATGCACATAGAAGGTTGATTCATCGTGAAACCAGAAGATGACTCGCCTCATGTCTTGAGGGAGTCACCAGCACCAACAGCATCCACCGGTATTTCGACCTCAACTCCACGGTGAACTGATCCATCGGCCATGGTACATTTGATTTCAATGCCATGATAAAGTTCAGAAGTGTCGTCCAGAATGACTGTCACCTCATGGGAGAATGCTCCATTTGGCAAGACAGGTCCCTGGACCATTGCACCATCGATGAAGCCCCGTGCATGTTGTTCAAGTCTTGCCATTGTTGGAAGGAACACATTGTCACAATAAGCAACAATGTCCTCGCACTTGTGACCATCAATGTACTGCCCAGATGGCACTTTTGTCCAATGGTAATCGAGGATGTGCATCCATGTCTGAGCTGTCGATAGACCAATGGGCTTTTGAAGACCGTACCGGGTGAGTGTCTCGGGGTTCGCCATGAATTCAACAATATCAAGAGCTTGTACATATTTCCCAATGCTCTGGAGATGCTCACAGAGAGCTTCCTTGAGGTCGGGCTTCTCCAGCAGAGACACTGACAAGGAGGCTTCTGGTGTGAATGGCAACTGATGGCAATCTTCGAGGAAATTGCGTGTCCACTCATGCAACTTCTGTGCACAGTGCAGTCCTTGTCTCCAGGCATGTGCAGTGTGCAACAATGCACTGATCCAACCAAAGCTCTTCCCAGTCTTGTCTCCGTCCAGGAAGAAGTGGAGATACATCGCAATTTGCTCCATGCAACGTTGAAGGATATCACCTCCCAAAAAAGGCAGGTACCCTAGCCCACTCTTCCTGCATGGCCTCAGTAGCTCCCCAAGATCATTCTGTGCGCGTTTTGCATCCTCTTGCAACGGAGGTGGCTCAAAAAGAGGCCGCTTTTTTGGAAGCAAAGGTGAGTCTGTCATGACTGGGATAGTATCTTGTGGTGGAATGACTGGTTCCTTGGCCAGCTCCAAGTCATCAGGTTGACTCGGAGCTGGCACAAGGGGACCCCATGTTGGTTGGGTTATTGCAGCAAAGGTGTCTTGCATTCTAGCATGTACCTGTCCAGGAGACAGAGGCAGAACGGCAGCTGGCAGCGAGTCAACCAGGTCATGTGGAAGCTTCAGCAGTGGTCAATATATGCACTTGACTTGGAAGCCTTCTATCCCAAATCAAAGCTTACATTTTCCTTTTATGGTGATTCAGGGGTTGTGTAGGGTCTCTTCTGGGCATAAGCACCAAGGTTCTTGATGCCCAGTCATGCCTTTCTTTTTTAGGGGCATTTTGCTGGCTGCTGGCTCGCCCGTCATATGTGCGCTTGTCCTGACAGATAATTCAATTATTCTGATTACATAAGTGGTGCCTGTGAGTGCGTGTACACAATCCATCTTCTGCCCTTGGCGTTGGGCTCAAACAATTGGGGGATGTACGAGACCTATTGAATAGGCATAGAATGCATGTGCTATAGGTACAATAATTGTAGTGTGTTGTCAGAAGATGAGTACAGACACGTTCACACCCGCTGAAAGTGGTGTCAAGTGCCAAACACCCCTGTCACATGATGTAGTCGGTACTGTTCTGGGCGTATCTTATGTCTGCTTGTGCCCAGTCACAGATGTTTTGATGGCCAGGACATTTGACTCAACATTGTAACTGATGTAAGTCAGGATACTGAGGGCTCAGAGAATTCAAAGGATGGTTGGCATGAGCTCAATGCAGAAAGCAATTCTGGCAATTTGACCCATACATTAGCCATGCTAAACCCATGACCTGCCATGACCCGCTATGACCTGTGTGTAAACCTGTACCCATTCAGATGGGTCTGTACCCTTGTAGATACAGGTACAGGTATGTGCTGTGGCACCTGTGGGTGTACCTGTGCTCTGTGCTACCTGTAGCTGTGGCTGCCCACTTCATAACAAACAGCTAAGTAAAGCTTCACTGTACATCAAGTGGGAAGCCCCAAGACACCCAAGCAGCAAAGCTGCCATGGGCACAAGGGCCTCCAAGCAAGTCTCATTTGCAAATATTGACAGGATCAGCAGTGATTTGGTACTATGAAATTCAAGCAACATATACTGGTGCCTTATGACTGCTTCCTAAATGATGATGCTGAGGTAGGAATGTCCCACCAAGGAGTTGGGGATTGGCACTTGCACCACAACATGATTACTGAGGCATTGGTAATGAAGTATCACCAACAGTGAGAGTAATGTTGGAATGTTATTCAGTGATATTGAACCTTCTCTCACTGAACCTCACTCTTGAAGTCAGTCAAGGAGATGACTTAAACCTTTCTAGGAGTGCAAGGACTGTACTAGGATTTGACTGTCACAGGACTCAGAGCACATTGATGAATACCTGAGAGAGTGGCAAGGACCCTTCATTGAGGGTGATAATTTTGAGATGGGCCCTATACCTCACTGTAAAGTTGACATCTGGGTTGACATTTGTTGTACCCCCAAATCAGAGCTCAATGGTCACAATGTGTGAGAGGATTTTTGCCCCATTTAGGACAGTCTCACATTGACCAGTGTCTCCAGTGTCCAACATTGTCCAATCAATTCCCAATCCAAGACAAACTGTCCCTTCTAGGAAGTCCAAAGCACATCAATACAATGTCCCAGCACTCTTGCACTGTTACACTACCCTCTGCATGCTCATCATCTCTGCCTTTGAGCCAAAGACAGCCTTGTACTTGTCAATGCATTGGCTGAATTAGCAATGGTCCATGTTTAGAACATTGACGAAGATTCTGGCCCAATATAATATAATTAACAAAGCACCATTTGTCAATCCTCAACTTCCAAGGTGCAGCCTAGCTGTCCAGTACACCACCCATGACACAAGGGACTTGTGTGAAGTCCCACATGACAACCTACCAAATTGCTAAAAGCAACTCCTCCTAGCTGTGAGGATGTGCAGCATAAATTGCTATCCCTTTATCATGCATGACTTCTCAGTTCTTGATGATGAGAGTGAATGGGTTCATGCTTCCAGTGGGCAACATACTCACATGTCACCAATGTTTCGTGATGGTAAATGACACATTCAGCCACGCCATTGACAACAACGATTTCAGTGCAAGACCCAAATGAATCAGATTGTATACATATGAAACATGGCTCAGCATCAAGGCCAGACTTAATGCATCTTCCTGTCCTCGAAAAATCGCTACAGCAAAAATCAAACGGCAATCTGGCAGGTGAACAACAGAACGACGCACCCTCAGATGCCTGAGTTGCCATGCACACGTCGCAACCAGTACAACGATCTGCACGAGGCTGTACCATACCGCACGCGAATTCGTCTGCTCGCTGAGATCACGGAAGTTCGCTTCGCGCTCGCGCTGGTACTGCTGTTCCCGGCGGATGTCCTCGAGCTTCAGGTTGAGGTCGCGCAGCTTGGAGGAGAGCTCCGAGACGTGCGTGCGGTCGTGCTCCGAGTCTGGGGCTGTCGCGCCGACGACGATATCGAGGTAGAGGCGGACGTGCGTTGAGCCGAGCCACGAGCCCGTTGATGGGTACGACGCCGAGAGACAGATGGAGTGGTCGCCCGCCTCGTGCGACGTGAACGTGAAGCGGCCCTCCGGTGGCCCGCGCGTCTTCACGACGTTATGGCTCGTTTCTAGTTCCTAGGGACTATGGTCAACGTGGCACGCTCCCGGAGAGATGTGTTCGGCGTACATCTACTTCCACAAGAATCCCCAGCTCCGGGTTCTCGACGTATGCTTGATCCTTTTCCGACCATTCCAACGCTCTGTAGTGACCTAGGGACGACCAAGGCGTTCGAATGAGCACGCACTGAAAGCGCGGATGTGAGACAGCCACCCACCCTCTACAATCGTGTCAGTGGGAAGCTCCTCGATGAAGCAGCGCCTCTCGTCGGTGTCGAGGTATAGATGGAGAGCATGTGCGCAGGCGGTGAGCCAGAGGAGGGCGCAAAGCTGGAGAGATCGCATGGGCGTGAGGAGGGCGGGCGTGAGGCGGGTCGCGCCGCCGCCGGTGTGGGCGTGTACAGCCGTGGGAACTTCAACTTTCGAACGGGCGTCTCTCCTCTCATCTCCTCCCGCTCGATCGCGAGCACCCGCCGCTGCCTGCGCTCTGCCCATCATGCCCTCGAGCAGATTCGAGCCGTCGACCATCAAGAACAAGGTCAAGCGAGAGGAGATAGCAAGGAAGCAGAAGAAGCAAAAGGGCCAGGACAAGCTGCAGCGTCGGCTCGCCCTCGCAAAAGCAGAAGCTTCCGACCCTGTAGCAAAGAAAGTGTGTACTTCCCGAGCACCCGTCCGCATCTGACTTACTAGCGTGCACCCAACAGAAGCGGAAAGAGCAGAATGTCCCGCGCACCTTGGACAACACCCGGGTGTTCGACCCGTCCTTCCTCACCGCACAACCGGTAGCATCGTCCTCTTCCGTTCCGGACGGCGAGCCGGAGGCATCCTCCTCCTCTGCGCCCGCAGAGCACGGCACTGCCCACCCACCAGAAGAACAACCTCAAGATGAATCCGCAGCCGACCTCGCCAACGATCCCTTCGCGTCGTACTTTTCTGGAGACGTCGACCCGAGCGTGCCTCCCAAGGTGCTCATCACCACGTCTCCGAGGGTGACCCGCGTGACATATGACTTTTGCGACGAGCTTGTCAATGTGTTGCCTGGGGCGGAGTTTATAAGGCGGAAGAAGGGGAAGGGCTTCGAGATGGGGCGGATAGCAGGCTGGGCGGCTGGTCGAGGGTACAGCCATATGGCGGTTGTGAATGAGGACACGAAAAAGCCGAGTAAGTCAATCCAGTGTTGTTCTCCACGCATATGGCTCATCTCGCAAGCATATAGACGCAATCACGCTCATATACCTTCCGAACGGCCCCACCGCCTACTTCAAGCTAACCTCCATCGAGCTCTCGAAGAAAATCCACGTTCGTAGTTGCCTCCGCATCATCTGAACGCACCGCTTATAGTCTATGCAGGGACACGCGCGATCAACAGACCACTTCCCGGAGCTCGTGCTGAACGGCTTCGTGACACGCCTCGGGCACACCGTCGGACGGCTCTTCCAGACCCTGTTCCCACCCATGCCTGAGTTCCAGGGACGGCAAGTGGTCACTCTGCACAATCAGCGTGACTTTCTGTTCTTCAGACGACACCGGTACGTTACACTCGTTGGCAGCCAAACACAACACTCCTGCTGATGGGCCTCTAGGTATGCATTCCGCTCGACGGAGAAGGTCGGCCTGCAGGAGATCGGCCCGCGGTTCACCCTGAAGTTGCGCTCGCTCAAGAAAGGGCTGCCCGCTGTGACGAACAACGCGGAACCGAAAAAGCCGCTCGAGTTCGACGACTTTGGGGAGACTCCGGACAGCGAACAAACTGCTGCGGGCGATATGGAGACCGACGAAGTGCCTGACGGTCACGAAGATGCCCAGAGTCAAGGCCAATCGCAGAAGCACGGGCCGCCTGCGACGGACGAATTCCTCTGGATGTGGAAGGTGCGTTTGTTAGTATTCCGTGCAATGAGTGCGCTCATTCGAGGTATTGCTATAGCCGGAACTAGAGACGACACGGCGGACGTTCTTCCTGTGAGGATGCTTCCGTCTCTCGGATGCGAGGACTGTATTCTGTGCCTGTCTGCAGAAGCGGCACTTCATTTTTGACCATGGGCAATATGAGAGGATTTGTCTTGGCGATCGACAGTGTATTGCGCGCCGCGCCCGTACGTGGGACGGCTAGTGCTGATATGCTTTTAAGCTTTCTGACGTCTGTCCCGAAGGGGGGGGCGGTGCGTCTCGATGGATCTGTACGCCCGGGAGGTATCCTGGCATGAGAGGCGACTCCGTGAGCGCAGTCGTGAACAGTGTCGCGAAATGAAACGTTGGGTGCTGGTGTCGGGGTGGCTGGGCGTCTGCTCGGACCTGTGGACGATGATCGCCGGCGGCGGGCGTGAGACGGTCGTGTTTTCTCCACAAACATACATTGAACATACACTCGCCAGTGCACGCCGCTGCGGGCCTCGAGCTTGCTGTGCGTGCTGACGGTGTCGGCGGCCGCACGGAGGCGGAGATGCTTTGCTGGCTGCTGGAGGGACGGAGAAGGGCGAGTGTTTTCCGAATGTTCGTCAGTATTGAATGCGTCCGTGTGAAGTGTTGCCCTCCGCCAGTTTTCTCCTCGCCCCGTTGTCCTCCTCTCCTTTCTACGAACCGTCACGACCCGGCCGTTCGCCATGAAGTTCCTCGTCCTCCCCGTCCTCCCCGTCCTCCTCCCCACGCTGGTCTCCGCCCACAACGCCGTCTCTCACCATGCACGGCAGGCCCCAACCACAACCAGCGTCGCCAGCGGCGGCGCCGCGAGTGCCAGCAGCAGCGGCACGGCGGTGGTAGGGAGCGGGATAGCCTCAAGCTCAGCTCTTCCGTCCACTCTCACATTCTCCCTCATCTCTGTCAATCCCACCGCCATCCCGCTTTCGGGAATCAGGACGGGTCTGACACAGACCCAGTCGACCATTGCCCTGTCGACCACCTATCAAGCCGGCGCGACGCAGACATGGGTACCCAATGCTCCTGGCCTCCCCTCCGGTGCGTATATACCACACGTGCCCGTGATGCATATCCCTTCTCATTCAGCACCCAGCCCTTCCCGTGCCGTCAAACTACCCGGCCCTCGACAAGACCCCGCCGACCGATTCAGATCTGGTGAAGCAATGGATCCAGGAGGTCATGAACTCGGACGTCGACATCCCCGACATCCCCGTCACCAACCCGGGCGCGTGCTCCAACAACACCGCCGCGGTCGCTAACGCGTCAACCAACTGCTGGTGGACCTGCGGCGGGTGCACGCGGGAGACGGACGTCGCCGCATGCCCGACCAAAAACTCGTGGGGCGTCTCGTACGACGACGGGCCCTCGCCGTACACGCCGAACCTGCTGCAGTACTTCGCCCAGCAGGACCTGCGCGCGACCTTCTTCGCCATCGGCTCGCGCATCATGGAGCGCCCCGCCATTCTCCAGGACGAGTTCATGACCGGCAACCAGGTCGCCGTGCACACCTGGAGCCACCCGTACATGACGACGAAGACGACCGAGCAGGTCATCGCGGAGCTCGGCTGGACAAAGAAGCTCATCAAGGACACCCTCGGAGTCACGCCCCTCTACTGGCGGCCGCCGTACGGCGACATCGACGACCGCGTGCGTGCGATCTCGACAGCCATGAACTTGATACCCATCGTATGGACGCGCATCAGCACCACGCAGACATTCGACACCAACGGTGAGTTCCTCTCGTATTCCACCAGAGTACTACTCATGATGTGCGCCATGGACAGACTGGAGCATCCCTGCGGGCTCGACGGACGTCTACCAAGTGCTCGACAACTGGGAGGCGATCATGGGCAACTCGACCAAGATTGACACGGGCTTCATCGTGCTCGAGCACGACCTCTTCGAGCAGACCGTCGACGTCGCGACCGGCTACATCCTCCCGCAGGCGCTCGCGCACACGCCCAAGTACAACATGACGCCGATCATCGAGTGCCTCGACATGCCGCTGTCAAACGCGTACGTTGAGACGAACGACAACTCGAGCCACCCACTGCCTCTTGGTGCGTCGACTCTTCTTGTTCGTAGCATCAGGTACTGACCATATGGTATAGCATCAGTGCAAGCGACCCACACGGGATCGTCGCCCGCTGGAGCGTCGAGCACGGATGGCAGCAGTTCTGGGGGTAGCAGCGGGGCCCTGAGCAGGACGAACACCGGCCCTGGTACGTCAAGCTCATCTATCAGAGCATAGTACATCGCCGACTAAATTGCTTGGATGTAGTGTTGTTGTCCGCCCTGACGGGCTCTATCTTGGCCGTGGTCTCCCTTCTCCTCCGCTGAGGTCCACCTCCGCCCCAAGGGCGTTGTCTGTTCAAGGTACACTGGCGCACCTCACTCCCTATCTCTTGTTGACACGTAGTACAGTTGATTGTTCCAATATACCGTCCGCTATAATTTAGCACGCATCCTCTGCATCCATTCTTATTCACATCCCAGCTTGAAGCGGACATTGTCAATGTATACTCGGGCGGCCGCCGGCTTGTATCGGACTAGTGTATGTACTACGCGTCCCCACTCGTTGTTTCGCCACTCCTTTGTACTCTACCCCTCACGCTGTGGGACTGTCCAGTAGTGTAATGTTATTCTTATTGCACCCAAGCCTTGATTGGATACTGTCAGTGAGTGCATAAATGACAGTACTACGACTGCTTGGAGAACTGGGGCTTCGTGAGGCCGCAGAGGCGGTGGGAAATCCAGGATTACGTAAGTACTGCCAGCATAAAATCCTGCCGCTCTGCAATCTCACAGTCGTTCTCAACGACCACTCATTCAATCGACGACTTTCAAACCCTCCAATGTTTCACAATGTGCTCTTGAAGTGCCTTACCTATGACATGCCGTGTATATCTACGTCTGGTGTGTACGACCCACCACCCAGGCGTTAAACGACGCGGCAATATTGCTTCACCCGTCCTCAGCAGATCGTCTACCTTGCATATCTTTGCCTCAAGGATGATGTTTTGAATGGACGGAACATTTCTATCAAGAGGCGAGATCTTGAATGTTCCTGCTTGCAAACTCAGTGACGAAGTGTTTTGCTCACAAGACTGCGCTGGCATCGGCCAATGACGAAGACTTACGTTCAATCACACCATATGTAGCACCATACGACGTCCGAGATATGTGACAGCCTTTATTTACTTCGATCTTCAATGTACATTCTTTGCTTCTACTTCCCCAGCCGGTAACGAGTGATGATGAGCGGTAAGATACAGACAGACGCAATGTGCAGCCAAGTCAAGCGACGGAGGGGACGAGAGAGACCGAGGGGAGACGCACGGGTAAATATATACAGTAGTAGGATGCGGTCGGTGCAGAGCCATGATGACGTTGCGTGGAGGAATGGGTGGTATGGACCATTAGAATGAGCGCTAAATAGGGAAGAAGAGGGAAAGGACAGCAAGGCGGCGGCGATATGCACGAAGACATGCAATGCGGGGAGGGGCAGTCCGTCTGATGACGATATATTCTGGTCTCGGTATCTCTGTGCGTCAGTCTCGGCTCTGCCGGCGATGACAGGCGACGGGTAGGTGTGCGAGGAGGGACGGCTTGCATGGATCATAGGGAGACATGTGCATGCAGGGCATGGGGGGTATGCATACAACGTGGCGTTCACGCCGCGCTGTAGAGGAACAGGTTGTTCGTCGCGGCAATCTATGACATCGTCGTGAGATGACTCGCAAAAGAGGACAGGGCAGATCCCACGCACCGCGATGGTGTCCTCCCTCGGATGCCAGCTGGAGTGGAGGATCTTCTTGTTGAAGTCAAGCGTGTCCATAGCCATGTTCTCTCGCAGACCCCCGGGCCGCACGCCGTTCTTGGCGCCGGCCTTGTTGCCAGGAAGAGGACCGCCCATCTTCTTCGCCTTGAATGCGGACTTGTCTGCCTGCAGCACGACGTCACCGCTGTCGTCGACGTCGAATATCCGGAAGTAGTTGTGGTACGACCCCGTGAGCACATGCCTGCCACACAGCCATGAGCCGCACGATTCACACACGCATGACTCTATACGCACTTGTCGTCCCCGCCCCAGGTGCACTCGAACTTGTCAAAGATGCAGTCGTTCTCGTACAGGTCACAGAGCTTCCCCCGCAGGTGGTCGTGGATGCTGATGGTCTTAACCGGCTTCGACTCCATGTTGATGTCCCAGATCTTGAGAGATAGGTAATCCCGCGAGAGAATGTACCGCCCATCATGGCTGAACTTCACGTCCGAGATCGATGAGATGATCTCGGAGAAGAATGACCTATTCGATGGGTCCTCCTCCTCCTCGAACACTGCCGTCCGCAGTGTAAGGTCTCACCGACCGTCAGAGGACAGGAATACACTCACGCTTTGCATGTCGATCGCATAATGCGGATTCCCGCATGTCCGCAAGCTTCATGTTACTCTTTGAGCTCGAGTACATGAACAGGTTGCAGTGGTTTGGATGGAACTCGGCCGCCGTGATGACCTCTGTCAGCTCCTCCATGTTCGCTGGCTTGATGTCCACGATGTCTGCAGTGTTATGTCAGCACATGCACATCGATCCATGGTGGACTGGCGACGCACTGAAACTGCGGTCGCTGACCTCCAGGTTCCACAGATTGACCCGCAAATCATCTGCAGAGATGTACGTCTCCTGATCAGAATTGACGGATATGGAATGTATGTGGTATGCATGTGCGTTGGAGTAGACCTTCCGTGGCACGGCGGCGGTTATCTGGTCTTGCGGTGTCATGCGCGGAAGCTTGAGGCCCTGTGCGGCCATTGGTGGTGCAAGAGCTTGTTGGCCATCGTGCATGTTGGTCTCGGATACCACCCGCAACGACTTCTCGAACACTTTCCATAGCTTGATCGTTTTATCTGTATACGTCTGTGAGTGTGCTGTAAGGAACGGTCGTGCGACATCTCGCACCGTTCGTAGAGAGGAGGAAGTGCGCGGCGTTCTGTCGTTTGCACCACTTGATCTTGTTGATCTTCTCCTCAATCTCGAGGGACTTGAGGTAGTCGAACTCGGGTTCGTGGGACTGGAATTCGGTGTAGAACTTGTACTCGCAGCCCTTTTTCTGTGGCCCACGAATGACCCTTCGATGAGAAAGCTGAGGCTAGTGATGAAGGAGCATTACGCACCAACTCGTTACGTTGGAAGAGGACGACGCGTCCACCCTTGTCTCCTGTTGCAAGATAGTTGCCTGTTGAGTCAAACTCGACGGCGGAGATGATGTCGGCTGAGCGTCGGGCAGCGTGTCAGCAGTGATCCCACTGGCGTTACGGCGGGGGCGAGGCCACGGACCTTCTGTGATATCCTCGACATCACCCTTGTCACCGAAACACTGGGCAAAGCGCCATCCACCTGAGCCTGACGCGTCCTGGTCCATCGCAATGGCGTCGGTCGGCTGGTGGGCGTGGGTGAGTAGATGCAGATTGGCGGCGACGCGTGGGCGACGAGGACGATGTTGAGCGGGGCTGGTGGGCGCGGTGCTGGGAGAGTCTGGAATGCGGCGAGCGCAAGTCGATCGACGACCTGGGGCACTCGAGGCTGTGTTTGCCGCTGTTTGCATCCCGTGGCGCCCCCTCCGGCTTTGCCCTCGCGCGCTGAGCTCTCCCAACGACCAGCACCCTCCTCGCCGCCGTCCTCGCCGTCCTCGCCGCCGTCCTCGCCGTCGTCCTCGCACCCGCCATGCCCATCGCACCCATCACCGGAAAGCTCAGGAAGCGCTTCTGGCTCGACCTCACCGTCTCCCTCGGCATGGGCGTCAGCGCAGGCTACGCTTTCTGGTCCGTTCCGCGTCGCGCTTCGTGCTTTCCCGCTTGCTGACCCTCCATCAGGTATGGCGTCCACCTGAAGACCGGTAAGACTCCCAGCGAACTCACTCTCCACCCCGGGGCAAGTGCTCATACATCCCTCCAGTCCAAAAGCAGGAGGAGTTCTACCTCAAGCTCGAGCGCGCCAAGCAGGAGGCATAGATCCACGCTGTACTGTCGTGTCACCCCCCGCCGCAATCCGCATTTGACTGCTTTCTGTACTCCACGTTCGCCCGCAGACTGGCCACACGACCACGATGAAGTCACCAAATGCATGAACATAGACATGAGCAATAAGTAAACGGCCAATGAGTACGACGGTGGTCTATATCCTGCCAGTCCCGATACATTACACGCATGTCCATCACCTACTTGATGAGACCCATAGTCTTGAGCTGCTCACAACTCGGGACCGGCTCCGCCTCGATCCTCTTCACCTTCTCCCAGTCCGTCCCGAGCCCGAACATCCCGAGCTCCTGGTCCCGTCTCCGCTGTTTCAGGTCCAGCCCGCGCTGACACTGCGCGTACAGGTCCTGCGTAAACAGCTGCTCGACCGTCTTCTCGAACCTGCTGAGCTCGGGCCCGCGTTTGTCTCCGTTGCGCGCCACCTCAGCGGCGATCGGGTGTCCTGAGAACTCGGCCGTGTTAACGTGGTACTTGATGCCGTAGTTGCTCGTTTGCCGCTCCATGTTGTACCGCAGCGATGGCGAGAACGAGAAACGCGGGTCCGGAGTGCTGGGTGCGGAGAATAAATTGGGGAGGAAGTTGAGGAAAGAGACCGCGAATAGGAGGATGAGCGGGAGTAATTGGACGAAGGTTGATCGTTGCTCTGCAGCTTGTGGTGGTGCTTGTCGCGTGTTGGTCCGGACGTTCGTCGTTCTAAATCCACCGGGGCCAAACGAAGCTGAGAAGACTGCAAAGACGATGAGCCTATGCCTCGGAATACTGTGAATGACATACCAGGGCCCCCGCCAAATCCGCCACCCCCAAATGGACCACCGCCGCCACCGAAGAACATATTAAACAGCTCCTCAGGGCTGATTTCACCCTCAAATCCGCCACCTCCGAACCCATTAGTTGCAAAGCCTGGTGGTGCACGACCACCAGACGACATGCCGCTGAAGCGTGATTCTGGGTCTGAGCCGTGGCGATCGTAGGCGGCCCTCTTCTGCGGATCTGCGTGCGGCGTGTCAGACGATTCGAGACAAACTCTACCGAACGCCTGACTACGCACCTGAGAGCACTTGGAATGCCTTTGATACCACTGCAGGCACCGTATCAATGGAGCACTCAGACCACAAACACTCGGTACGCACATTTGAAAGCTTCGTCTGCTCCTGGAGCGCCATTTTTGTCAGGGTGCAACGAAAGCGCCAGCTGTAGCAGTCAGAATCAGCACAGGCTATCACACAGACGAGGGGTCATACACATACCTTGCGGTACGCCTTCTTGATATCCGCCTCCTCACAATCCTTCTTCACTGAAAGGATCTCATAGTACTCTGTAACCTTGCACGCCCGCACCCGCTTGACCACCGCAGCCTGCTCCGGCGTATACTCCCGCTTCTTCTCCTCCTCAGCCTTCTTGGCGTCCCCATTCGTCTTTGGGCCCGCCCCCGCAGCAGACCCGTTATGCCGGTGTCGTGCGCCCGCCGCAGACGGGTGCGCCTCCGCCGACGACGCAAACGGCTGGCCCGCGCTGGAACTCGAGCCTGCGCTGGAGCTGGACGACGATGCCTCGGCGGAGTCGGCGTCGATGAGTTCGAGCAGCTTGGTCGCCTCGGGGGTCGAGAAGAGCGCGAGAGACTTCTGGCAGAAGCGGCGTGCGCCCGCGAGGTCGGCCGCGCCCCTGCGTCTCTGGGCGATTGCGAGGCATTTGAGTGCTTCGTCCTTGTTGCTCTCCATTGTGCTGGGGAGGGGCGGCCTCTGGGTAGGCCGAGCTCAGCGGCGGGAGGAGGACGGGTGAGGGCGGTGGCTGCACGGCGCGGAGACGTGGAGATGCACACAGCCGAATTTCGGCCGCTAAGTCCAAATCAGGGCAGCTTATTTCCCCTTCAATTTCGCCGGACCGGGGATCTCGATGGCGGAGGAATCTCGATCGCTGTGCGTTACATAATATGTGCTGACGGAGCGGGTGAGTCTCAGTGTGAGCAGCCTCCATTGCACTCCGCCGACTCACCTGCTCGCATCCTACCCAACACCAGCAGCGCCGGAGCTCATGTCAGCTCAGACTGCTGCATCGTCTCCCAACACAGCCGAGGACCTCGCACGATTTCGTGAAGAATGGAAGGAGGAAGTGCGCAGGAAGAAGGCGGCAGCACACGCTGGTCCCTCCAAACCCGAAGGACCGTCGGATACTGCGCCTTCGCAGCAGAATGGCCCAGAGGCTCTTCAGAAGGATAAGTCACCCGACGTACCACAGACCGCGGTGCATCCCGCTAAGGCCTATCATCCCGTCCATGTTCCCCGATTCACGGACACGACGTCTGCGCCGCTTGGCCCGAAGCTCCAGAGGGCAGTGGAGGTCTACCGGCGCGCCGTGCTCTGCGAGCAGCAGAGCAACCTCGACGAGGCCCTCGCACTCTACCGCACAGCGTTCCGCATGGACTCCAACGTCGACCGCGCATACCACAAGATCGAGGCGCAGTTCTATGTCAATCCTATTCCTCCTGCCGCTCAGAAGCCCGGACAGGCCTCGTCAAGCTCCAAGAGACACTCTTTGGACGACATTGTGCACAACTGGAAGGCGCTGGACGTTCATTCTGCTGTTGTCCAAGCCAAGGAGGGAGATGCGGTGCCGCAGGGCTCCCTTGCTAGCATCATGACTGAGTGGCCACACGATCTAGAGTTCTTGCCAGAGGATGAACGGGAGCCTGCTTGGATACAAAGGCTCCCGATCGAGGTGCTGCTTGTCGTCTTGCGCAAACTCGACACAACCACACTAGAACGATTCGCCTTGGTTAGCCGTCGAGCTCGAGCACTGACAATAGACACGAGCATCTGGAGGTACATAAGAAATACTTCCAGGTTATAGCGCTGCTAATATACTGTTACAGGGAATTCGTGGAGGCTATCTACAAGCCTCCACAACTGCCCGACATTGAGGAGCTGGCCGTTCTGCTGAACGACTTCCAGGGAGACCATAGGCGGCTGTACATTGAGCAGCCTCGTATTCGCTTGGACGGTGTCTACATTGCAATATGTCATTACACGTATGTACATATCCTATCTTCAATAGAGCGGGTTCGTTGCATGGTGTCGGTTTGCGTGAGTGGGCGAATTGTAAACATCAAGTTGCCAGATGACAGTAAAGCCTGTAACGAATTCGCTCTACTCTACGTCATGCAGGATCTCTCGCTAACTAGACTTCGTTCCAGTCGAACTGGAGTCAGCGAGACCTCGTGGATCAACGTACGTGGTTCACTCGTAGGAGTGCTGATGGCGGAACTCACCTTTCTGTCCAGCCCGTACACATGGTACAATACCACCGATTCTTGTGAGTCCCGGCAAGTCTGCTTCGTCCGCGTTAGGTATGATGCTTGACTCTTTCGACCAGGCGGTTCTATCCCGACGGGCAGGTAATCTCCCTGCTGTCTTTGGCCGAACCGCGGGAGATCATCCCAATTCTGAAGCCCACACTGCACATCAAGGTGCGTGCCACGCCGATCCACGAGCGCGGCGATCCTGACCTTAAGTGCAGGGCCTGAGCCTCGGCAGCTGGCGATTGACCGGCACGACGGTGCACATCGAGTCTCTGATCGACCCACGGCCTTCAGGCTCAACGAACCGACACGCCTTCCAGATGACGTTGGAGCTGCGGTCGCGGCCGCTGGGCCGCTGGAACCGGCTGAACTTCCTGGCGTACGACTCGGTGAACCTTGAGAGCGGGAAGGTGTCGCCGGTGCCGCTGAAGCACGACCGGGGCTACCATTTTTCGAAAGTGCGGTCGTACTGAGTGTGGATGTATATTAGTAGCTAGAATGGCATCAGAGGTTGCGCGCGGAGCTGTTGTGCGACGGGCGCCTGGGAGTGATACGGCGCGCGGGCTGGGAGGTTTCTCTGTCCCGCCAACTCGTCTGCCCTGCCCGTCCCCGCCGCGTCCCGTCTACTCGTCTCTCTCGCGGCAGAGGATCCGTCGTGCCCCCCTCGCCAGTGTTGCTTATACCCACCCGTCTCAGCAGCGACCCGAGCCTCGGCGGATCCTCTGAGCCAACGAACTGTCTGCTTCGCCGTCTCCACGACCCATCCCCTTCGCTCCTCCTTGCTCTCGTGCCCCGCTCGTTCTCATGGTTTCTCTCAGCATATCTCGGTCGCCTAGTCTAGTCTCGTCGCCCTCTCAGAACAGTTTCAAGCATGCATTGCCCTCGCCCTCGGACTCTCATTTCAACTCGACATCCTCCACCAGCAGCTCCTCCTCCTCCTCGTCCCACAAGAAGGATGATGGTCAGTGACGCGTCGCTATCTCGGAAATACCAATCACTCATGCTACGGCCTCAGAGGATATGACCATAACCGCCAGCCGCTCACTAATGAAGCTCAAGAGCACCGACAAGAGTAAAGAGTACGCGTACCATCCCCTCCCACCTCTCCGCTCCCGCTCACGCTGTGCACAGAGCCCTGCATCTCCTCGCCCTCTCGACCCGTATCACAGAACTGTCATACTCCATCTCGGACATCCAGACGCGCATTTTTGGTACGTCGCTCCGCCGCATAAGCGGGACGTCCGCTCATCCGCGTATAGAAATCCAGGAGCTGCGACACAAGTCGCAGTCCTCGGCCGACTCCAAGGATGCATCCGGTGTCATCGATCAGTCTCTCTCCAGCCTGGACGAACGCCTCGAGACCGTGACCGCCGGCATCAAGTCCGTAAACGGCTCCCTCGAACCGCTGCTCAAGGCCGGCGACAGGACCTCGGTCGCGTCCGGCCATGTCCCCAGCGAGGAGACCCTCTTGCTGCGAAAGCATTCCGCGATGTTGTCAGAATGGGAGGCGCTGCAGAAGGAGATACAGGTTTTGCGCGAGGAACTGAAGGAAGACAAGTGGCTCACTGTCTTCCGAACAGTGACCGACCAGGCGGATGGAATGATGTCAAGTTTGGAGAAGGCAGTCAATCGCTGTCAGGTGCGTGCCTTCACTGCTGTCTATCACGCAATCCGACTCAATGTCGCGCAGGAATTTATATGGAAGGTACAGAGTGCTCTGAACGATGCGGGAACCCCTTCCGTATCTTCTGTTCGCTCTGAGAAGTCGCCTGTGAGCTTTGATACGTTCCAATCACTCCTCGATTCGTTCGAGGCGAAGAAGAAGTGGGTATCACACTTGGAACGCCCGAGTTCACAGCTGACAGCGTCCCAGACACTACATGCCTGCCACTACCAAAGTTCTTTCAATTATCGACAAGGGAGTCCAAGATCGCGTCACCAAGAACGGCGAGTGCTTGAGAAGACATGCAGAGTCCACACAGCGGTGGCACAACCTCAGAGAGCGAATAGCCCGAACAGATGCTGAAATGGGGGCCGTCCGGCGCGTGCTTACCGGCGAAGATATCAGTGCCGCCTCAAGTGAAGCTGGCTCCAGTACATCCGGCACGACGTCCAAGTCTCGGCCAAAGAATGGATTTCTGCAAACACCACAGCTGGAGAGATCGTCAAAGGAACGGACACACAGTTCCAACACGCTTTCTCGTTCCATTTCTCCGTTCCGCAGATTCGCAAAGAAGTTTACTAGTGGTGGATCGCACAAGCCGCCCCCCGGAGCTGTGACGCCAACGGCACCCGCAAGCCCAAAGCGCGTCCCGTCCTCTGAACCTGGGCGGTCGCTCCGCCATCGTGCCTCGATGTTACATTTCATGGGCGGAAGCACGCAGCCAGTAACACCAGTCACGCCCTCCCACAAGCACTCACACAGTCTGACCCCCGAGTCGTCCCCGTCCGCGAAGAGGCTCGAGAGGATGGAGATGAATACAACGCTCAAGCACCGACCCGCGTGGAATAGCTCCACGAAAGTCCAGGATGAAGACCGTTCAGGCACAGTCAAGTTGTCTCCTGGTCGGCCGTCCACATCGTCCAGCATGTACCGGCGGTCCGACGACATACCCCTTGTACCACCACTGTACAATCGCAGCGCGTCGCGCAGCTCTATGGCCTCCTCCCGGCCCTGGTCCCCCGTGACGTCTTCCGTATCGACCGCACAATCCTCTACGACCCCATTTTCTATGTACCGCCCACCTTCGCGCTCGAACACGCCCGGCCTCCCCATGTCCTACCGTCCCCCGTCACGGTCGCAGGCGCAGACGCCAGGCCTGCCGATGGAACCTCGCTCGCGATTGAGGACACCCAGCCACATCCCCGCGCCGTCCAAGCCGCACTGGAGCTCCATGTCCTCGTCGCCCTCCGACACCTCGCGGGACGGCGACGACTCCCTCCTACAGCGCGCGTTCTCGCCCACCAGCCCGCGGTCGCACACGCCCGGCGGGAGCGTCATCCCCGCGCGCCCGCCCAGCCGTTCCATGATCCCCATCCCGAGCGTCCAAGTCATGTCCGCATCCCGCCCAGGGACGAGCATGGACTACTTCCGCCCCGACAGCTCGATGTCCTTCCGTACCTCCGCCGACGGCGCGCGCACGCCCGACATCCTCAAGGCGATGCGGGCGACGCCGCGGCTGTCCATGCCTCCCTCCAGCTTCCGCGAGTCCGCGAGTCCGCGCACCCCCGGGCAGGGCTCGCGCCCGCCGAGCCGCTCGGGTGCGGGCACTCCTAGCGGGGAGCGCGACGGGAGCGGTGTGCCCGTCTACGAGTACGTCCCAGTGAGCACGCGCGATCCGCTCGACATGGAGATCGCGAACGTCGTCAACTCCCTGGCGCATGGCCTCATCATCAAGCGCAACGACCCCCCGCTGCGCGGGACGCCGAAAGAGAATGACGAGATACGCGCGCAATATTCGTTTGCTGGCCCTCTCACGACCAAGATTGTGACTTGCAAGCTAACGACGCTCTCCCGCCCTGGGGCGAGTGGCAAGTCGAAGCGGGTGATGTGTCGAGTTGGAGGAGGTACGTTGTCAACGTATGTCCCTCGCTGTTCATATTTACTAACTGCGTTTCATCTAGGCTGGCAAGATCTGCGCATGTACGTATTGAGTCGCCAGACGTGAGGAGTGGGTTTAGGGCATAGGAACGCGGTCGATACCGCAGATGTTTTGCAACATATATCCACTATAATCGTCGACGTGTCCATCTACACTCGTTTATGCATACTCACTCTGCATGCATTCTTTCACTGCATCGTGGACGGTATACGATACATGGAATGGATTGAAACTAAGTACACAACACGGTGTGCGAGGTGAACAATCAGCAGCCCCAAGATTGGCGATATAACAGACAAGATAGCAAAGCAGTCAATATATGTTACACATGCTCAGTACATGTCCACGTCCATCGCATCGGGATTGAGATACTGTGACATGTCGATCTGCACTCGACTTTCTTTGACCTCCTCCCACAGAGCCTTGAAATGACTTCTCGACTCTGCATCCGCGTCCTTAAACAGCACCGTGCGTGACGGCTTCCAAATGGTCGGGTCCATGGACTGGTGCACCCCTGCGACCAATCCTTCCATAGCCCAGAGATGTCTGCTTTTCTCCAACCCACCATCCGAGGACGGGACATCAAACGCCTTGTCGATGAGCGGCTGCATGAGAGGATGTTCCAGCAGCCCGGGATAATACCTCCCGCTAATGAGAGGCAGCGAGAGGACGACCTCATGGCCAGGCGGGTGTATGCGGTGGAACTTGAAGCCCTTTGGTGGTCTCGGTAGCGGATACGGCACCGAGTTTGCAGGATGTGAGAGCTGGCTGCCGACAGTCTGCGCCTTGAATTTGCCTGAGCCTTGTGTCGTTTGTGCAAGGGCGGCGTGTGCAGTGTCTGCCACGGATACGGTCGGATCAGGGTTGGGCAGAGGTGGGGGTTTCAGAGGGGATGGTCCAGGCATGAACGAGGGTCCTGACTGTCCCTGCGATACAGCAACACTACCATTAGCCCCCGCTCCTACATCGGAGGCCCTCTCTTTGCCTTTGCCGTTGTTGCTTCCGCTGGCCTGAGGTGGCGGTTGACTGGGCTCCATCGGGTCCTCCCAGTCTCCGTCCGCCAGCTCATAGAGCTGTCCACATGCGCGACACTCCTTTGTCGTGCCGGATCCGTCCTGGTTCGGCACGTCCACGACGAACAGGCCCTCCAGCAGCATGAACAGCCCCTTCTCCGCCGCTCCCAACGCACGTTCGTCCACGGCCTCCGTGTAGCCGCTGTCCTCCACATGCGCGCGCCCTGACGCGCTCGGGCCCGCGGGCGGGTAGAAGACATCCGTGCCCGCTGGGGCGAACTGGCAGCGCGCGAGCTTCAGGCGGACAAGCTCGTCCGTCCAGATGCGCTCGGCGCCCCACCAGAGGCCCTGGTAGCGCGTCTGGGTGACGACTGGGGCCGGCACGGGGTGCTGGCCGAGCATGCGCGTGCGCCTTTCTTCGAACTCCTCGTCCGACATGCCCTGTGGGCGGTAGATCCCGTCCGGGTTGATCTGCACATTCTGCGCCGTGGCCCGATGGCTGACGTCCACAGCGTTATTCTCCGCGGCCTGTGTCAGGAGCGCCTCCAAGCTCAGGCCGGCATCAGACTCCTGCGCGGGTGTAGAGGCATGTGGGCGAGGTTCGGGAGGCGGCGGCGGCGGCGGCGTGTTTGTCGGAATGGTGAACTTGCACTCCCACTCGTCTGTGGGGCCCCAGAACCCGGCAACGTTTGATGCGATCTGTACCGCGAGCGAGAACGGGACGACGGCTTCCCTGTAGCGTGCAAAGTCCGGGACCAAGACCGTAGAAGGACCTGCGAACGGGTCTTGCGCATCCTGCTTCTCGGGAATGGGGCTGAAAAGGAATGTACGGGTGAGGTCACTGTCCATCTCCGCAATCGCGTTTGTGTGCATGATCTGCTGCAGTTGGTCCTGTAAAGTCCCGAGGAGCTGTTCCGATGGGGCATATGCGAGGTAAGGCAGGACTTCGTTATCGGATACGACGCAGGTGGAAGTGACTGCGAGGAGCTTGACGTTGTAGGAATACCACTGGCGCACATCCCAGGGCGGCTTCGTGGTCGCATCTCCCGACACAACGGGTGAATTGTCCTCGCCCGATGCGGTTCCTGGATCAAGCTCTGCAGGGTGTATCTGCATGCTCTCCAGTGCAGCATCTATAGCGTTTTCATGTCTTAGGACGTCGGTGTGAACGTCCACGCGATCGACGATGCCTGGCCAAAACTGGATGCAGCCGTCCTCTTTCTCCCCCCGTATCGGCGGATTGAGCGCGCACCACACCAGCTCTCCCTTCCTGTGCCATCTAGACACACCCGCCTCTCCTGTCACAAGCGAATGTCTGACATCGTTATCACGCTCCTGGACGAGCGACTGCTCTGGCCCCGCACGAACAGTCTTGACGGGCTTGGGCGCGCGACGCACCTGCGCGTACTGCCTGGGTTTTCGGACCTCGCGATGCCGGCGGATCGACTTGGATGGGCTACTGGCCGTGGACGATCCGCGCCTGGGACCGGAAGGGAGAGCGAGGACCTCAGTAACGACGCGCTGGGGCTTTTTCGCGCAGTACTTGCATTCGCAGTTGGCGCGGTTCAAGGTCTCGTCGGTCATTAGCCAGACGGCGTGGGGTATAAACTCGTTGATCGAGCGAAAGCGATTGACGAGGGTAGATCCTGGGGAGCTATGAGATTTGTGTTGGGGGGGCTAGGAAGAGACGCACCACATAGATATGGATCGTGTCGCGGGGAAGGGGCGGGGCCCTTGTTGTGATCGTAAAACTGGTATCCGTCGGGCCAATTCTTCAGGACATAACTTGGGCCCTCTGTAGCAACGGTCAACGCAGCAGGCCATGCACGCGGGAAGACGACCCACCAGGGTAATCGAGCTTGATGGCAACCTGAGAACCCACGCCGACACGCCAGTTAATGGCCGCGCTCTCATCGAGGCCGACGGGGCGCATGAAGTTGACTTGCCCTGATGAGTCGACGATACGTTCCGTATTCTTCGGCAGAAGTTTCGCGTCTCCATCGGAGCGAGGGAAGGTAATCCACTCTGGGTCGTCGGGCAGAGAGGTTTTAGCACCAAGTTTGCGCTGACTCATGGTGCGAGCAAAATGAGATGCTACATATCGCGCGTCCGAAGGGTGAGTAACTGTCTGTACGCTTCAAACGAATTATAACTCACAGCGTCAGGGTGGTGATGGTGTGCGAGAGAGTCGACTGGTGGATTGTCGACAAGCTCGAGGTAGCCGCTGCCCGTTGCGACGGACGGCGCGGTCGGTGCAGTGGGCGGCGACCAGGTCTCGGACCACAGCTGAGGTCAGTGAAGGATTGAAGGCGCCCAACAGGCGATCGGCGCTTCCTCAGAGGCGTCTACGTAGACACGATCACGTGGCCCACTCAATCCCAAGAACTGCTCGAGCGACCCGCGTGTCGAACGAATTTCTAGCACAAGGAGAAGGCTCGCGCTCTTCCTATTCAGGTATTTTAGTTGTGTCATTCCGCAAAGTCGTGCCTCAGGAATCAGCTGCCAGTGGTGCGGAGAAGATAATTGAAGAGCTAAAAGCATATATCCACAATCATACATAGCACACTCCGCAGACAGCAGGCCCTAGTTGCTCGGCATCTTCAGACACGTCGTACGCAGGCCGTCGCCTGCCCACTTCGCGACTTCAATGAGCAAACTTCGTTTCCTATCTGCTCCTGCAGTGGATCGCAACTCATACATTGTCGCTGTGATCGCGTTAGACGGGCAAGGCGGGGACATGGAAGGGCTTACATAGGTTAAATAGGAGAGGCTCTGCGGCGAGCGTGGTGGATGGAGAGAGTTTGATGGCTTCCTCTAGTACCCGGATACCCTGTTACAGTGTCACATCGACTGCACTTGCATGTAAGACGGTTCGTGCATACCTCCTGTATCTTCCCTTGGCTCAAGTACGCGACGGAAAGATTATTGATAGCCTTCAGCTCCGTCAGCGCACACACACCATCTCCGAGCCTATATGACGCACAATAAAGTTCTCCGGGTCCTCATCCAACATCTTCCCGAGCTCCTCAATGGCCTTCGGCCAGTCGCCGTCGGCCGCAGCGAGCACGGCCGCATTCATATGCTTCAGCGACGGCTCAGCAGTCGGGTCGTTCCACACCTCCGCAAAGTGTTTCGTCGCCATGCGGATATACCCGCCCTGGACGTATATCCTGCCCACCGCGGACTGGAGTTGCGGCGCGGTGACCCCGCCCGGCTGCTTGCACAGCGGCTCAAGCAATCTAGCCGCAGCAGCAAAGTCCTAACAACGAACGCGTCGCCCTCAGCCCCTCCCGCCGAGCACGGTCCGCGGAGGCTCACCTTCATCTCGATCAGCTGCGACGCGATGATGAGGCACACGCGCGCGCCGCGCTCCTGCCACATCCCCGCGCCCATCGAGTCCGCCTTCCCGTCCGCCGCACGCGCGCGCGCCTTGCACTCCGCCAACAGCGCCGCCAGCGCGTCGAGGTAGCCCATGTGGTCGGCCGTCCAGTACTTGAGCCGCGCATGGAGCACCTCGAGCTCGAACGGCACCTTCTTCTCGAACAGCCACTCGCGCGCGGCCGCGGGCTCCACGCCGTTCAGGACCGTGTACAGGTTCGTGCACTCCGCCGCGGTCTGGTTGAAGAGCCGGAGGCGCGCGAGGCACGAGAGGCGGAGGTACCAGAGCTGCCGGGGGAGCGGGGCGCGTTAGCATCGAGAGGCACCGGCACGCCAGCGTCGCGTCCGGGCGCGCACGACTTTGACTCACTGAGAGGACCAGGTCGAGGTCTTCTGGGTCTGTCTCGACAAGGCGGTCGCGCGCCATCTTCGCGAGTGCACGCCAACTGTTCGTCATCTGTGCCCTCACGCGTCACTGGCGGGTCTCAACGAGCTCACACGCGACTCAGACTCACGACGAGCATGTTGAAGTCGGCGCCCTGCCAGTTGCCGCTCAGGTCGCGGTGGGGGCGGCTCTCAGGTGGGATGAATTTGATCAGCAGCGTAGTCAACGGGTCCGTCTGATTGTACAGGGATAATAAACATGACGTCCGGGCAGCCACCAGGTGAGCAGGTGGAAATAAGAGGAGCCTACATTGGGGATGGGGAGGAACATTGCGGGGAGGACGAGCCCGGGGAGGTAGAGCTCGGGGGTGTCTTCATCGTCTTCGTCGTCGTCGTCGTCCGTGTGCGGCGGTGGCGGGACGGCCTTGTTGAAGTCGACGGCGGTGTTGGGTACGGAGACCGGCCAAGCCGGAGGCGGTGATTGTGCGAGCGTGACCTCGTCTGCGGCGGCGAGCGACTGCGCGGTCTCGTCGACGGACAAGCCTGCAGGTGGCTGATCCGCCGCGGGCTGCCCAAGAGGCTGCTCAGAGGAGACTGGAGGATCCTCGGGGTCGTCCTCGAGAAACGGGTCGGGTACGCCCGACTCCGTGCTCTCTCGAATGGCTGGACTTGCTGCAGGATCCCTTGAGTCGGGAGTATGCTCTGACGTACCGAATTGGGCGTCGTCTAGCGTGGACGAGCGTTCTTCATTACGAGTGTTCGGCTCGGAGGCATCTGCTTGTTGGGATGTGTCTCCATCATCACCTTCTGCATCCGAGGACTCGGACTCCCCAGCAAAGAAGTCGGATGCGGATGTGTCGTCGGCGCGGAGCGATCCCTGCGAGGGCTCGGAGAGCTCAACGGACTGACCCTCCGGGACCGCCGATGCATACGAGGACGCGTCGCCTGGTAGGCCTTGCGCGAGCGAGGACTCGTCGGCGGACATGCTTTGCACGTTCAAGGACGCGTCAAGAGAGGACGAGTGGTCTACAGCGGTGGCGAAGAAGGAGGACGGCGCGCTAGAGAAGGAGCGCGAGGGATGGCGGCTGTCGCTGCTCTGGGCGGAGGTGGTGGTGAGGGAGTCGTCGCTGTGCTTGGAGGAGAGGGCGAGGTCGACGGGGACGGGGACGGAAGGAACGAAGGGCGCGAATAGGTCGGGGGACGGTGGCGGGGCGGGGACGAGGGCGGCAACGGCCGGGGACTGGTGATGTCTGGATCGGGCGACGATCTGGATGGCGCCCCGGAGGCGCCGGACGAGGGTGCGGACGCCCTTGACGCGCATCCCCGCAGCGGGCACAGGCAGCAGCACAATGTCCGTCGGAGGCGTCCCCGCCTTGGACTTGTCCGTGGAGGGAGAGTGCGAAGGAGTGGACGGGATGTGCAGGCTGATGCGCTTCATGTTGGCTGCCTGCAGTCCCCCACGTCCTCCGCACGTTTATATGGCGCGCGGGGGGCATGGCGTGCCCTGTCTCGAGTTGTGGCGGGAGCGACCTCGACGACTGCGACCGGGAAGCGTCGGATCCTGCGATGGCTCCCGTGCAGAATATTACACCGTTCTGTCACTCCAGACCGTCTTTCCTGCGATGAGCGCTGACCGACTTGCATCCAGACGTCCGCCCACCGCCCCACACAGGGGGTCTACCATCCATCTGCCACGGTGGCCGCTGATAGCACCTGTCTAGCCCACCGAACAGCCCGCACGGGACGCCCCCACCGCGGATGTGCGGCCGAAAGTTGTAGGGCCATCCGCGCTCTGGCAACATACAGGTACGGCGTTTCCATCGCTGCGTGACAGCCCGACGGACGATCGAATGGCGTGCCAGTGCGATTTGGTCTGCGCAACTGTTCCTGCAATGAAGCTGAATAAGTGGCAGTCGAAGAACATGTGGAATGGCTGCGCATTCCCGACTCATGTCGACGCTCTCAAAGCCGATACCGCCCTCGGTTCTGGGATACCTGTACAGTGATAGGTATGTCTTGGCTTGAATACCACTCCGTATCTGACCCCGCAGGGCTGCAATGACGCCATGCCGTTCATGTCCTCTTTGAAATGTCTACCGTCCCGTAGCTCGGTAGCGTTCGGCGACCCTCCGGATGCAACACGTCTCGACTGACCCTGAGCCGGCTTTGGGTCAGACAGCACGTCAGCGACTGTCCACAGACCGACTGACGTACCTTGGCCACAATAGCCCATTAGGATCCGGCAGCCGGAGGCAGAACTGCAGACGCATGGCCCCGCACTGCCACTGGTATGTACTGTGTGCACACATAACAGCATACATGGACCTGCGGGAGAGCAGCTTTGGCTGGTCCAGGTGTCACTGTCCTGGTGAGGGGGTAGACTATATCTCTTGTCCCAATTTAAAACACGCCTCACTACAATTTCTGCCCATCCGATTCAGTTCCAGGATTTCGATCGCTTCGATGCGCACCCGCAGCTTTGCGGCCTCATCGTCCCCGTTTTCATCTCCTATTTCGCTTTCCTGGCGTCTGCACATCCCGCCCCTGTAGCCACGAAGGGCTCGGGACAGAAAGCGAATCAAGCTGTAAGCGACAGCTCCCACAACTTCCACTGCCATCAAGCGTCGACAGCTGAAGTGCGTCGATGGAAAGCGCGACTCACTTGGTGGCTGGATGGGGTGCACGCCAGAGCCAACTGTCATTCATTTTTGTCGGCCGCGAACTCAGAATAAGACTGGGATTCAGAGTCAGAGGACGCCATCCAGCTATCCACAGTCAGGTGCGCCGCTTCGATAGCTCTAGTCCATCGTAGTCCAAGCATCTGAAGCTAGCTCTGCTTGAGTACCAAACTTCTTGGATGTCTTAATACACGAACAGGGCGACGCGCTTGACCAGCTTGCCCCAGGCGGCCTTGGCTTCTCTCCTGAAGTCCGTCAGGAGAGAACAACTGCCCCGCGCCCTTCGGGTGATTAACCAGCAATTCCCACTCGTGTCATGTCCGCTCACGAGCAACATGTGAGCCTGAGATACCCATGCGATGCGCGAAGGATCTGCAGAGTCGTCGGCGCGTGTACACACCATCTGCGTCGCAGGTTCCTTCAGAGGTTCGTGTCCCCACGTCTTCGCATATGCACCTCAGCGTGGGCCGTTTGCCGCTTAGTAGAGCGGGTGCGGCGACTCAGATTTATTATAACAACGTTCTTCAGTTGGACGGTTTCCCCTGGGTCGCGCAAGTCCGTCAGACGAATCCCCAGCCATGTATCGCCAAGTTTGCTGACTGCGCCTGGTGTGGGCGCAGTCAGCCAGGAACGAAAAACATGCAGGATGAATCAACGATGATCTGGACGTGCAGAATGTATTCTTTGACGAAGATTTGACGACGGTGTAACTCATTGACTCAGAGAACGGATAGTGTAGTAGGGATATGTCGTAGAACACGAAAGCATTGATGAGAGTGATGTTGAAGGGTGTAGCAGAGTGGGAGGAGATCTGCGGCGATCGAGGAAGCCGTTGGCGGACAAGTCCAAACAGCGCCCACAGCGTCCGCCACCGCCAGTACCGCGTCTCCCGCTGCCTGCCATGGACGGCTTCGACGACCTCCTCTCCCGCTCCCGCGACGTCCTCGACAATCCCTTCGGCGACCCCTTCGCAAAGCCCCGCCCCAGCTCCCCCGACCCCTGGGCCAGCTTCGGCCAGCCCTCCGTACACGATGACGGCCACGCCTTCCTCGGTGCGCGCAGCACCACTCCGACCCTAGACTCCCATGGCTTCAGCGACTCTGCTGGCTTCCAGTACAGTGCGGCCGACTCCAGTGTCTTCGCTGACCACTCCCCGCCTGAACACGCAGAAGAAGCGGAGCCCCAGACACCCACCGCAGATGAGGCCGAGTCGCACACACCCACTCCCCCTGCGGTCGCGTCTCCCGGCTTTCGGGAGAGCGTACCACTCTCTATCGACGAGGTCGCGCAGCCCGAGGAAGAGCAGCCCGCACGAGAGCCCTCACCGCCGCCTGCGCAGGCAGAGGTGCCGGCTGAATCGCCTGTACCTCCTGCTACCGCACCCGCGACCTACGGCTCGTTCCTCGGACACGCGTCTCGTCCGTCCAACGCATCTACCTTCCGCGCCGAACCCACATACCATTCACCTCTCGACCAGCCCTCCGCCGTCGGCATTGATTCATCCCTCGCCGGGCTCTCCATAGGCAACGACGCGTTCAACGGATGGCAGAGCGAGCCAAGCACATACCCGGCGTCGCCCCAGTCGCCCACCGGGCCCTCGCAGCGGAGTCGCAGCGACTCGGACTCGTCCGACGACGACCTGCCCATCCTGCAGTCCGCGAAACTGGCGAACCGGATCCCCACCGCGCAGGCAGTGAGTCTGCGCGTCCGTATACCCCGCGGCGAGTACTGACATCACGTCTCTAGTCAAGACCTGCGGGCCAGCGGACGGAGAACGGCCTCCCCCCTGCGTTCGTGATCACCGTCGACGACCCCCAGAAGGTCGGCGACGCCATCCGTGCCTACACCATGTACACCGTGCATACCAAGGTCCGTCCCTCCTACTCCCGTCCTGCTCACCCCCAAACACACCTGACACCCTTCCTACTGTAAACACAGACCACCTCCCCCTTCTACAGCAAGTCCTCCTTCTCCGTGCTGCGGCGCTACTCCGACTTCCTCTGGCTCTACGAGACGCTCTCGCAGAACAACCCGGGCGTCGTCGTTCCGCCTGTGCCCGAGAAGAACCCGTACCGCCGCTTCGACCAGGACTTCGTCGAGCAGCGCCGGCTCGCTCTCGAGAAGTGCATCCAGAAGATCGCGAACCACCCCGTGCTCCAAAAGGACCCCGACCTGAGGATGTTCCTCGAGAGCGACACGTTCTCGCTGGATGTGAGTGCGGTGCCGGTGCTCTAGAGTGTTCGTTGATTGTGTGCGCGCCGTAGGTGAAGCACCGCAAAGCAGAGCTCGGCCAGGAGAAGGGGTTCATGGCGTCGCTCGGCCAGTCGATCGCAGGACCGAGGTTCTACGAGACCGACGAGGTGCGCTCGGCATCACATGCAAACCTTCACGAGCTCACCCTTTGATCGTCCCAGTGGTTCGACCGACAAAAAGCCTACCTCGATAGCCTCGAGTCCCAATTGCGCGGGCTGGTGAAGGCGATCGACCTGGTGGCCAAGCATCGCTCGGAGGTCGCGATCGCGACGGGCGAGTTCGCGCAGACGATCGCGGACCTGGCGTCGTCGGACATCGGTCCGCAGTTGGCCAGCTCCTTTGCCGGGCTCGCGGACGTTGAGCGGAAGGCGCAAGACCTACAGACGGCGCAGTCCCACGACGACGTGGTGACGGTCATGGCCACAGGTGCGTGCCGTCAGCGAACACGACCACGACACAGATCCTGACGCGTAACATCAGTGGACGAATATGCGCGGCTGATCAACTCTGTTCGAGTGCGTGATTCTGTCTGTTGATGATGGTGCACGGTAGGCTCATACACGCCCTCGCTAGATGGCGTTCAGCTCGCGCATCCGGACGTACCACGCCTGGCAATCTGCAGATGCCCACCTCCGGAGCACGAAGCAGCGGCACGAGTCGCAGCGTGCGCAAGGGCGGTTACCCTCCGACCAGCTCAGCCGCTCGCTCTCCATGGTTGCAGACGTAAGCGTTGCGTTTTCGTCGATCCCTGTTCCACTCTGATTTTGCCTTGTCTAGGCCGAGAGGCGAGCGCTGGACGCGAAGACGGAGTTCGAGCAGACGTCGAGGCTCGTCAAGTCTGAGGTGGCGCGGTTCGAGCAGGAGCGCGTCGAGGATTTCAAGAACTCACTCGAGGCCTTCTTGGACGGGATGATTACGCGGCAGAAGGAGGTGCGTCATCCTTTGCGTGCGCATAGCAGACCCGGGTCTGATTATGTTGCGCAGCTCATTTCTCAATGGGAGAATTACCAGCAAAGACTGTTGAAGGTTGCTGGTCCGACGGGCCAGCGGAGGAGCACGGACGCTGCCGCTGTTCCTGTATCATAGCGCTTGCTAGTGCTACCTCACCGCATATTTCAGCTTCCTTGCGAATACTGTCATATGATACCATGCTGTCACGCCGGGTTATTCTCACATGGAATGATGTATTTTCTATTATGCTGCAAAGCGGAGTGTACATGTAAGAGTGCGGTGTGCATGCGGATGTGCGACGTGCTGTGCATATATGATGTCTGAATGTCCGCCACTAAATGCCCTGGACCATGCCGATACCTCATCCCCCTCTCCATCCGGAAACGAGCGTCCTTCACTCCCAATACCTCTGCATCTTCGGTTCCGGCTCGTTCCCCGCCACCTCTAAGAAGTCCGACGGCCGCTCCCGCTTGAGGTGGTTCCTCCGCCTATTATTCAGCGGGAGCCGCTGGTACGCCGAGTCCTGGCTCGCGGGCTGCTGGTTCGGGAACGGGTTCGTCCACTGCTGGCGGAAGTCCTGCTGGTAGCCGCCCTGCATGCCGTTGAAGGGCATCGCCGCGGCAGAGGAGCTCGCCGCCTGGAGCGTCGCCGCCATCGCGGCCGCGACCTGCGCCTGCTGGAGCTCCATCTGCAGCTGCTGGTGCTTCATCTGCGTCTGCTGCCGGACCTGCGGCGGGAGCGACGGGTTGTTGAGCATGATCTGGATCTGCGAGATTTGCGCCTGCAGTTGGGGGATGGTCTCCGCGAAGATGTGTGACATGTCCATGTCGCCGCCCGGTTGTTGGTCCGAGTAGTACTCCTGATCGAATGCAGCGCCATCTGACTGGTCTTGCACCTTATCCTGAAAAGCCATGTTAGTAGAATCAGAAGTCTGCGCATTTACCAGCTGAAAACTTGACGAACCTGGCGAACCTTGTAGACGGGTTCTGGCGTTTCACCCTTTGGCTCCTCTTGGGGTTCGTGTCGGCTCTTCTCGACTTCCCTGTCGATGTAGTCCCCGACCCTCGTGCGCATCGGCTTGTCCATGAGGAGTTTGTCGAGCGATGCAATCTTAGCGCCACATTTCGGGCAGATGAAGTCGCGTTCGAGCAGGTGAGTCTGGATACACTCCTCGCAGTACAGCGTACCACAGCACGGGGTCTTCACAGCATCGCGGAAAAGCTTGTTGTCTATAGGGCATACAAGAGAAGGGTCTGACGGAGTACGCTCCCGAATGTCCGCCTCCGTCAAACCAGGCTTGTGTTTCGCGACTTGTTTCTGCCATGAAACTCTGAGGAGAGTTCAGTCAACAACATCATCAGCTGTATCAGAGAACTCACACGTCGGGCTGGGCTACGACATAACCGCCTTCAGGGGTGACCATCACTCCTTGACCGATCTGACCGTTGGGTGATTCGACTGCCTTGAGGAAACTACGGGGAATACCCGTAGTGCGCTTAATGCGCGGCCTGTTGTCATAATCACGGTCGTTGTTCGTCGGGCAGTCCTGGATCCAGTGACCTTGTCATAACATAAGAATACAGCTTCACGTCAAACCGCAAGATCTTGCGAACCTTTCTGTCCGCAGCGATAACAAACATAGCTTGCAGGGAGTGGCCTGTCAGACTGATGATGATGGAAGGGCTTTCCTCCTCGCCCCATGGCACCGCGCGAATTATTATGGATACGGACAGCACTGTGAAAATGGTGCAGACAGAGACAAAATGCACCAGTGAAATTGCGTCCATTAGAACCATCTACTACAGAGACAAGGAAACCGCGTAAGCGCGACACCAACTGAGACATCTTTTCCTGGGTCTCCTCCCAGTTCTGCGTCTGTGCTTGGAACATAGCGGCCATAGCAGCCGCCTCATCGTCCTTCGTGACAGCGGACTTGACAGCGGTAGCCTGCGAAATGGGTCGCACGAAACAACGCACAGATATCTGAAGTAGACGTACTGGAGCATGCGTCTTGGGAGCGGCCTGAGCAGGCCCCTCTTCTACCTTGCCATCGAATCGTTTCGAGATGTTACCTGGTCTACTCCAAGTGCTGGAGGTGCTGGGACTTCCGCCCGTTCGAGACGAGGGCTCGAAAGCCTTCGTGTTGTGGGCGGAATTGCCAACATACATAGCGGTCTTACCCTTGCCCGGACGGACAAAGACTCGCTTTACAAGAACTGAAGACGAACGGGGTATGATATGGGAATCATCCTTGATTTCTGCCGGGAGCCGTGAATACGGATGAGGTGAATGAACACAGGACTTATTCTGGACGCACCTTCTCCTGACGAATTGTCACAGATGACGAGGTCAAAGTCGTTCGCCTTCGCGAGGTTGTTTGCTAAGATGATCTCCTTTTTGAGATCGAACACAGAGATGCCGGTGCCATCGAAGGTCACCCTGGACTCGTCCCTCTGAGACTTGAACTTGTAGAACACGGATGATGCCATTCGTTAGAGTCGCTATGATTAACGGAGTGCTAAATATTACAGAGTGTGTCGCAGGCGGAGGAGGGACGGGGAGGATGTGGTCCGGAGGAGAGCAGTGAATTTGGCGCACAGACGTGTCCGGCAACCGTCTCCTCCACCGGCCGCTGCCGAGCATCCGAGCGGAGATCCGCGGGTCAGATGCGCCACGTGACCGCGAGTCCAGGGCGCGTCCTGAATTTATCAATTTACGAGCGGGTCGTGCGACGTTGCCCGACAGCAGCGCGGTCCGCCCCTCTCTCCGTCTCCCACCATGTCTGCGGTTAAGCCCAACCAGGCCGACGGCCTCCGCCAAAGGAACGTCGCAACGAACGGCAACGGCAACGGATGGACACCCACCGACGAGGGCAGGAAGACGGACCAGATACTTGACAGCCACGTCGAGTGAGCATTCTGAGGACAGCGCGCTAGACCTCTTGGACTGACTTCGTTGGGTGCAGGTATGAGTTTGGCGGCCCATGGGGTGTAGTCGCGATCATGACGGGCTTCCCCGCCCTCATGTACTACCTCTGGGCTTGTCTCGTTTTCTACGACGGCCAGCTTGTACACCCTACATCGATGGACGACATCCAGCCTTTCCTCTGGCGAATCTGGGAGCATATCCGCGTTGTAAGTTACTTCACTTTGACTGGTCTGCCGGTAGCTAACACACCTCTTCAGGACGCCAGTCCTAACGCTTACGCGTGGAAAGTCTACACCGGTCTCATCGTCTACCAGCTGTTCCTTGCTTGGGTTGTCCCTGGTTACATTCAAGAAGGCCTCCCCGTCCCGTCTCTGGGTTACAAGACGCTCGTGTACAAATGCAACGCCTACGGCTCGATTTACATTACCATGATCACCGCGGCCGTCCTCCACACAACGGGCATCTTCCGCATGACGGAAATCATTGACAACTTCGGGCATCTTATGACAGTCGCTATGATCTACGGCTTTGGTGTCTCCTTTGGCATGTACTTCCTCACCGTTGCCACTGGTAACCAGATTCGCATGTCCGGAAACCTCATCTACGACGTCTTTATGGGGGCGTGTCTCAACCCTCGCATTGGTCCTGTCGACCTCAAGATGTGGCTCGAAGTCCGCATCCCCTGGGTCATTGTCTTCTTCATGTCCGTCTCCGGGGCATGCAAGCAGTACGAGCAGTACGGCTACGTCACCCCTGTATGTTACTTTTCACTGTCGAAGGCCGTCCCCTGTTCACTCATTTGCCACTACCAGAACATGTCATTCATGTGTCTTGCGACATGGCTTTACCTCAATGCTTGGTGACTATGCTTCTCTACCATACCCAATGTCTACTGACAGACGTATAGCGGCAAGGGTGAAGAACTCATTCCGCAAACGTGGGACATGTTCCACGAGAAGTGGGGCTTCTTAGTTATCTTCTGGAACTTCGCCGGCGTTCCCTTCGTGAGTTCTTCGTATGTTTCACTGCTTCTCACTTCTCATGCCGCTGCAGTCGTACATCTACTCGGTTGTCTATATGGCCAGCCATGACCCTTCGAAGTACCGCTTCTCTACGCTCGGTTACGCTGCCCTCTATACCACGCTTCTTACGGCGTATTACATGTAGGTTCTGTTGTGCTTCGTTGGATGTGCTTGTGACAAGCTCATGTTCTTCGCAGATGGGACACTGCGATGTCCCAGAAGAGTCGCTTCAAGTTGCAGACTCAAGGCATCACGTCGTACCGCAGGACTTTCCCTCAGCTTCCTTGGGGTACCATCGAAAATCCTAGCTACGTTCAGACAGCACATGGGTAAGGAATCTTCTTGGCATATGCGAACTCTTCGCCTCACAGCCGCGTGCGTCGTCAGCAACCGCCTTCTCACCGATGGATGGTGGAGGTACTCTCGCAAGCCCGTAAGTTCATCCCTTCATTGTTCAGACATGGATGCTCATGGACGTCTGGCGCAGAACTACGTTGCTGACTGGCACATGAGCCTGACCTGGGGTCTCGTCATTGGCACGGCGTCGCCCATCCCATACTTCTACTCCGTCTTCTTCATCGTTGTCCTGATTCACCGTTGCGGACGTGATTTCGAGAGGTGCGTTGGGTCTCTGTCATGCGAGCTGCGTTGGCGTACTGACTGTTTACAGGTGCGCGATGAAGTACGGAAAAGACTGGGAGCGCTACTGCTCCATCGTCAAGTACAAGTTTATACCTGGTGTCTATTGAGCTGTCGAAGCTGAAGAGAGGCTAATGTCGCGCGATGCGATGCCCTTCACAAAGTATCTACTGTATCCAATGTAATGGTTGCTGTGTGTTGTGTTGGAGCCCGAGCAAGGGTAGACACAGCAAACCGAGATTCCACCGCCATGCTGCTTGCCTATTCAGTTTCATGCACAGGTGCTGCGTGTCTTACCTGACGCCGGCGTACATCCAGCGCGCAAGGTCCACTCAGGCTTACCACCAGTGCCATCACTGCCGCGGATGACTCGTCTGTGTACATTGTCCGGCGCAGATCTCGCCAATTGGACCACGAGCGACATTCCAGCGATGGTACGGGAGTTGTCACTTTTGGTCCACAGACTCACCTTTGACATGCCCGGGCCTTCACCGGTATTTCATAGACACTGCGGGCGGACCTGTGATTCATGAAGTCGCCGGTCTTCGATATCGATTTATTCGCTTAGATAGGCAAGTGTGCATGCAAGTCCAGGGCGATGATCAGCAAGTGTAGCCCAGGGCAATGCAGTGCCCTAGGCAGCGCCTGGAACAGCTTGTTACAGCCTGGGAAAGCATGCGCTGATCCTGGCTCAATGGTACGCATGCATTTGCCTGTTCCATTCCATCACCAACACCTTGACGCTAGTACTCACTGGATAGTACTTCCCATTCTGGAGGTCCAGCCCTCACGTCAGTAGACGTATCATCGCGAAAATACATCAGAGACCAACAAGATTGAAGGAGACGGCGTGTTAGCCCATGTAGCTTCGCCGCAGGCCCTCCTCACTCTATTTATCCCTCGCTGCTGACCCTCTCAGTCTACCACATAGGACGACATGCAGTTCCAAGGCTTGTTGGCGGTTTGAGTCATGCGACTTCCTTTGGCTATAGTTAGCCACCGCTGCGTCTGACAATCCTCAACACCTGGATGACGATGTACTGCTGTGAAAGTAGATCGACAGAGGGCGGTGATCGGGTGCACTCCGGCCATGTCTCCGTGTCGCTCGGATACTCAATCTTCATGAGGTGTATGTTGTCCTGACGTTGTCTCCCTAGTCATGCTGTATAAAAGCACAGTGCCGCATCCTCAAACGTCAAACTCCATTCGCTTCCCTTTACTCTGAAAAGCTTCAATGTCTTCGAGCCTTGACCATAGATTTCCCTCGCCCATCGGAGGCCTCCCTTTCCCTCACGATTTTTTACCAGCCTTACTTTTTACCATACTTTATGCTCTCACCGGTTTGGTCGCGGCCTACCGAATGATGGCTGGACGGTCACGAACCCATGTAATCATCGGCACTACGATATTTACGGTCGAGAGGTGCGTAAAATCGGCTCCAATTGTCGCGGTATGGCTGACGAACGTCACAAGGATTATCGACCTAGCCATACGCGCCGCCGAAGCTGAGAAGCCTAGCATCCACACCGCTTCGTTCTTCGTTGGCTGGCTGCAGAGTGCCTACGCCCTGGGTTTCCTCGGCACGACGCTGGACCTCAGCAACCTCGCACGGCTTTTCGTCGTGAAAACAACAGAAGACGTCCCCAGGATCATTATCGAGCTTCCGTCGACTCATTATCTTTCCCTCAGGGCTCGCTTCGTGGAAGAACAGCGACTTAAGGCGATCTACGCGCGCGTAGATGTTGGATCGTCACCGTACCACAAGCCGCCGGCGGAGGATTTCGCAGACGAGCCGCAGGTTCGTGCCTTGCTGCAACGCATAGGGTTGGCTTCCGTAGTCTTGCGCATCCAAGCAATGGCATTAGCTGCGGCATCCGGGGGCCTATATTACAAGGGGATTACGAGCGAGAGCCAGGCTGTTCTCGTCCAGTATATGAGGTGTGTTGTGTATGTTGACCCATGTCTTGCGTCCCATCCAATCTTACATGCATGATGCGGCGCAGATACGCCTCGGCAATCATCGCGTTATGCCTACAGCTCCTTGCGTTAGGCGAGGTTCTGTGGGCGTTGGTGACGCGCCCCAAGCGGACGCCTCGTGTACCCGCGCTCTATTTGTGCAGCATGATTTGCATCCTCGTGCGTTCCAACACTTCGCTCTCACACTGCATGTATTCATCATCGGGAATGCAGATGATCACAACGGTTTACCGACTGGCAGCGATGGGCAACCACACCACTTCGCTCACGTCAACGGCTCCGGGGTCACTGAACAGCCCTACTGCAAAGGCGCTGTTCTATGCGCTTCACATCGCGCCTGAGTGGCTTACTCGGAGCGCCATGCTACTGGTAGTCAATGTCAAAGAATTGTATGGGATCAGCACGGGTCTGAATAGTCTCTGACCGGTACATGGGCATTCGACTCGCACACCTTAGCTTGGGACGGATGCGGCTCGCCGATTACTATACGAGTCTGTAGGGACTAATGGGTGCATATGGTGGCCAAATGGAAGCCGAGAGTGGCACGTCCGAGTCGACGTCCACAATGTGGTTAATTTGTTCATTGGAGGTACTTATCCCGACGTGTAATATATCACGTACCCAGAATTTGTCTCCAATTGCAAACCCAGGAGGCTCGTCAATATTTGTCGGGATATCGATATCATATGCTATGTAAGCGCACGGCGTTGACTAACTGGCTGAATATAGTAACCACCTGTGGCAACGTCACGGTTCGCTACCTGGCTGGCCACTTCACGCCTACGCTCTACGACACCCTACAAGTTGAGGTCTCTGCTACTGGCGTGACATTCCTGTCTGTCTACCTTCACTAGGACTACGTAGAGTGTAGGCTGAATTCGCAAGGTCAAGCTAACTGCGAAGAACGCGGCCTCCGACTCCGAGCCCGAGTCCAGCTCAGTGCTCCAGCAAATGGCCGAGGCGCAACATGAACGCCAGCCTTTATTGCATGCGCACGACGTGGATGCGACCGAAGTCTATCCTATAATTCTCATGGTTCGCTCGGTACGTGTCCATGCTTGGGGATCACCATCATAGCAGTCATGACCATTGCCTTGATATAGGATGTTGCGGTGAGCGCCTCTGCTTGCTGAGAGTAGTCCGGTGGCTGAACAGAAGCACAATCTCGTTAGCATTATATTGGTGGGCACGGTTCGGTCTCAGTGAGGTCTGCATACTGAACGATGAACGTTTGGTGGTCTATGCAGATACACCTCTTACTTATGAAGCGGTGAGTATCAGCTTAGTCTAGTCCACACTGCATCATCACTTTTCGCGCGTTCCTGACGTGAATCGCCTCGCACTCTCACCGGCACTTGGTGTGATACTGCTAGGCAGTGTGTTGCTGAGAAAGCTTCGTTGCGAAGCTGCGCCCAAGTGGCGACGTCCTTGAAGTCGCGCACCCGCGCGCCATGGTTCAGTTCCTTACTACGTCACTTACACCTTTCCACGCCTTGCTCAGTCTATACCAGGCCTAACCCTACGGTGCTGACTTGCTATTGCCAGCTAACAGCACCGGATTTGACGTACACCCTTGTGCGTCCGCTCGAAGAGAAATACAGCGGCTACCAGCGCGCAGGAAACCTCTCCATTGTCTTCTGTCTGCTCGTGAACTGCGTCTACTTCCGGCGGGACGACCACCTCATGACCGCTGCGCTGTCTCGCACACGCGCCATGCTCTGCGAGATTCTGGCCATTCGCGCACTGGGGTCACATGCGCACAACATGCTGGAGCTCGCGCTGGCCATTACGACGAGCTGGCCAGTCTACTCTGGCGCACCGCCGGAACTGATCGAGCGTGCGAGAGAGGAACGGGACGACGATTTGGAGGAGAGAATCGGAAACGCCATCGAGATGGCGATTTTGGCACAGGCAAAGCGCTTCACAAATAGCTCAGCTTGCCAAAAGGTCATTGATGGCATATGGAGGTGAGCAGGTGGATCTGGAATGTTGTCGACAGGGGAGCTAACGATTCTGGCTGTAGCGGTAAGATTGTCTATCAAGCGGATAGTAGTCGCTCTATTTTGTCCGACGTAAGCATACCGAGGCTTCACTGAGCTTGCGCGTCTGAGGTTATTCTAGACATACAAACGCACTCCGATACACTTCTATGACCCCCACAAAGCACCGCTACTAGATCACTATCGGTAAGTACTCACGCGGAGAATTGCATCACGCTATATTGATATAAGACTAGTCTGAAAGTGCCCGCAGTGCGCTCGGTTCTGGAACTGACAAAGTGAGCGACTCCTTTCACCGTAACCTCATTTCTGATTAACGCTGACCCGTTCAGTTTCCTTATCCTATTCATTCTATTCGTCGTTGCACTGGAATTCAACGAGCGAGATGGCATCAACATCGCTGAGGGCATATTTATGATATACGCGCTTGGCTTCACGCTTGAGAAGATTGCAGCAATGCAGGAGCATGGAATCAAGGGTACGTCTTGATTTCGCATTGACATAATCATCATCACTTACAACAGCGTGAAGTGTACTTCAAGGGAACTTGGGTGCGTCACTGTGTATCGTCCTAATATGACCTTCATTAATGCTCGGGTCAGAACGGCTTTGATCTGGCCTTCGGTGAGTAGCCTAGCTGTACGATCTCATTGTGTGCACGGTCTGAATTCAGGCGGCAGTGACGCTCTATTGCACGTACGCCATTCTGAGATGTGTAGGCATTTACCACCATCGTACGGCTCATCCATTCGCTGTTTGGAGCGGACACACTTATGCGCTTGTTCACATCCAGACACTTGGTCAGCATTAGCAGGCATGGACTTTCTGGCCATTATTGCCGTCCTCATGTTCCCAAGGCGAGTCTGTCTGCTCGCCGATAGCTTTGACTGACACGCGTATCAGGCTAGCGTTCGTCCTATTGAAGGATAACGTCATGGTACTCGCCCTGCGCGCCATGATAGTTCAATTCGTCATCCTCATGGTCATCGCTGCCTTTTGTTTCGGCGGCTTCTTGTATGCCCTCTGGACGTAGGTGAACTTGAATTCTGGCTGCACATCTCTCTGACAGCGTGCATGTTACTAGACTAAGTAGAAATCAGGCTGGGTGAGTTATCTCACCGATGAATTAGTCTTCCCTGTTGATGCAAGTACGATGCAGGTACACAGCTGGGTGAGACTCAACAGACGTAGTCGCTCGGATCGATGCGAATACTCAGACCACCCTTGTCAGGCAGATCGCCTGGTGGATGCTCGATCTCTGGTTTGGTCTTGATGCCAGTGGCTTCGACAACGCATGTACGTGTTCATCCACGGATTGGCCGCACTCCATTGACGGTTCTTTCAGCAAAGTTCCATCCCATCTTTGGTCCGATGATGATGGTTGCGTACGCATGCCTGAGCAACACCCTTTTACTGACAAGTAAGGCATTGCTCCGATCCTCTGACGCCGCAGGCTAATTATCGCATTCTTCAGTCTTGGTTTCCGTATGTACTTGGACTAAGTCGCGCACGTCCACTGCTTCACCAATGTCTTCTAGATCCTCTCGAATACGTTTGCCACCATCAATGATGATGCCACCGCGGAGGTACTACGACTTCCTTAGCCTGCATGACTTTTGCTCACAAATATTTAGGCTATGTTCCGTCGCGCCGTCCTGACCATCGAGGGGTAAGCTCCTGTGTTTCCTTCTTAACCCCTTTGCTGATGTTCTACCAGAGTCAAGGCAGACTCGCTTTTCTCATACCAACCGCCTATCAATCTTATCGCCCTCTGTGTCATGCTTCCAGCGAGTTACATCCTGACACCACGATGGTTTCATAAGGTACCTTGGCGAGACCACTTGCCGGTTGCCTCCGCATGCTGATTGAAGACTGGTACAGGTCAACGTTTTCATGATCAGGTAATGGCTACCATAGCGCACATTAGAGTAGAGATGCTGACGGTTCGCTCCTGCTCGTAGGCTCACGAGCTTCCCCATCTTGCTCTTCATTGCGTGGTACGAAAGACAGGCTAAGCAGACGGGGACATTCACTTTCAGCGAGACCATGTCCAAAGCGGCAGACAAAGTGTTCGACACATTGCCTCGCTCCATCAAGCGCATGAGTAGGTGCCAAATATGATGAGTTGTTGTGACCGCCGCTCACGTGTGATCTAGCGTTCTTCGAAGGCCTAAGTGGACCCGACGCAGATATTGACGCAGTATGTATAGGCTCATCCGCTCACTTGGTATGAAGTTTGACATTTTGTCTGGCAGATCTTCGAAATCGGAGACTTGTACGAGAACAGCGCACTCGACATGGAAGACGCCGACCAGCTGTCCCCCACCAATGTCCTCGAGCACCGGCGTCCCTCACAAGCTTCCCGGGCGTCCAGGCGGCGCGTCTCGCAGTCCCATTCGCAAACCAGTACACCTCCGCGCTCTGCCTTGTCGCTCTCCGCGAAGAGCGAACGCCCCGCGAGCGGGCCCTCGTCCATCCCGCTCCCGCGGCATCGCCTCAACTCGCTCGTCACGCGCGGGCTCGACAACGTGCAGAGCGTCGCGAGCCCGCTCGCGCAGGTCTTCCAGCCGTTCGTCGTGGAAGACGAGAACGACCCGGAGCAGGAGGGCGGCGCGCTCGTGAGCTACGGGCCGGCGTCGAGGCGGCGGCTGTCGTCCATGCAGCGGCGGCCGACCGGGATGGGACACATGGATCCTTTCGGAGGGGGGCCGATGGCGGGACTGGCTGGCAATGGAATGGGACTCGGCACAAGGCGGTCTCCTGGGGCGCCGTCACTGATGAGTCCGAGCGCGAGGTTGGGGCTTACGGGGCAGACGTTGTCGTCGAGTCCGGAAACAAAGGAAATCAGGAGTCCGAGCGAGAATGGCAGAGACTCGAGGCAGGGGCTGAGTCAGCCTCATGAGCCGCTCGAGACTGCGGAGGAGGAACAGGAGGAAGGAAGGTCTCTTGTGGATAGGCGGCTGGAGGATATCGAGAAGAGGCAGCAGCATATTGAAGAGCTGTTGGAGCGGTTGGTGTCGAAGTCAGGGTAGAGCCGAGTGGTAGGCTCGGTCTCTGAAAGTTGCTTGTATGGCAACGGACTGTTCTTGGAAGATTGCACTGGACATAGAATTCACGCATATGCATACGCTTGACTGACAGCCTTGGATCGTTGCGTCTTAGTGACTGCTTCAAATCTACGAAATGCCTTGAGGAGCTGAATGTCTCTATTCAATGTGACGTTACTATCATACACACGTCCTACAGCAGTTCCCGGCAATGTCTCGGTCGTTGGCGGACATCCTCCTACCCGAAGGCTCATGAGGTGGATCCCGGACCTGCTTCCTGCTCTTTCTCCTTCTGATTCGCAATACGGATTCTGCAGATCCGTTGGTCAGGTAAGACTGCCGTGGTGCAGTGAACAGAGCTACTCACTGATTCCGCGCGATCAGGATACGCTTGGTACGCTCCCTCTCAATCTCGGTCATGTTTGGCCAATTAGCGATGCGAGAAAGCGTCTAGGTATTTGTGTGCTATGAGTGTCGCGCGCCGCATAGAGAGGATAGCCGATACGTACACCATCGCTGTTCACTACCAAGGGCCCCAATGCATCAAACTTGGCTCCTTGCTCTGAGCCGATCGGGACCTTGGTCGCATCCTGGGAGTACTGCGGCTCGGGTGCGGGCAGACTGAGGTGAGGCGCTGACTCTTGCTCGTCGCTCATGTTCAGATTGTGTTACAAGTTAGCAAGCGGAGGAGGCGGTGTCTGCCACTGTCTGTGGCTGGGAGTGCTATACAGAGGCGGGCGTATATGAGTATTGCACATCGTGGCGGAGCGGACTGTTGATCCTTCCCGTCGCTCGATCCTTCCAGACACGACGCGGTCACGTGAGCAATACGCGACCCTTGTCGAGCCTTCGACGCGATCGGCACCGGGATATTCGTACCTCGAGGATTGATACAATGCGCCTTTTGAATCATTCAAACACATATGGACAGTGGTGCTCTATTAAAATGCAACACACATGGAGACGCTAATGATACAGACTCAGAGTACCAAGTTCGTCCGAGTCGCGATAAGCACTAACCACAGTGAACCTCAAGGGACTGCGAACATGGCACGATGATAGACTCGTACGGTATGGCTACAAGATGGTGTATAATGTAACTCAACTAATTTTGTATGTAAAGACCAGTTCAGCTACTCCTTGGAATCTCAGCCAGACGGGCAACGTGTGAAAGGTTTGTCTTACGCCCCGGTCTGGTTCCCAATGTTGAGCTGACGCGCTGAAACCAGGACCGATAGCAATGAGCCCTGCAGTTAAAGCCTGGGGGACAGTACGAATCAGCCTGAACGTCCTTTGTTCTTCCCTGTCAGCAGAACTACATACGTCCCTCAGCCCTCAAGCCCAAGATGCCCTTCAAGCTCTTCGCGCCTGCCTCAAACCTCTTTGGGATGTCTTCGGGCCCCCGCAAGGTCAAGCCAACCCGCGTAAGTCCCGTTGGGTCTCGAGCATTGCTCGCGCTTCCCTGACCCTGTGCTACCCATGCAGACTCTGCCCTGCAAGCCAGTCAAGGTTACCGAGCACCGAGAACACACCGCATGGTCTTGTGTACAGGACGCCGTCGATGCAGACGATGTCCACGTTCGCTTGGTGTTTGACGAGGCTGGGAGCATCGTAAGTCAACCTCGTCTCGAAGTGCTATTCACAGTTCTACACACCCTTTCTCTTAGATCGCCTGCAAGGCCGAGCCTGTCGAGCCCATCGACTCGAGGCTCCAGACCTTCGTGTCTCGCTCGTTGGTAGTCAAGAATTCAACCTGTTCGCAGTACGACGTCAATCACTGCCTGCTCAGCCGCATGGCGTCGACGCACACCTTCCACACGATCGACCTCTCCGATGGCAAGACATCTCAACGCACCTTACAGACCGTCTCGACCGTGACCCTCCCAGTGCCCGCCTCTCCCGCGCTCTCCAGGACCTCCACGCTGGTTGACGATGGCCCTGAGACTAGCAAGCAGGGCGCCCTCAGTGTCTCCGACTTCGAGGGCATTAAGATCCTGGGGCGTGGGGCACAGGGAGTGGTCACCCTCGTCAAGGACAGGTATACGGGTCGCAGCCACGCCCTAAAGGTCACCAAAGCTGCCAAGCTGAAGCCGAAGTCTTACCTCCACCTGTTCGAGGAGCAGACTACTCTCAAACGGCTGGCGGGCATCCCTTGGTTCGTCGAGTTGCAGGGTTCCTTCTACGACAGTGCACACTTCTTCCTTCTTATGGTGAGTTATCCGTACAGAAAATACCGCGATCTTCATTTGACCGTCACCGCAGAAATACTACCCGAACGGCAGCCTAGGTTCTTTCCTGGGCCGCGGCCGTCTCTCTCCTGTTGACGCCCGCCGCTTCGCAGCCGAGCTGGTGAGTCGAGCACAATCCCATGTAGCGAGCCCACTGACAACGCCCACAGATCTTCGCGCTCGGCCTGCTCCGCGAGAAGCGCGTCGTACACGGCGACATCAAGCCCGACAACCTGCTCCTGGACAACCGCGGCCACCTCGTCGTCGCAGACTTCGGTATGGCTCGCAGCTTCAACGAGCCAAGCCCGCTCGCGCCATGGAAGGAGTTCCAGGACGCCATGGAGGAAGCCGGCATCGTCGAGCCGAAGAACCTCGAGTTCGAAAGGGCGGACGCGACTTGTCGCGGTGTTGGCACACCCGTGTACATGGCCCCGGAGGTGTGGCGCAAGCCAAATGCTCCCCAGTCATACCCAGCGGACGTTTGGTCCGCGGGCGTTACCATCTACGAAATGCTTACCGGTCGTGTGAGTACGCCGCTTCTGTATACGAGAATGATGGCTGACGGACACGCACTCATATAGCTTCCATTTGGGCCACATAGCAAGTACCTCCCTGCGCTGGAGACGTGCTTCGCTACTATTCGCAAACCCCTTACTTTCCCCGACGACCTGGATATAGATGTTGACGACGACGCGCGCGACCTGGTGCACAAAGTGAGTATCCCTACAGTGGAACCTGGACAACTTGAAACTCATACGCTTCCAGATGCTACAGGTTGACGCGAGCAAGCGCCCCTCCATTGCGGCGATCAAGAAACACCCTTACTTCATGTCGATGTGAGCCCACTTCATCAATGAGCTTGATGAACGAGTCCACTGACATTCTTTACAGTAATTGGCTTGAGGTCGCCATGAGGCAGATACCTGTGACGACACACCTTCCCGCGCCAGTCCACGAGTCCGTCACAGTCAAGTCGGCCTTCATCCCGACTCCCGCTCCCTTCGGCGAGGACGACGATGACAAAGACCCTTGGTGGTGGTTCTCCTGGGTTTCCCCCACCATGAACGCTCCCCCTGAGGACGCCGACGTCGCGAGCGATATCGCGGTTGACGTCCCAGCACTAGCAGCCACCGACGCAGCGGCACCGCCGCTAATCGAGAACGTTTCGATCCCCTCCTGCCCCGACACGTCCCCTAGCCCTGTGAGGATGTTCTGGGGTGCGCTCAAGAGGAAGCTCGCGTTTGCTGCTTAGGAGTTTGGTCAGAGCGGAGGTAGCTTGGGATGGTCGCTCGCGACTCGCCTTGTGTTACTTGCTCCGGTGTTACGATACGTCTGGATGCGCCTTTAGTTGATGATATGAATACTTGATCTTCCGCTTTGCTCGATGCGTGAGGAGTGAACAAGGAAGCCTCGAATTATCAGGATGAGAATGGCGCATAGAAGCTTGCGTGATCAATTTAGCAATGGTAATATACTACTACACACCTGCAGAAGCGCGGTATCCCCGAACGAGTGCCGGACAATGTGATGGAAATCGCAACACTGAGATTCTCATCACTTCGCTTCTACTTCGGTATCCAACCAATCCCACAACTTCGAACCGACCTTCTCCTGATAGGCGTCTTCTCTGGGACGAATGTCGACTCTTGCCCATGGGGCAACATACTGCGAATGACATAAACCTCTCTTGGACGTCTGATTCTATAACCACACTCACCTCGCCGTTGTGCTTCAATGCTTCCGGCATCGTCCCCGCCCAGAGCTGACCCAAGACACCGTATTCTACCGGATACAGTTTAAGGAAGAGTTCCTAGGAAAGCACACCTTGTCGGATGCTTTGTAGAAGGTGAGAACTGAGCGGCGACTCACGACAAACTTGTGATCGCTCGCTGAAGCGTACTTCATGATGTCCGTCTGGATATTGCCTGATTATATGAGAATGCCTGGCATTACCCAATGACAAAGATTCAGAGCGTACCAGGGTTGACCGAAAGCGACAGGATCCCTTGTGATCCAAAACGTCGTGCGCACTCATGAGCTAGAACAACGTTTGCCTGCAAGACTCTGATCAGACTCGGGCGCAAGATTCGTCGAGGAAAAATTCTGACAAACTTGCTCTGGAAGTACATCATGCCGTAGCCAGCTTTTCTTCGCGCAGGACCCTCCTTGAACGTGTCATAACTCAGTGTCGACAGATATGACGCGTAGGATGACAGCCAGATCACTCGAGAGAAACGGTCTGACGATGTAGCCTTGCCCGCAAGAAGGGCAGGAAGAAGCAGCTTCGTCAACAGGAAGTGTCCTACCGTAACGAATGTCAGCACATTCGAGCGGTCGAATAGGGTAGACTCACCAATGACATTTGTCCCAAACGTCATGTCATATCCATCATCTGTGACCCAATCGATAGGGATTGTCGAAACACCGCTGTTCGGAATGACCGCGTCAGGGAACAATAATGCCTTCATGCTCAGAGTGTACTGACGCGTTATTGAACAAGACATGCAATTCTGGTTCCTTGCTATCGGAGAACCGCCTCAGCCCTGACAGCAGGATCTTATCTGAACAAGGGCGAGGGCGAACCTCGATAATTTGCTCGCGGCCTTTCTGACGGATGCAAGGCTTGCAAGGTTGAGTTCCAGATAGAGAGCCTCTTTCCCTGTTTGCTCCTTCAACTCTTCAATGGCGATGCGTGCCTTTTTTTCGTCCCTCGAAGCCATGTAGACTTTTGCATTGTGCTCGAGCAGAACCTGTGCGGACCAGCATGGGTACTGGTTGACCATAGGTTACCGTGGCCATACCTTCACAGTCTGTCTCCCAATCCCAGCGTTTCCACCTGTCAAATCCACGTTAGAGCCTTTCCGGAGTCTTCGATCATGTGTCTGAATAGACCTACCTGTGACTATCATGACCTTGCCGCTCAGATCGGGTATCTGGTCCGTATTGAACGTGGGTTCTGCGGGGCGGCATTGCTTATGAATACGCCTGGAGTATCTGAGCGTAGCCAGCAACCCAGCCATGGTGACGCTGCGAGGTAGTAACGACGGGACAGGAGGACTGTGAAAGAAGGTCTGCAGATCACAGTCAAAGTGAACGACGGCAACAACGGGCGAAGCTTCGCCACGACACTGTTCAGGGCCCTTCATATATGTAGTGTCATGGCCCACGAGCACGTAAGCGACAAAACTATCAGTGTATTCATACTTACATAGCGGCCGCGCGGATTGTGCGGATCAAAATAAATGATCAACGGCGCTCCTATCACATAGCTAGCCGACCCGCACACAACTGCTTCAGAAAGCACCATCAGGCTCAGCAGGAACAGGGACAAGTACAAGCAATGATTGGGCAATACCAACGCACAGCCTGGAAATTGTGGTGAACATTGGGGCTCAGTAACGAAGTCGAAGAACTGACATGGGAACGGCGCTGAACACCGTCGCGTAATTAGGGTTCGTTCACACAAGAACGTCAATTTGCTCCCGGGTTCTGTTCCCTGAAATCGACCCACAACGGAAACCGCACACACGCGGGTATACATCGACCTCTGCGTTTCATGCTACCTACACGACAACGCTCTCGTCCGGAGCGAATAGTTGGAAGTTCCTGTTATACGTCCCCGACGCGAGATACTTGGCGTCGTTTGACAAGTCCACCGACATCACCTTGCCTCCGTCCGTCGGGAGCGTGCGCAAGAGCTGCCAGTCATCCGCACTCCAGATTTTGACCAGGCCATCGTAGCCCGCGCTGGCCATGTATAGCCCAGAGCGGTATTTACGTTCTTCCGCTTCCTGAGCGCGTGCCTTGTCGTCGGCGTCTGGCTTCTCGTCCATCCCATTCACTTCGACGTCTTGTGTGGGCGAGAAGGGGGCATATGGCAAGTCCATCCCGCGGTAGAAGCGCACGTCTGCGACGTTAGAAAGGTGGCCTGGTATGGTGTAGAGTGCCTTCAGGGACCGCATGTCCCATATTCGTATGGTGTCGTCGCCGGAACCGGTGGCGATTTGATAACTGTCCTTGGCGTTAGCAAGACAATGAGAATTGCGCAGCAAGATACCCACCCATTGGGAGAGAACGCAATTGAAAAGATGCCCTGGACGTGGCCGTCCAGCACCATCGCTGTACGACCTGTCCTTAGGTCCCAAACACGGCCAATTGCGTCCAGTCCTCTATGACATAGTATTAATGGAGGTTGATTAGCGAGAAGGGATAGGAAAGTTACCCTGATGCGATAAGAGCACCATCCTCTTGAAACTCTATTGCGTAAACCTCTTTGGAGTGACCTTCTTGGAGAAGAAGCTCTCTCGACGATGCGACATCCCACAACCTCCATGACGTGTCGAAACTGGCACTAGCAACATAGTTGCCACTCGGATGAAAGGCCACCCTACATATACGATCTGCATGTCCTTTCATTGTCGATAGTGGTGTCTCGCTGGTACGACGTCAGATGGATTTCCCATACAGCCCAAAATGCGCCACACCTATTCAGAGACCATAGATTCACATTCATATCACCAGCGCCGCTGACTAGATTGACAATATCTCCACTTTGGCTCAGTGTAGCTTGCGGATGCCAAGCTACTCCTCCGACTCTGTCAGTATGGCCTTCACAAGAATTCAGTATCTGCGCACTTCGACTGTGAACACATGGCACAAACCTCGTAGTGTCCGCATTGGTGTGCAGTTGGGAATGTTCCACAGCTTGACATTGCCTGACCAACTACCCGTTGCTAGGATCTCACTATTGGGAGAAAATCTGACTTGCGCGATCGGTCGGTCGTCACCGATCTGAGAACCCAATTCCGCAAATCGCTGAAACGTATTGATGCTGGGTTGAGTAGGCCACCATTGTCACCACACAAGACGCACCCGAGCTTCCGCGAAGACCTTCTTCCGGATATCAATAATGCGTCCCAGAGGAATCTTGCTGTCTAACCGCTGCTGCGCCACTCTTTTTTGAGCTCTACATGGGATCAACAGCACGCAAAAGACGCAGTAAGCACCTTCCTGATATCCACCTATCGGTAGCGGAAATCCAACCTGGGCAGAGAGTACTCCGCTATTCGCCTACGCGCCCCGAGCAGCTCCAAAGCGCCGGGCGTGTAAAACTCTTCCACCTAGAGCAATGAGTTCAGGGGCTGCATAACGCAGTAGAGATCTGTGCGCCGTACATCTTCCTCACTTTCTTCTGAGCTCTCCTCCTCGTCCACTTGCATAGCATCGTCCCCCCTTGCGGCGTTGATTTGTGACAAGACATAAATGAGACGGTCTCGTCTGTCGGCAGCCTATGCCAGGATAAGGTCCAGCACATGCTCATTGAAGAGAGCGAGCTTACGCGTTCACCAAAGAGCGTGATGGGTTCCCCAATCTCACGCAGTCTAGCTTTCACTTTGTTGTCGTCGGTAGGCACCGCGAGACTACGCGCCTTCTTCTTGCGCTCGAGTTCATCAAGCAGGACTTTGTTCTCCAGGCGAGCGCGCTCCGAGGCCAGGTAGTTGCCATCGTCGACGAGGGTATCGAGGGTAAGCTCGGACATGGCTGCAGAGAGCCTTCGCGGCGGTGGCTGAAGGATGGTCGGTAGCGGGCGCCAGAGACGAGGGCTGTTGTGGTCTGTTTGGCAAAGGCTTTAGATCTGTTGTGCGATCGGCCACGTGTGCGCGCTGAACATAACGGCGCGGGCAGTTGGCCATTGTCCCCCGCAACTTCCATCCCGCCATGTCGGGCCTCAACTCCCCCACCCCCCTCCGACAGCGGCGAGGTCCAGCCTCACGCTCCCCAGACTACAGCGTCGTTTCGCAGGATGACGACCAGGTCGAGTTTACCAGCCCGGTGCGTGACACGTAGGGCTGTGCAGCGCATGTCATACTGACGCGTGAACATTGCAGAGAAACCGGAGTGCGGCCGAGAGGATCCTCGAGACTGACAAGGCCAATATTGCCGTGGTCGGGATTTTGACCGTGCTCGCGTTTGCTCTCCGGTTCTACAAGATCAACCATCCAGACCAAGTAGTGTGCGTCTCCACATCCATACCGTGCCATCATCGTGGTTTGACGCGTGAACCACTGTTATATACGCATCTAGCTTCGATGAAGTGCATTTCGGCAAGTTCGCGTCGTATTACATCACAAGACAATACTACTTCGATGTGCACCCTCCGCTCGCGAAGATGCTATTCGGTCTTGCTGGCTGGTTTGTCGGGTACGATGGTCACTTCCTCTTCGACAACATCGGAGACAGTTACACGGAGAATCACGTTCCTTATGTCGGCATGCGCGCACTCCCTGCGTTCCTCTCGAGTATGACTGTGCCCATCGTCTACGGAATCATGAAGGAGTGCGGATATTCTACGATCATTGCAGCCTTCTCCGCGTCATTGGTCCTCTTTGGTACGTTGAAATGACTGCGTCATGGTTGTAAGCATAGTAACCTTCACTTCCAGATAGTGCTCACGTCGCACAAGGCCGTCTCATCCTCCTGGATGCGATCTTGATCTTTTTTATTTCCATGACCATGTACTGCTATGTTCGTTTCCGGAAATTGCGCTACCAGTATGTCGATCATCGTGTCCTTTTCATACAATGCTCACTGAGGACTCAGGGAGTTCTCGTCCGAATGGTGGGGCTGGCTGCTCGGTACGGGTACCTTCATGGCCTGCGCATGGGCGTCCAAAGTCAACGGTATCTTGACTGTCGTGGCGATTGGCATTCCTGTGTTGATCGACCTTTGGGATATTCTCGACATCAAGAAGGGACATAGCATGGTTAGTCGTGTGTCTTCTTTCGCGTGCTTCTTCTAATGGTTGGCCCGTTGTCAGGAATATTTCACAAAACACTTCATGGCCAGGGCTGTCGGGCTCATCGTTTTACCCGTATTCCTCTACTTGTTCTTCTTCTGGATCCACCTCACCATCTTGACGCACACTGGTCCCGGTGACACGTTCATGAGTCCCGCGTTCCAGGAGACACTCCAGGGCAACGAACTGCTGTTGAACAGCCAAGGTATGCAAGGCATTCCCTCTCGTGGTCAGACATTGACATCGCGTCAGAAATCCATTACTTCGATTCAATCTCCATCCGGCATAGGGACACACGCGTCTTCTTGCACTCTCACCCGGAGCGCTACCCGTTGAGATATGATGATGGCCGTGTCAGCAGTCAAGGTATGTAAACGCATCTGTGTTGCCGTTTCTTGCTTACATTCCATGCAGGACAGCAGGTTACGGGCTATGGCCACGAGGATTCTAACAACCACTGGCAGATTATCCCCACCAAAGCACTACCCGAAACTGGTCGTGGCCGCATCGTCCGCGAGAACGACGTTATCCAGCTGCTCCATGTCAGCACTCAGACCTACTTGCTCACGCACGACGTCGCATCGCCGCTTATGGCAACAAACGAGGAGTTTACGACCTGGCCGAAAGACGACTACTCGCGTCACAACGACACGCTGTTTAGACTATCGCTTGTTGATGCCGAGGAAGGGGAGTCGTGGAAGAGCAAGTCGGGACACTTCAAGCTTATCCACGTGCCGACCAAGGTGGCGATGTGGACGCACCCGAAACAATTGCCTGAGTGGGCGTTCAATCAGCAGGAGATCAACGGCAACAAGAACATCAACGAGAAGAGCAACATCTGGTTCGTCGACAACATCGTTGCCGAAGAAAGTAAGACGCGCTTAATTTATTCCACGTGACCGCGTCTGACATTGTGTGAAACAGCCGGTGCCGATGTTGGGAACCGCTTGAACATAGGCAACAAGAAGCCCAAGAGCCGCAACTTCTTCAAGAAGTTCGCAGAGTTGCAGCTTCTCATGGTGCAGCACAACGCCGGGTTGACTGCGTCTCACCCCTACGCCAGCAGCCCCATCAATTGGCCTTTCCTCCTCAGCGGTATCAGTTTCTGGACGGACAACACGGGGCAGAAGCAAATCTACCTGATCGGTAACCTTATCGGTTGGTGGACATGTGTCGTCGCAATCTCGACGTACGTCGGTATCATCGGGGCCGACTTGATCGCCCGCAGACGAGGCGTTGAACCCATCCATGACTGTGAGTACACCATTATATCTCCTACGCTACCTGCTGACGCCTCTCGCAGCCGTCCGCAACAGGCTCTGGAACTCGACCGGCTTCTTCCTCATCTTCTGGGCAGTGCACTACTTCCCCTTCTACGTGATGAGTCGTCAGCTCTTCATCCATCACTACCTCCCTTCGCACCTCGCATCTGCGCTGGTCGCAGGCTCCGTGCTCAGCTTCGTGCTCTCCGAGACCGTGAACTACCCCATCTCCATCCGCGGTCCCTCCACGCACCCCAAGCCTTCAACGTACGCGGACGTCGGCATGAAAGGCCCGATCATCGTCGGGGTTTTCGTGCTTGCGATGTTCATCATGTTCTGCTACATCTCACCCCTCACATACGGGACGCCAGGGTATGCTCTCCTCTTGATATCTGCTTGTACATTGCTGACAACCTCTGCAGATTGGACGGCGACCAAGTCAACGCAAGGCGGCTACTGTCGTCCTGGACGCTGCACTTCGCGGCGAAGCCATCGAGCGACGTCTAGACAAAAACTCGCACTAAATGTTTTCGTGGACCACGGAGAGGAGGAAGGGGGGAATGCTCGTCACATCTCGTTGGAGGCAGGCTTGACCTGTATGTACGTAATGTCTAGTCTTTATTGTATCGCTCGTATCCGCATCCAAATGCTTTCTTGTTACCCTGCCAAGCTCCAGGCCCCTAGGTTTCACAACCAGATTGAGACAAACTCCCATGTCTTGAGTCGAGACTAGCCAAGCCATGGCTGGTGGTTGTGTTGGTCCTGTGTCTCATTGGAAACTGAATCTTAGTCTCACACCAGACCGAACCTAGCAATTCCGGTCACCCAGACCTGCGGAGCATTCGTGGTTCCCGGGCTCGTGCGCACATACCGCCTGTGTGAAGGCATTGTGACGTGACCTTCGTATTGAGCTTGACATGCTGACCCTTGTCAGCAATAACACACAGTAGAGTGCATACGTCTCTCATTCGAACAGTGGGCCTCGGAAAGGTGGGTCGGCACACATGCTTCGGCGAGGCTTTCGGTGATAGCTCATGGTCCCCCTCAGCATTAGGGAGTCTAAGCATATGATCATACCCATACACCATCATGGAGAGTCGCAACTTCGGGAAGAGTTAGCCGCTGTGAGAACACCCCTTGCGCTCGACACAGTGCAATGCATATGTGGGTCACTGACTCGGATTGTCCCTGTAGCATGTGTTCTCTGTATACGGTGTTTAATCCACTCTCAAACTTGAAAAGTGGGCCTCAACGGACATGTACCACATGCGAGCGAGTTGTGATATGTGGATAATTTACTCCATAGAGTGAAGGCTGTACGAAGCAGGTCAGAATGTTTCTCGGTGTTCTCGCCGGCCTCTCATACTGTGTCAGACAGTCTCGCTTCCATCGTAGGAAAATGAATCTGTCTAAGAAGCGTACAACAGCACATCAAAAGGCTGGAGGAAGCCATGGAGCTCAGCCCGGCTGGTCCGCTCCCTCTTCGTTTCGTTCAGTCCGGCGTTCTCTTGACCCATTCCTCGCTCCGTCTCTGAGGCCCTCGAGTCGGTGATGCTTGCTTTCGTCCTGTACATCCTCCTTCCTTCTCTCCTGGTAATCCACTCATTGGCTGCGCCTATTGATGCCATCGCTTACCTCGAGAACGCAAGGACGGTGCGTGTGTGCTTCGTATCCGTCTTGCGTATATTGCTGACAGCTTGCCTAAGAGCATCCAGGCCGCTGATGATGCCATGAACATCCCTGATACAGGTATCCGAGTCGGACCGCGTGGACAACTAGTGCCTCAGCCCGAGGGTGCACCGCACACTGGCAGTAAGATTCCACTTACCTATATGCATGTCCAGCATGCTGACTCTCGTTCACGATGACAGTCGAGACCATGGTGATGCAAGGTACAACTCTGAAGGTGCAGGAGAGTGCGAATCTCGGGGAAAACGGCATTGTCTACAAGATCATTGACGGGCCTGATCAGTGGAGGTTCCTGCAGCATTTGCCAGGAAAGGTCTGCACGACACAGAATTTAAAGCGTACGCGGCTGTAAGTTCACTTCCTATGACATCACACCACTGCCCTGACGCTGAGAGTTATGCTCCCTCTCAGCGAGGCCAGTTGCTGAAGACATCGCAAGTCCAGGAAACAACGGGGGTGGCTCGAGTGGGCGTCATCAAACGACCGGCAGACAACCTGAAGCCGCTCTACCTGGATCAATTGTACCAGCGCCACCGACGTAATAAAGAGGCCTGCACAGGAGTCGTCGCCAAGGCCTCCAACTGTATGCTTCACGAGTTCATGCAGCTCAGAACGCAAGCTGGCGTGGAACATACGAAGCCTTTCTTCACGCATATGCTATATGATGATACCCTGGATGAGTGTACCTTCCGTGATATGGATCTTACCAAGGATTCGCGGGGCTCGTCCGTCTCGGTGAGTACGCTGGCTCGGAGTGCAACCAGTCTCTGACCCTCGATCATCTCATGTTGCTTCTTAGCTGGCAGAACTGATCACCAATTTTTTTCAAGCAAACCGCCGCAGCCCTTTGTGACTGAACTCCCGTCTCGAGGGAAGGGGGGCCTAGGATGAAGGATAGGTGTTGATACCACATGCTAGGTGGAAGACGGATCACAGACATGACTATGACTCCAACGTGTACTAGTGTGTACTGTAGTCCAACATGTCACTTGCACGCCCGCCGCCTAACTACTTGCCCAGTCCCTCGCCGTCGCGATTGACTCCATCACAGCGCTCGCTCCAGCCAGGTATCATAATGAAATTTGAGACGGAAAACAGTGCTACTTAGAAGGTCTAAGCCAAACCTATGGTAGCCTATGGCTCACATCAATCCTGGCCTCTGAGGTAGATACAGTGTTTGTATATTCCATCAGAGGCGCAACGCTGCAGTACTTCTGATTATTAATATCTGAGACTTCGAGGCCCCAGACGAGGTCACTCAGGCACACCACACCATTGGAAGCGCGCGGAAAGGAGGGGTAGCCACGAAAAAAATTATGCACTTATGGCCGAACATGCATGCAGTGTATGGTACATTGCAAGAAACAGAAACATGGAACGAGCACCCGAAGAAAAAGTCCGGTACATACAGAATGCTCATCATAGCACTCCATTCTTGACCTACAATGCAGAGCCATGACTACGGTGCACAGTACACGGGCAGAATGGCTACCGTACCTTTTGCATAAACCCTGATACACGGCCGATATCCACAATCTGGGCTTCGCTCTCGACCGCAACGACAAGGTTCTCGAGCATCTGACAAACACAATGATCAGCTGCTAGCGCACTAAAGGTAAAGCTAGCGCGACGCACCTCCTCGACCTTGTCAATCGGAACGCCCGTACACAGCGCCACGATCTTCTTACACTGAAACTCCTTCTCCGCACTCGCGCCCTGCAAGGACCGGAGTCTCGCATCCATCATCCGCTCCGTCCGGTCATGCCACATCTTCATCCTCCGCAACTTGATCAGGCTTGGTACAGAATCCACCGTCGGCATCGGCGGCTCAGCATCCAAGTTGAACGAGAGGTCGACCGGGCCTGCGCCCGTCATCGTGTACGTCGGTCCTCGCAGACGGAACGCGGGTCCGGCTACCGGGCCGGCGTCTGAGCCATCCAGCTCTCTTCTGCCCGTCCATTCGAATTCGTCCTCCTCCTGGAGCGCTTTCTCGAGGTTCCGTATCCGCTGGTTCACCTGGTCCATCTCACCGCAACGCTGTGTCCAAGAATGTATCTGCTTCCTTTGCTCAGAGAGCTCACGTGTCGCTGCGCGGAGGTGGGCCTGTGTGACGTCGAGCGCATCCTGCTTCGTCTTGATCTCCGCTGAGAAGTCGTTTCCCAGCATTTGGACCATGGTCGTCATCTCTACGCGCTCGCATCAGACGAATTCTACGACAGAAGCATGGCGAACATACCAGCTAAAACATCTTGACTCTTCAAAACGGGTGCTGAGGGCCCAGATCGAAGTGAGTTCAGGATGTCCTCTGCACGAGGTCCACCACCAAGTTCCTACGAATCACGACAAATTGCATCAACATTGAGTCATACGCGTCTCTACGACATTTGGAAGCGCCCTACCTCCGTCTCGACGCCGAAGTCACTAGGTCGCAGGCCAAGGTTGTTGGGCAAAATCCGGTTTGCACCCACATCCAGCAACGTTCTCACCAAACTCCGGTTCCCGACCCTTGCAGCGATATTGAGCGGAGTATCGCCATGCTCGTCCTGCAGGTCCACGATCGAACGGAACTCGCCTGCCTGGTGCTGCGCGATCCAATAGAATATCTGGTCCAGGTAATACCTCGCCGCCGACGCACGCCCCTTCACGCCCGCAGACGCGACGACATGGTGTATCACCGACTTCTTCGATGAGTCGAGAGTACGGATGGATGGGTGCAGCGCCACAACGAGCATGTGGAAGCTCTGTTGATCGGCGTTATGCGTGGCAAGGCATGCACGCACGAGCGCGGTCTCGCCGTTGTAGTTCCCGCGGTGCGCGTCCGCGCCATTGGCGATGAGCGCGTTCACGATCGCGTGCCGCGCCATGCTCGCCGCTAGGTGCAGCGCGGTGTGTCCCTGGTCGTCTAGGACGAGGTCAATGTCTACCTGTAGCGCAGGGTTGTCTGGCCCGATGTCGCGTATCTGGTCAATGATTGGCAGCGGCTCGTCGCCTCTGCAGATGGCGGTGACGATGGCCGCTCTTCGCGGGTCGCGCAGTGGCGCCGCCGCATCCGTTGTCCTCGGTATGTATGGCTTAGACGCGAAGCGGATCTCGAGGACCTCGGGATCGACCTGTCCGTCGGGCTTACCATTCATCAGGAGGGACTGAGAGCTGGCTGGTCGCGAGACTCCGTTGACCATTGTAGGCGTGGCAGCGCGCAGATCGTGCATGCCAGCAAGGGTAGGGTCTATGGTTGTGTCTGCTTGCAAGGGTGACGGGTCCAATCGTGGGCGCTTGGACGGGCCCGCACCGCCCATCTGCGGCGATGATGAAGACGGTCGTGATTGTTCTACCATTTGAATATCAGGGGATTCAATATGATTCGGTGTTTGTTGAGAAGCTAGGTTCGGGGAAGCAGGGGAAGACTCGCCGTCAACGTCTGACCGCGAGCGTTTGAGAGAGGGCGGGGGTGGTGTGGGAGATACATTGACTGTATGCTGTTGATACGCGGCTGTATGCGCGAGTTTGTTCCATGAGAATGGACTACAGTCGATAATGGCTACGTACCTGAGGTTGAAGGTGTAAATAAGCCTTGTGCGCGCCCCTGATTTAACAAACGAAGAGCAGAACCTGGCATGATCGGTGGGGGTGCGAGACCAGCGGGCACGAAGTTTCCTGCCCCACATATTAGCAACTATAGAGATGGATATGGTACATAGGGTGCAAGAGGGGCTATGGTAGAGGTCACATAAGACGACCTACGGTGGCGATTCATACAACCCGTCTGCTGTCCGCAGACACGGGCATGAATAGCGCCACCGAGTGGACCATTAACGTGAGAGAAAGCGCATTTTATCCCAGAATGTCATGGCGAGTCGCAGCATTGAACGACGCGGGTAATCGTGCCATGACGCTCACGAGCACTGCGCGGTGCAAGCGAACCGGCCATTTCCCCATCTCCTGCACGGCATAATGGATGCTACAAAACAATACTGACCAGAGGTTATATTCGGCAACCCGGCGGGAAGCCCCCCAAGAGCGTTAGCATTTGGGACAAAGTCGAAAAGAGGCGCAAGCAGAGGCGCGACGCCAAACTGCACCGCAATGTCACGGCCCCTCTCGAGGGGAATCCTGTGTGCATGTTCAGTAGAAGAGGGCTGCCAGGGACTGACCGACACGCACCATGTGCCTTGGTATTTGCCATACCCACCCTGCACGATCTCGTGTTTCCCTGGCAGGATCTCCTTTTCGAGAATCTTGGTACGGCGTCCCTTGTCTACGCCGGCGACTTTGAGTATTTGGGTCGCGTTCACGTACGAGTCGGTGCGGCGGCGCATGACCGCGATACCGCGCACCATGCATTCGTAGACCTAGACGCGACGACGCGTTGTAGCGTGTCTGCGGCGGGCAGATGTGCACGTACCTGGACGGACGAGTAGACGGCATTGTAGATCTTGACGGGCTGCTGCTGGCCCGGTGCGCGAGCGACGGCCTGCATGCTGGCGTCGGTGTCGTGGTCGTCGAGGACGGTCGTCGGGCGGAGGCGGGGGATTTGCGGGCTGGGGCTCTCACGTCGTCGCGCGCCGAGACGCGCTTCAAAGCGTGTTGGCGGAGCTTGAAATCCGCCACCGCCCGCGTGGTCGTCCTTTCGCCACCACCGCGACCGGCTGACGTAAGCGACGCGCTCACGGCCGCGGCCCCGCCAACGGTCGTCCCCGGCACCCGTCGCTGTCCTCACAGGCCTCGCCACCACCACACACGCTGTGCTCGTCCCAGTCGCCGACGCCGACGCCTCGCCCGCCGCTGTCCATAGCATCGGGAAGGCACGTCGCCCAGAACCATCAGCACACGTCACGCGCCGGGCACGAGTCTCTGAGCGCACAGCAGCCGACCGCAACGCCTGCCTAAAGCGGCCTGCCACAGGCGACCGTCTATCGCGCGCGGGCTCAAAGGCGACGTCGAGCCCGACATGTTCAACGCCCCCCGACCCTCGCAGCCGTACGGCGCGTCGACCTCCAATGGCCTCGGTGTCAACAGCTTCATGAGCGAGAACCCCCTCGCCAGCTCCATGTACGACGACGGACTCGATCCATGGAGCAATTCGCCCAGTCCCGCGCCGCCGCCCGTCCCGTCGTACCCGACCACCTCCTCGTCGGGGTTGAGTTCAGTCATCGGTAAGTCTCTTCTCGGCCGCATCTCATGCTCGATGTCATTCGGATGTGTGCACAGGCAATGCGACTGTTCCGCCGATCTACATTCAGGCGTTCGTCACGGTGGACGACACGAACACTGGCGAGACGTCCGTGAGCGCGCTCTCGCGAGTACTGCGTACATCTGCTCTTCCTGCATCTACCATCGACAAGGTATGCTCCCTTTGTTCGATGTCCGACGCCTTACCGACCAGCATAGATCGTAAGCTTGGTCAGTTCGCGACCCCGCGTATCCCGGCTGGAGTTCTATGTGGCCCTTGCCCTTGCCGCCCTAGTACAGAGTGGCAAAGGTCTGTAGCACTTCATTGTCCCTCGCACCGCTTACTGATCATGCTGGGGTCCAGATGTAAGCATCGAGCGCGTTGCGCAGCTGGCGCAGGATGATGAGTTGCCGGTTCCCACTCTCGATCTGGCTTCGCTACCCTCTTCGAACTCGACATTCGGCCCTTATTCTATGCCTGATCCTCCGCGTAGTATAGCGCCGCGCAGTTACTCGGCCGAGGATCCTTGGAGCGTCCCGAAGTATCCGTCATCCGCCATAACTTCGCCACCTATAACAAACGGAGCGGGACCTGGGGCAGGTGGCGTGACGAACGGTGCAACCTCAAGTATAGCTGGGACTGGTTTGCCTAAGGAGTGGTGGCGCAAGCAAGAAACGATCCATGTCAACATCCTCGGACAACAAGGCTTCCTCCTGAACCGATACCTCGCCTATGAGGTTACCAGCGATGTGAGACGGATCAGTGTGAGTATCATACAAATGCTTATGAACATGTGCGATAGCGAGGAGCACCTGTGCCTAGGCGCTACTCAGAATTCGTGTTCCTCTGGGACTGCCTTGTCAAACGTTACCCATTCCGCTTACTACCGGCGTTGCCTCCGAAACGTGTAGGACGTGAGTGTTTGTTGCGCCTTTGTCCGTTTTGGGCGTACTGACAATTCATGATACACAGCGGATGAGAATTTTTTGGAACAGCGGAGGTGAGTCCGGACTCGTGTGTTGATTTGGCCGACACATTCCAATCGTCCAACAGAAAGGGACTTGCTCGATTCCTCAATTTCATCGTGTACGTGATCCATTTGTTGTTCATCTACGTCTACCTCGTATTGACGTGTCGACACAACAGGAACCATCCCATCATCAAGGACGATGGCGTGCTAGCGGTGTTCCTCACTGAACCCTCTTTCGAAGCCTGGCGGAAACATACGTCCATCTCTTACGAAGAAGAGTCCGCCAGCAAGCGCGTCGACCGCGTCGAGGAGATGGGCATCCCAAGCGACCTTAACGAAAAACTCAAGTGCGTCTGTCCCTCTGTTCTGTGCACCTGTTGACGTACACTTATGCGTCCACAGTTTCGTGCGCGGCAAGGTCGGCTACCTGATCGAGCATTGGCAGCGGATCTGCATGCTGGCGGAGCGCATCATCCGGCGGCGCGAGGCAGAAGCGGTACGGGTCCCTCATCTCGTCCGGCGCGCGTACCTCCCGGCTCACTTCGCGTTGCCCCCGTTCTCTTCGCCGTCCACGTCCATATCCGCACCTACGCCTTCGTCCGCCGCGTCCTCGCCCACGACCGCATCCGATACTGAATCGCTCGCGTCCTCGATCTTCGGCGGCTTCACGCGACCACGGCTCATCGACGCTCAGGCGGACCTATCGAGGTTGACGAACACGATGAAGAGTTTGGTGGAGGTGAATGAGCGTTGTTGGCGGGGCGACGAGTGCGAGTTGTGTGCGGGCGTCCGGCAGGGGCTTGTTGATACGGCGACGCATATGCAAAAGCATTCGGATATGCTTGAGCATCGGGTGCGTTGATTCGTGCCATGGATGAAACGACTGCACGCTTACGCGAGACTAGTCACGCACCATGCAATATTCAACGCTCGAAGCGTTGAAGGTGAGGACTTATTTTGCCTCATGTGGAGATGCTCTCGTATTGACACATGGATAGGGCGAACGGGATTTGTACATCGCTCTCAGAGACCTGTTCATACGATACGACAGGCTCTCAGGGGACCAAGTAGACCGTCTCAAGAAGCGCGTCGACGCCAACTCCTTGAAGCTAGAAGGCATCAAGCAAGCACACAAGGACGGTTGGGAGCAGGAAGCGGACAAGTACACGGTCCTCATCGAGAAGGACCAGGCGGCGATCGCGGCTGCGCTTAATCGAAGGGTATTCGTCCGTGCCTGGTAAGTGTCTGCGTGCCTCCTCGCTGTCGCTCTCGGACTCATATCGCCTTCCCGTAGCATGTGGCACGAACTGCGGGTTGTACTGCACAACCGCGAGAACACGCTGATCTCGCAAGCTGTCCAGGCGTTCGCGCGGGAAGAGCTCGACTTCTCCGAGTCCGCTGTGGCGAACTGGGCAGCGATGATGGACGAGGTGGCCAACATGCCCTACGAGTGATTCATCGAACGATCACGTTGAGCTCCAGCTTATTCTCGGATTGGGGGGGACGGACGGTGCTTTCATCGACATGACTTCGTGCTCTATTAATAACGCATTTGATACCATACATTCTGACTGCATGTATTTTCGATGATTGGCCCTTACTACTCATTCTATGACGCTGTCGCATATGCATAGCACTGCAATGACATCCTTCACAATTTACGCCATATGGTCATCTGTCGCAGTGAGCTCAAACGAGGCATATCAGGCAGCGATTGGGGACTACAGTACTACTAGCAGCTACTCACAACACTATTGATACAGACAAGTAGAGGAATAAGTCACGGTCAGCTCATGGAAAATAACAGGAGGGAACAGCGAGCATAGTATCATCAACTCCATCCCGGATGGTCACTTCGTCCACGCCCCCGCGGCGGACCAGACGCACCGCCGCCTCTCCCTCGACTCTTCCACCCAGAGTCTCTCGGCCTATCCTGCTCGCGATCGCGTCCCCTTCCCCGTTGCCGTCCTCTCCCTCTGGGTCCACGGTCTCCAGGACCGTCGAAACGGCCACGCGGACCCGGCCGGTCTCGTTCGTAGTAGTCCTGGTGCATGTCTGGGTACGAATGCGACGGAGGAGGGCCTTGACCAGGGTACATATTCTGCGGAGGTGGCTGGTATGATGGCGGGTAACTCGATGAGGGGTTGAGCCAAGGCTGCAGGGGGATGGGCTGCTGGCCTAGCACTGGTTGTTGCGGGGGATAGCCGATCGGTACAGGCACTTGAGGGACAGCTGGGATGGCAGGGTGTGATGGACCGGGAGCGGGCTGCGGTGGTACAAGCGTAGTTGATGTCAATGTACGCAGCATGAGCTGAATCTGCTCCGGGGTCAGCTGGGCCACCTCTGCCGCCAGGGCAGAACCCATAGGCGGAGGTTGCGCTGGAGGTACAGCGAAGGGTTGAGGCTGCATTTCAGGCTGCGACTGATTCGTGATGGAGGGAAGAAGGTCGAGGAGCGATTGCGGTAATTGAATGGGAGGTGCGCCCGGGACAGAAAACGGTGGCGCAGAAGCAGATGCTGTTGGCGGCGGTGCGAGCTTCCCCTTGTTCAAGACCCATATACCCACGAGGTAATTGGAGGTGCGTTGTTTTGGGATACAAAGATCGTCCAGGAGCTCCATATACTCGGGGATGGGATCATTCATCAGTAGAGGTATAATGTACAGCTCCCGGCCGGGAGCCCAGTCCTTCGGTCGGTTGCCCCAAGGGAAGACCAGACCATGTCGTCTAGAGTACAGACTCCAATGAGCATATGACACTACTCGAGAAGAGAGGGACACGTACCCCTTTGCAATCAAGTGATCAATGAGAAGCTTGAAGCCCGTGCTCTCAATCCCAGGGCCAGGCTCGGGAGAGAAGGCCACAGCTATGAGCTCCTTCGATGGATTCAGGCGCATCTGCGTCAGATACTGCGCCGACTTATCCACGGGCACTCTGCCATCGATGCGAAGTTCCTTGGAGGGGAACAACGTTTGCCAAAGAGGCGAGTCGTCCCCAAGCATCCGCCCACCACTCTGGCGAGCATTGAGCGAAACGTCTTGAGCCATAGCCGAGTCCAGCGGCATGCTTAGCTGTGGAGAGTCGTCAGAGCAAAGCCAAACCAGCGAATGTGTTTTACGTACTGTGCCTGTCCAGACTCTCGGTAGTGCTCCGAATGCAGCACGCTGTCCCTCCGGACTGTTGTCCACCGGGGGTGGCGGCGCCGGTTGATCCTCCTCGTCCTTGCCCAAGAACATGTCAAAGTCTTGATCGTCAGCTGCCTGACCCAGAGCATCCGGCTCAAGGACTGGCCCCGGCTCTCCATCCTGCATCGGCACATCCTGAGGCCCAGTCGATTGCTCTTCTCCGGGATTCTCGCCTTTAGAAATCCATAGCGCATTGAGATCGAACGACGGCCGCGAAGCCAGGTCAGGTTTCGCCGCAAATGGCGATATTCCTGTGGACGACGTCGGGGCTGGGCCATCGGACGGCGGTAGGCTTTGGGCACCGGGGGACTGTGCCTGGAACGGCGGCGGGGTATCCTCACCGAAGGGCGTCGGTGTGGGTGCAAGGGCGGGAACATCGCTCGGAATGTCCTCGTCAATATTGATGAAGTCGGCAAGGTTCAGCTCGCCCTCTACAGGAACCTGATAATCCGACGCAGTCGGTACGAATAGCGGATTCGTCGGAGGCCTGCCCATGCCAGACACTGACGCTCCCGCATTGACATCTGAGTGCGAAGCATGCAAAGGAACAGGAGGCGGGGCGCCCCAGGTGGGGGTCTGCGGAACAACGGGAGACTCAGGCGGAACAGAGCCCTGACCCTGCGTGCTCACAGATCGTGCACGCTCAGCCTGGAGCCGCAAACGAGCCTGCCTCTCGCGCTCGATCCTCTCTTCCTCCTCCTGCTCCTCACGCGCACGCTCAACATCACGCCCAGCACCGTTGACATCCTCGATATTCTCAATACCCTTGTGCGTGATTTTCGCACGGGGAAGTGACTGTTTCTTGAGGATAGAGTGAGCAAGCGCCTCCTCTTCAGCATGCCTGATGGATAGCTTTGTCTCTTCGTCAGCCAGCTCGGTGGATGTCATTGTCGATAGTTCATTGGGTGTGAGGCTCGATGAAGCTATGCGCTTATGGAGTAGGGCACGGTCAGGTTTGCTTAGATTGAATGTCAGCATCCGGAAACGCTCCCTGAAAAAACTTCGTCAGCAACCAAGAACAACGTTCATATGCATCACACGACTCACTTATACTTGCTTCCCACGGCGCGTTTCCCATTCTTGTCAGTGTCTGCATACAAGTCGAAAACACGATGCTCGAGGTCGGCAGCGAAGCGTCTCGCAGTCATCTCCAACTTCTCTTTTTCCTCGTCAGTGAGATCCTCCTGCTTCTTGTTTGGCTCTAAGAGACCTGGGGTTGCCTTCACGCCATCCAAGAAAGGGTAGCGGAGGAAGATTGGACAAAAGACTTCCTCGAACTTGGTCAGGCAATACTTCCGCGCAGGGTCTTCGCCAGAAAGGGGCTTCGCACGTTTCGCGGGAGGCTCGGCCGTGCCGGGTTGTCTGCGTTTGGCCAAGGAAGTCGCGCCAGGAGAAGTAGACTTGCGCACGCCGCTCTCATGAGTGGTGGTACTTGTGCGGCGCAGCCGCTTCGAACCCTTCTGTCTCTTGGTAGACCCTTCGGAATCAGAGTCCGAGTTGGACGAAACTGATACTCTGCGAGAGCGACGCTATGGTTGCGACAGAGCAAAATAAGATGACGCAGAGGGAGGATAGTGAGGACAGGTGCTCACCTTGACTGTTACTCGTGGTTTGGACTCCTCCGCAACGTACTCGTCTCCGCTCCCATTATCCGACTCGGGTGAGTTCATGTCAGTGTCCCTCCCGCTGTCCGGACTTTGGTGTTTGCGAATCGGTGCCTTAGGTTTTGAGCCGTCGTTGATCGCTTCCAGGCCGTCCACGCCTTCCCATTCCACTACAAAAATGAATATCAGCCACTGCCCTTGCACATACACAGATACGAAATATGACAATTAGGCCATGTGGTATAGCCCCTCCAAGACGCTCTACGGACAGTGCCCGACTACATCGCCACCTTCAACGGGGCTTCGCCAGGTATGCCTCACGACAGCAACCTGTGGTGGACCATCCGAGTATCACTGGCCGACCTGTCTCACGGAAGGTATCGCGCCGTCGACTAGGCCGCTCGCGCTCAACATGTACGCAAACGCCACAATCGACACTACCTATCGTAGGCGCGACTAATTTGGCGGTCTCTCAACAGTGCGGGCACAGTCGTATGAGAGCAAAAGTTACACGACGTATAAACGAAGTACATGAACAGGCAAGCACGGAAACCAACATGCGGTCAACGCGGCCGTGTATTGAGCCGGAATACTCACTGATCGTCCTTAAACCCGTGTGTTCATGACACGGTGGGCATATGTACGTTTCTAGCGCAGAATATACGTTAGCTCGACGGATTTAACACACAGGAATCCAAGACTTACGGGCATCTTCCGCATCCCTCTCGTCAAGATTTACACAGTGGAAGTGGAACCTATATCGCGTCCAACAGTCAATCCACTGTCCATCGTGCACCCCCACAGGCGAAGGTGAAGCTAAGACGTACCAATCTCTGCACTCTTCGCACCTGATCATGGGCGATCCGTCATCGGGCTTCCGACACAGACAATGCACTTTGGACGCCTTACTTGCCGTCCGCGGTCTCTTGTTCTTCGCTTTGTTCCAGACAGACTTCGCATTCTCCTTGGCATCGAGCTCTTCCTGCTTCGTCGTCGTGTCTTGTCGGGCGGGCATCGCGCGTGGTGGCTTGAGGTGGTCGTTGTTGTGAGAGAAGTCCCGCAGCAAAATAATTGACGTCGCCACAGCTTGTGGCTCCCAGGATCGCGTGACACGGTGCCACAACGCCTGGCGTCTAACTCTGATGCTCATTCTGGCAACTGTCAGTTCACACTCTGCAGTCTCTGCTAGACTCCGGCGCAACTGGCCAGTTGAAGTTGAACACACACGAGTGCAGTAGAAATCGAGGCCGTGCGTGGCAGCAGGATTCTGCTCCGGTAGCAGCAGGTTGCGGCATGAGCATGTCTCCTTGTGCTTATCGTCAACGCTTGGTTACAGGTGAACTGGGACGTATTACTAGTCGCGCCCAACGAGTACCATTGCTTGACCCCAGACTGCCCGCTCGAACCCACCTCCGAGTCCTCGGATTGATAGTGGTTTCTAGATCTTTCTCGAGGGATTCCGGGTGAGTATGTGTGCACACTTGGAACGTTGATTCTTCCTGTTTTGATGACTCATGCTTGATAAGTGCACCATGTAGGACGACGAGGGGTCCGCGGTAGCGCAACCCAGCCTTGGTAGAACAATTGCTGATTCAGGATGCGACACCGTTGGTCAGTCATGGAGGATGTTCACTCCTCTGATTCTGAAGGGCGCCGAAATGTCCGTGGACCTTACAGATCCGAGCTGAGATCGATCGCTTGGACGTGTTCATGAATAATGAGAAACTGACAAATTAATGACAGGTAGTGTAGACCCACTGGTACATGCGTGCGTGCGAGACTTGGCGTCGCCGCGGTTTGCGTGGTGTGCAGGGATGCTCAGCAGTATAAAAGCCTGGTAGATGGACGGTGTAGAGGGCATTCACCGTTTCCAACTCCTCAACTTCACAGACATCGAAAACCCAGTCTACTCTCTCACCACTCCAATGGCACCCAAGACTGAAATCCTCTTCCTCGGCGCGACGGGTATGTACCTTCTCAGCCTGGTCAAACTGCCACCCTGACTTTGGGCTAACGCCCATTTTTCCAGGATACCTCGGCGCAGGCATCCTCACCCGTCTCCAGAATCACCCCAAGGCGAGCGAGTTCTCTATCACCGCTCTCGTGCGCAGCACAGAGAAGGGTGAGGCCCTCAAGAAGTTCAATCCCACACTGAAGTACGCTGTCGGGTCCCTCTTCGACAAGGCGGATTACCCCGTCATCGAGGACCTCGGCAAGAAGGCGGACATTGTCTTCTCTTGTGTGAGTACTACTTTGGCTTCTGGATGTGTTGCACAGCAACTCATACGAGATTCATACCAGGCGGACGCGGATTACCTCCCGTGGACGACGGCCCTGCTCAAGGGTCTGAAGGCGCGCTTTGATGCCACTGCTGTTGCCCCCGTCTTGATCCACATTGTGAGTACCCTCTGAGTACGATCCATGCGCCTGTTTCTCAACTCTTCCAGTCTGGGACGGGTATCCTCCTGTTCACCTCCGACCCAGCGGGTGACCACTCCGACCTCGACCTGGCCGACGTCAAGGCTGTCCCACCTACTGCGCTCCACCGCAACGTCGACCTCGCAGCCATAGCAGCCGACGAAGCTGGTGAGTACAGTCCTCACTCCGTCGTATTCATGAGCTGACTACCGCTCCTCACAGGCTACGTGAAGACCTACCTCGTCTGCCCTCCGCTGATCGCTGGCCTCGCCTCGGGCCCGATGTACGACGCGGGTCTCGCGCACCGCCACTCCATCCAGGCCCCCGCCCTGATGCGGCCTGCGCTTGACAGGAAACAAGCCGGTGTCGTGGGCGACGGAAAGGGCGCGTGGGCTGCCGTGCACGTCAACGACGGTACGTCCTTTGAATCAGAGCCTGCACCGCGCAGTCGAGGCTGATGCGCGCTTTGTGACAGTCGCGGACATGTACATGTTGCTGTTCGACAAGATTGTCTCGGGCGCGCCGGGCGTCGGCCACGGCTGGGAGGGCTACTATTACCTCGAGAACGGCGAGCTATCGTGGAACGCGATCGCCAGCGCGATCGGCAAGGCGCTCGTCGAGCTCGGTGCGGCGAAGTCTCCTGAGGTGACTCCATTCACGAAGGACGAGATCACGAAGTACTACAAGTCTGAGGTCAGTTGCTGCTACCTATCTTCGCTCGACTTGCTCACTGACATGGCACATCCTTAGTTCGCGAGCTCTGTGGTATCGTCGACGTGCCGCTGCAAGGGCGAGCGTGCGCGCGCTCTGGGCTGGACGCCGAAATACAGCGTAACGGACATAGTCGCCGGCTTCAAGACCGAAGTGGAGTTCCTCTGGAAGAAGGCGCAGGCGGAGGGCAAAGTCGACCTGACGCCAAACTATGGCGTCGATGCGATGCTCCAGCGGTTTGCCTCCTTGTCGGCGTAAATTGACAGGAAATGGAGTCGTAACGTCGTTTAGCGACTCAGGACTAAGCAGAGGTCTCGACAAGCCATAGAATGTATAGTGTATTTCCGAACAATCTACATATTTGGACTGTGTTCCGAAGCTACAAGCTTCACTCATACACGCATAGTGCGTTACAGCACGCCACCCAGAGACCCGGCATCAAGCATGTAGACACACCAAGGTGAGTGTCATACTAATAGCTACAACATTGCGAAGATGGCTTCCCATACGATGATCTCTCCCCACGAGAAGTCATCCGTGGCTGTCTGCCGTAGTCTGCCATCAGTAGCTCCAATGGTGCTTCCAACAGGTTGATCTCACGCTGTCGTCTACAAACCGACATTGGTTGACTGGAATCAGTGAGGATTCGCGTGCTTGCTGCTTGCCTATCCACGAACACATTCTGGATCCATGCTATGCGTACGTTTGGGTATAAGGTACGCTACATTCTCACGTACGCTCTGGATCAGCCCGTCGCTGGTGTGCCATACTTGGGCCATATGCAATGGGAACGCATGGACCCAGCATGGACCTCGAGGCTTGCTGTCCGGACGAAGTCATTTGTCTTCTATGCAGCTTCCATGAGATAGTAGGTATGTGTTTTCTGATAAGTACGTATGGCGGCCGGTTCTCTACTTCCAATACTTGAATGCACGGAATCGGCCTCCAGTCAATACCGCACAAATACCGCATACAGCAAAGACTTCCGCGAGGAGCCATCGCCGACGGAGTTCGGTGCAATCATACTTACTGTGATTATTGTCTACGTCCGAGTTTGATATCTGCCAATGAAAGGCTCGAGGTAAGGATTTGGGGAAGTACTAAGTACAGCTGACTTACCACGGAGTTATCTGCGCGTCTCCCGGTGATCGCCTCGGTCTCTATCCACTGTGCATATGCTCCCATCTTACCCCATCTCGCCGGCTAAGAGCTTATTGCTTGTGCCACAAAGGTAGTTGCTTCGCCAGACAGGCGGCTTGACAGCACCGACACAATGCGCACCGCGGTGTAGGAAGACCACCAGTCCTATGGCAAGTCTGTACTTGGAGGCTCGGCATGGCCCCTCCAGCCCAGAGGGACCCTTTGTTGGCCATGGCAGTGGTGCGTGCAGTAACGAGCTAGCCAGCATAAGTATTGCGAGCAGAACTGTGGCTGTGGGGGTGCTGTGTTCAGTGGTCGACGGCAGAGGGTCGGCAGCCTGTGAATCGCGGTTTCGAGGCACAGCGTGGGCCTGATGTCGTCTCTGACATATCCTAGTAATTCAAGTGCCTCGCGTCATGACCTTCGTCATAGCTCGACCGCACCAGGAAGGCTACATTCGTGCGAGCGGAGCCCCTATCAGCGTATTGGCAACATTGATTGGCATCGAGCTCCAGCGCTGTACGAATCCAGCGTAGCTCCGAGCCTTGCGACGCGGAACGGTGAGAGGGAAAGTGAGGAGCTTGAGGAGGTCAGAGTGCGTGTATGTGCGGAACAACACAGACTTGGTCTGGCCAAGCTCGGAGTAAATGCACGACGCTTCGTGATAAGCAATCACAGTAAGAGAAATTACGCGAGGTGTATTGATAACCAATTGATAGCTTAGTAGCGACAGTAATAGCGCGGCAATCGGCAAAGTGGGCGCCCAGGGCCAAAGTGCCGGACTCCAGCACGAGGTCGTTGTAGCGACCTCTTCGCCAACGACCACCAGGATATTCGCTCATTTCTTTCCTACGCTTGCCCTCGTCCAGACCGCCCGTACACCGCGTCATCCTGTCGTTGAACGAGGACTCTCAGTCGGTCGTGACACGCCCTACCCCGACGCGGTTGTCCGCCGCTCGCCCACCACCCACAAACGCGTACCGCACACCCCGCCATCCCCAGGCACCAGCAAGCTTCTACGGCCCACCGCCTCTCATTGATGAGACTTACGGAACCAACTTCCCCGGAGGGCACACACTGGCACTGACAGCGGCGGCAATCGTACGTGTCCTCCATACTGTTGCACTCCCCGTTCCGTCACCACTTGCAGCCCGCCTTTGCCACCATTCGACTTTGTTCATCAAGTTTGATTGTTCTCAGTCACTCGACCTTCCTTCCCTGCTTCTCATGCTCACCGGACCGTACAGTTCACAGGGACCTCCGAACTGATCCACCCTCCCGTTCGCCGTTCCCAGTGAGTCCTCTCCGGTCTCGATTTGCTTCAAGTTGGTTCTGACGATCTCCTGGAGGCTCGAGGCCCGTACCCACACTCACTGCACCTCTGTACAGTACGAATTCACATGGCAGCAGCCGTATTGTCTTCTTCCAAGCTGTCCATCTCGAATCCTTTCCAGATGGCTTCCCACAAGCGCCCCGACCCGGCATCGCCCCCACCGCCTGCGGCGGCCTCCTCGTCGAAGTTGCACATGTTCTCGCAGCCCTCATCGTCAGCTGTTCAGCATGACGCACAGCCGAAGACATTCAAGAGACTGCGGTCGTCATTGGAGCAAAGCATCCGGACAGCGACCAAGTCCAAGGCCAAGATGAGCGCTCCGGTCGACGAGACCGGCGCCATCGCCCCGAGCGAAGGGGTCAATGGCAAAGGTAAGGGCCGTGCATCAGAGGAGCACCTGCCCGAGGAGAAGAGCAAGTCTAGATCGAGGATGCTATCTAAGGTTTCATTCCGGAGACCAGCGGCGAGAGACATGCAGCCCTCTGCGCCTCCACCACCTGTCCCGGGCGTTGGGCAGGAAGCCTCGCGAGCGGCGAGAGACCGTGACAAGGACAGAACGCGCGTGGCCGGCAACACCAGCTTCCTCACGCCTTCTCTTCGACAAGCGTCCATGTCCTCGCCAGTCCTGCCCACACTCTCTGCGTATACCCAGCCGTTTGCGCTTCCGAGCGGCTCAACATCTAACATCGCAGCGCTGGTTTCGCCTCCCCGCGAGCGTACGCGCAGGTCCGAGTCTGGTGGCCTCAGTACGAGAGACATCAGTGGACCCCAACCACTCGCGCCTCGCCGCGATCCGCGTTCAAGCGGCGGAGCAGGATCGCCGCGGGAGGGCAGGAGACCTCCACCACTGTCGCTCTCTTCTCGTGGAAGTAATTCGCCTGGGCCAGAAACGCCAACGCGACGATCCCGGGACGCGACAAGATCCCCAGAGCCTCCGTCACCAACGCCTCGGGGATTCGCTGCGGGGTCGTCTCGAAGAGCAGCAGCTAGTGCTAGCCATTTGCCTTTGAACGGCACTTCCAGCCCTCCTTCATCGCCTACCCTACGCCCGATCAGTCCGTCTCGTGCGAGATCTATATCTCGTACGCCTACGCGCGCCGGTCCGTCGGCGTCCTCGTCTCATCTCCCCCTAGGTTCATCCTCGTCCTCAGCGTCAGCGCGGAGGCCATCAGGGGATATCGGACGCTCCTCGTTAGAAGCACGGAGGCCTTCCGTAGACACGCCGCGACCTTCAATCGAGGGTCGGAGGCCTTCCGTGGACGCTCGTCGGCCATCCGTTGAAGCGCGCAAGCCTTCCCTTGATCTGAGTAGGTCATCGCTGGACGGTAGGAGACCCTCTTTGGACCGCGCCGGTTCGCCCGTTACACCCACTCGCCCCCGCGCCCTCTCGCCGACTCAGCGTAACGTCACACCCAACTACTACCAGAACAAGCTGCTCAACTCGTCAACAACCTCGCTCGGCGGGTCCTCCAACCCTGAGTACCGGGAGCAGATCCGAGCCGCGTCGTCGTACTTGTCCAAGGAGATGCTGAAGCCGCCATCCAAGCTGAACGACTCGAGCTTGCAGCCGAGAGAGTGGGAGGAGGTGGAGGTGCGTATGCGGGGCTTGGCCAGGTTGGAGAGGGTCTGGGGAAAGAGCGGAGCGGGGATGGGTAGCTCGTCCCAGCTAAGCTCGGCAGGTGGATTGAGCACGAGCGGGCTCAGCGCAAGTGGAGAGGAGAGGGAACGGCGATTGTTCACTGAGGCATTGCGAGATGGCTATGTCCTCTGCCAGTACGTTGTTGACTTGCCTTCTAATTTGCGGACCGCGCTCATAGTTGATTGCCGTATCCTCCGAACAGGCTCATGAACAAGCTTTTTCCGGGTACCATCTCTCGCGTGGATCCAAGGGAGGACGGCGTAGCGCGCTCCTCTAACGTCACCCGTTTCCTAGCAGCTTGCACATCTGTTGGCATATCGTCAGAAGATCGCTTCGGCCGAGACGATCTCACCATAGCGAATGCGGAGTCCCTAGCCCAGGTTGCTCGTACCGTTCTTGCTCTGCAACGACACGCGGAGTTCCCTGCCGCCGACAAGTCAAGGTTCATGCAGGGTGGTGTAGGACAGGGACCGTATAGCGCGGGAGGTGGCTCGCGTGCTGCTGCGTCGACGCCGAATCTCACCTTCGCCCAGATGCAGCGCTCTACCTCACCTGTTGTTCCGCACTCGCCGACTGGGAGGAAACGCTGGAGCCCACCACAACCGCTGCCGACGCTTCGCTCAGCGAGTCCCGCGGAGGACGGCGCCGGGTCGGGCGGTTCCTCAGATGGCAAGACAGTCGGAAACGGTCGTGCACACCGTGGTGGTGAGAGCGACCTTGAGTTCGACGAGGTCCCGCCTATCATGTCTCCCCCACCCCGATCTCCTCTGCGTCCAAGGCCGAGCGTCGACCGCGCCTCCGTAGCGGACTCGACACGCGCCTCGGTCGGCGACTCCGTGCGAGCGTCTATGGCGGATTCAATAGCTGCTTCTCCGATACGACAGTCCCAGGCATCCACCATGACGGACACCACTGCCTTTTCGAGCCTGCTGGAGGTGCAGAGGAGCACCAGTACGGGTCAGAACAAGTTTGGCACGATTCGCACGGTTACAACTGAAGCGACTTCCATCGACACCAGCGAGACACCATCGTTCACGTTCGCGGAGGGTAAGGCCATGGCTGTGTCCTTGTCTGAGGAGTTGCCTCGAAGACGAAGCGGTGAGACCACCAGACCACCTCGCGAGCGCCGCCCCAGCGAAACTGTACCCATCGACCTGGCCAGAGTTGCGGAGGAGACTGAGGAGGGCTCGTCGAGTTCGAAGAGCAAGTCCAAGAGCGGGGCGTCCGACAGCAAGCCAGAGCAGGCTCGAGAGTGGCCTCCGCAGAAGGCGTCGCCCATTAAATTGGGCAAAGGCAAGTGGCCGGATGACTTTATCGACGCGTTCCAGGCCCCGAAGTCCTCCATTCTTGATGGGGACGAGTTCAGCGTCTACGAGCCCAAGACACCCATCTCCTCTTCACCTCCCCGCAAATTGGCTATTGTCGGCGCTTCGAGGCCTGACGCAAGCGTCGAGAGTCTGCCACAGTTCCCTAGGCGTCCGACCCACCGTGCGAGACACAGCGTCGATACTCCTGGCCTTCTTCCGAAGGATCAGGTGCTCCTCCGAGACTCCAGTCCAGACGGCGGTCCGTCATCCCCAAGGATCGTCCTGCGACGGAGCAGTACGCGCACAGGCGCTCATCGGAACGGCGTCTACGTACCTCGAAGTGACTCGCGTTCGCAAGACAGTGACACTCGAGTTCCATTCCCCCGGACTGTTTCTGCCGAGCATACGTCTGCGCCCGCCCACGATCGTTCCGGCGAGTCCTCGCCTCCGTCGTCTGCGACGACCTCCAAACCCGGGTCGCCTGGTCCCCCCGACAAACCCCGTCAGCCTCGCGGTCGCTTCCAAAGTGAGATTGATGGGTCGAGTTCGCGCAGAAAGCCCCGTCCCAACTCGTATGACGAGCTCGGCGCCAAGCCCCGTCGGTCAAGGTATGAGAGCATGGTGAACCTGGGTGTCGTGACAAGCAATGCGAGTGCAAGCGATCTCCTCTCGAGGGACCCTTATGAGGGGAGCGCGGTGCGGCAGACTCTCGTTGTTAAAGAGGACGGCAAGCCGCCGACTCAATTCGTACGTATTCAGAAGTTGTCTGCGTCTTCTCCCGTGACTTACGCTGGCATTGAAGCAACTCGGGAACTGCATTGGGCGAGGTCAATTCGGCGCCGTTTATCGGGCGCTGAACCTAAACACCGGTCAGATGGTGGCAGTCAAGAGGATCCGTCTCGAGGGCCTCAAGGAGGACGAGATCAAGCAGCTCATGAAGGAGGTCGATCTCGTTAAGAGCTTGTCTCACCCGAGTATTGTCAAATACGAGGGCATGGCGAGGGACAACGATAGCCTGAGCATTGTTCTCGAGTACGTGTTGATCGGCGCTGTCGGATTACCTTTCTTACGGTGGGAATAGGTACGCAGAAAACGGTTCGTTGGGCCAGACCCTCAAGGCGTTCGGCAAGCTCAATGAGCGTCTTGTGGCCGGCTATGTGGTCAAGATTCTCGAGGGCCTGCACTATCTTCATCAAAGCGATGTGGTCCACTGCGATCTCAAGGCGGCTAACATCCTTACTACCAAGAATGGGAACGTCAAACTGTCAGACTTTGGAGTCTCGCTCAATCTGCGAGCCATGGAACGCGAGATGAAGGACGTAGCCGGCACGCCCAACTGGATGGCTCCAGAAGTCATTGAGCTTAAGGGTGCTTCCACAAAGTCCGATATCTGGTCCCTTGCCTGCACGGTCATCGAGCTCCTCACAGGTCATCCTCCTTATGCAGAGATCGCAAATAGCATGTCCGGTGAGTAAGGCTCGATGTTAGCCCAGCCCATGCTGACCGTTCTGCCAGTCATGTTCCGCATCGTTGAGGATTCTATGCCGCCCATTCCAGACGGTTGTTCGGAGCCTCTGCAGGGCTTCTTGAGGCAATGCTTCAATAAGGATCCGACGAAGCGACCAAGTGCAGAAGAGTTGTGTGAGCATGAATGGCTGAAGAAGAACTGGGTCATTCACAACAAGGTACGTGATACGATGGCTACTCGGCGTGCGTCTCCTAACGGCTAGTGCAGGAGTTGCGGCCTCAGGACAGCATTCCCTTCTTGCGTCGCGTCTCCGCCGACTACCAGGCACAAAAGGCAGATGTCATGCGATATCTCGCCGGCGTCGAGATGCCCGAACGTCCAGACTCGGACAGGGCGTCTCCAGCATTGTCTTCGTCCCCCGACAAGCGTCCACGCATAGACGTGTCGCCTCCTCCACGCAGACTTTCCAACGATCCTGAACACTTCTCACCCCGCGAACACTCCTTTGTACGAACCTCGTTCGGCAAGCGTAAGTTCATCTCGTCTTCATAACCGATTGAAGGGGCTGACTAGTCCTGCCAGCCGTCATATGCCGTGTGTGCAACCAAGGCGTGAAGAAGAGTGCTGTGCTTTGCGAGCAATGCAGCCTCATCTGCCATGCGAAGTGTGCTCCGAACGCTCCGCCGACCTGCGATCTGCGAGCGCAGCTGCTCCTGTATGCTCAGTACGCAGAGACCGGCAGTCAGACAGGACAGTACAGCAACCCTATGGAGCTGCTCGAGGCTCTACAGGCGAACGGACCTCTCAGCCCTACGTCCGACGCCAGCGACGTTACCCCCAGAACGAGTTTCGATGTGCCCAGCTCGCCGTCTCCCACTTCTGTCGGTGGCGCAGTACATCCACCCAGCGCATACAAAGTGCTCGCCGCGTTCAAGCGTTCGAAGTCCTTCCTGACGGAACACTCAGACCGATCCTCTCCTGCGCCTTCATCATCACCTTCTTCTCCCCCACTGCCTCCCACCCCCTCCGATCGTCGACAAGTGACACGCAAGCGTTCCGTTCTCACGAAGCGCAAGTCCGATGGCAAAGATCGACCGCTCTCCATTTCTAGCAGCAGCACGGGCCCCAACACCTCGAGCATGCGCAGCGCCGTAACAGCCGCAGAGAGCCTGGCTAGTACACAGCGAGGTTCGACGCGAACGATGACCACGGAAACGGACGCACATGCCGAACAATCTGACTCCAGGTTCTCTCAGATGACCGGCTATTCCATCCTCTCAGCGGCAGACCGGGAGGGCAGCCGGAGCAGTCGACGGCGTGATCGGGATTCAAAGTCGAGCAATGGCTGCTCGGTGCAGTGATTTATTCATCTCCGTCTCATCTCTCGTACTCAAAAACTTTGCTCCCCTGAATGGTTCATACACGTGTACTTTGTACTGCAGTCTCGTTGCATTCACGCTCGTTGCATCGCCATGGGACTTCACATTTTACTCCACATTTCTTACTGCATATATTGCACCACGTTCGCGTAATATGCCACCTCAGGCACCTCGACATCCCCCGCCTCATTATACCTTGTGTTTATCATTAAGAGCTGACTATTATTCTTTGACGTTGTGGTAGTACAATGGTGTGTATCAACAAGCGTATTGCAAGTCGCATATATGCGAGTATGCATAGGCTACTATGCAATGCTTCTATGATGACTTTGGTTTCGGACGGAGGACGTCCAAGTACAGGCTCTTTGACTTATGGTGAGTGTTCTGCCCAATGAGCTGTACTTACAGTTTGTCCGTACACGGAACTTTCTGTCAGATCACATTCGCCATCGCCAACAACAGCTTTCGCACGGCACTTTATTGCATCCACGATCCACTTTCCTGGCTATTCGCCGGACGCTGGTGTGCTGGTCGCTTTCCTGGTACTGTAAGTTATCGGTCAGCGAGAACGGTCGATTTATAGTGCGTTTCGTCTCGATCCTTCGTTGTTTACACCATTGACGATGCCGACTACTCATCACAGCTGTTCGACAGGCGGAGGGGAGCCCGTTGCCGCAATTGCCGCACTACGCGTCTGTTCCATTTCAAAGCCAGCGGTTCTCTTCTTCAGATATAACAGCCGCCTTCCTAACGGTATCCCTTTCCTAACGTCTCAAGTGGCGAGGCAACCTTGTGGTATATCCGACAAGCTCCCTATGTTCCATGATCTACCCTTCAGAGACTCTACGCTGGCATTATATCCGACCTGACCCGTCCACAAAGATAACATACCTGAGCTTCACCGCGTAGGCGAAGGCAAGTCCCTGCGTTACTGAGGGTAAAATTTTACCAGATGTTGCTGCGTGCTCTGCTCACAAAGACTCAGAGCTTCGAGAACGTGCAATTCAATGCGACCCGCGTGTAACACTCCCCGACGCCATATCGCGCCATGAACTGCTATGGGCGCTTGTTACCGCTGTAAGTATTATGTGCTTTGATATTGCCGCTCCTCGTTGACGTTGTACAGTGCACATACATGCGCAAGGATTCTAGGCGTGATGTGTACCTATCGTTGTACCTGAGGCGACTTCGCAAGACCTGAAGCCAGCGATGAGTTGAAATCCCGATCCGGTATGTCGACATCGTCCATCGAACTCTTTGATGTTATTGGCCCGACCCTCTGTCGCGCGTGAGCACGCGATGCGAACTCAGAAGTTTTGAGATACCCGACCTCAGGGACCGAACCTCTCGATTATTGGTCTCGAGGTCCGGGACACACATACAGGTGCGGGATCTCCATTCAAAAGCTTTGTGTGAGCAAGTGGAGCGTCGTTACTCTCAGACCCGGTATCCTGCCGCCCTCTAGTCTCGCGACCGCTGCGTAGACTTCTGCTCGTCATGGCCGATCACCTCGAATCATTGCCCCGGACTGCTTCGCCTTTCTCCGGACAAGAGTCATTCGACGAGAAGGCTGATAATTCCCCGACGACTGAGAAACCAGAAGCTGAGTATGGGGGGACCCTTGCGAAGCGGATCAGCTCAGATGCGTTAACGGGTAAGTGACTTTGTCTGTGGCATGCTATTTTGACTGACTCGATATCGACATGAAGACGGCGGCGAGACAACTTACCTGAAGGGAGAGCCTGTGATTACGACGGGGGAAGACGTTTCAAGATTCCTCGTAGATTTACGAGACGATCATGACACTGCGCTCACGTTCCGATCCCTCTTCCTGGGCACTATCTTTGCTGGACTCGGTGCTGCAGTCTGTCAGGTGCGTCTCGCTTTTCAGGCCCAGGTTCGACTTCGTAGCGACTGACAATTATACTGTAGATCTATCTCTTCAAACCGGTGCAAGTCGTCGTGTCCTCGGTCTTCCTCTTGCTGCTCATCTATTCCGTGGGAACGGCCTGGGGCAAGTTTTTACCCACAGGTACTCGAGTGCAAGGAACTCGTTTCGCACGGCTTGGGCCCATCCTCGACTTCATCAACCCCGGTGAATTTAAGTTGAAGGAGGTATGCCATACGTACACCGCATGCAGCGCGCGATTCCTGACAGCCATCACAGCATGCGATTGCCACTCTTGTCGCCTCTACTGCTTCTGGTGGCAGTAGTGCAGTACAGAACTTCGCAGTCCAGCGTGTAAGTCCTCTCATGATGGTATATCGTGAGAGCTGGCTATCGACATTCTACAGCTCTACTACAACACGAACGTCGAGGGAACGACGGCAGTACTTGCCACTTTCTCAACGGCATGCTTCGGGTGAGTGACATCTCTTCAGCTGATGTTCCCCATGCTCAGTCATCTGAAGGTATGGCTTGGTCGGTTTGCTTCGCCCGCTGACCGTATACCCGAGCGAGATGGTCTATTGGGGTGTAAGTTGCATTGCCTTATCAGCATGATCAGACCACTGAACTGCGCTCGACTAGAACTTGCCTTCAGTCTCCATCTTCCAAGGTTAGCCCGATCTCATGAGTGTGCGTCAACTAGAGACGGAGGTTATCCTGACTATCCGATGCAGCACTCCATTTTGACAACGGTGCTAACAAGAAGCGGGTCAAGCTGTTCTGGTCGGCTTTCATGGGGATGTTCTGTTTCGAAGTCATCCCCGCGTATATCTTCCCGCTGCTCAATGGCGTCAGCGTCATCTGCCTTGCAACGCAGAAGGCCTCTCCATCCGCGCAGAATGTCATCACGAACCTATTCGGCGGCACGGACGGCAATGAGGGACTGGGCTTGCTCAGCATTTCGTTCGATTGGCAGTACATTACGTCGCTGTACACTAGTCTGCCTCTGATCCAACAAGGTGAACATCTTCACTGGGTTTTGGATGTGACGTTATTGACCAAAAACTGCAGCGAACTCGTGGGTCGGATATGGCTTGTGCTATGTCATCGTCATGGCCATCTACTACTCGAATGCATGGAACGTAAGTCTCTGTCACCTGCTTGCCGAACGACGTCTGCTCACGTACGTTCGAGATAGTCATTGTCGTTCCCAATGCTCTCGACGTCGATCTTCTCGTCGAATGGTACTGTGTACGACCAAGCTGCCGTCTTTGGGTCCGGTGGTATCCTCAACCAAACGGCCTTGGATGCAGTTGGTCTTCCCGCTCTGACTGGTCGGTATTCGCTCGCCCGCTCCGTGTGCCGATTGACCTATCCGACACCTATCAGGTTCAAACGCATGGTCTCAGCTTACCGCTAACCTTGCTGTATGATCTTGCCTCGATTCAGGTATATATCTAGCTGACGTACCACGCGTCAGATTGGCGGCCTCGTCGCACACACCCTTCTGTTTTGGAGTGGATACGTCGTAGAGTCATTCAAACAGGCCAGGACCAAGTCGCAGACGGATCCTCACTGGCAGGTGCGCACTGCCCCAGCCAAAGCGCGACGAAAGTCTCACGCATCTGCTAGATCATGATCCGTGACTACAAGGAAGTACCTTGGTATTGGTACCTCGGCTTGCTGATACTTTCGTTCTTTGCTGGTAACGACATCACTCAACGCCGTGCTTCTCGGTTCACTGACGAAGGCGACACGTACTGTCTTAGGTCTCATCGTCGTCCTTAAGGGTCAGACCACCCTTCCATGGTGGTCGTACTTGATTGCGCTGTTGCTGGGAGGTGAGGCCAAGTTGCTCCACGGCTCAGCAAATGTCTGAGAATCCCCCGCAGCGTTTGTCACACCGTTTTCGACATTGCTGTATGCTCGCATGGGCAACGGCATTGCGACGAATCAACTGATGAAGATGGTTGCGGGCGCGATCAATCCCGGCCGACCTGTTGCTAACCTCTACGTATGCTTGTCTATTCACATCTTTCTGTTGTGTCTCGTTGACGGGGCCTTTGTCACTTCGCCCAGTTTTCGATGTGGAGTCACGATGTCGTCTCAACCTCCATCGGGCTTGCCGGCGATCTTAAGATGGGGCAGTATCTCAAGATCCCACCCCGTGCTATGTTTGTCACGCAGGTATGGGGAACCATCCTAGGTTAGCATGCTGTTCTCTTGCCAAACCAAGGTGCTATGCTGACACGAAGACCCGCACAGGCGCCGCTGTGAACTACGGTACGTTTTCTGTATGGCAATATGCCATCTGGCTCACATCAATCAGCGGTCATGGTTTCCATCGTCGACGCACAACGCGACATCCTTCTCGATCCCGAGGGGACGAACGTCTGGAGGTCTGTCACGTTCTGCTTCTCGTCACCATAGTTGCTGACAGTCTGCTCCAGCGGCCAGACCACACAGAGCCTTAATAGCGCAGCCATCACCTGGTCGCTGGCAAAGGAGCTGTACGGACCGCACGGACCCTACATCTGGGTACCGCTCAGTCTGCTCTTCGGGATGATCCCGACATTCTTCCAATGGCTATTCTCCAAGGTAACTGTTCCTGACCCCCCGTACTCGTCCCACCGGACTCACCTCGTGCGAAACCCCGACGCAGCGCTATCCGCGGATTGGGCCCATCCGCACGGACTCGATCATCCTACCCCTCATCTACATGTATTCATCGTGGATGACCGCCGGAACGAACTCGCCTATCACGTCCGTGATCATCACGGGCCTCGTCTCGCAGCTCTGGCTGCGCAGGTACCACCCCGGTTGGTTCCGGAAGTACAACTATATCCTCGGTGCGTGCACGCGCGTGGTTCATACATCTTGTTCGCGGCCCGCTTTACTGACTCATCTGCGCCCTCGTGCAGGCGGTGCGCTGGATGGCGGCGCGCAAGTCATGATATTCATCCTCTCGTTCGCCGTGTTCGGCGCGTCGGGGACACCCCGGCCCTTCCCCGCTTGGGCGGGCAACCCGGCGACTGGGAACACGGATTACTGCAACGGCAACCAAGACTGAGCTGTCGTGCGCCAGTCTGTTCAGCGTGTTACGTTCAAAGGTTTGGATTTGAGCGTTATTGAGTTCATGTAATGCGGGATCTAGGGTTTCTAGTGATGCCTATTATTGTAGCTATACATTGTTCGAATGTGGTGTGCGGGTACTTAGACTACATAGTTGCTTGTGCTCGGAGAAGGAAGACAGAAGAAGCCAGGCCGCGAGCAAGCCGCGAGGGTGCTGTGAAAACTCATGTCATCATAAAAATGTCATGACCTTGTAGGGGTTCGCGCGAGTACCACGATGTTCATGGTCGGCATGCTGAGGCTTCTTCAAAGCTTTAGGCCTTGTGGCTTCTGGCACGCCAATTGAGGCAACGGTGGGGTAGCGCTCGCCTACGTCGAGTTGTCTTGATCGTTCGCCGCATTCGACGCGTCGGGTGGCACGGCCCAGCCCTTCGTCGCCTGGGCGGACAGCCTACCCTGCCATAGGAGACAGGTATTGCTGCAACAGCAACCCGCTGAGGCCTGAGGCCGAGGGCCGAGCTGCCGCGCGCGCCTTCCACGAATAGTAGACTTTAAGCGTGAGTGGGTTCATGTACTGCGTGGACGGGGCGTAGGGTTTGTGGGCGTTGCCCGTTGCAGATATACATTGTTTGGATGTGGTGATGGTACTTACCCTTCGTGATCGAGGACAGAAGGCGGCTGGCATGGGAAGCCGACCCGCAAACGTGCTGTAGGAGCCGGATCACAGTCACGACAGAAATGCCCATTCAAATGTCATGACGGAAAGTGATATGACCTTGTATGCCCGCGCGAGTCCCACGCTGTTCATGTCAGCTTGCTGAAACTTCTGGCTTCCGCGAAACGAGTAGTATGCGGGCAGTCGCACTTCATTAAAGTCTTGCAAATACGCCCGTGGATGGCATGTGTCCATGTCGTTGATGGCGAAGCATCGCATGGCGTAGTATGTCGGACGGACAGGCCAGTACGCCAACTGAGGCAACTGCGGGGAAGCGCTCGCCAGGTTCAACCGTCGAGTTCCAGTACTGTGCGTGCTCAGTGTCAGATGTAACGACAGTTCGAACTACTGCAGAGTTCCTATATTTAAGCTGGCAGCATATGGCGGTAGCTATAGGCATTCGAATCAGCAAGGTAGCAGTATGCAGAGGTTTCCAGTAGCAACATTTCCAACGGGCAGTAGACAGAGTATACGACCAAGACCGTTCGCGGCGCGCCCACGCACCTAGCCACGGCTACAGCGGAGGAAACACATCTCGGCGCCCCTCGAGTCGGCGCCCGCCGCCCGGTCGTCCTCCGCCCCGGACGTGTCTCCTGCAGCACCCGCGCGGTCCTGCAGCAACGTGCATCCCCACATATCACCTCGCGACCATCGTGTCGCCCGAATGCCATCATGGACGAGGGTTGTGCCGGTGCGCTGGGCCGTGGACCGTCGATGGGCGGTACGGGAGCCTCGAGGCCCGCGTGCGCGCCACCAGCACATGTCTTCGCTCGTTCAGGCGTGCTGCGCAGTACGCCTGACAATAGAGGAGCTACTCGGGACCGTACATATGGAGCCTGCTGTAGCTACGCTTAAAGCAAACCGCGCACCGATTGGGAGGCAACCGCGGAGCGTCGCACACGGTGCGGTGGACCGTCGCCGGCGCCGGTGCACTTAGTTTGGTGGCGGCGGTGAGGATCAAGAGGGCGGTGTGTCGACGCCGGGCACCGGTCGTTGGCCGACGGCAGCGAACCCAAGCATCCAAGCAGATGTGATGGTGAACGTTGAGGCACGCCCAGACGAGGAAGGCTGAGCATGAGTCTGACAGCCACCCTCGACTCGGAAAAGTATAGGATCGCACAGCCAATCAGCACAGGCTTGCCGCGCGATCGGGTCTTTCCGACGAATGACTCGATCCAGCAAAGGTTCGTTCGTTCTCCGCACCCACGCTGGCGGGGTTTTTAATACGTTTTAAGAAAATTTCGGGTGACCGGCGTGGAGATGGGACGAGCGATCCGTGCAGTCGCGGAAAAAATGGTCCATGATTTCCCTCCAATCCGAATGAGGCTTCGCTTCTGGAGGTGGGAGCTTCTGCCAGCATAGACGAGCAGTTGCGCGGCCAGGAGGACTTGACACGAACGTTTCGCGACGAACAAACGAGCATTGGGGATGTCTTTGTCCGAGTCGACACCGCAACAGATGAGGTTCGAGACCAACGGGGGAGTGTCGTGGCCAAAGCAGATGTTGTTCTGGCGTGTTCCGCCTTTGAAAAACACGATGTGACCAGGCGAGCGATTGTGCACGGAGGTGAGCGTTCCTCGATGTCGGACGCAGAAGATGATCTCGATCGCCCTCGCCGGAAAGAAGAAAGAAGCGTGCGCTCTCCGAAGGGGGCGACGTGACTGTGACGGGCGCTGAGCCTCTTTGGCCGTGCCCGTGCAGAGGACTTCGGACACTGCTCCCCGCCTGTTGTTCTCTGCCCAGTCCAGGAAACGACATACAGCACCCGCACACACTTAAGGAAGATGACAGTGCGACATGATCACTCGACACAAGGAGCTACCCGACCCGCCGCTACGTCATCAACTGTGGCGGCGTTGTGGCCAAAGCCGCCCAAATAGTTGCCTCTTTTGGAATACACGCTGCTCTTCCGGGCGTCGCGTTTGCGCTTCACGCGACTTCTGTGAAGAGCCGTGGCCGGTATAAAAGGCGGAGGCTGGGCTTTTTCTGGTCTCTTTCGACCTTCATGCGGCGTTGGATGACCGTGCCCCACTCGGCTGAAGATGGAGTTTTCTGGCGTTGGCTCACTGCTCCTCGGGTGCCTCTCGGCTCGCCATCACAGAACATGGCTGCCTGTCAGCGACGGCCTCAAGAGGCCATACGAGTGCCATCTCGGATGCGTTGCATATGACCGGCGGGCGACTCACACTGGTTGAGCCTCAGTGAGCCTTTGTTGCGGGAGGAACAATAGGTGCGGTGAGTGTTCGAGGTCTCGACATACGCGTGCGTCACAATAGCTGTGACTCGCGGGGAGAAGAATTGGGAGCGGGGGTCCCGGGCTGTGCCTTGGGGCGCTTGTGCCTCTCCGGCGCCGCATGCCGCGCCTGCCTTGTCCCATCATTTTCAGAACAAAGCCAAACGCCCCGCGCTCGGTCCTATATAAGCCGCAGCCATGCCCGCCTTCGTTCCCCAGACCTGCTCTCATCGCAGTCTAGCCGTTCTTTGGCCTCCGCCTTTCTTTCTTCCTCACTGTCCCTTCCCTCTGAGGCTTCCCGAAGTTCAAGTCCTTCATTTTCCAGACAACCAACTTCTGCTTCAGCACATCCAGCCTATTTAGCCACCAAGATGCTCTTCTCGTTCGCCCACGTCTTCACCGCGCTTGTCGCACTCACTCACGTCGGACTGGGCCTCGCCGCGCCCGTCCCGGTATGCTCGCTCGGCAACCGCACCGGCGGGAACAACTCGACCTCTTCCTCCGGGAACGCCACCGGGTCCGGTTCAGGTTCCCTCTCCAACTCTACCTCCCCTTCTAACTCCACCTCCAGCTCTAACGGCACGACGACTTCATCTTCTGGCCCTCACTGGGTTGTGTACAGTGACTCTTGGGTTTCTGGCGAGAATGGCCCGCCCGCCGCTTCTGACATTGAGGTGAGTATTCGCGTCTGTTTGATTTGTATGCGCGTCCTCTGGAGTGTCCATCGGAGGCATGGAAAGTGCGGGGCTATGGAATTCGTTCCGTGCATATGGTTGGGCATGAAACGCGCATCGCACGGTCTGTAAAGCCCGCATATACTCACGGGTGCCTGGTTCATTCGACGCTCGTGACAGTGCGTTTGATATGGTGCCCGTGGGTGCTCAGGAAACGTGAACATAGCATCTTGATTCCATCTGTCGTTTCGTTTCACCTTCAGCGTATGTCTGACCCGCGCGGTTGTCCTTACAGGGCTACAACGTCTTCATTATGTCCTTCCTCCTTGCTTCGGGCTCCGTTGACCAGGCACAAGAATGGGAAACTCTCGACGCAACCACCCGCTCGACCATCAAGGCCGCATACAAGGCGGCGGGCGTAAGCCTGCTCGTCTCCGCTTTCGGTTCCACCGAGACTCCGACCAGCTCCGGCACTGACCCTACCACCGCCGCCAACACGATGGCTGCATGGGTCAAGCAGTACGACGTGGACGGCATCGATGTCGACTACGAGGACTTTGACGCATTCAACGACGGCAGCGCCATCGCCTGGTTGGAGACCTTCACCAGCGCGCTCCGTGCCCAGCTCCCCGCCGGTCAGTACATCATCACGCACGCGCCGGTCGCGCCTTGGTTCTCGGGCACGTCCGTGTACCCGAGCGGGAGCTACCTCGACATCGACCAGAAGGTCGGCTCCTCGATCGACTGGTACAACGTCCAGTTCTACAACCAGGGCGCGTCGGAGTACACCGACTGCAACGGCCTCCTCACGTCTTCTGGCGGCACCTTCCCCGGCACGTCGGTCTTCGAGATCGCCGCGGCGGGCATTGACCTGAACAAGATCGTCATCGGCAAGCCTGCTTCGGCTGCCGATGCGAGCAACGGTTACATGGACACCGCGACGCTCGCGTCCTGCGTATCGCAGGCTCAGGGCAAGGGATGGAATGCGGGCGTCATGACCTGGGAGGTGAGTTTGACCTATGCCTACTTCATACCACGATCACCGAGCTGACTGGCTCCTAGTACCCTACGGGTGACTCCGCATGGATCTCCGCCGTCCGCGCGACCGCCTTCCCCGTAAACTGAGCCCGGTGCCGCCCTCACGACCACCACACGCATTCTCGGTGCACGCGCCAGCTCGCGCGCACTCCCCCTCGCCGCCCGAGCGCGGCGGGCGGGTCTTTTCAATTCTGGGTTTTGGGTTTGCGTCGCATTAATCGCTGTCTTTATCTGCATACACTCTCTCCGTCTCTTACGCTCTCTCACGACCGCTCTGGCACGCGTCACTCTCTGTCTCTATAGCTGACCGACTGTATCCGTAATATTAGCACGATCCCAGGGATTGTTGCTCTGGCGCCGCGCTCCGAGCGAGCCGGCGCGGGGTGCATCTCGATGACCACCCCTCTTCCCCCTGTCGCTGTATTTGATATACTGCTATGTGTCTGTGTGCGTGTATTGTATACATTGCATGCTGCTATACGTGTTGAACATGATCTGTTATCCCAATCCTCGTGATGTGTGTGCTGTTTGAGTGAGGTGGCGAGTCTTGGTTCGAAGCCGGAATGATTCAATGACTGGAAGACACGAGTGAGTGGTTCTACTGTCGCGAACCTGTCGGTTTCACTCAACTGCGTGCCTCCAGTCGTTTGGGAATCGTGCACGCTTAACTGGCGTTCGTGCAAACGGACTATGTAAGTAAAATCGGACTCAGCTAAGTACGGAGTACGTACTTACTATGGACTCGGAATACGCCGGGCGCTATGCATCGTTGTCGTCGTCTTTTTTTTTTTTTTTTTTTTTTGATTCACCGAGTTTAAAGCCCATACGCCGAGGTACATGCAGGCACTAATGATCACTACCGAACGCTAAGACCGTTCCTCCCGAGCCCCATTTCCCCTTGTGGGTCCCTGCGGGTTACTCTCCTTCGTGCCTTGTTGAGTCCGAGGACGGGCAGTACCGTTGAGTGCTGGCGTCGAGATGTCGGCGCCAAACGCGACCCCCCGTAGGTAAGCGCTCCAGTCTTCATGATAGCAGGCCGCATGAGGCGCGATACCCCATTCCATCATAAACTCCCAGCTGCTCCCGCGAGCCCAGGAGCCTTGAGTACCGCCTGCAGAAGGATGGCGGCTTATCTGATGCAATTCACGAGAGCCCTTCCAAAGGCCCCCGCCTCCCTCCCCCAACACGTCCAGACATACCACATACCGCCAGAGACCCAGACCCCACTCCACACCATATCCTATGCTCCTAGGCTGTCGCTGTCATTCCACGGGTTCATCCCGCAGTCGCGACTGCCGCTTTTGCGGTCGAAACCCGTTGCGGGTAGCGTGTAGGGTCGGCCGTAGCCTCCCCGCAATTGGGGTGTGCTGTTGGAGGTGCGCGTGGCAGGAAGAGTGGCAACCGTCCTGAACGGAAGAGGGAATTTACGACGGGATAGATAGATGTCGTCCCGACGCGGAGGGCGTGGCGGAGTCGGTTAGTGAGGGGGTGAGAGGATCGAGTGGTGCAATCTGCGAACAACGTGAGGCGTCCGCAGTCCCGATTGTCGATCGAGTTGGTCGATGGTGTCGTAGAGACTGTGGGGGCCCCGTTGGAGGGGTCTTGACACTAGGGAGGAGGGAACGGGCGAGAGATGGGGCAGATGGGGGCCGATAAGCGGGCGCCTAACGGTAGATGGTGGAGGTACGAGGTCAAGGAGGGATCGTTGTCGTCGTCGAGCATCCGTGCCGCGTACCGAATTCGAACTCACATCTACCAATTAATCTGTCCTGCATTCAACGTGCAAGTGATAAAGCCCGTCCAATTGCAAGCGCTGCATCATCATGCCGTTGTCTGCTGCATTCAACATGCAGCTTCGAATCACCACGCGCGAGCCACGCAGAGGTCGCGAGGCCCTACTCCTTTCCGTGGACAACTTCACTGAGACTCCAGCTGCAGTCCAGTTCATCGAGCCTCGCTGGCGTTGTGTGTCTAGAGCGGAATCCGGGAGGTACGGTGTACTCTACCACATATGCATCCCTCGCTGACGCTCGATTCATTCTTCTCAGACGATCAGCATGTCGAACTCGAATATCTGCGAAACACGTTCCGAGTGCCCTCGGACGGCCCCTATAAGTATGTGCAGCCGAACGATGAAAGCCTCGCCCGCGGACGGCCGTGGGATGCTCATTCGACAGCACCATCGACGTGTTTGCATGCCCCGCGGAACAACGTGGGCCATGGCTCAACTCGTTCATGACATATTCAAATTGTAGCGCATATATCGGCTCGCCTTGCGAAGATGACTTTGCAGCTGGATGGCACTCAACTAATATACCGACGGGATGACCGCGAACTTGAAGGGCGGCTTCAAGCATGAGAGCGGGCTGCTTCTCGTGGGACATGCGCAGCAGACCGCCGTCCAGCTGAGCACCCTCTTCGTCAATCGCAAGCTTTCGAGGTCAGAACGCGTCGCTCTGTTGCACTTTGCCTGGAGCGCTGCTGACGACGATTCAGACAGTGACGGCCTCAGGAGCTGGACCTCTCCGTTCGAAGTGTGGAGCCGCAGATGGAAGAGCTAAGGCGGGACGGCGAGGCGCAGTACGCAACTTGTCGCCGTTGTCCGTCGCGGTCTGCCTACACGGTGAGAAGCGTCAGCAGGCGAGCCCGTCCGCAGTATCCTGCCCCGGCGTGTCCAACCCTCACTCCTATGGTATGTCCTACTACCATGTGCGAGGCGATTACTTTTGAATGCACGTCTCATGGCGCACACAGTGCGCAGCTACATGGCACACGGTTCAAGAATGTTCTCGTTATTCTCGTCCGATGCTCTCACAGACATGACATGCACGCGACCTCGTCCTCCGCAGCACTCGGCATACCTGCAGAGGATCCACTGCAACGTGTCGATTGTCCAGCTGATCATCGGGTGCATGTGAAGCAGACGTCCTCGACCACAGGTCTCCGATCTAGACATGGCAATGCATGTTAGGCACTACGCAAGAATCAAGCATTCAACGCATACCAATGTGGAGAGCTCGTGACAACCCGCTTCACTACGAATGTACCAAGAATGAGGAAACTAACCTCCTCGTTCAGTAGCAGGTATGTCCGCACGCCTCCAGCAGCGTATCTTCTTCCTTGACACAGGGGATCGCAGTGCTCAACTATTGAGGCGAAAACTTGCTTTACATATCACAGCAACGTTGCGAAACCGTCGCAGCAACGCCAGGTCCATGCGATGATAGATTTATACTGCATACACACCAACGTGTTCACGTGATCTCATATCTTCCATTGCCGAAGCTTGCCTTCATGAGCACAGCTCGGCCACTTGAGACTCCGTGGCGGCTCTCACGAAAGGCTGCATTCTAGGCGCACTATCCTAGGCGCACGAGCGGGAGTACGACCAGCTCTGTTATCTGCCACTCAGGACAGGACTCCCCTCGTGGTACTGCGTCCAGAGTCCAAATTTGGCTCTCCCGGACGACGTACCAACGATACGCCAGTGGAGAATCGAACTCGAAGGCCGCGTTCTCAATGATCCATATGGTTACCGAACGGAGGCTGAGATAGGTGCAGATTCCACAGATGAGTTCGATCTGTGTCTTCGAGACTCACGGCGCGTAGGACGGAGGCCCGCTTAGTTCAGCTAGTAGCTCGGACGTTCTTCTGGCAGCTGCATTGGTAGGTGGGTGATTTTATCCCGATTCCATTGCAGAGAGGCTGCAACGAGGTACTTCAGTGTTCCAGCAGCGCGATATCGTAGGATATCGTGCCTATCCGGCTATGTGGTGTGGCCAGCCTAACGTTTCGGTACGTCGGCTCGTTATTCCCAGTACTTGATGCATCTTGATGCTCCGTTCCGTATCGTGCAACGAGCGTTTAGATCGAGGGTGTTCACTAGACATGCCCCTATGTTTGTCGTTCGCGTGTGCATGTCGAGTGCAGCGTGAGGTTCCGCTGGGAAGAAGGTAAGACCAGCGTCCCAAAAGCTTTGATTTGATTGGCCCCTTGATGTCGGCCGCATGTCACGGACAGCGGCTACTTATGGTCGCGCTCGGCGCTCATCCATTGCATGAGGCCGCCGATTGGCAGTAGTCCCGGCTTGAGTATGGTACACGCGCGACGGGCTATACGCTTCACGAAGGTCTGTCAGGATTCCGTGTGTTCACCCGCTCGCTACACCTCTCACTGCATGGTGTCCGCAGAAGAGCTGTGCTGTTGAATGGCGAGTACCCTTTCCACGATGCACGAGGATCACCGGTAGCTAACCAGAGCTGATAGCGTCGAAGACTTCCGTGTGCATCCTGAGAAGGCCATATGCCGAAGTCTCTTCTAAACTATCGTCAGTGTTCCCTGACAGTTCCAATCACCGTGGCAGGAGGGATCTTGGAGGGAACGTGCTATATAATGGCGTCGTCCACTTCCGACTTCTCTCCAAGCGATCCTCCATCGCACCCGCGCAGTTGACAGGCAAGTGTCTCCACCGTCAGAATGGCAGCAAGCTCTTTCTCTCGTTTGGTCACGCTTGTCGTTCTCCTCTGTGGTTCCGCGCTCGGTGCCTATGGAGCAGCTTGCGCGTTGGAAGAGCGCGAACATGTGCCTTTCAGGAAGCGGTACAGCGCTTCTGCGCCGTACTTTGTCGAGTATTTCGACAAGGGTACGTCGGGCGTAACGGGAGCACCGCCTGTAGCGGATGTGTCGGTACGTGCCTTCCTCTCTCCGCGTATGGGCTTGGCTTAACTCCATTGATCAGGGTTATAACGTCTTGTGAGTGTTGTAACCTGATCGCTTGAATATCCTTATCGACTTCTCCGCCATCTGTAGTATTATTGCGTTCCTGCTCACTGAGGGCGCTTGGGACAACGCCCAAGGCTGGGCTTCCCTCACAGCGGCCGAACGTAACTCGACTAAGGCCGACTACAACAATGCTGGGATCGCGCTTATGGTGTCCGTCTTCGGTTCTACTGATACTCCGACGTCGAGTAACGCCGATCCCACCAACACGGCCAACACGATGGCGGCGTGGGTGCAGCAGTACGGTCTCGATGGCGTGGACGTGGACTACGAGGTGAGACACATCGGATGTGTTGTATCGTATCAGGAGCACTTTGTCTGACAGGTCCACGCCAGGACTTTGACGCGTTCAATGCTGGGACCGCCGAAGCATGGCTCATCACGTTCACCACTCAGTTGCGCAAGCAGCTCCCGGCGAGTGAATACATCATAACTCACGCGCGTAAGTAATGTCGTACTGCTTTCAAGCGACATCGACTGAACACTTTCGGGTCTGCGACATGCAGCCGTCGCACCTTGGTACGTCGATGTGATCCCTATGCGACGTGCAATCTATTCATACTTTATCGTTCAGGTTTGCGTCTAACCTATGGAAAAACGGCGGCTACCTCAAGGTAAACACCGAGGTTGGCGACTTGATCGACTGGGTACGTTCATGTTGTCTCAATAGCATGGCTCAAGTGTTGATGCGTCCTACTAGTATAATGTCCAGGTAGGTCTACCCTTTGTGTCCCATCACGCACGGAACTGAGCGCATCCTTCTGCGTCCGTGACATAGTTCTACAACCGTCAGTCTTTTGTGACCACTTTCCTGGAAATTGACACTCACCGTACCATGCAGAGGGTACCAGCGAATACACCACATGCGACGGCCTGCTTACCAACTCGAGCTCTACGTGGCCGGATTCTGCTCTTTTCCAAATCATCAGTAGCGGCGTCGCACAGGAGAAGCTGGTGATCGGCAAGCCTGGTACCTCAGGCGATGCTAACAACGGGTACATGAGCACATCGACTTTGGCGACATGCGTTGAGCAGGCCAAAGGGAAAGGATGGGGTAAGACTCTAATGGCGTCGAATGAGTGCGATGATGGTTAACGATGCGTTGTGCAGACGCTGGTGTCATGGTTTGGGAGGTATGCTATTCGACGAGCTTCGGACTTGTGAGCGGAACTAACACGTCTTCCAGTATCCCGATGCTGGGAGTTCGTGGATCACAGCAGTACGCGCGGACGCTTGGCCCGTCTCGTCATAGATGGGCTGCCCGCCGAACTAAGAAGGTACAGTAGCAATATATTCAGAAAATTCATTCGTCTGATCCTGAAATAGATACCCACGCAAACATTCAAATTGGGCCGTCTGGAACAGGCTCTTCAGATGCATTACGTCTTTCTTTGATACCAATCCACTTAAGTTGAAGAGTCTGTGGTACAAGGCGCTGTCGGTCGATATATCGCTGTATTGGTACCACTTCTGTATCCCGCATCACAGTAGTTTTCATGAGTCTCCATTACTCAACAAAAAGAGATACTCTCGTTTTTAGTCTTCATTTGCGATGAAATGTGAAGCCTTGAAGCTTGAAGACCAACTCTTATCACATGATTCAATTTCACTGGACATCGCTCGGCGCTTGATGACTCTTACTTTGCACTCGGCCACAACGTCTGCTTCGCAGGAACGCAGCAGGGCATCATTTTTATCTTCGCAGAGTGTTCGGTTCAGTTCCCGTCCCCGAGTGCCACATGCTTTGAACTTTCACTCGGCGCCAGCCTGAAGCTTGTCGACTTATTGTCTCATGCATACTCTGGCTTTCTCGGGCTCTGAGCTTAAGTGCGGCAGTTCGCTTGACAATGTGTTCCAAGTTGAAGAGACAAGGTTCGTCCGCTCCTGCCGCGGAAAAATAGAAAGATACTAATGTTGCTTCTATCTGACCTGTCACTGCTGCAGTACCTCAACCGCCTCCATACTGACTATATACATTCGCTCGATAGCGGGAAGTGCTTATCTGGCGCATAATGGAGATGCACCACGTTCTTCGCTGCCGGCGCAGCAGAGAAGAAACGAGGAAGCCTCGAGTGTCTTAGTCTCGGAATGCGCGACCTACCATGCCGAGAATGCTCTGGTGAGCCAAGGGAACTACACATGCCGATCCTTTCCTGTCATGCACGAAACAGATATTACAGTCCTTATCGCAACCGCCGATGCTTGAGCCTGGCCAGAACTGCGATGACGTTCACGAGAGCGATCCGTTCTCCTTCAGTGCTTTACTCCCCTGACAGACTGGCGGTCCGATCGCTATCGGGTATTGCGGCACTGTTCAAGTTGCCAGCGAGGACATCCACAACTTCGATCTCGTAAATCCCTCCTTGGTAAGCAAATGGCCTAGCATCGCGCATTGCATCTCTGCGTAAGGGTATCCCGGTATTGCATCCCCATATTCTCGCAGTCCCTCGAGCATGTGCCACACGCGCCGGAGACTCGACCACATCGACATATCTGTTGTGCTAGTGATTCATAGCACACGCTCTGGTACCTTTCTGCACTATGTACCATGCAGGTTGCATGGAATGCGTGCGGTTTGCTACCTGCATGGTACGGAGCAGCAAGCTCTGTGCCTCAGTGGTGCCTGCGTGGCACGCGCCCACCCAATGTTGATTGTTCAAGAGCCGTACGGCACCCTCTCCTTCAGCATGGAATGCCTATCGTGACTCAATGGAATGCTTTTTATGGCTTGTCGACATGCACTCCTGCGGCGGCATGGAGTGGCAGACATACTGAACGCGACAGATATGGCGAACATCCATGCTCGTGCGTTCTTCTCGAAACAAGTGCGTATCTCTCTGCACAATACCGCCGATCATGCCAACAATACTGACTCACGCTCTCCAACTACTTAAGATCGCAGTTTTGTACGGTCCTCCTCAGCGGAGACCCCCCTAGGCCTCTTCGCAAACCACTCTACGGGATCGGTACTCATCTCGGGTTCTGTTGACATGGTCTTCATCACGCCCCTGATTTCTACCGCCGTTCTTTGCCTTGTCGGCACTGCCGTTGTCGCTCTCCCCGCTCCTCCTGCGGGTGAGGTTGATATCAAGGCTGCCGTTCACTCGCCGCCCCGAAAGCGTTACAGCCCCTCGGCCCCATACTGGGTGGAATACTTCGATGCGTATGCATCGGGTGTGACCGGCGCCCCGCCGGTCTCTGACGTATCGGTACGTTGCCAGCCGGGGTGTGGTTCACTCCACTGACGCAGTCACAGGGATATAATGTTTTGTGAGTGTACACATGCATATGAGCTGTAAGAGTATTCTATTGACCGAAGTACCCTTCAAGTATCCTCGCGTTCCTCCTGATCGAGGGCGCCTGGGATAACGCCGAAGGCTGGACCCAGCTTACTGCGGATGAGCGCTCGTCAACGAAGGCAGATTACAACGATGCGGGTATCGCGCTCATGGTCTCTTGCTTCGGCTCAAGTGATACGCCGACCACGAGCGGCGCGGACCCGACGGGCACCGCCAATACCATGGCGGCTTGGGTCACCGAGTACGGTTTGGACGGTATTGATGTCGATTACGAGGTACGCCCCACGTGTATCTCATCGCTAGTGGGAAAGGCTTATCGCCATCGTATTAGGACTTCGACGCGTTCGATGCTGGAACTGCCGAAGCTTGGCTGGTAACGTTTACAACTCAATTGCGTAGCCAACTCCCTGCGGGAGACTATATCATCACACATGCTCGTCAGTGGCTTCTCTTCTTGTTTCTCAGACCAAGAACTGTGACTTACGCATAGTCAACAGCGGTCGCGCCTTGGTAAGGGCCGTGACGATCTATGAGAAGCAAGACTTACGGAAAACAGGTTCTCACCCAGCATATGGACGAACGGAGGTTACCTGCAGGTGGACTCACAAGTCGGGAACTTGATCGATTGGGTATGTCGATGCATTGGTCTATCGGACAAGACACTGATGCGTATGATCTGGTGCAGTACAACGTTCAGGTGAGATCATAAACACGAATGACATACCTGGTAGCTGACCAGCTCTCGCGTCTGCTCAGTTCTACAACCGTATGCATCCATTCTTCCTCTGGACTGCATATCGAACTCACGCCATATGTTTTACTTGTACGTAGAGGGAAGTTCGGAGTACACGACGTGCTCTGGTCTGCTCGACTCATCAAGCTCTACCTATCCCGAGTCGGCGCTGTTCCAGATCTCCGCTAACGGCGTCACCCTGGACAAACTTGTCATTGGCAAGCCCGCGACGACTGGCGATGCCAGCACCGGCTATATGGACCCTTCTACACTGGCGACGTGTGTAGAAGACGCCCAGAACGACGGCTGGGGTGAGTATCTGAACTCATGACGTAGCTGGATACCGTGTTAACCTGCATTCCCTCCCAGATGCCGGTGTCATGGTCTGGCAGGTAGGCTTGACGTTGAATGTCTGTGTCTGCATCGGCTGAAAGAAGCTCGTTACAGTACCCTGATGCTGGAACGTCATGGATTACCACTGTCCGCTCTGACTCCTGGCCTGTCTAGATTGCGTGCGGTGCACTCCTCAACCATGTTATGAAGGTGAGTCAAGCGTATTCGCATCATGCATTCCTTTTCTGACACCGGATGCTGCAAGCCATCTTTAGAAGATCGTAATGATTTGCTGAGTGGGTATGCTCCTTGGATGAAATGTCATGTCAGGATCTCATTATTGTAGCATTTGTAAGTCGCACATGAATGACCTATAGTGAGGTCAGGAGTTGTCTCGTTATCTCGTCGTCTGATCCTCGAGCTCCTGATGTGCTTACCCACGCGAGGCCTGGAGCATATCTTCAAGCGTTCCGAGGTCAGTACGTACGCTCAGTGTACCAATACATATCGTTTGACCGTACGTTTCCTCAACGTTTCCTGGCTGCAATAGACGCACTCATCTCTTCACGTCTCTAGGTCTGATTTCTCGCGCTCCTTGTCAGTTCTCGACAATGTCTGCCACTGCGGCCACTGCTATCCGCGCTCGGACATGTCACATCAGCATAGCGATCGAGCGGTATCAATGGGTCAAAGTCAGAAGTCGATAGCCGGTTGAACTTCACGGTTCTGTCTGCCCTGTGCCTACTCCGAATCTGACGGAAACCTGGGTAGTTTCAGAACACGGCTGCGCTATGCTTTACGTCAAGCGGTACTACAGGATACGTCGCTGTAGTTCGAACTCCCAAACCCGTCACGGTCTTTCTGGGATTACGTGCTCTCTGGTCGGGTGCATCAGGCGTCTTGACCATCTGACAGCAAGACAACGTCGTGTGGCTGTGCATGCCGTACCGACTACGAGGGGTTGTCCTGATAACAGGATGCTTCGACGCAACTGCCCCCGCCTGACTGAGCGATCTTACAATTATGACGGCCTCTGTAGGTGAGTAACCACAGTCGAATCAGCGGTACCGGACAAGTTGAATGCGGTTGATTTGGGATATAAATGCGGCCTTCGATGTACAGGAGAAACTTCATAACCTGGGTAGAATCGGCTGACACAGAATACCAGAACCTCGGAGAGCCACGAATCTTGAGACGTGCATTCAACTGACTAGTAGGGGTCGCGCACAATGTCACTCACGGTCACCATCTCTCACCGGTACGTTGTAAGTACGATTCTTCGTTGATGGTCTACATTGACTTAAAATATCGTTGTTCACCTGATTCAGGGCTATCTACCCCGCCGCGGCGATCGTGTCAACGTTCTGGCTGTCATTCTGGCAGACGATGAAGGCTGTAGGTGCCAGGAAACGAGCCGGGATTGAGTATCCGCGGGGTAGGCGTCAACTCGCACGCGCGTACGACGTAGGCAGGGCTGAACATCAAGTGTTCGGGGCAGTGTACGCTGAGAAGGCGGAAGCGGAAGAGTCGAAGGAAGCAATGATCTTCAACTGTACTCAACGTACTACGTTCCCTTGCGACGCTCGCATTGCATCTATGTCACGCTAACAAACGGTTTGCAGGTGCCGCCTACAACACGATTGAGCACCTACCAGTTGTGATTACTAGGTTAGTACACTATCCGCCACCCGCTCAGGTGGGCCCGACATTGCTGATCATGATGTGCGAGTCCACAGCACCATCATCACTTCCGTGAAGTATCCGGTCCTCGCAGCCATGCTATGCGGCATCTGGTCCCTCTGCCGCTTCGTCTACACAATCGGCTATAGTACCGGCGATCCTCTCAAGGTACGCCACCCGTACTGGCAGTCATTTGGCATAACTTGACACTGCATTCTGAACTTCGCCAAAACATCAGCGTAATATCTACAATTCTGGGAGGCTCCATACGTTGGCGTGGCTCGGTACGTCGGCACCGAGCTATTTGTACTACAGGCGAGGAGTAACTGACCGCCGTCGTTACATCACAAGGTCTCATGTGCACTGCGAGCGCAGCTGTCGTGCACCTCGCAGTTGATCACCTTGTAGTCGCATAAATCAGTTCAACTACCATTCCCCCGCGTAACTGGGCCGTCCGCTTCAATAGAGACTGCCATAACTCACCGGCACCGTGACTCACCCTGACCCTAACACGACGATCCTCCTCCCGTTCAAGTTGTCAGATACGAAGTCGGCCTACGAGGAACTATGCACTGACAGCGTCAGCGACGCCTTCCCTCGCGCACGTTAAACCCATCGTTACACATACTCGAACCGGGTTCGAAAGAACGCGAATCCGTAAGTAGACCTGTTCACGAGCTGAGCAAAGAAGTCGGCACTCAAACGAAGTTATATCTCAATGAAACACAGGAAGACATACACGAGATCCAGGTCTATGAAACGATTGTATCCTACACAAGCGCATCCAGCAATATAATACAGCAATAATGTTACACATAGTCACAATGAGCCTACGGCTCGGGGATAGAGCACCGTCGAGTTCATGTCGGCAAACGACCGTGCAGCGAACCAGATGCGGATGCATATGTTGAGGAAAGGACCCTGATTCGTGAACGAAGCGTCGGAGCAACGTCGCACTGGAGATGGAGCTGCCCGGCGGTATGGATGTGATGCGCGTGTACGCGTCTGGGGATCCTTCAGTGTCAGCTCATCAGACGTTCGCCCCAGACGAGGCGCTGGCGGTGGGCTCTGACGGCGCCGCGCAGAGTGATCCATGATATCCATATACACATGAAGAGGGCGAGAGCAAAGAGTGTGCGCTGTGAGCCAGACTGATCAGCTCAGCATGACGGGACATAAGGTCGGGGAACGCACGATGAAGGCTTTCCATCGAGAGCTGACGGGCGCGTTCGATGTGAAGATGATGGTGCGGAGGCGCGCAGAGAGCGGGGTGTTCAGCCATTCCAGTTCCGTGATCAGTTCGCGTGCCTGGTGGGCGGTCCAGGTCAGGCACCGTATGTGGGCGAGAGGAGGATGTCGCGAGAGGAGCGCACCTTGTCCCTACCGCGGTCGTAGACATGCCGGATGTCGTGGACCTGCTGCTGCACGCGAGGGAGGTGCTCGTCGAGATAAGAGAGTGCGTCCAGATCTTCCGCGAGGGATTGTTCGATGTGCGGGACGGTGGTGTTGAGGGCGACGTCTGCGCGGCGTTGACTTTGCTGTAACGGCGCGACGCCTTGAGAGACTGACGATGAGAAGTGGTAAAGCCGTACGTACGTGCAGAGCAGAGAGGACCTCCTGAAGGAGGTTGTTGATCGCGCGAGAGTTGCTCATGTTGACCGTGAGCTTACCCTGGAGGAGGGCGAGAGGTCGACTTGATTGACATGAGGTTAACCCCGATCATCGACCTGACTCACCTCGAGGTCCTTGATCTGATGCTCGTACCGCAGAGTCCGGCGAGAGACGGAGGCGAAGGCAGCACTCAAGTCGCTACAGGCAGATAATCCTCAGGATAAAGAACGAGGTTTCTGCTGGAGACGACTTACCCTGCTTGCGAGGCTCCGCTCTGCGATGGCTGCACACCCGTATGGCCGTGCCGCTCAGCGGTCGGAGTCGAGTTGTCTACCCTCTCAGATGCCATAGACGTCTCAAGCAGCGGCCGCAAGAGAGATGGCGGTGGGCAGGCAGCCGGAGAGAGGCGGAGAGGCGGAGGCGAGCAAAGAAAAGAAGGGGGAAATGAAGAGTCCTGGCATGCTGGATGAAGACGAGCAGGCAGCTGATCCACGCCACCGCGTAAAGCGCCGTCGCATGTCCGTGCATCTCACGTGCGCCTCGCGACCTCCTCCGCCATGTCCGTTCTCTTCTGGTCCTCCTCCGCACGTTCTTCGCAACGCCTTCGCCAGCCAGGCCAGCCTCGATGGTCTCTTTCACTTCTCTTTCACCTTCGTACGGTATGGCGAACCTCGTTCGGTAATCCTCTGGACGCCCATACTATACCGGGACGCGCCAATTCGTTGTTCGCTTCCGGAAGTCTCTATGTACAAGAACGCAACCCTTGGAGTGTGTGCGACGCGGGGACCGAGACGTGCAAATTTACATCAGTATCCACATACATGGCGGAGCGCGATAATGCATTGCCGATGACCCGGGCATAAGTCCTGTGGTTACAGGAAGCTTCAGACGTAATGCAGCCCACTGAGCTGTGATCAGCCATGCAAGGGCAATGGCGGCAGGATCACCCGAAGCCCATGAAGATGTAACTTTAAGGAAGGGCACCCTGCTGACAGGCAAGTGCAATCACCATCGCAGCGTCCGCTATGTAGTGCCGACTGCTAACACACCCGACGCGCAGGTCCGCAAGCTCCAGTCAACAATCCCAGTTGTTTGCAGAAAATTATACAGTCATGTGTTGTCCCCAACGGCCAAAAGTTACCGAGTAACCGAAACCAGGACATCCTCAGCTAGCTACGGCACCTGCCATAAAGGATACTTATGTGGCGCTCGTAGGTACCAACGCATCACACACCGGCACCGCTCATTGAGGTGCAGCGCACAATCTTGTGCGCGAAAATCGCAGTCAGTGGGCTATGCAGTAGGTTCGGCCACGATGGGCCGCACCAATTGATCCGTTGCTTCAGTGTGTCAAATGATACGTACCTGCATCCCTTGCCGCGCGAGAGCGGGGAAGGCTGAATAGCGGCTACGGTCTGTCCCTCCTACATACATCTCTTCTGGAGGCTTGCGGAAACGAGGTGTGTGGATATGCGTTCGGGTCATTAACCCATTGTGTTCAACATCACTCAAACTCGCATGTACACCAGGGAATTGGGACTAGTACTGCCCTATATTGTTGCCTACTTGGTCACGCAGTGACTTGTCTGTATGTGCAGTAGCGGGCGGCTCAAGAGGCTGTATACAGCCTCAAACGACATGTCACCGCTGTGGGACCGGGTCCACTTCGTAGCGCAATGCTTGACGTCTCCGGGCCACTCATGTTGTGGAGTAGGGTGCACGGCTACAGCACGTACGAGACCGTGCGTGGCTGCCGATCAACGGTGAACGACCGCTCAGGGCCTCCTTCTGATGGTTGGCAGATTCGCTCCGCCAGCGATTGTATTGACGCAGTGCGAATCCTAGAATCGACAATGCCTACCGCTGTCAAACTGCGACAGATCCTTTCGTCTGAGCGGTCGGGGAAGGCGCCTTGAGACTACCCTCGACCTGTATAAATACAGGCCGACTGTCTGGACAAGTTCCTCAGCTCTCTCAACTTTCATCTTTCGAGCTCACGACAGCAGCGGCACTGGTTGGTGAGTAGTCTCATTCGACTCCTCATATTCGAGCATAGTGCTAACCTTCTGATCCATAGCCTTGCTTGATTTTTTCCACGACTTTCGCTTACATCCACCAAGCCCGCACTCACTACGACCGCATCGCACGTCTTCGTCTCATCACCGAACACAACATCCAACTATGCGCGTCAGCACCGTCCTCGCTATCTCTTTGGCTACTGCCACCGCCTCTGCGGCACCAATTTACGCCTCGTCCGCTGAGTTGTGAGTCTGAACGGCGTTGATGTTTGGTGCTGAGCTGACGATGTCCACAGCGACGCCCGCGATATGGACGAACTGTCCGAGCGCGCTTACCTCGGCGTGCGTACTGGCAAGGCGGACTGGGCGCAAATAGCCCAGACCGGCCGTGGTGTCGGCTCTCGCCCGAGGAGCGATGGCAACACGGACATGCGTACCTACCTTGGTACTCAGAACGGCCGGATTCACTGGGCGCAAGGAGCCAAGGGCTATGGTCAAGGTGCCCGCCCGCGGAGCGTCGACGAGTCAGAGCTGTCGGAACGTGCTTACCTCGGCGTTCACGACGGCCAGGTGCACTGGTCGCCGGCAGTCAAGACCGGCCATGGTGTCGGGTCCCGCCCGCGGAGCGTCGACGAACTGTCCGAGCGTGCGTACCTCGGCGTCCATGACGGCCAGGTGCACTGGTCGCCGGCTGTCAAGACCGGCCATGGTGTCGGGTCCCGCCCGCGGAGCGTCGACGAGTCAGAGCTGTCGGAACGCGCCTACCTCGGTGTTCATGACGGCCAGGTGCACTGGTCGCCGGCAGTCAAGACCGGCCATGGTGTCGGGTCCCGCCCGCGGAGCGTCGACGGGTCAGAGCTGTCGGAACGTGCTTACCTCGGTGTTCATGACGGCCAGGTGCACTGGTCGTCGGCAGTCAAGACCGGCCATGGTGTCGGCGCCCGCCCGAGGAGCATCGACGAAGACCAACTATCCGAACGCGACGGCCAGGTGCACTGGACCCGTCACGTCCTCGGTGGCCACGGAGGCAATCCGCGTCCGAGAGAGTTGTTCGACCGTGAATTCTTCGATTCGGTCGATCTGGATTGAGCATGTCGTGTCGCATGACTTGGTAGCGCGATACCTTCATGTCTTCCCCGGACTGCAATGCTTACGATTCGTTGGTTGTACTATCCGTCAAGATATGGCTATGTCGGCTTATGCACTCGGTCGCTGAGACCACTGGTTGTATTACACTTCGAATCATATACTTGCAGTCTTTGTGCCGGACACCTCATTTCTTCAAGCTGGCTGCTTCATCGTGAGCGGTTGATTTTTACAGAATGACATGAATTTGAAATCATCTTCACAACGCACTGTGACTGAATTTGATCACCCTCTTATCCGTCCTTGTTGGAATGGCCATTTGTGCTATGTAGCTCGCTCTTGAACCCATTCGCGACCACTTAATGTTCAATCCCTTAATCTCACGCTAAGGTTGCCAGTCTTGGTGCGTTGTGCGCCTTCGACTCGCACTTCAACACATATCAATTGACAGGGTGAGAATGAATCAATGATACAAGCCCACTGTCCCTACCTGAATTTTAATTGGCAAACAAACTATCTCTGAACGCATCACATCTGTCCACCATAGGCAGATATGATAGATGTAGGGCCGCTAGAACGGACGCCAGTGAGGGAGATGAGTCGAATACCGGCGCGTTGAGTCTTGAGAGCTTGAGCGTTCCTTGTTTCTCTCTACCATGTCTGAACCTGACCGTGCTGGCCTTCTCGCCTCCGCAAAGGCCCTCTGCAATGCGTTTGCCAACAAGGCGACCACCGACGAACTCCTCTCACACTTCTCTACCACCCACCAGATCTTCGCCGCCGAGCATGGCGAGCCCTTCCTAGCACCATTCATCGGACGCCCTTTCGTGGGTCGGGACGGGCCCAAATCCGTTCCCGCCTATTTCTCCTTGCTCCAAAAGTACCTCAAGTACGAGAAAATGACCTTTGGGGAATGGGTGGTCGACACCGAGGCGCGGAAGGTGTGCACCAAAGGAGCCGCGACGTTCACATGGATCGAAGGCGGTAGCGAGGGCGAGACTTGGGAAGAGGATTTCGCCTACATGCTCGACTTCGACCACGAAGGCAAGGTCACTGATTATCAAGTCTGGGCGGACTCGGGTGCTGCGTACCTTGCCCAGCGTGGCGAGTTGAATGCGAAGAGAAAGGTATGACACCGTATATCACACTCTGACAAGCCTTGACCTCGTCAACCGCAGGAGTTTGAAGCATCGCAGAAGTAAGACGAATGCAAGACCTATGTTGTACGTTAGCCGGAATGTAGGCAAGAGTGCCCATAACAACCCTATCTATATACGGGACCATTGTGATACATCCCAAGTAAGCGTTCCTTGTTATCGTCTAATCTGTCCATTGTTCTCCGCCGCGTGGGGATGCATCAGACGAATGGCGAAGGCGCCCAATCGACTCTTGCTGGTGTGGCCCAGCTCTCTGATCTCCGTCTTCAAGATGCGTGTTGAACGTTGAGATGGGATCCCTGCGCTGTCTTTCTTCTCGACGTCGATGTACTCAGGGCCTAACCCAGAAGTCCCGCGGCTCCCTCCAGAGCTGCAGTACCACGTCCTTGACCATCTATACGATGACCAACCGACCCTCGTGAACTGCAGCCTGACATGCCGCGCTTGGCTGCCCACCGCCCGTACGCACATATTCCGCGTGCTCATCGTCATTAGCATAGGCCAGTACACGCGCGCCGAGCAGATGCTTAGCTCCCACCCGCACCTCGCGTGCTACGTCCGCGAGCTGCACATCGACGGCACCTGGGTCGTCGTGCGCCGCACCTTCCCCGAGCTCTTCGCACTTGTGCCCCGGCTCCCGCGGCTCTACCACCTACGTCTCCAGCACTGGCTCCGCCCCAAGAAGCTGAATCCCGAGCGCGAGCTCTCGCCACCGCTGCAACAGATGCCGGCACTGCCCGGCGTGTTCGCAAGCGTACGGGAGCTCACGCTGGACACCGTCTATCCCAGAGTCCACGAGCTCGTCAGCGTCCTCCTTGCGTTCCCCTGCCTCCGCGCACTTCACATCCGCTCGTTGGAATTCGACACCCGCCACTCGCTGGCGGTTCACCCGTCTTCGATCGAGCCCCCGCCCCCGACGATGGAACTCGACACGCTCACATGGCACCAGTCCGTCGACTTTCCGGTGTTGTGGCTGCTGCATGGCCTCCCGAGACTTCCCTTACGGTCCCTGAGCCTCGCATGGAACAATGCACAGACGGCACGTCTCACGTACAGAGAGGAGGCGAACACGCTCCATGCGATGATCCGCGACGTGCTGCACAGGGCGGGGCCGACGCTAGAGCACCTCACGTTGTACGGACGCTACCCTGCGCAGGAGCTCGAAGCAGCCGAGCTCGGACTCGCGCACTGTGCGAGGCTGCGGACGTTGGTATTGATGGACCATCATCGTTTTGAGGAGACTCCGGGCGAGGAGGACTTGGTGTGGATGGGCCAAGTCGTTCGCCGGCTGTGTTCGTCGGTGTTGGAGAGCATTGAAGTTGTGCTTACGTGGGTAGGAGAAGACACCGTCGAGCCAGGTGCCCTGATAACCGCTCTTGCGCCTTTGGACCACGCACTTGTGGAGCTGGCGATGGATCGACCCAATCTTGTCATCGCGCTCGTTATTTTCGAGTGGTCGGACGAGTTCGTTGCTTCCATCGCGTGCGGGCTGCCAAGGCTACGTGCGAGCGGCGGGTGCTTCTGTTTGCGCTCGCATCCGGAGGGCAGGTACCGGGCGAATGCCAAGTATCTGCCGCACTGGCCCATCGACTTTGTGGAACGGGGTGATGACAGAATCCCATTGTTGCTGAACGTAGATGGGCCGGTACCGCCGAGGCGCGAGCGGTGGTTTCCGTGATTTTACTGAGAATGGGGCGTTGTTCGCGAGGCTCGGAAAGGTACATCTGGAATGATCATCAGCAGCTCATCCTATCTGGAATAATGACTGAGTTGTTGCTCACTATGCTTTCGCGTTCTCACTCAGCTCAAGGTAGGATATACACCGTAGACCTTGAGCAAGTAATGATATGTAGATGATATCGCAACGTATATATCTGCGCCCTGCAACGCTCATTCTGTGCTCTGAAAGAACTGAATGATTCATGTGTGTAGATGTTTGAGGGCGGCCTGTGCAACCGTGAAGCTGGAGGTGCACATGAGACCTTAGCTAGGTGAGAACCACAATCAGCCATACTACCATGCCCACATCGAAGCCACGCACCTAACCACGCACCCGCGCTGATTGTAGCAGCGCCAAAGCAGTCTCTTAGACTCTGGTACATGAATGAGTCGATATGTGCAAGGTGTATTGCAGCTGAGACATACCTCGGCAGCAGTAAGTTACCTTAACTGTACAGAGATGCTGTAAGAACGAAGTGCGCCGTTCAGGCGATGAGGATGCCACGGGCTTCGTCGGCGATGGCGAACCCAACTGGTTAGATGAGGTACAATACGTGGCGTCCGTGCTGTCGAAGTACAAAGAGCCTGCCGTAAGGCTTTGCTTGACAGAACTCAAGTGGACGTCCTCCACAATCGTAAGCAGACAATGACAGGATCAGAAGAGCGACCATGCGATGAACTTCCATCAGCATCAGCCACGTACACCCCATTCCCCTCAAAGGACGACGTGACAGCTAGGGCCAGGGTTTATTTCCATGCAGATGTGGTGCTATGCTCTCAACGTGTGAGTACAGTATGCGCGTCCGACGGTGCGCCTCATGGGCGGTTGTGTATAACAGTGTATGTGATAAAAGGTGGGCTGAGATATGAGTGTCCACGTAACATTCTGCCATCAGCATGAAGCTCACCATCGCCTTTGGTCTTCTCGCCTGCGCACTCCTCGAGGTCACTGTTGCCACACCGGCTCTTGGCATTGAGAGGCGCCTTATCGGTACGTGTACGGGTCTTCCTTGGGGGTTAGCGTGGCTGCCAGGTTACTACTGATGCTGACGTCTTTTTGTCGTGTCGACAATGAAGGTACCAGTGAAGGTCAGATGCTGTCGCCTCATCAGTAGCGTTTCCCGGTATACATAGTAGCCAGCTGTAACGCACCAGACCTTGAGGCTCGCGGTATGTGTCCCTCTCTCAACTTCTGGCTACCCACAAGACTGATGTCCTGCGGGCCCTCAGACACAGGAAACCACGTCTCAACTGGAGCTTATCGCCTTGATGAAGCGGAGTAAATCGAGGGTCAGTTCGGTTCATAAAGAAGGATTCTCGTTGTGATCTCACCTGTGTCGCACAGACCATTGAGACACGGTACGTTATCTTCGGATGCTCTCCTGATGCCTTTGCAATTTGAACGGTCGATCAGCTATCCGCGAGCGGAGGAATGCGACGTCAGTGCAAAGCATGCTAACAGTCGCCTACACCATAAGATGGCGCCAAATGTATCGCTCGTATGGCTTGCGCTGGATATAATGCCGAGTTACTGTCAATGGATTTCTACAATGCTCGCCTCGTGGTCTAGACTCTAGCTGAGACCTTGAATTTGGCAATCAGCCACGAATAGCATCGGACTCGTATTGCCTCGATGTTGTCTCGCCATTATGTGGGGCTAAGCGTGCTTCTTAGACTACATAATACGGTTATTAGAGCATTCTAGATAACGCGCAAGAGCCGACTGACCTGTATTTCAGCGACTACTGGAGCAGTCTTCCGACAGCAGACGCCGCGCCGTCATCCCAGTCATCCCAGCAGATCGAGAGACAGACACTGTCACGTCCCCACCCCTCCTCCCCTTCTCTCTTGAGAGCGTGCGCCTCGCGCCTCATCTCTTCCACGTCCGGAATGGAGAACGACCAGCGCAAGATGCCCTCCTCCCTGAACCCCATGCGCTTCGCGAGTCCGAGCGAGGGCTTGTTGTGAGTGTGCGCCGACCAGCGAACACGGCGGAATCCTAACCCGGGCGGCGAGGCTGCAGGCGTCTGCAAGCAATAGCGAAGCAGGAGGCCGGCCGAGGTTCGTGCGACGTGCGTGCCCTGAAACGCGGGGAAGACGACTACGAGGCCGATCTCGGTGTTCATGTGCGGTTTGTTAGTGTTGATGAGGGCCATCACCCCGGCGAGCACGCCGTCCTCAGCGGCCGTGTCCCCTCCATCCGACTTGCGTGTCCGGTCGAAGATGGCGAATGCGCAATTGTCGGGATGACCGCGGATGTTTTCGACGACGGAGAGGAAGTGCGCGAAGGTGTCTGGGCAGTAGGGATAGTACCTGAACAACTCGCGTGCCCGCGAACCGATGTGCTCCCAGAGAGTGGGGGCGTGTAAGGTAGGCACGAATGGCGTAAGACGGACAGTAGGACACGCAAGGGTGTCGAGATGCAGCGGAAAGGAGAAGTTAATGTCGTAGGGTTCCTTGGAATTGAGAACAACCTCCGGATCGGGGTAGGCGTTCGTCTTCGGGGGAGCGTAGTTGTTCACGTATGGCGGAGACATTGCGACGCCAGATATCTACCTCGGAAACGTAGGAGCTGGGTCGCGCCTTTTGTAGAGTGAAATCGCGTCGAGTCATACTGGTGAGTCGTGCTGCCATGTCTCGCAATCGAGGCGGAAGAGTCAGAGATCCAGGTCACACTGCGTAAGGTCGGCCGGAAGGCCACAGTTCAAATCAGTGATACGGCCATGGTACGGCCGCTACCGAGGCCCGATCTGCTTACGTAAGCCACTCTGGCCGAGTGTTGCATGGCCTCGTCTGTGCTCTCCCTTAGAGTAGCTCATCCACCATGTACTCTGAGACACACAAGAGACATTATTGAGTGCATTATCGGCTTTCCAATGGATTTTGGGTGTTCTGTGGTATGGATTGTCTGTCTCGGCGTGCCGGAACTCCGTAAGCGCCCCAGACTCACGGTCACACCTGCCTAAATTGGACAGGCGGCGGACATCGGTTGCACTTAAGTTCTTGTCATCCGCAGCGATGTGAGTTATCCAACCATTTTTTGTGAGTCAAGCCAGATAAGTTTCAAAGCATTGCGCCCAATCGCCCCCGTGCGAAGACGTCGTCCACCGCCAAGTGTGACCGTTACTTACCCGACGGCGCTTACCGAGGTTCCGGCTCTTCCGGCTCAAATTTGAGATATGGACTCCCCACAATGTGTTCAAAAGCTACAATTCAACCCGATACAGATCAAGAATAGTCTGTAGCACTCAGTAGAGCTTGAATCTAGTGAGGGGAGGCACGAATCGGAACAAGACTTTCGCCAGATTAGCTTACATAAGCAGATCGGGCCTCGGCAACAGCCACCTCAAACGGAAATCGAACTGTGGCCTTCCGGCGTACCATACACTGCGGACAAACCCCTTTGTTTGGCGTCGGATAAGTCTCAGATCATCGTTAGAATGAGTATATCATCTCGAAATCCGAACATGAATTATTATCGGTGACCAAACATTGAAAGGCACGGCTCCTCATTGGCTGCCTTTCAATGTTCGGTCCAGGAAAATAGATAATATTCGGATTTCGAGATGATATACACGTTCTGACAATGTTCTGACGATGTAAGCGCTCCGTGCAACCTGATGATGATGATGAACTCTGCACTTATATTCCGCAACAAGCAAACTCTAATGGTGCTAAGACGCGGCGGGCGCCGGCCTCCGTGCAACCTGCTTTGTCCGCAGTGTCAGACCGTCGTGCCGCCAGCAGTCACAAATCTCGTGACTGTGACAGAATATCACTATGCACAGACGCCAGTGGCCAAGGACCGACTGCACATGCGACAGCGAGCGAGAATGCAGGATAGGCCTGAAAGCACTTTCCAGCATGGTAGCCAAATGCAATATTACAGGCGATTCTGACGTATCATACAATTTATTGCTCAGTGACGCCTGTCCGGCGTCACGCACAGGCTTGCACGCTGAAGTCGCCTCAGGCTGTTGGAGGTCGTTTCTGAAGATACAAAGCCGACGTGCGCGTACAGTCTTAGTGTCATTATCATTGCCTCTCTGTATGCAGAATATTTTCAGTATATCGATGGTACAGTCCTAATATGTACATTGTCTGAGTGGGTGGCGGACGCCCGGGCCCCAGGCCTCATACAGACGCGGTCATGTGCGCGCGAGCCTTACGTACAGCGACTAGAGTCTAGCGCGCCCTTTATGGCACTCCCACTCCCGCCACCACCGCTACTCCCTTCTCCTCTGCTACCATCCACCACACACTATGTCTGACCTCGACCCCGATGACCCGTTCGCAATGAGCGCAGCATCCTCGCCTTCTTCGTCACCTGGGTCATCACCTTCACTATGGCCCGTCGACTCCTCCCCACCTTCGTCGCCTAGCATCGGTCCAGTCGCGACCCCGCCCGAATCACCGGGCCCGTTGGACCCGTATGCAGGCTTGAACAAGTGGAACCGACCCCCGCAATACGACGTCGAACGCGCGAAGCCTCTAGGATGGGACTCTGGGAGCGTGTGCCCGCAGCGCGACGAGACCGCATGCGACCATCCATTCGCCACGCCTTCGCCCATGTCGGGCGAGAGCAGCATGCAGGACCACTCAAAGACACATCGTAGAACTGGATCACACTGCGAGCACGGAAGAAACGCGTCCCCATCCTCTTTGGGACCTATGGATCCATACGCGGCCTCTGCGGGCGGGGCATGGAGCCCTCCTCGTCGAGAGAAGAAGCCCCCCTCCCATTCAGTGTCTGCAACGAGTGCGCAGTCAACATCGACTATTCTTTCCGACGATACAGCAGACAGTGGACTAGCACCCAATGAACGATCGTTCAGTCAGAAAGCCGTTAACGACGACGACGACGTCGTCAATTTGAATGACGAACCAGCAGCACTACCGCAGTATAGGCCATCTATGATTACGGAGGAAGAGATTTGGGAGAAGGCGATTGCTACGGCAATAGAGAAGGCCGATGGAGAGGTATACCTCCAGTACGTGTTCCTTTGTCTTCGTGATCTTTGTTGCCTACTCGAGACTATTCAAGGAACTCGTCTCTTATGAGCAATCCACTCACATACATACCGTCATTCATCTCCGACCTTGCGGGACTCGTCGTCCTTCCCTCACCACACACTCCTCAAGAGGTGGCCCCCATCGCTGTTTCTGCACATAGACCCTTCATACGTTCAGCCACCGTTCCCGTGTCATCGTCTCGAGCCGCCGCGTTCTTCGATGACGACATGCGACGGAAGGCATTACACAAGGCAGGCAGCACTGCGCTCGTGCGGACGGCGACATCCGCGATGCTTCCGAAGTCGACGTCCAGGAACCCGTGCGAGCTCAAGCTCTTCCTCTCTGGCAACAAAATCACGTCCCTACCTCTCGAGCTGTTTCAGCTGATAGGGCTAACTGTCCTTGCCCTCCGTACGTTGTGACTGTCTCATTGCATCACACAGCCCTGCTTTGTGAATCTCATTTTGTGTCATTAGGCTCAAACTGTATATCTGTGATGCCGTTCCAAATCGCGCAGTTCACGAACCTTCGTGAGCTCAACATTCCTTTCAACAAGCTTAGCTGGCTTCCGTCCGAGATGCTCGGCATGCAGCCGATGCGTTTGCGGGTCACCAACAACACATGGATCCAACCGCCCCCGCCAGACGAGGATCCAAACATCCCACAGCCGCCGGCACAGTCACAGCGCACGCGTACCGGGCCTACCTCAGAGCCTACCCGGACGTGCGTATCACCGACCACAGTCCATTTCGATATCCCTCCCCTCACAGAGTTCTGTTTCCGCCTCTTGCTGTCGCCCATCGCACCAGACTCTCAGAGCGAGCGGCGCCCAGAGACGATACTCGAGGCGTTCTACGCTCTGCCCTTATCACTATCAGGAAAGGTCTGCGCCGTCTTGCCTACTCTCCGTGCATGCCTCCCTTCCGCCGTCGCGAAACCCGCCGATGAGCCCTCTCCGCCCAAGAAAGCGCGCTCCGCGTCCCCGAGTGGCCCCGGCGCTGATCGCCCCGCGAAATCGGACGGCGTAGAAGAGCCCCCGCCGGGCATCGGCGTGTGCCCGTCGCCTGTGCACCGCACGCCCGACGGGGGCTGGGTGAATGGACGCGTCCCGGTGTTCGTAAGGCATGCGGAAGAGCGCTTTACGTGGGAGCGCGAGATCGCGGGGGCTGATTTGAAGGCGGAGTGCGCCGGGGCGGGAGTCCCTGTGCGGTGGCGAGGCTGCTGGAGGGGGTGCTTGGACTTCTTGGATCCTGAACAGGAACAGGCGGACGACGAGGTCGTGGACGTGGACATGGATGGAGGGGAGGAACGGCTTGAAGCGGACATGGCGGTCAGCGAGCCCGGCGGTGACAGTGCTGCTGTGCACACTGTACAGTTTGTCGGTGGACCTATTGGAGAGTTTGAGGATTTTGAGTAGATATGTAATGGTTGTTCAATGTATTATACTGACTACAAAGGCAATTGTACTTCTGGACATGTATTCTCGGGTGCGTTGGGTTCGACAAGTTTGCCCCGACTTCTCGTTTCTCTTCGGCAACACTACTTATTATGATAGTGGGCGCTCCACACATCGGTTCGTGATCGGTGGCAGTGGATGGAGGATGAGTAGCTACGCAGCACGCAATTTAAGTGGTCTTGGAGGGTTGATTCAGGTGTCCTTAGCTCGATGCTCCCCTCTATATCGCGCGTCGCCAGCAAGGATTCGAAGTCGTCGCCCACGAACATAGCGCAAGCAGTTTCAGGCAAGTTGAGCCTCCTGCGTCGACTTGGACGTCGACATCGACGTCTATTCGGATCCATCCGCCCCTTGTCCCATCAAGCTCGGTGGGCAGTCGACGGGTGCTATGCAAGGTGCTTGCGTTGTGCTCGCGCAGTGCCTGTATCCGACTTGTCGACATGCAAGAAATTTGTTCCAAGTTATGAAGTATACAGCAGTACACACAAGTGATTCAATCAAGAACAACAACGCAGCACATCCCATGTCGTCGTCTTCAACGTCCTCCTGGAGCTCTACGGGAGACTGAAATACAAGCTACTTGCCCCCCTGCCAGGGCCGACGGAAACGATCACCGTCTGTCCAGCTACGGCTACCTCGCCGTTGACATTGAACCCCTCTCCCAGCGGCGACCTGGAGACCACCAACCGCTCTCCTTCCCTCAGGAAGCCATGTTCGAGGAAACGCCTCAAGTCGACAGCGCACGTTGACCCGTCGTTGAAAACAACGACGACTACGAAGTCATCTGCAATCCGACTGAGGCCGCTGTATATCACTGCACTTCCCTGCACGCCGTGGTTGATCGTCTCCATCCGCCGCTCGCTGCCAGTCGCGGGGTCGAGGGCAACTACATACTGGAACGTGTCGCGCTTACTTTCGTCGTCATATTCGTCGTCATGTTGCCATTGTTGGTGCTGTCCGAAGGCGATGATGACGTCCAGCGCAGCGATATACCGAATGGTGTGCACGCAGCCTCCGATGGGCTTCGCGTGCCACCGGATGGTCATGGTCTCCGCGTCGATGGCGAAGATCGACGTCTGGCAGGCGGACCCCACCTGGGGCGTGCTACCGAACGCCTCGTAGACGGCGAGCAAGCGCGTCTTCTCGTCCAGAGGTGCGCTGCAGATCGGGTAGATCGTATCACCGTCCTCGATTCCACAGTCGAGCGTGAAGCTCGCCGCTGGCTCAGGGGACCTCGAAATGTCCGCCCCGCGCCAGAACAGGATCTCCATCTTCTCGCCCCATGCTTGGGAGGATGTCGCGACGATATCGCCGTTCGGCCGGACGTGGACGGGCAGCAGCACGCCTCCGTCCGTGTTCAGTCGCAGCTCCTCGCGAGCCTGGAGGCGCGCGGGAAGATTGACACTGCCGAGAATACCGCCATCCCCCACAACGTCGCAGAGCAAGATCTTGGTTAGGCCATGGGGTGGGAAGTGTTCCTTGTCTTCTTCGATGGCGACCAGGATCTTGCCGTCGGCGTACGGGAGCCCATTCTCGTTCAGGCTGCCGTACAGCTCGAGCTTACGGATGAGCTGGCCATCGACGAGGCTGAAGACGACGAGGGAAGGTAAGCCATCGCCGTGAGCGCCATCGGCGATGATGATGAGGTTGCGGTCGGTGTCGAAGACGGGGTCGAGGCGAGACGGCGGAGCGAGTACGAACTGGGCGAGGGTCGCGATATGCTCGAGGCGCCCGTGCGGGCCGCCTGCCCGCCAGATATCGACGCTGTCTTTGCCGAAGGTGAGCACATACGGCTCATGAACGTAGAACGCCTCTACGCTGCCCTCGGGGGTCAGGGGCTGTGGGCTGGCTAAAGACATGCTGGTAGATAGTGGGTAAGTCTGGCTGGACAGAGCGCGTCAGAATACTGATCATACGTGAACTCAATACAGCGTCTCACTTTCTGTGGAAATCAAGGCAGAACGGTCGTGGTGAGAGGTGCGTTCGAACACTTTTGAGGCGTGGAGAAGCTATGACCTCCTGAAGAGACTACCTACGTCCTTGCGTCGCACAGCCCCACTGCAGACATCTTGAGCGGCGTCTTCAGATCAACAGCTGCGGCTGTTGTATGATGAACCGCACGACGTCCGATGCGTTCTCTCAAATCCAATGCGGGATACCTCGGGGAGCGCAGGCGCGAGATGACCACCAACGACTTCCTGTAACGATCGAATGTGGCGGACTCGGTGATTGTTGGCTTCGGTTGCTTTCGTCCCGAAGTTGCGGTCTGACGACCGCGGCCGATGCAGCATATGACGAGTGCGATGGCCAGTCCTAGAGCCTTGGAAGACAGAGGAAACACGGAGACCAGAAAGGGTCACAGCTGCTTGGTTCCTGCATACGCCCTATGTCCGTCGGTGCGACTCAGCAGTACTAAGTGCGAAACTTCTGGTGTCCCTGCACGATGTTCTCGGACGAGTTCGTCAGTCAAGGGTAAGCACCTCTTGCATGTGCCTCGTTATGTGTCGGCTTACCCGCTGCGTGATCCGTTGCGTCCGATCACGTATGTATCGTCTCACTCCCCCATCCTGCTTCAAGCTGTGGGCGCTGTTTGGGCGGCACCCAACGTTCAACCGATCTTCTGGAAGGACTGCGCGATATGATTCAACAGGCCGTTTGCAAGTCCACACCGGTGTTGAAAAAGGTATAAGAGGGAGGGCGCAGCAGCGATACAAGCCAGGCTCGTCCTCCATCACTCGTGCTGCCCTGCTCTAACGTACACTCATCCATCCGGTCTAATCTTTTTATTCACCGTCTAGTCTCTAGCATATAATTCCCCTCTATCTGACGTCCAATCCTTTACATTTGCCATGCGTCTCACTGCCACTCTCCTCGCCGTCTTCACCCTCCTTTCCACCGGCGCGTTGGTGCAGGCCGTGTCGCACGACGCTCAAGCATGCGCGAAACTGACAGATTGCGGCTCTTGTGGTATGTTGTGATTCTAGCTGACTTGAATATATTTCACAATGGTGTTTATACAGTCAATGCGAGCCGTTGTGGTTACTCTGTTGACACGCAGAGCTGTATCGCGAAGAAGGGTCACTCCGGGACTATTGTTATATCTGCACCTCAATGCAAGAAGGTCTCTTCGGTAAGTAATCTTTGGATTATAGTATCTGAGTGACGACGCTCAGATATATCTACAGATACTTGCTGCACGAAGCTTGACTCTCGCCATAAGAGCGGAGATATACGATACCAGAGTAGGGCCTCACACCGTCAACGGCACACCCAACAAACCGAAGTCCGGCCGGCACCTCACGTCGACTTGGTTCGCGGAGCCAAAGAACGCGACCACTCTTGCGCATATCAATATCAACCCAGACCCATCCTCCGATCTGTAGTACTCCTCCGGGCCCTTCCTCCATCTAGAGGTCATCGAAATCCAGACGAGCCTCGAGGATATTCCGACGCTTTGGCCGCGCCGGCTTCGGCTTCGGCTTGCTAGTAACATACCCACTGTCCACCTTCCCTCGCCTCTCTAGATTCATGAGGACGTCGTCGACGTCCGACCGGACGTCAAGGGGCTCGAGGCATTTGGGACGGGTCGGCTTGCTCGGTTTGGTGACATACCCGCTTTCCGGCTTACCCCGCCTCTCTAGAGCCATTAGGAGTGCATCCATCCGAGAATCAAGGAAGTCGTGGCGCAGCAGCATGCTGTCGGCGTCGAAGCGCGCATCAAGGTCGTGCTCGAATGTGCGCTCCAAAAGCGTGCCAGCTACATCCCTAGCTGCGTTTCTGTCCCTGCTCCATCAGTATGAATCACAATAAGCTTTATAGTTGTGGCTTACGAGTAGACAGGTAGGGCAAGAACGGGCGCCACAGTACTCATGGCAAGCAGAGCGATCGTAAAATAGCGCATGACAGCGTCGCGGGCAGTATCGGAGGAGGAGCGATCGAGCGAAAGGAAAGCGTGAAATGGAACTGAAGAACTTGTAGGAAAGCAGTGCTGTAGCAGGAACGAGTTCATCAGCTCGAATCCTCGCAAGGCCGCAGCTGCGCGGCCAAACCTACTCATCAACCAGTGCCGCTGCTATGCTCGAGCTCGAGGAAGGTGAATGGGCTGGAGAGCGACGCAGGGACTCACCCTCCTTATATAAGTACGACAAAGATGCATGTCTCAGTTACCGATCAAGCCCAGCGTCGGCTGGAGCGAGCCACCGAGAAGCATCTCTGCTTCATCAATGCTTTCTTTCTCCCCCGTGACTGATCGGTGTTGTTTGAAGTTTCGCCGAGAACGTCTGAACGACTGGGACATACGTCCCGGGGACGCTCTGCGGGACGTCCCGCGGGACGCTGTCACACTGACTGACTTGCTTACTTGAGTAACAGGGGCTACTATTTCAGGAAGTCCTCCAATAACTTATGTACTCCCCGTTTCCGTGTACAACAACCGTTGTGTGTTGAGTAATTACGCCATCTAATCTAGCCTCACGGTCTCGAAAACAATGGGTGTCGTTCAAGGTAACTACATACAAGAGCCTATGAGTAGTGCCTGTGGTATGCTTACATAATCATTTCCGTCACGTAGCGCGCCACTATGCTTGGCCTCCGTGACGCCTTCGTAAATCTCAGTCAGTAAGTCAGTCGATATGTATATCTAGACACCTAGCTGACCGGTGAATTGTCTTTCTGGCCCTCAATAATGTCAATGTCAAAGCTGGTCAATTTAAAAGTGGGAGGTAAAGTGATGGTGGCGGCCGGCCACTCACGGTGTGCTGTGACTGACTGTGACGTCTCGCGTCTCGCGTCCCTCGTCCCCGGGACGAATGTCCCCGTGGTTCCGACTTTCTGGTTTCGCCACCAACGCGCCCCATTCAAATTGCGCGTCTCAATACGTCACATGACCGCGTTTCGGAAGCAGCCGTGAGAATTTGCTCGCCACGTATATAAACGCTTAATGCGCCTTGTTTTTCTCCTCATCGAAAGTTACACCTCGTGTATATTTGGGACGCCCTTCTCTTCCACGGCGGCGTTCTGAAAGTTTGGCGAGGGAGAGTGAGGTCCTCCATCTCAAGACCGTGACGATGCTATTTGTCCACTTCGAGTGTGGCCCGTGTTGGAGGTACATACTGCACTGTCTCTCTTCAAGCTTCCGGCCGTATGGCCTCTAGATCGTTCTTACTACGTCTAGTCTGTGTAGTATGCACCATCTGTATCCCATCCATCGTTGAGTAGTGGAGTGCTTCGTGCATGGGGTTAATGATACCCACTGGGTCGCAAGCAACATGGTGGCCGTCATGAACTTGCGGTATAGTGACATCGATTGAATTCAGTCCGTCTTCGCGCTGTAAACCCCGCAGAACCAGCGCGGGCTGACTCATTCAGTTCCCTTCGAGCAGAGATCTCATGGTATTTGGCCGCGTCTGTCGGGATCTCCTTTTGTTAAGCGCGTCCTAAGTACATGGTCGCGCGGATTCCAGCTTCCGGCAAAGCTCGTACCCGCATCCTCAGGCTGGTTTCGCGTAGACATGAGGCAGTCGGTTCGGTCCAAGCTCATCCATCCGAGGGTTCAACATCCCATCCTGTCCACGCGCCCGCCTCGTGGACATCAACTCGTGAACGTGAAGGCTCATCCAACGAGGCGGACGCTCATTCGAACCCCAAATTTAACTGCAGAGGAAACTTGATCGCTGTGTTGTATCTTCTGTGAGTCTCTCAGCCCAATCTGAGCAACATTCAGGAGCTATTCGTAGGCGCAGGGCCTTGGCAGGACTATCATGGGAGCGCACTGGCACATGCCGAGTTCATAAAGCCTGGCAGCGGGCCCGGCGACTCAACGTTCGGAATCGGGATGCGAGTGGAGGATGCGGATCAACTGCACCGATCGATCGCAAGCTGTGCCCCTCGGGCGGGACGTCGGCCGTACCCGAGCCGCGCCTTTCACCCGCCCGCCGCCCCGTCTTGTTGCTTGAGAACGACTTGGACTAGCAGATCCTTTATCGATTCAACAACGGCGTACAATAGCCAGGTTCAGGTCTTATAATCTGCTGCAGCTTAACAATACTCAGTCGCTGTCGTTCTGAATGCAGTCCGAGTGCAGTCCGGCCGTCCGAGTTCATGCTCACACCAGGGGCCGTCTGAAGTGCATATCGAAAGATAGGCTTGCCGTATGCGAGGCACGGTGCGCCGCGCGTCTGGATTCAGGACAGATAAGTTATTCCGCCCTGGCCCTTCGCCTCTCCTCCGCATGTTCCGCACCCGGAGTAGTATTCGTGCGTTCTGGACCGTCCACACACATCGTTGCTGACCGATACCCAGATATCGCGCAGCGTAATGTTCTCCGCGAAAACCGTATAAGTATACGCAGAAACATGCGCCCCGGGCTGGGCATTGACAATATCTACCTTCCGCCCACTCCTCCAGCCTCGCCTCCCTGCTCGCTCATTAGCCATGGTAGAATTCAAGGGTTACGCTCTTACTGGTGAGCCATATCCCTTTCCCTATCCCGAGCTCAGGCGCGCTTACTATTATATTTCCTTCAGATCCATCTGCATGGAGCAATCTCGAATTGGTCTCGTTCAAGCCAAAGACATTCGAAGATGAAGACGTCGAGGTCGCAATCACGCACTGCGGTATCTGTGGATCAGACATCCACACTCTCACCCAGGGATGGGGGAAGAGCAGACTGCCCCTGGTTGTCGGCCACGAGATCGTTGGTATCGTAACACGCGTTGGAGCGAACGTCAGCGAGTTCAAGGAGGGCGACCGTGTCGGTGTCGGCGCCCAGGTGGCGAGTTGCGGCAAGTGCACGTTCTGCAAAGAAGACGACGAGAACTACTGCATGGACGGAACGGTGCACACCTACGTGGGTCTCACACCATCTTGAACGCTGATGATAGCGCTCACATGACAGTACTCAATAGAACGACGTGTACCCAGACGGTGTGATTACCCAGGGCGGCTACTCGACGGGCATTCGCGCGCACCAACAGTTCGTCTTCAAGATCCCAGACGGGGTCGAATTGAAGGACGCTGCGTCGATGTTATGTGCTGGCCTCACGGTGTTCGCCCCTCTCTACCGTCACGGCGCTGGCCCTGGCAAGAAGGTCGGCGTCATGGGCATCGGCGGCCTCGGCCACTACGCCATTATTTTTGCCAAGGCAATGGGTGCAGAAGTTTACGTGTTCACGCACAGCCCGAGTAAGGCGGACGACGCGCGCAAGATGGGCGCAGACCACGTCATCGACACGCACGACGATGTGAGTGCCAAGCTGCCACACTGCTCTGCCACTTCATAACACCGCGTCGTATATAATAGGCCTTCCACAAGCCATATGCCGGCAAGCTCGACATCTTCATCTCGACCATCGACGTCTGGCGCCCCGACCGGCCGTTCCGCACTTATCTCTCCATGCTCCGCGTCCACGGCAAGTTCGTGAACGTTGGCCTCCCTGACGCCAACAACCCGCTGCCGCCGATGCACGCCTTCGACCTGCAGACGAACGGCGCGTTCATGGGCGGGTCGCACCTTGGCTCGAAGACCGATTGCTATGCGATGTTGAAGCTGGTCGCGGAGAAGGGCATCAAGCCGTGGGTGCAGGAGGTCCCGATGAGCCAGGCGAAGACTGCGCTTGAGGCTGTGAAGCAGGGTAACGTCAAGTACAGATACGTGCTGAAGCAGGACATCGCCCCTGTACCCTATTGATTCATGTGAGGGCTTGGTAGTCATGGAGCGAATATGTAGTTTACAAGCAGCCAATCACGACGTTGTATCTGTACCGCGTTGATAGAGAAAATAGATGCAATCCTGTACTTATTCGACCCGCACTAGGACAATGTCCGAATTGTCGATCATGGTACGGAGACAACGATATTCATTGGTGCTACACTATGAGAGCCACCCGTGGAACATCCAATGCACCTCAGCCAGCGACGCTACACCATCCCGTCCATTCGCATCGCCTAAGAGTCTATGGTAGGCTGAGACTGCGAGTAACCTCGGAGTCACGAATTCCGCCAAGATGAAGACGGAGGACAGCAGCCCCCGCGTTCCCCGCTCAGCGCGAACATTAACCTGCCTCCCTCGCCTGCGGCGCCATGCCGACATAGGTGGCCCTCACACGAGCAACCCTGACAGCACCCACAACACTCGGGCGGACATGCGCACATACTTGGAGGACACTGGCAGCGGCCGCCGCAGCACTTCATAGCCGCAGCCTCGTCGAGCTCGTCGAGCGCGTCCCACTCGCCCTGTGCCGGCCTAGAGCGTGTCCGCGCATCGTGAAGGTCGTTCCAGAGAGCGTAGGTCTGGAGGAGGGCTGGATCGTACTGCGTATCCGATGCACCGCGGCCTCCAGCGTGAACGGAAGTCCTCGAAGACGATGCGTCCTGCCGAGGTGATCGCGACTGGTCGGAATGTTGGACGCAATGTGTAAGTGTATGCGATGGTCCCAATGTCGATGAGAACTGCGCCGTCATCGCGAACTGCGACTGGGATTGCATCTGCGGCTGCGCAGCTCCCATCTGGCGGAGCCAATCGTCGACGTCCTGAGGGTCGTATGCCACACCCTGGATGTTAAAACCGCGGATAGCAGGCATGCCGAGCATGGCATACTCGAGGCAGGCTACGCATGCGTTTGGGTTTGCGCACTCCGCGCCTATGAGGACGTCCGGGCCGCAGTGCTCGATGCAGCCGGGGCAAGCACAGGTGGGCCCGCAACCGCAGAGAGGGACGTCCGCAGGGAGCGACAAGCTCGGAGATGGCCCATTGAAGGAGATACCCCAGGATTGCAGATCCGGCGAGGCTGTGGCAGCTGGGATAGCACTTGTGCGTCGATGGGCTAAGGTTGTGTTGCCATAGTCGTCACTTCCGCGTGCCATCTGGTTGTATGTATCTCCCAAATGGCTAGATGATTGGGTATACAAATGAGGCCGCGAGCGAGAGGCATGGGTAGAAGCCACAGACGGATCGTGCGCGGGGCCGTGGAGGGTCGCTTCGTGACTTGGAGGGGGTGGTCGAGGTAGCACCGGACGGTGCCCGGACGCATGTGCAGACGCGACAATACCGGCAGGCCCAGCTACCTGTGGTTCCCTCGAACGTTGAGAGGTAGAGGCCTGCTCTGCGCTTCCGCCACGGGGACGCGCCTTGGCCTTCCCCTTGTGACGCGATGCGCGGGTAGCACAGTCGCACGGTCCGCTATGGTGGCATTCGTGTGGAGGAGTGGAGTTGTGGCCTGCAGCGCGTCAATGAGAGGACGCAAGACCGATTCGGTGATTGCACATACCGCGCTCACAGTCCGAGCCATCCGGAAGTGGAGAGCGCAGCGCAACCGACGTTCCCAGCGCTTCTGGGGGAAGCCCGCTCGGAAACGCGGCGCTCGCCGGAACCTTGGAACTACCTAACCCGCACACAAAGCAACAGACCTTGAAGGTCAGTCTTGCGCTACTGGAATGGGGCAAGTCTAGGAAGTCACCTTTTCTCGGAGCCGAAGGGCCCGCGGCAGGGCTATGCACCCCGGGGTCGTCATCATTGTGCGCACATATACACTTCACGTGGATCTGCTTGGTTTTTCGGAGCTCTCTACAGTGTTCACATTGCGTGACCGGCCGGCCCTTTTTCTTGATCTCGTAGAGCGGACGAACGATATGCTGGCACGTCGACGAGCGGTGTCCTTTGATGCAACTTTCACTGCGGCACAATGAACACTGAGTCAGGTCCGCTCTCGTGCGAGACTTTCAATTACTCACCATGCATACTTTTTGTCGCCAACAAGCACCTATGGAGAGGATGAGCGCGTTTGAAAGCAAGGGTGCATGGTTGTATAGATACATACCATTTTTGGACGTATTGTAAGGAGGGTTGGGGGGTATCGATGTCTAGGTGTGGAGAGGTCGTCGAGCTGAGCAGGGGATGAGTGGTTCGTGCGATGAACGTCCAAGCCGGAGAGTGCGGGCACTCTCGCGCGCCCGCGACGCTGATGCGTCTTACGACGCAGATGGTATCGACAGACAGTTATACAGCCGCATGAAGGACGAGAGGAGGGGTGGCCTCCCCATCCACTGCACTCTGCCCCCATGATATACTTGCGGCTATCTACCCACACCAGTCAACCCACAACACCAGTCAACACGGACTATCTAGTGCGGCTGTCACGCCCGCCAGGTCCGCGTAGCCGCTCGAGTAGCGAATTTAACGCGACCAGCGACAGGGGGCCAGTTCGTGTGGCAGTTCACCGATACCACGGTACTGGCTATTAGATCCGCCCTACACGGAGCATCGCAAGAATAGTCTCAGGGCATGGTGCTAAATAGGTCCGCTCCGTGAGGGGTGCGGCAGGTGAGGAGGCTCCCTGCGAGAGGTGAAAGCGCGGTTGGTACTCAGCTGCGTCCTCCACTGCCTCATGTCCGGGAGAACACTGTGGATCTAGGGAGACAGAGCTACGATTGTGAGGAGGCGATACAGCAGTTTCCTCGTTCGGGAAACAAACGTGCTTCCTGCAGCTGCAAAATAGACGATTGGGTTCCGATGAGCACAGCAAAGAGACACTAAGACTTGCCGCGTCGCCAATGACACGCCCACGTGACCGTGTAGTAGCACCGCCTTGGGGGTTCGGGAAGTTCCAACCCCCATGCTCGTGCAATCGCGTTGTTCGCTCGTCTTGTGCACCAGTTCCGTCTTGGTTCCGTCCGGGACTCGGGGCTATGCTGCCTTCCTCCGCGATTCACAATGCTTCCATCCCGAGGACGGTACGCCCAGTCAGGCTCAGACTGCGCATGGCAACTGCTTGCTTTCGTGGCAAGATAGTAGTCGCTGTTGAGCGGCTGTAGAACCGCAATCACGTTTGTATGTGAGCTCCTACGATTGAACTATGTCAGAGCCATACAACCCACATTAATGGAACCTAGTTGAGAAGACCTATCGACTCAGAACCGGCTGACAGTGACAGTGTTGTAGAACTTTACGGAGTCGACTCCAAGTAGCGCTGGCACGAGGGAAGATCGGCTCGTCTGGGCCGTCCGCAGCAATTTGGTAACAAGTTCACGCTCCGGAGATTACCAGGTCAAGGTGGGAACAGAGGCAATAGTGAGTGAGTGCTGTTAGGAAGAACAGACACGGTGCCTGCGTCGTCAGGCGCCAGAAGCGCTCATACTGTAATGGGCGCCGGCCAGGGATGCAGCCACTTTCCGTCGTTCTCCGGCGAGCCATACCGTTCGAAGTAGCACGTCTTCAACAAGATCAAGCTGAGTGCAGTGTCGTCGTGTGCTACCGTCATGCTTCTCCATACTCCGTCCGAGTCGATGCTGTGCTGGCTGTCCCGATGATGAGAGAGTCGGTACTATGCCAACCTGAAGTGAGTCCCAGCCTGTTCGATATAAACCGTCCATTAACTGTTGTCGGTCAGTCGTTATGATCGACCACAGTGCATATCATGATAGCCCGGTTCGTAGTATGCTTTCCGTTTGAGGCCTCCATGGCAAATAGCAGCATTTTGTGATGAGACGGTCTCATCAGAGTCCCGACTTACCGTACTACTGATAAGTATTGCCGGTGTTTACTCTGGTATTCATGACTCTCTCTCTGTACGTTCATTCGACTACCAGCTTGACAGTGGGGGTTCTGCTGAAATCGCCCCGCTCGTTGCGCTTTGAACTCCAGACTCGACGCAGAACACTTGTTTGCTGTATACTCATATCTTACAGTGCTCACAGAATATGCTATCAGTGCAGTGATATCGAGGAGTGTGCATTGCCATAATTGGCGATGGGTACACATCATAGCGGTGGTTTCGTCGGCTCGCGAACGCAATCAGCTACGTAGGTCTCCTACGCTCGTCCTCGGTGACAAACGACCCCTCCATTACTAGTGACGAGCAAATGTACCACCACGTCTGATCATGGTCGCGGTATGTATCATAGCGATCGGAGCCTTTGTATGCACCGGAGAATCCAAATTGACTTGCCAGTATGACGCGTATGACCTCTTCAAGTGTACCAATGCCCACGTCACACGGCTTTGCGTTGGGTCATACCGTCCTATGGCTCCCGCACTTCCCGTTCTGAGGCCGCACGACATCAAACCCCACATAGATTTCCGGCGGGTCGCGTTCCCACACCTCCCCTCGGTATGGTACGTCGTCCGCTCTTCTCGCCGACTTATCCGGCTTGGGTCGTTCACGATGACTCAAAAGCATGCATGTTGTCCGCGTTGGCGTGTCCTGCAGGTAGTATATAACACTTGTCCGGCGTTGCAGTTGAGAGAGTACCTCACCTCGTTCGGTCAACAACGACAGCTCGAAGCTTCGGAAATGCCCTCTTCTGACCATCCAGCGACGTACAAAGCCTACGCCTTCCTTGAGAAGGGTGGTAATCTCCAGCGTATTCTCTTCAATTGGCAAGACCCCGACCCAGGTGAGATTGTAGTGAAAGTCATCGCTTGCGGCGTATGCGCTGGGTGCGTTTACTGGCTATCAAGCGCATGGACGATGATACTCATTAATATGCATCTCATTGATAGAGACGAGAACGCAAAATATAGCGTGCTGCCAGGAATCACATATCCCATCGTTCCAGGTCACGAGATCGTCGGCGACGTTGTAGCAATTCCTGACACCGAGAAGCGATGGAAGCTTGGTCAACGCGTTGGAGCAGGCTGGCATGGCGGACATTGTCAGCACTGCGAGCGATGCTCCGTAGCCGACTTCATGACTTGCGAGAACGGGCTCATTCACGGTGACGCTTTTGGCCTATGGTTCATGCTCTTGACGGCTGACCACTTACTCTGCGACAGGCGCCACTCGCCATGGAGGCTACGCAGAATACGTTACTCTGCGCACGGAGGCGGTCGCCGCGATTCCGGATGGGATGGATCCCGCCGAAGCTGCCCCCCTGATGTGCGCGGGTGTGACTACTTTCCGTGAGTGCTGTATGGCCTTGTGTGTGTGTTGAACGCTCTAACATCACGTTAGATTCGCTACGGAACATGTCCTGCAAACCTCCTCAGTTGGTCGCTGTTCAAGGCATCGGGTAGGGCGCATGAGCTACCGTCGTTGAAGCCAAAGATTAACGGTCTGGTGGGACAGAGGCCTCGGACACCTCGCTCTCCAGTTTTCCAGGAAGATGGGATACCGAACCGTTGCGCTGTCTTCTTCGGCATCCAAGGCTGAGCTGTCTAAGGAGCTCGGCGCCGAGCTGTATTTGGATGGCTCCAAGGTCGACCAGGGTTCAGAGCTGCAGAAGCTTGGTGGGGCGGCCTTAATTATGTGCACAGCACCCAGCGGCGAGGTAATGACGGGCCTGATGGAAGGATTGGCAGTGAATGGGGAGGTGCTCATCCTGGCTGCGGTCCCAGGCGACACAAAGCTGCCCTTGCGTAAGTACTTAACCAACTATACCGATCTCAGACGCTAACGCAGCAACAACCCGAAGTCGCTATCATGCACAAGCGAGCCTCTATCCGCGGCTGGCCAGCTGGTAACCCCGCGGACTGTGAGGATTGTTGCAAGTTCGCCTTGGCTAACGGAGTCAGGGTCATGGTCAACAAATTCTCACTCGATGAGGCTCAGAATGCCTTCGACCATCTGTCTTCAGCGCGGTTCCGTGCAGTGATAATGCCGTAGATAGTGCCCAATGGGCGCCTGCATAGAAACGTGTGTATTGGATTCAAAATGTTTATCGAGGACGGACGAGTTTAGGTCTTATGAGATCACGATAGAATAGCGACCAGTGGGTGCAATACGGCAGGGGTCGTATACACAAAGCATTGGGGTGATTCGCAGGTGACAGCGCGTCGCTTGTCTGCAAGGACGGGTTCAATGAGCTCTATGTTCATGTAGCATCATGTTACACAGCTCGTGTCCACCCACACGTCGAGGAACCTACATTCTACTATGTCGTATATCTGCTTGGAATAACCGGTACAATGCAGGCCCATCGCCTCGCAGGCGCAGCACTACCTCTATTCAAGACTCAAGTTGCCCATCAGCCCTCAAACGCACAAACACAAGGATATCAATACTCACAAAAGGTTTCTGTGCATCCCTGACTTTCAAAGGCTACCAACCTTGTCCAACAATGATAGCAGCCTCCCAACATCGAGCCAAGCCGAGTTCAGAACACGAAATGTGGAGGAGGAGACGGAAGGCGGGAACGACTCGGACGCGGCTCGACGCGGGGACGCCCGGGCCGTTTCGGCGCTCCGGCGGAAACGGAGACGGAGACGGAGGCGGCACGAGCACACTTGGACCCAACCATACCTTGCCCAAGTACAGCGCCATTCTGGACCCGCGCAACAGAATTACCTGCATAGTATACCGGTAAGAACTACTTCGACGAATCAGAATGTACGTGATGCAGATACATGTGTTGTTGATCATGCCATGGACTTGCTCGAGTCAACGCCCCAAGCCTGCGAAGCGCCAGTGGAAGAGGCCTTCGGTAGCATAAAGAGCAGCACTCAATCCAATATAGGGATCAGCGCGACCTCCGACCTGCACTGATAGCCCATCATTCGCAAGGATGTCGAAGACCTACGTGAACAACTACAAGCCGCCCGCACCGACCCCTATCGCCGATGTCGACGCCGTGTTATCCTCGACAGAGCCCTACGATGTCAACTTCGCGTTCCCCATCCACCTCGACACGCTGTCGTGCCCGACAGTTCGCATCGCGCCGTTCGTCCCAGCACTCCATCTGAAGACATACTGGGAGCACGTCGGGCCGAAGGCGCCCGAGCTGTTCAGATTCTACACCTTCTGCCCGGAGGGGTACACGGATCTCATCCCCTTCTTCGAGCGGTTCCGCGCGAACCCCGAGTGGTGCATGTTCGCGGTGTTCGACCGCACGCGGAAGACGGGGGAGGCGGCGCAGGACGGCGAGGACGGCGAGTTCGCGGGTGTCATGTCGCTGTACAACACCTCCGCCGCCAATCTCCACACCGAGATCGGCTTCGTCCTCATCTTCCCCAAGTTCCAGGGCACGCACGTCGCCCGGACATCGATAGGGCTCCTGCTGCGCTATTGCTTGGAGAAGCCGGACGCGCCCCTGCCCGGGCTGGGCTTCCGCCGCATTCAGTGGTGCGCCAATCCGCAAAACGTTAAATCAGTAGGGCTGGCGAAGCGGTTGGGGTTCAGAGAGGAGGGCGTGCTGCGTTGGATGTACTTCCTCAGCCCCGATCTGCCGGACACGATCAAGGAGGTAGCAACGGTGAAGAAAGACAAGGACGGTCAAGTTGAAGGGTATGGCAGGTTCACTATCTACCTGGGGCATTGCTGGGATGATTGGGAGGAAAGAGGGCGTGCTTTGATTGAGGACGTACTACGGAAGTAGAATAATAGGGAGAACGGCAGAGAACTTGACCTCGCAAAGCATCCGAGAGTCAATGCATAAATGGGCCCGGGGTCACAATGACAGACGTTTCAGTGAACGTATGCGTTCGAAGGAGGGCACTACACAAATCGGCGTCAGTGTCACTCAAACGGCGAGGGATGGATAGAACATGAAGCTTTGAAGCTTTGAAGTAGGGCGAAAGGCAATGAAAAATTTGATCAGTGGACATACGGCAGCCAAAGTAGCAGCAACTACGACTTAAGTCGAAGACACTGTCAAGTACTTCTCGAACCAGTTCAATACCTGGTCCCTCGCTTGATCCCTCTTCGCCTTCTTCTCGGGATTCGTCATATCCGTGCGCACAGTCCACCCATGGTCTACGCCCTTGTACACGACCACCTCGAAGTCGTTAAAGCTCCTGTTCCGCAGCAGCGCCTCTGTCTCGTCGGCGCGCTTCGCGTCGAACTGCTTGTCCGTCTCCGCGACGGCGAAGCTGACGGGCTTCTTGATCTCCTGCACCTCGCCGGGGAACTTGACGAGCGACGGGTGGGCTGCGACTGTCGCATCGAAAAGGGAGTTCATCGTGATCGCGTAACGGCCGCCCCAGCAGAAGCCAACCATCCCGATCTTGGCGTCGGGGCGCGTCGCACGGAGGTGCGTGAGCAGGCCGTTGATCTTGTCCGACTGAGACGCTTTGGTGTTGCGAAAGAGGAAGGGGATGAAGAGGAAGAGTAGAAGCGGGCGAAGGAGCCTCTGCTTGAGTGTAGGTTTGTCAGTGTGCTCCGTGGCAGTCAGCGTCCACCGCGGTAGCTCACGACCTGAATGAACGCATAGACTCCATGAAATTTCAACTTGTGTGCTACAGGATGACGCTCACCGCCGAAGAGGTCCGGGACCACCACCCAGAAGTTCTTCGCTGCATACTCGTCCGCGAGAATGCGCGCGTTAGGGAGGCGCCAACCGAAGATGTCGGTGCCAAAGACAATGATCCGCTGCGAGGTCTCGTCTCCTGTCACGTAGCTCTGGAGTCCCCCGAGCGTAATCTCCTTTCCGACGGGCGTCCCGGTGTGGATAGAACCGCTGGTGCATTCGGCGCAGGCCATTGTATCGACCTCAGTAGAGTCAGACTCAGTCACGGTGTGTGGGGGGGGGGGGGGGGGTGGAGGAGAGATGAATGAAAGGTTGTTGAGCTCAACGATATTCAGGACTCCTTATAGCGTCGTCGGTTGACCAGACCGCGATATGCAAAGAGAGTCCAGTCATGCCGAGGGGAAGCGTAAGTGTGGCCGGCGAGTCGGCCGGCGGTGCCAGGTTCTGTGTCAACGTCCTCACAAATGTAGAAGATACGAGACATACGACGAATGTTTTCCTGACGCATTCAGTCATTGCTGCTGGCCGTGTTGTGCATTCAGAAGATCTGTCAGTGACTGTCAAGTCCACGTCAAGCAAGTCCGCGAAAGTCGGAACGCCGTGACCATCGACGCGCGCACGATCGTCACAACCGACGTGACGAGAAATTCAGCCGGGCGCTAAGGTACGCTGCCCTCCTCCTACTGCTTGGTCGCTGTCCAAGGGCCGCTGCTCGTCGTCCGACTCGCTCTCCCCACCATGCCTCCCGACCCACGTCTGGCGGATCGCAAGACCTCATTCTCCTCCTTCTCTCACATACTCGACGCCCGCATTCTGCGCGCCCTAGCCGACCTAGGTTTTGCGCGCCCGACCCTCGTCCAATCCAAAGCGATCCCCCTCGCTCTCGAGAACAGAGATATCCTTGCACGTGCAAGGACAGGCAGCGGGAAGACTGCTGCATATTGCATCCCGGTCGTGCAGAAGATCCTAAACGCTAAAGCTGTGGGTATGCATGTTGCTCAGAGTTTTCTCAGTGCCGAAGACTTACCCTGGCCACAGGGAATACCTCATGAAGACAGCTCGAGACAGGCGACTCGGGCATTGATTCTTGTCCCCACTCGCGAGCTCTCTGAGCAGGTATACGGACACCTCAATGGCCTGCTTGCGTACTGTGAGAAAGAAATCACGGTGGCTAATGCATCCACTGCGAGCTCTACTCAGTTGCAGAAGTACGTCGGTCTATCTGTCTCTCACTAACATAGTCTTAACCTTCCGTCGCTTAGGTCCCTTCTCTCTGATCATCCTGACATCGTGATCGCAACCCCCTCCCGCACGTTCGCGCTCGTCCAATCGAAGACACTCTCCCTTGAATCCCTCGACACCCTTGTGATTGACGAGGCAGATCTCATTCTCTCATACGGGCACGATGCGGACATCCGCGCGCTGCTGTCCGGCGGGCACCTACCGCGCGTGTTCCAGTCCTTCTTGATGAGCGCGACGATGACGGAGGATGTCGAGGCGCTGAAAGGCCTCACGCTCCGCAGTCCAGCGATCCTGAAGCTCGAGGAGGACGAGGACGAACACAACCTGACGCAATTCAGCGTGCGCTGCAGCGAGGTCGACAAGTTCCTCCTGACGTATGTTGTCCTCAAGCTTAAGCTTGTCAAGGGCAAGTGCCTCATCTTCGTCAACGATGTCGAGCGTTGTTATCGCGTGAAGCTGTTCCTGGAGCAGTTCGGGATCAAGAGCTGTGTACTGAATTCGGAATTGCCGCTCAATTCGAGGTCAGAATTCTTATTGACCATTTCTCTTCTGGAAGTCTCATTATACGCTGCAGGTATCATGTGGTACAAGAGTTCAACAAGGGCGTATATGACTACATCATCGCGTCAGACGAAAGCGCAGGCGCAGCAGAGCAGGATGAGGAGGATGAAGATGAAGCGCAGATATCTGAGGGCGAGAATGAGGCGGAAGAGGGCGGAGATGCAGCTGAGGACGATGAATGTGAGTGACTGCTCCCTCCGCAAGAATTGACCCCATCTCACGTGCATACAGTCACCACCACCCAACGCGAACAACCAACGGCATCCACCTCGACTCCCAAGCAACCCCAAAAACGAAAGCGCTCGCCGTCTCCTTCCTCAGGCAAAGATGACAGCGGTAAAGCCAGCAAGCGGAAGCGCAAGGGAAAACATGCGCGGGACGCCGAGTACGGCGTTGCGCGGGGCGTAGACTTCATCGACGTCGCGTGTGTGCTCAACTTCGACCTCCCGCGGTCCGCCCGCGCCTACACGCACCGTGTCGGGCGGACGGCGCGCGCAGGGCGCTCGGGCATTGCGCTCTCGTTCATCGTCCCGCGCGAGCAGGTCGGTAAGAGCAAGGTCGTTGGAGGCGTGCCTGGCACAGAGCGCGACGAGGAGGTATGGGCGCGCATCGAGCGGCGGGAGAAGGAGCGGGGGCGGGAGGTGAAGGAGTACAAGTTCGACATGAAGCAGGTGGAGGCGTTCAGATACCGGATGGAGGACGCGCTCCGTGCGGTGACGCGGGCCGCGGTCAGGGAGGCGAGGATCAAGGAGCTGAAGTCGGAGATCTTGAATTCGGACAAGCTGAAGGTGCGTGTATGGGGTGGTCTGCGCTCTGAGTGTCGGTGACTGACTCCGTTCGCAAGGCACACTTCGAGGACAACCCGCTTGACCTGGAGTACCTTCGACACGACAAGCCGCTCCACCCGACTCGCGTGCAGCCACATATGAAGCACGTACCGAAGTACCTGCTGCCTCGCATCGCACATGTACCGGGTGCTGATGCCGCTGAGGGAGCAGCCGCTAAGGAGGGTGAGGAGGGATTCGTGCCGTTCAATAAAAATGGTGCACGAGGAAGGGGCAGAGGCAGAGGGCGAGGCGGGCGAGGTGGTAGGGGAGGCCCGGCAGGGAGAGGGCGGAAAAAGGGTGACCCGTTGAAGAAGTTCGGGCGGTAGAGTAGCTATAGCTACAGAGGTCTTGCTTTGATTCATTTGACTACACGGTGTCACATCTTCATGTTGATTCAGAGTGTGCAATGGCTATAAAGCAGGCGTGAAAGAGTCTTTCAGGACAGACAATCCTGACAGTGATAGTCTATACATTATACGCAGAGACTTATGATGATACATACAGAGTTTTCAAGGCAAGACCGGCACGAAGTACACGTAGATGCTACGGCTATATGGAGGAGGATGACCCGGCGCACAACATAGTCTAGTCCGAATAACTTAAGAGGACACCAGGCCAATACTACCTCCTCGCTATATCTGATACCCGATCCAGGCGACGCTCAATGCCTAGGATGTCTTGCATCAGGCACGCAAATCGGCGGTCGAAGTCGTCAAGCATGTCGTAAGACAGGCTCGTGCTCGTTGCATAGCTGGTTACATTGCTTGAGTGAGCTGCTGCGTCAACCCTAGCTGGGTTGTCTCTAAGTGGCGTGTCTCGTGTGACCTGACTAGTCTTGACCGCTTCGTCTTTTCGTTCACTAGTCTGATCGACGGCTTTAGGTCTCGCGGGTGGAGGATGTGCCACAGGCAGCGACAGAGGGGGAGGGGGAGCAGGGAACAAGGGTGACAGCGGCGATAACGCAGGCTTGGAATCCTCCTGACTCCGCGATCCGCCAACCCTCAACAGCGGCAGCTGGAAGCTCGACGTCGTCGGTGTCTGGCTTCGCTTCGACAGCATCGACATCGCCGAGCCCGGTCGTGGGCTCGGACTAGGGCTCGGCGGGATGTCCGAGTCTGCATCCGAGAGGCTGACATCGGGGATGAGCAACTCCTGCGAGCCTATCGACGCCGATCCGGAGCCCGACCGCGAGAGTAGGGACGCCCCGAACGTATCGTCTGCCGTCGAATGTGACTGGGACGGGCCTGAATCAGGCTTGTATGATACCACGCCCGCAGAGCCCACGACGGCGACGGAGGTGTCGAAGCGGAGCTCCTTCAGCGCGGAGCCGCCCGACGCGCTCGCGGTGCGAAAACGCGTGAGCGAACCGACCGCGCGAGGCTTGCGGCCGCTCTCGAGCACCTTCTTGCGCGCGCTCTGCCCGACGCAGTCGACGAGCTGCTTCAGCGCCTCGCGGTCGGAGACGGCGCGCCGTGGTGCGGTGCGACGAATGGTACTCGCGCGGGGGAGCGTGCCATAGGGCGTGAGCATACTCGGTCGTATGGGTGTCGCGAAGGGGTAGCGGTTGGATGTGATCGGCGTGCTCTGAATAGCGCTTGCAGGTGCGAAGGGAGTCGTCGGAACTCCGAGACGGTGTAGAGGGCGCGGCGTATTGATGTCGGCGTTGGTTGGTCCTGACGGAGAGGGTCTCTGCTCTTGATTATCAAAGGCGTCCTTTGGCGGACCCCAGGAGAACCCAATGAAGGTAGTCGAAGGTTGATCGCGCAGGATAGAGCGACTACTCGGTGTCTGCGTATGAGATGGTGTCAAAGTCGGGTTCATGGAGACACCGGGATTAGTCATCGGAGAGGACTGGAAGAGAGCAGAGAACGCGAAAGGCCGCGACTGTGATGCATCCTGTGGCGAGCTCGCGCCTGTCACCTCAGCTGGTGCTAAAGGAGTGGTGTACGTGAATTGAGGGGTGTGGAGGTCATCTGGTTTCATCTCTATCGAAGCATAGCATCAGCTTATACATCAAAAGAGATAATGACTACACACTTTCGTGTAGATGCAGCCAGTCGACGCCGGAGAAGAACGGATGTTGTTGTATCTCGTCTATGGTAGCACGACCCAAACGTAACTCTGCATCGGTCAGTAATCTGCATACCAGTCAGTTTCAGATGTGACAAAATCGGACAGTACGCGCACCTTCGAATGAAATCCTGGAAATCAAGTGAGATATCAGCAGACGCGGCAAAACGCAAGCTTCTCTGTCCATCTCATGTCAGCTTGTGGGTTCGTCAGAGTCTTAGACAGGGTACGCACATGGTGGTCAGTAATCTTAATATATGTTTTGCGTATATCCTTAGCGAAGAATGGTGCGACGCCGTAAGCCATCTCGTACAGCATCGCACCCATACTCCACCAATCTGTCTCCCGACCATATCCTTCGCCGTGGTTCGTGAGCGAAGCTTGCGCATCAGACATCTCAAGAGCCATGAGGACTTCTTCATGCGCCTGCAGGATCTCTGGCGAGATATAGTCGCAAGTGCCAACGGGTACCAAGCAGTGATGTTTCGCAACGCGCTGACTGCCATCCGACTGAGTCGCCAAGAGCGGCGCCGCTGAGCCAAAATCAATCAAGAGAAGATGCGCGGTGGGAGTCAGCACGAAGTTATGAGGCTTGATATCTCTGGAGGTTCTGTGAGCTACAATGCCGCCAAGCGGGAAGTTGTAGGTAACACACCGATGAACGAATCCTTGCGTGTGGCACCAGTGTATCGCGCTGACAATCTGGGGCGACCACCATCGTAGATCAGACTCTAGCACCTTTCCATCATGCGGACTGGACTCCAGAACATCCCATAGCGTCCCGCCCTCCGCGTAATCCATAACAAGGTTCAGATGCGTCGTGCTCTGGAATGCACATAGGAGGTGCGGTGCCCACTTGGCCTTCGTCTTGTACGCCTGCAAGAGGATGTCTCGCTCGGACTGGGGTGAGCATTGCTATGAAGTGGTGTCAACTACGGTAGGCGAGGTTGAGTGAGAGCTGACATGCATCGTGCGTTTTCAGCGCGAACCGTTTCTCTGTTGACTTGCGCACATATACACGGCCGTCTAAGCGACATGTTACTAGATCGATCTGAAGGCTCGAGCTCAAGCCTACAAAAATTTGGTAGACCAAGGGACGCGACTCACCACGCCATACTGACCATACTCCAGCGTGCCCACGACGTCCAGATCCTTGTCCGTGAAGCGCAAACCGTCAACTTGAGTGGTCTTTGCTAAAACAACGCATAAGACAGAACATTAAAAAATGCATGGAGTCAATGTACATGTTTTGCCTATCACGCTCTGGCCATGAAGTATACGGTCCATGGCGAGTGCTTCGGCATCCTCGTCTCCATCGCAGTTCAGTAGTTCGGCCAGTCGAGATTTCCGCTTCCGCCATGATGAAGACATAGACCCTCATCGAGATCATACAGAAGACTTGCAAAGGGTCACCGTATCGTACAAAGTCGCCAAGGGGTTGTGATCGGTGGTCGAGAACTGGACGGTCGTCGCGACGACCTCAGACCTGGGTCAGTTGAGTTGGACCACGTGATCGCGAGTGGCTTTGGGCTCCGCGGCGCCACCATTGCACTGCGCAGGGCCAAGTTCAACGACCATTACTGAGCACTATCAGTATCACTGACCACTGAACAGTTTTGCGAAATTCAGTGTAGTTCTACACATAAAAAGTTTGAATCCATGGACACCACACCGGCACCCACGGACATCCAGACGCAACCAGCTACCGAGACTACAAGCTCCTTGCCTTGCGCCATGTAAGCGTCCATGACATCCTCAGGCAGCGCAGGCCATAATTCTCATTGCTAACAGTTGCCGGAGACAGTTCTCGAGGTACACTTGCCCGAAGTGCAACATCCCCTATTGCTCTTTGACGTGTTTTCGCTCTGAGGTGAGTAGCATTGCCATATGCTTGTTCCCGAACATCATGCAGACATTTGAAGTATCCAGACACATGCGGGGTGCTCCGAATCCTTCTACCGCAAGGAAATAGAGTCTGACGTCCGCGGAAATGCATCCAAGACTGCGGAACAGAGAATGAAAACTCTGGAGTTGTTGAAGCACTTTGAAGAGGACTCCATGAACGATGATGTGCTCGGTCTTGACGCCGATGACTCTGACGACGAAGGTGGTAACCTTGAGAGCAGACTCAGAGACCTCGACATAGGTATGCGCCCGCAATCTTTGGAGTAATTGATCTGCTCACGGCCAGCCACGCACCACCACAGACGCAGCTTCATATGATGATCTTTGGGCAGCGCTCACACCGGCCGAGCGAGAAATGTTCACCAAGGCACTTCGCGACCCCAATAGCGAACTCGCACAACAGCTCCTGTCGAGCGAGGAGCTCGAGAAGGTGCGCATCGAGCCATGGTGGGAAGCACCCGACGACCCGAGCACCGACGACCCAAGCACATCCTGGCGTGCGCAGAAGAGGTACGGCAAGAAGCCCGCGATGATGCCAATCCCTGAGAACATGGTGGGAACCTCGCACACTCCTGGCAAGTACCCTCTGCTGCTGTATAACATATGCGCCGTCATGTACGTCCACCCAATGAGCCCGACACACAATCATTGACACCATACAATGTTCAGGGTGGCATACGCATATGTCACGCGGCACTTCGCCACCTCCCCGCTGACATCCCTCGACCCATCCGAGCGAGACGAAGCACGCCGCATCATCGCGCAACTCGTGCCCTTCCTCTCGGACCGCCTGTCGAAGACGGTGCACTCCTCGCTCTCTGCGGCGGTTACAGACATTCTCTCTCGTTTTCAAACAGTAAGTCTCCGTCTCAGTGTGAGCTTGCTCGGCTGAAATCTACGTGCGCAGGATGCCATGCCGCTAGCGTTTTTCTCGCTCCTCTTGCGCGACGCCGCGGGTTTCCTCCAGCCCTCGACAGTGGTTGAACTCCCAGTGCCAGCTACGCCCGACATCACATCGCCAGCGCACCCCGCGCCGACTTCCACGGCTGAGCCTGCCTCCCATCCAAGCGCACGAGCCCTCCTCGCCCTCTCAGACCTCTCCGCGCTCTTCACTGCCGACAAGAAACAGAACCACGTCACGCACAAGCTGACTTTCTACGCCGCATACATGATGGGCGTGCCTCCAGTGCTGCTGCGCACCCTCGCCGGCGAGGTCGCCGAGCGCGCAGAAGGCATCGCGAGGGAGGGTATCGACCTCGGTGGAATCGGGCCTGTACCGGCAGTGGGGCGGGACGGTGGTCCTGATTCTAGGAGTAGAGATAAGCAGACAACAAAGATCGTTGAATTGAGTTGATTCTCCTCCACTAGCAACTTGAACGCCGTGTCCTGCGTAGCGTGATTCTGGTGACGGGGTCTCGTCGCAACCAATTCCTCCAGGGTATACTGCCGCCGGCCGAGCGACTCTCTTACCATTCGGCCTTCCAGTCGCCTCCGGCACCTGACACTGGCCGGTCGCGACGTCGGTGCATACGTTCTAGAGCCTGGACGGCGGAATTGAAAGACCGAGGGCAATGTCAACTAGGAGTCAGAACGTCGCCGATAGAACTGCGGCTCCGAGAACTTGAATGGTCTCTCGTATTTACCGCTGGACCCGAGCGGTCGGCCCCATCAGGCATGGATTTGAGCAGACTGGCAGTAAGTAGTGACTTCTCTGTAAAACTAAAACCCACCGATGTTCTGACAGTGAAGTCGTCAATCTGAAACGTTCACTCACTGCCACTCAGAAACCTCCGGTCAGGCAACGCCCAGCATACCGATGATTCCGGAGGTCTCGAGAGCCTAGAGGTGGTTACATTGCTTCCCTAGTCGCTCAACTATAACATAGTTCGACATGATAGTGCTCAGCACTCATCAAACATGCACAACGCGACTCTACTCAGTCAAAATGACGATGGTCATAGTTACCCTGCCGACCTTATACCATCCACACGGTCGCCCTTTTGCCCACCTGCACCATCCGCTCGCCTTACTATTTGCTGCTCGCGCCCATTCAACCCATTGCACTTCACCAGCCGGCTGATCCGCATCGCTAGTCCGATCTCTGTATCGGTGTATGCCTGTGCATTATCATACATTCATGCAAGTCCTCTTGTTCGAATTCATACACTTCAAGGGGATGACGAGAAACACATGATATGTAAACTCGATGTTGTGGACACGATTTGTCATCCTCCACGTACATTGTTCACACCGTAACGGTCAACGTCGTTAGTGTGTGATAGATTTGCTTTCTGCCTTGAATTATTCCCTATTTTTTGTGTTCTTTTTTTTGGTGGAGCGTTGCGCCTGTGGGCGCCAGGTGTGGCGGTCGAGACGTCGACCCCAGTGACCTCGCCAGTGGTTCGAGGGATTGGAACCTCGAGCCTATTTTCTGTGTTCCAGTGATCAATTTCGCGGTCATTGAAGGTCCGCGGACCGCTTGTGTGTTTCAGGGATATGCGGTCCCAGACGGGATATACCTGATGCCGACCTTGAGGTATAAAAGTGAGCGTACCCTGTAGCGAGTCTAGTCACATCTTCCATTGCTCGCTCCTGGGTCCGCGAGCAGGCGACGGGCCAGCCATTGTGCCCACGCGCGTCGCTCTCGTTATCTGCAGTTTGATGTACGGTGTTACAACAAACTGTAAATAACGTGTGTTATGTCTAGGGGGCTGCGCTCCAACTGCGCTCTTCACACCCTTCGTCGATTTCGTCCATATGACATGCTAGGGCAGGTCCACGGTAGCCAGCGTATGAAATGTAGAATGTCATGCACGTACCCATCTCTATGACTACCCTTCGTAGCGTGATCACCCGCCTGCCGCAGTGTTTTGCAGGTATCCCGAATGAACGGGGTTGTGCTGTGCAGCGTCAAACCGACATTCGGCGGCTACTTTTGTATTGAAACATACTTGTTATCGTTTGTCGACGCCCAAAGTCAACCCAGACGAAAGTTCGAATCATCGCCGATCGGACCGCTGGAAGGGGTGGTGGAGCGCGGGTAGGATGGTTTGATCCGGTAACCGGGCAGTGTGCTCCATCTATGGCAGAGTGCGTCGAGAACAGCAGAAAGGCCGACTGCTTGAACCTTGAGATTGAGCTTGAGCCGAGAGAGGACGAAGTCGTCCGAGGGTCATCGACCGTCTGCACGCCCGACCGGACCTCAGCAGCGCGCAGAACGTTGCAATACGGAACCCGCAGAGCGCGACGTCGTGTACTCAACGTGTACTCGTCTAGAAATCATCTGAAGTATGACCGCACGTTGACCGCAGGCGCCTGGCTGTACTCCCTCCGAGGCACCGCGGGCAAACCAGGTTGTTCGAACTCCGAAAACGCTACGAACATCGGTCCCTCATGGGAACCTTTTGCGAGTTTTGATGGACCCAGAACATGCTCCGAAAATGCTCCGAACATGCGTGTTTTCGTCGAACATGCTACAAACATGCTCCGAACATGCTGAAATTTGGCTAAAATACATCATGTTCTGAGGATGTTCGGAGCCCAAATGCCCCCAGAAAAGGTTCCCATGAGGGACCAATTTTCGTAGCGTTTTCGGAGTTCGAACAACCTGGTGTGCCCGCGGTGAGGCGCAATCCGTTCTTTGATCGTGTGCGCGACCTTAGCGGCGGATAGAATCTCGCAATAGCATCGCGTACTCGCCCAGTGGTGTCAGGGCTGCAGATGTCTGTGTCCTTCTCCGACGTTGAGGCGCGATCTATTCTGGCTCTGTGGCGCGGCGTCAAATACGGTCCCGAACGTTAGATTGTGGTCCGGCATTTCCTGTGTCGACCTTGCGGTGCGGAGGACATTCTTGCACCTGCGAAACGATGCCTTAGGCCTGAGCAATGAGCAGGACACACCGTGAAGTTGGTGACGTTACCGACGGCAAGCTATTCCTTGCGGTGGCCACGATCCCGGTGAGGTGGGGCTATCTATAGGGACGGCGGCTGCGCGCACTGGCAATTCCATGAACGAAGGATGCCGACTGAAAAAGGGCGCGGGCCTCCGGTCCTGGGAACAAACGTTGAGATGTTCTGGCAGAGGAGAGACATACAGCAACCATTCACACGGCATCGCTTCCTCTTCTTTCCTCTCGCACGATGACAACTGTTCTGCATTGAGCGTTGTTATGGGTTCGAATGTCGCAGCCCACAAACAGTCCAAACCGCTTGCGATTGAACGGACGTGTCCCCATGTGCTTCATCCAAGTCTACTCCTTCCGCTACGCAGTTTGCGAAGCATGTAGGGTTCCGTCGCAGTGCAGATGTGCCTGGTGCGTGCCTCGATGAGACAGATGGGACGTGCTAGTCGATGTGGATGCTCGATCGACGGCTGGCACGCCCCGTCACTGCGAGGGTGTGCACGAGTGCGCGCGAGCATGTGTGCTAGTCCGTAATTATTGTGTGCTGAGTAGCAGGTCCCAGGCGCTGGGAGATACGGTAATCCATGCTGCGAGGGCGAAGGTAAAGTGAGAGATCGGTTGGCGTGAGGTCTGTTGGTACTCATCGGAGTTTGGCCGCAAGTACGCGTCTTGGAGTCATTACGACACAGTTTGAGGCGACCTGCGGCATAGAAGAAGCGAGAGGCCTGATGAGAGTACAGTATACCGAGAAATGGCGAGAGATAGTCGCAAAGACCATGACCGCGGGGAAGCACAATGACACTAAGAACTGAGAGCCATGCGGTTCCTCCGCCCATGGATATACATCATCACCTTCTTGCGGTGCAAGCGGTAGTCTGTGATACAAACGCCTCTACGTGGTCCATTATGATCAGCGGATTCAAGTGGGTGGCTCGGTGTGCTTCGGATGAACCTGAAAGGTTGACATGAATTTGTCGACCGTCAAGCTCAGTGCTCACCGGTACGATGCCCGAAAGGGATGGCGAGGAGCGATGTAGATTGCAGGGCACACTCGGGCCAGGAAGATAGAGCAGGCGATATTGCCAAGATATTGCAGTTCAGAGTCATATCGCGTGCCAGGGTGGCCGCCGGCCTTCGACGGTGAGTAGGCTCGCACGGCCGAACTTGACTGTGGTTCTATTAGGTGTGCCAAAGGGTTCAGATTCATTTGAGGTGGTAACCAGAAGATAGACGGCGGTGGCGGAAGCAAAGAAGGCGGCAGTGGCCGAGGAGGACTCGCTCGGTGCTGTCGACTGCGACGGTACGCGGTGCACGTGACGGGGAAAACTGCCAAAGGGGCGCGTGTGATTGGGCGAGGGGGGCGAGGACCCTCGCAGTGTTGTTGCGTATGGGTGCGTTGACAGCTGCTCGCCGGTGGCTGCTCGCCCGCTGCATGCCACGGAGGACACCAGCCCACTGCCCCACCGCCATCCCAGTCTGTTTCCCGCGCGCTGCCCCTCCTCCCTCTCTATATAACGCTCTCCAAGCGTTCCTCGCTCGGCGCCCCGAACTACCTCCAACAGCAGTCTGCAGAAGTTGACCTAGTCACGGCACACCAGACGCGCGACTTCAACGCCTCAGCGTTCATTCTCGACGATGCGAGCTCACAGACTGCAAGCTCGAGATGACGGGGTCGACTGTACCAGCGGCACCGGCGCCCACAGCTACACCGGCCTCCGGATCGCCTCGGTCTTCATCATCCTCGCCACGTCCCTCTTCGGTGCTCTATTCCCTGTCCTCGCTCGTCGACATAGGATCCTCGGGCTGTACATTCCAGAGACCGCCTTCAAGGTCGCCAAGTACTTTGGCAGCGGTGTCATCGTCAGTGTTCCACTCTTTCCACCCCATCGGCAATATCGCTCATTGCATCCACACAGATCGCAACAGCCTTCATCCACCTCCTCGACCCCGCGACACAAGAGCTCACCTCTCCCTGCCTGTCCCCCGCATGGCAAGAATACGTACGCACTTCTCCATCCCTCTGCCACTCGCCCGTCCGCTGACATCACCGCCGACTCCCACAGCCCTACGCGATGGCGATCTGCCTCGGCAGCATCTTCATGATCTTCATCGTCGAGCTCGTCGCCTTCCGGTGGGGCACCGCCGTGCTCGCGAGGGTGGGGCTCGAGCACGACGCCCACGGCCACGGCCTCGCCACAGGCTCGCACTCTGCGCACGGCCCGGAAGTGCGGCCAGCCGGCGCAGCGGGCGCCGTCGCCCCCAACAAGCTCGAGTACGTTGACGTTGAGGACGCCCGCGGCGACGACCATACATTGGGCGACCCCGAGAAGGCGTCCGAGAAGCACGCCGCGCACGAACACACCCATGAACATGGCATGCACGGCGTTCTCTCCGACTCGGCCATCGCGCAGATCATCGGAATCGCGATCCTCGAGTTCGGCGTGCTGCTGCACAGGTGGGTGCCCTTTTCAACATCAGTACGCTGGCGCGGACATTTCTCACGGGGGTCCAATCGCAGTGTGTTCGTCGGCCTGACCCTTGCCGTCGACGAGGAATTCAAGGTCCTCTTCATCGTCATCATCTTCCACCGTACGTATCACTCCTCCCATCCCCCAATACTGCGCTGACATCGCACCTCACCACAGAGACGTTCGAGGGGCTCGGGGTCGGCTCGCGGCTCGCGTACATGGAGCTGCCCAAGAAGTACGCCTACGTGCCCGTCGTCGGCGCGGTCCTCTTCGGGATCACGACGCCCATCGGGATCGCCGCGGGCCTCGGCGTGCGCTCGACGTACAACCCCGGCAGCGCGACCGCGAGCATCGTCTCGGGCGTGCTCGACGCGTTCAGCGCGGGCATCCTCATCTACACCGCTCTCGTTGAGGTGAGTTTGCATTCCCCAGTGTCTCTTTGGTGGTGGCGCGGTGCTGACCGTGCGGCGTGTGGCAGCTCCTGGCGCATGAGTTTATCTTCAACAAGGAGATGATCGAGGGGGACAACAAGCAGCTCGTCTTCGCGATCGGGTGCATGATGCTCGGCGCGGGCCTCATGGCGCTCCTCGGCAAGTGGGCGTAGGCTACTATTGGGCTACTAGGCCCCGCTCTCATAGTTCCCACGACCTGCGCCCGTTTTGGGGTCCACCGTCCACGACGCTCGCCGGGACGAGTCCAGAAATGTGCACCATGCAGAGTTCGCCCTTACCTTATTCCTCCGTATTGGGCCTTGATTGTTCCCGCGAAGTCACGCTGAAGTCCAGGCCGACGTTGTACACATAACCGACCACGTCTATCCACCATACCACACACCACACATCGCGCATCACGTACCTTGCTACCGATGATCTTGCATACGCCATATTCCCCTCGAGACGTTTACACGCTTAGATGAGCCTTTCATGTCGCTGTTGTTCAAGTGCATGCATGTACCCAGTATTACACCCGGGGCGACGCTGTAGGATATAGCTCTAATGATGGACTTGAATGATCGTACGGCGTGGTGTGGATGGCGGAGGAGCTCGCACTCAGGCTGAAATTACCGACATGTCTGGCGCGTGAAGTCATCGCAGCGGTGACATATCAGATGCTTTCCAATTCTCTCGTCGCTACATGGGTCCCCAAGAAAACATACTTTCCGCGGATCACGAGCGGTCACATACTGTCGCGATGCCACATATGGTCATGAAAAGCGTCACGAATTCTAGATATCCTACTACAGAACGTCCAGGTACGTCTTCATAGTTTCGCGTGGGTTGTCCCAATGCATCTAATGGGCAAGTAGGGTGACAGTCAGCTCGTCCAACTGCGACAGAAAATCCACAATGCTGCTTACGAAGTGGTTCACGCCAGAGATCATCACGAAGTTTATGCGCCCTCCTCCATTGGCCTGATCATCATCCTCGAGGCTCCAGCGACCAGGAATGGCGAACGACGCAGCGCAACTCCCCTCAATATGGGAAACCTTCAAATGCGGCAGGAGCGCCCTAATCTTGTCATCGAAACACGCCTTACGAGTGTTCACCAGCGCCTGCGCGGTGCTGCAGAACATCCCAGGCATCTCTGCCACCGACTGGTCGAGCATCTGTTCGAGCTCTTCCGCGGTCATGTCGTAGATGGTCGGCCGGCGGGAGAAGGACGGGACGATGTACGAGAGGACCTCCGGGTCGCGGCTGGAGGGGTCTCCGTGGTCGAAGTATGAGGTGATCCACTGCGCCCAGAAAGGCGTGTGAAGCTCCGGAGGCATAGAAGTGTCCATGTGGGGTGCCCAGGTACCGGGCGGGAGCGGGTAACCTATAGCAAGTGACGGTGGCTCTGGCAGTGGCAGTGACATGTCGCTCAAGTAAGCCAAGCTATCGAGTCTACTGTGCAGGAAGAGACTCGCCTTGCATGATGAGTGCGCGCAAGTGCACTGCGAGGCAGCTCTGCATGTCAGACGGTAGCCTGTCGACGTTCGCAATCATCGCAAGCGTTGCGGTGTTTCCGGACGACCATCCGAGGAGCGCCACGCCACCTCCCTTCCTGTCAGTCGAGATGGGTGGTGTTCCTTCCTTCCGTATGAAAGTGACGGCGAACTGGGCAAGCTCGAGGCCGCGGGCAGCCAGAAACTCTGCCTTCTGTTCGTCGCTGCCGGATACGAGTACCGCGGATTCTGCGTCTGGAACCGGCGTAGAACCGGCGTACTGGCGACGGTTGACTGCGACAATGCGAAGATTCGCGTCTTGGGCGAGTTCCTGCACCCTCTTGAATATACCTATCATCGATGAGGGCATCGTAAGGAAGCAGTTCAGAGTTTGCGACGCACCGTTGTTGTACCCCATCCCATGCACTGCAATGAGGGTGATATACGGCACATCCTGGAGTGGGGGAACACCGCTATCGGTATAGTGAAACTCGATGTCGTTGGCTATAACGAGCGACGGCATTGTAAGTTGAAATCTTCCCCAGAGACACGCAGAGTAGCGAGTCTTATAACGTCGCCCGGCGAGGACGCGGCGCCCTTGTAAACCGAGACGATTGTTATCGGCCAGAGTCACCGCCAACACCGCGAGCGGTGATTGCACCCACGAACGAGGTCCACGATTTGTCTAGACAAGAGCAATCATGAAGAGAACGCACACACGCTTGATGCGCCCACAAGATATCGAGGTGAACACCCCACAGTAACGCTCTACATAGGGTGAGTAGGCCATACGCGGTCGCGATCGCTTTGGGCTCTAAGTGACCGTTGCTATTGTGGCCCTGGGGCCCTGTGTAGTGCCTTTGTTCCGGGAGCATGACCACGGACTGTAGCATAGGTATCTTATGCCCGATCACGGTGCATACCAAGAGTACTCAACTGACCACCTATGCTTCTGACTGACCAACGAATCACCATCATTGAATCAAAATGTTCGTTCAGAGCCGACTCGTGGTCAGTCTCCTCTCCTCTAGGCTCTAGCTACTTACTATGGTGACTCGCATGCTGACGCAATCTGCGAACGTATGGACCATGCCATCGGCTCCGTCCCTGAGCTACATCGCCGTATGAGGGAATCAGTAGCAGAACGGCCCTCGCAAGGTTTAGTGTTTGACATACGAGTGGATAGTACAACCCCGGATCCCGTGTCGCGGCAATTCAGATGCAACTAGCAGTTGACATTCTGTCCGTGGTACTTATTTCTCGCCAGACGATGCAACAATTGTGAATATGGCAGACGGTAGCAGACTCGACCGACAGCGGTGGTCGCTCAGGAGGAGGAGGTGCTCGGTCACGGAGGGCATGCGCAGGCAGCAGCGCAGCGCCATTTGCTACGGTCACATGTACCGTGACCGTGAAGACATACTGGCGCGCGCGCCGCGTCGGGACCGTCACTGAGGTCGCCAGCAATGTTACCTTCATCCCTCCTCGCTCGCTGCTCATCATCAGCGCCCCGCATTCCATCGGCTCTCCCTGCTCTCTCTCGTAGATATGTCACTAAATCGACCCCGCGACCTCTCCTCGGCCGGTACGACCACGTACCCATAGAGCTCGCCCGCGTACAGTCCGGGAACAACGTCACCCTCCGCGACTACCAGCAGCAAAAGGCGTTGAAGCGTTTCAGCTATGACTTGAAATTAAACTCGGATGGTGTTGTGTCGGCTGCTAGCAGAGATAATTACATTGGTACGTCGTTTGTGAATAGTCTGTTCCGCGGAGGCACGCAAACGCTACTCCGTCGCGACTGTGTAATGCAGTGACTTGACGTATTGATAGGTCCGAATGGGTGCACTCTGAGACCGCCGTTGTCGCCAACATTCCAAGAAAATGCGCGCAGTGCCAGGGGTTACAATATCCTGGTATACGTACTTAAAGAAGGTATGCTAGTCTGTGTGCCCTTTTGCTCCACGGTTCTCAATCTCTCTCTCGTGTGCCTCTTCTCATCCGATCGAACTCTGTTATTTCCGATTCTCTTCGGCCCGTAGTCTCTACCTTACCATTATTGCACTGACGTTGTTGTCTTTTCGCGACAGGGACACCCTTACCTAAAACGCTCACAATTCTCCATGAGCATTCGGACGTTTATTCTATTCAATGCGTGGAGCCCATGGCACTCGGCGGTAAGCCTCTCATGTTCTCGTGCTGTCTTCAAGTACACATTGTCACCCAACAGACCTCAATGCGGAGCTCACTAAGTTCATCAACGAACATGGTCGGATGCTGAACAAGGAGCAGTTCGACGCGGAGTTCCCTTTCACGATCTAGGCATTTACTGTGCGTTATGACTACTCTAGCCCTCATTCCCTGGCACGCCGGGATAAAATCATGACATCATAATACTGAACCATGCAACTGACGACGAACTGGGAGCGATTGTGTACTCAGCCGCGCGACACATTTGAAGGTGTGGCCGACAATGGGGGCTGTGCTCACTCAGCTGGAGTGGGACGCATCGGAACTGAATTGAATTGATGTCTGGGCTGCAGTTCATCGCGGTCCCTGGTGATTTGCCGCAGGTGAGCTCGTCGCTTGATCCGAACGAAATAGCCATCCTCACAATGACATGCTTCTATGAAGGAAAGACCAGTCCATCCCCAGAGACAACGGGTTTGTTCCGTTGCATTGTGGATATCCCCATGACACGGTCCTTCAAAGCACCTTAGCAACTCTCTCCGAGCTTCTTGGTCGTCGATTGCATTGATGATGGGAAGCAGCTATCCCCATCTACGGTGACGCACGCGTTCGGCCCTCCGCTGAACGACGACACAGCGAAACAAGTGGTCCCCTGCGAGCATCGTCGTCTTCGACTTGTTTTCCTTCAGTGATTGCTCAATCGCGTCGGTGCACATACGCTCGATGATCGCCCTAGTGCACTTCGCGATGAACAGCTGTGTCATCTTGTCGATGAGCCCCGTCACCGTGCTGTCGATGAAGAGCGTCTTCTTTCTGCCGTCCAGCTATGATGGAAAGTTCAAGCTCTTGCTGCATGAAAGAACTCCCAGAAGACCACGTACCCCAAATGGCACCGCATTTCCCTTGAAGACGGCGATCGCATCCACATGCAGTGCACCTTTCAGCCATAATAGCTTCCTCCTGGCTGTCTGCGAGGCAGACAGCGGGGCCCTACCGAGCGGAGGCGGCTGCCAGACTGCGATATACGCTTTTGATGCGGAAGCCATGTCCGTCCGGTGGCGCTCTGAACCCATCGAAGACACTGTCAGTGTACGATGTCCAGTATGTCGCTGCGCTGGACGTCGTCGTCGCATTCAACACACATGAGAATGGAGATGCTCAGAAGGCGGATTCGTTCACCTGCGTACTCTGCCTCGACCCTAGGACAGGAAGCCGGCGGCGTATGGACGATTAGCCATCGCGCTGGAGGGACTCCGGTGCGATCCTGCGGGCTCAGTGGAATCACAGTCGGTTTTGCGCTCGTCCTTGTATTCCTGGATGGGTCGGCGTGCGTCACCGATTTGCGGCGGTTCCCCTTCCCAAAGAAGTCGACCGATTAGTGGTTGACAAGCCCTTGCGGGAGGGATGCACAGTATCAGCCTTGGGTTTAACTGAGCAAGCGATCGTTCTGTCCGTCAGCGATGCTTCCAGAGGATCAGAGCACGTTCGATATGTCTGTCTCGACCGTAGTGTATAGTAGGGTCACAATTGTGACATTTTCTATGAACTACAAACGAGATGAGACAGACGCCCGTTCAGGTAGAGACAGAAGAGCTCGCTCATACGGAAACTGCAGCACGACAGGAGAAGTTGACTATACCACGGTCTATCCATGGCTGAAACAAGCCACGAAGCACATCCCCGCAGCCCCGGGTCATATTGTCGATGTCCGCCTCGTCCCAACCATGCATACCAAGCAGCATTATCTCCACCCTAATATCCTTCAGCACGTCGAAGTACGATTCGGCCATCACCTTGTGCAGGCTCCGCATGTAGAGCTTGTCGGGCACGTCGCTGAGGTCCTCCAGCGTGTATGTGTAGAGCGGAGTCTCGGCCTTGATACGGATGTGGTTAAGCTGGCCGCCCCGAACGCTCGAGAGAACGCTCCGAAGAGATTCCGTCGTTCTGGAATACAAGACAAGCAACGGCTCGCCCCGCAAATTCGTGTTAGGAAGCCTGAAGTCCAGGGATCGCAACGCTGTGTTGTGAATGAGATTCCCGTTTACGTCTGCGTGGAACGCTGTATGTCAGCACTTAATCAGACTGAACATGACGAAGGGATACTCAACGGTTTAATGGAAGATCTTCAAAGTACTCAGTTATGGATGGTCCCGTGGCTGCGAGGAGCCTGTCGACATGTTCCATGACGTATCCGTCAGGGTCGACTGACCAGACGGAAAGACGACGGAGGGAGGTGCAGATCCCTGAAGCCAGCATCCAGTCGATGACAGTACCAGACGCTCCGGTATCGTTCAGACCGATCGCGAGGTTCTGAAGCCTGACGTCAGACTGTGGGTGGGTGCTGTCTACTCCCGCAGTGCTGGCAGCGTACCGCTGTACCATGAAGATGTCGCCTAAACGAAGGGACTGCAGCTGGGGGAAAGCGCAGATGATGCGCCGCAGTTGGGAGATGTTGCTGAACATACAATAAGCCAGCGTCAACGACTTGAGAGAGCTGATTCGCGACAGCGCGGCGAAGGCAGTCAAGGGCATAGTTCCCGAGTTAAAGTTCTTGATGGTGAGGTTCTGTAGCCCATACATGACGTGGCCTATGGTCAGGGGGAATACGTGAAAGTAGCCTCTTTCCGTTCTTTTGCTCTGCGGTGAGGGATCGTGTATTTGATTGTGCCGGTCCGCGGCGTATAGCTCGCGGGTGGTTGCCAGCCATTTCCTGACGCGCGGTGATGTGCGATACTGCTTGGATAGGAGGGTGAAGCTCGTCCTGTCACGAAGCTCGATGGCGTGGTAGAGGTTGTACATGGCTCGGGGATACCACGCTGTGCAGACCAATGCCGCGGCGGCTAGCATGGGCCCTGCGTCCATGGAGTCAATGACGATCTCGTAGATTTCGGTTGGGATGCGATCGGTGAGCGCTGTAGGAAGAGCAAGAGGTCTGAAGCTGAAATAAGCCCGCTCCTCAGGGCTCAGTGCGTATGCCTCATTCTCGAGTTCGTCAATATATCGAGAGAGCTAGGTTGCTATCGTCAGCTAAACCCATGGATCATAGGCGAGACACGGAAACCTCTCACTTGATCCTCCCACATTGTCGAGGAGCTTTCCGAGTGCGCCAAAATGTTGCTCTCCGTGCGCTCTGCTACCGAGGAAGACGACTGAGCAGGAAGAGCACTCACTGCGTTGGTAGTTGACAATCAAGAAGTGTCGCCCATGGATCGTGAGACAATTGTTCAGTTAGGACACTTTTGTCTGCTGATTGTGCGTGCTTTCCGTTGCCCCGACAGGATGAACAACACAGAGACAACAACGGTTCGATGGAAATGACCCGTCCACTGCCAGGAACATAGGCGGTCGCCGCAGTCGTGGCTTGAAGCTTCGGAAGTGGGCCGTGCCGAGAGCGGCGGCGCCGGGACACACACGGAGATATGTCGGCGTTGCTTCAAGGCCTTTGCCACCTCCTTAATGCGACAGGTTCAAGTTCCTACCTTCAACACGGTTTGAAGGTTTGAACTTTAGCTCCCATGCCCTGTTCGAACCTTCGGCGTAGCATAAACCTGTGCATTCGGCTTTAGAGATCACCGTATCTGTCAATCTCCGACGCATGCTCGCCGCAAATGACCTCTGAAGTGGTCGTCTCAGTTTCGATCGGCCCACGGAGTCAACGTTAACCTACGGCGGTAGCAACTCAAACTGTAGCCTACATAGTACGTGCTTTCATGTACGTCCAGGACCATTGTACTCGAATCATGCTCACCAGTCATATAGCGAACGATTACATGTCGATGGTTAAGCTCAAAGTTCGAACACAGCTAGAAGCACGCTGTCCCGAAAATGTTGGCCTTGAGTACGTCTTGATCACTAGCAGTGAAGTGACGAACTGATGCGTGGGCGCCGAGCGTCCGATGAGGAACCTTGGAACAACCACATTTCACAGTCCTCGGCTTTCTTAGCGCTGTCGTAATGCCATTCAAGGCTGCCGGCGACGTTTGGACTTGTCGGAGGCCCGGGGCTGCCATCGTCCAGCGCGTCTCATGCTATCGTATGCGCTCCTGCGAGAAGAGATTGAACAGATGATAACACAGTTCGGTCCTTGACAACGTACGCTCGCGCTTAATTGTGGTCAATAAACTCAGCACTGTACTGTTCCACCGATAACAGAAGGATCTCTATTGTTTTGGAGGTTTGAACGCTATCAGCAGGAGGGCGCTCCCACATCTTCGTGGCTCGCCGTTGTCATTCAGGCTGTCGAATCAAATGCACGGTGTCCTCGCATGCAGCCGCAAGGTACGTGACCCGCAGACTGAGACACATTCTGGCACCCTAGGTGGCCGCGGTGGACCGTTACATAGTGCCATTGCCGCCCATGCGATGTATGTACATATAGAACAGCTCAGCGTATTTGCATGGACGTGGCGCGCTTCTCCTGCAACTGTGTAAGCCCCCTTCCTCACGCCGATATCCCCGATGGCCTCAGGCACGCCGCAGGTCACACAAGCGGAAATTACCGCACTCAAACTAACGTTTGTGTAATCTCATCTTACAAGCTAAGTATGTTCTGCTGACTTGTAATACTTGTGTAGTTTCGCCAACTCCTGTTGCCAGTTTGCGGCAGCCAGTAAGTCGTCACATCGCTCTTTGCTTAGATCACATTACGTCCGTTGACATCACTAGCCATGATCTTCCATGACCATATGATGACGATCGCTCAGGAAGTGCAATATGTATGGGGCCAGAGACTGTCCGGGGCCGCGCTTATCTTTCTGCTCAACCGATATATGGTCTTGACGCTCGGCGTGGCTATCATCCTACAAGTTGTCCCCTGGGATACCCCTCTCGTGAGCTAGCATCCCTCCCTGTTCGACTTTGACTGACTATAGAATTCGCAGAGGTATGCCATATAGTGCCTCAGGGTGTCACTCATGATTCATATGCCTTGTAGTTGCGAAGCGACAATTCTGCTATACGACGTAGTCTCCATCGCACTGTATATTGTGATTGCCTGTACGTCGCCTCTACGCCGGCGTCAATATCGCGAGGCTGACAGACTCTGCATTGAAGTGTTCTCTGCCCTTCGAGCATACGCCATCGGTGGTCGCAATTGGTTAGCCGCCTTGACTACCCTAAGCCTAGGACTCGCAATCGCAGTCGCAAGCATGGTCTGTCTGCAATGGCGTGCCTCATCCGAGCAGCACTTATTTCCCTCCACAGTATTTCACAGCGAAGTCTTCCTACGCTGATGTTCTCGTGATTGAGCACATGTCCGTCTGCAATTACACAGAGTACTACTCAGTAGAGTCTTATAATAAGTACGTCTATACGATTTCCACGTAGTGATGATAATTTGAACCGTATCATGTCTGTCGTTCTTAGCGGTGAGTGATAGTAGTTCGTACATTGCAATCGCGCATCGCTGACTAGTACTACATAGCACTCATTGCTACGCGCCTATGCGCAGTCCTGGCGGATGCTCTCCTCATCGGGCTTACGCTCCACAAAACACTTAAGATACAACGCACAATCAATCCCGGTACTTGGGCTCCTCTTACGAAGTCGTTAGTGAAGGATGGTATGTTCTACGGTACAGATGATCTTCAATGACTGAACATATGTCGCTAGGCTCATTATATTTTATGTGAGTCTACACTTCGAAAGGCAAACCATGATCACCTACTCTGTTTGTGCAGCTCCTTGCTGTTTCTCAACGTTCTGCAGATGGTGCTGAAGTCAGTTAATGGGGTATAGTAACCGTATTATTCTGTCAAATGGCCTGCGAATTACTAATGGAAACCTACAGGCCCTCACAAATTATGTTTCTGTGTTCGTCGCACCGTGAGTCCTTGATATGATCCATGTGGTCACGATTGCCGTACTGACTTTCCGCCGAAGCGTCTCATCCATATTGATTTCGTGGTTCATGCTCAACCTCCGACGTACCTTTCGCTGGCAATCCATGGGATTCAGCGCAGGCACGGTCGGAAATATGGGCGAGCCACTCGACCGACGCTGGCCCTCAGGCTTGGACGACTCCGATACCTCAAACGGCTTCGAGATGGTGTCTAGCTCGCTGCCGACGTTTAGACTGCGAGCGAGTGACTCTCTGAGTCTCGAGGTTCCCATTGTGGATTCAACGCCGGATGATATACAGCTCAGTGCCGTACCATAACCCCTCGATCGACAGGTTTACGGTGGCTATGTCGGTGGGCATGGTCATGTACTGGCTTGTACGTTACCAAGAGCGCAGCGGGTGACGATGCGCCGTCCATGGAGATTCAGAACCGTCCATATAGATTCAGAAAGCTGCTTCGTAGATACTGTAGTGCTATGTACATAGAGTGACGACTTAGAGTCCAGGCTTGATATGTGACGACATGGAGCCCACCTCTCTGAATCTGACAGTGTTGCGGGGCGTCTGATCCGAGGCAGGGACAACATCCAGTAATTAGTAATCTCTGTACTGTGTACAGCGCATGCGTGATCCTTCAAGTACTCACTAACGGCACCGCTGATATAGGCTATCCTGTTCCACATGTACCACAGCTTGCCAATGAGCACCGCCTTATAAGCTTGCAAGTTATGTTCCACTACATCCATTGTCTCCGTACTTCGGTGCCGGGAGAGCACAAGCGCTGTGACTCAAGCCTACATCCACTCGTGCTCAGGTCCATCAGTGGTATCTGACATCATGGTGCGCTATGCGTCGAGGAGTACTAGAGGCTACGTCCGATACGGATCGCAGAACGTCGAAACCTTGCCTCTGTATGTCATGTACTTACGTTGTTACATGACAGATCGCATACCGATCGCTCAGCCACCCGTCGGCGCGTCACACTCACACGGTTCAAGTTGTGCGCCTGTGCGCCAGGGCCGGCATTCTCAAGATTTCCTGACATTCTGGCCTCACACTGGCATTAAACATCCGAATGCTGTGATACCCAGTGCCGGATTTAAGGTGCTTTCGGTGTAACCCTTCAACCTAGCTGCAATCTAGCAGAAACACTCGATGGACAGGGACTGGATACACCAAGGGTGCGCCGGGCTCTGTAGTACTTGAAGTACTACTATACCCATCCCTCCGACGCGTAGCCTTTGTCGTTCTAATGTCTTCACTTCGGGACGGTAGATTGCGGTGTATATGGCATGTGAGTGTGCGCTCGAAAATTTCTTCCTACGACTCCTGATGCTTCAATCTTTGAACAGATGAGATATGCTTCTGTTCTGTCTTCGTCATTGGATTCGACATGGTGGGGTCGTAGACGCCACAGGATCGGCCGACCTATCGCACCTCCGAAAGGCTCGATGTACGAACATGTATGACTGGTGGGCCCCTGGTATCTATAGCCTCCGAGGCGCGCGTCATCGTGACAGCCTGCTAGGCTGGTCTCCGAACTTTGCGGCATCGAACAGACACCGATTTTATGTCATGAATCGGCTCCGTACCACCGAAGAAAACCATCTCCATGCCGAGACCGCGGCTCACCACATCGGTTATTCATTGACTAGTTGATTCTTGTGTGTTTTTCTAACAATTTTGATTCTTCTGAAGGGTCTCGAAGACAAGATTGCCGACTCAGGCTGACTGACCTCATCTGTCCTTCACAATGCTCGTTCAACAGCAATACCGGAGGGCCATACGCCGCAACAATCTTACCCTGCATTCTCCATCCGGACTCATATGAACACCGAAAACGGCCGATGCATGAGAGGATCGGTGCAGTGACTCGACGCCGGGGTGACATCTGTTGTGAGTTCGATGGCGTATGTCTTGAATCTTCTTCTCCGTCAGGCGGCTTACATTGCATCGTTTGTAAGCCTGATACGGAGGCGTTGCGAAATGGACGCGCATTACAAGCCCGGGTCGAGGCACGGATCGACTCGGTTGCACACATACAAATAGTGCAGTATGTCACCGCCATTGTCCTTTCTTCATACCCCGCACCGCAACTCACCATGCCTGATAGCTCAATCATCCCTGTGCTGATAGTAAGCGCAAACACCAGTCATATCACAGCTTCCTCCATTGACAAGCAACACAGGTTGGGGCTGGGCCCGTAGGCCTCATTGCTGCACTCACGCTTCGCAAGAACGGTGTACCTGTGCGTATCATTGAGAAAGATTCAAGGGTGCATGTTGGGCAGCGCGGCGCGGCAATCATGGTAAGCGTACTGAGTATATGTCTTGTCACCGAGGGCTTTTGACGTTCATATACTGGTTTCAGCCTCGTACTCAGGAGATCTACAAGTCCTTGGGAATTCTGGATGATATACACGCGAAGGCTACGCCAATGAATCAAGTGCGAATGTATAGGCTGCCAGATGGTGTTGAACCTCTCACGACGTTCGTGGTGGAACCAGGGGCGGAACCTAGCCCCGCCAGGCCTTATGTACGTCGTTGAACTATTCTCACCTTCATAAACATCCGGAATTGAAGCCATCTACATTGTAGAGAAACACGTCTATGTTGGGCCAAGACCACACGGAAGAGATCTTGCGGACACACATCGGACGCTATGATTGTCAAGTGGAATTTGGGACCGCCCTAGCCGGCTTCCGGCCGGAGGATGGCTACGTCCTAGCACACGTTGTCAAGATGGTCGGTGATAAGGAAATACTCGAGATTATCAAATGCCGCTGGCTCATTGGCACTGATGGGGCCAGAGGTAAGTTCTCATCACGGATTGCTGAAAGACGTACGGACTTGATCGGGCTCCATATCTGCAGGAATCGTCAGGAAGCAGCTCGGTCTTGCCTTCAACGGCGAAACGCTAGGAGCGACCCACCACATGGTCATCGGAGACATTGAAATGAAAGGACTCGACAATAAAGTACGCAAAATGTTGCATAATGATCTTCTCTTATTGACCATGCATAGTACTGGCATTACTGGGGGGATATGAGCACCATCATGTGAGCAAGTCGTTCCTCACAATAGCCATGTCACAGACTTAAAAACGTGGAAGGGTCATGCTCCGTGCGACTGAGGACGACGGCATCTATTTCCTATTCATAGGAGGTCATATTGACCATGCGAAGGTCGTCGCGGAGCGGGCGGAACTGGAGAGAGTCATCAGGATCGGTACCGGTCGCACGGACATTCAGTTGGGGAAGGTTCGCTACGTCGCGCAATACAGGTACCGATACTTCGTTCGTTTTGTTGATGCATTGGAAGAACTTTCGTAAACAGGCCCCATGTTCGAATGGCCGTGAACTTCGGCAAAGGCCGGGTCCTTATTGCTGGTGGTAATTAACCTTCTATCAGCGTCGATGTCGTATTCACTGGCCTCCTTAGACGCCGCGCATATCCACAGCCCTTTTGGCGGACAAGGGCTCAATTCAGGTGTTCAGGACGCTGTGAGTTGCTCTCATGCAAGAATATCATCCAGCGGACTAATCCCTCTATGTGTAGGTGAACCTCGCGTGGAAACTCTCCCTGGTCGAGAAAGGTGTTGCAGCCCCTTTACTGCTCGATACTTACGCGGAGGAGCGTATCCCAGTCATCGCAGAGATGCTCAAGGCAACCACAAAGCTGTTTGACTCCGCCATGCACGTCAAAGCATGGGATAGCGCAAACACCGAGAAAGCGTGGCGTCGGGGCGGAGAGCTACACATGTTCGGCGTAAACTACCGCTGGAGCTCAATCGTGGTCGACGAGCGCACGCCAAAGGAGGAGATACCTGTCGACCCGTACGGTGTGTCGTACTCGGCCACGGACATCGTGCGGGCGGGTGATCGTGCTCCCAACGCGCCTGGCCTTATCATACTCGATTCCACTGGCGGGCAACAGAGGACAACGGCGACGTCGCTGTTCGACATATTCGGACCATCCTATCATACTGTCATGGTCTTTTGCGACGGGACAGACAAGCCAGACCAAATCTGGTCGTGCTTGGGGGCATATCCTTTGGAGATCCTGCGCAAAGTGTTGGTCTGCGCCCGGTCTGACGACACGCGTTCTTGGGCAAATATCGTGAACGCTGATGTGGCCGTGGTCGACCGAGACGCGCACGTACACGCGGGATACCAGGTACAGGAGGATGAACTCGTAGTAATCATTGTTCGACCAGACGGCATGATAGGAGGGATAGTCCGCAGTGCGCACGGAGTGAAACAGTACTTCGACGGAGTCTTCGGTGCGTTCTCAGGCTGAACCTCATTGCAAAACCACTACACAGTTTTACTGTTATGCACAATCCGCTTCAACTTGAAGCAGTGTTGAGACCGTGACTGCTGCCTGTATTTTGACATGTGCTATGCCAATACTCCCTACTCACAAGAGCTGACCACACATCGGGATGACGCAAGAGGCTGTGTGCATTCAGTAGTCCATTGCATCCGGCCCCCGCTAGCAGCCTAGTAGTTCGGCAGGATCATCTTTACTGATTGACATTGTAGACCTCGCAGTCACTGGCATGATCTAATTGTCATGTAAGTCAGCTCACGACGTCCGCAAACAGCAACTTCTCAAAGCGGAACAAGCAGACCTACGCGAACGGAAGATGCGATCTGGAGGACGCGTTCTTATAACGGTATGTATGCTATACGGCAAGGAAGGGCGCCACACCAGCAGCCATTTGTTAGTAAGTGTCATTGTCTTCCACGTTCGCTGGCATGCACATACAGAACCACAAGGTTCAGTTCCGTTCAATCTCTGTCGGTCTGCCCACCACTACTAGTCGCACTTCCTGTTGGAGTTCGCAATCTCGTGCATACAGACGATATAAGCTCGCTACTGTTTTGTATGTACCTCACGCGTTTGACAGAGCTCAGACAAACGCGATATTCTCCGCGGTCCCTACGAGAACCTTCAACACTTCTCACCCGGTGGAACCAGCGTCACATGAGTGTACGCAGGGAAGCACTGTGCATTGGACACCGTTACGCAAATGTTGAACCCAAAAGCTGTTGCGACGGAATACGAGCCGCTCGACACTGAGTTCTTCGAATTGAGCGCCGCCGCGAGCGCCGCCTTGCATATCGCAGCGACCATGTCCTTGCTGTACATGTGTGCCAGGTTCGTTGCCTTGCCCTCCGCGTTGTTGTCGATCCAAAGCGTCTTTGTCTTCGACTAGAAGGCACGTTCAGTGAACAGGCAAGGAAAGCACATAAGGCGGGCTAGCTCACCCCAAGCTTTACTTGTGCGAGAGATGTCGCCGTGTCGATGGTCATGTGCTCAACGCTGTCTTTGTTTTTTTCATGCGAGAACCAAGTCGACGTGAGATGCCGGCCGGAATTTGGATTTTTGTCATTGCCTTTCAGAACGTGTGATTCCATGCCCTTCCATTTTTCATCCACAACTGCCCTCACGGCGAGAGTGAGCCTTCGTACAGCAAGGATCTGTTGTGTGCAGATGAACAATGTTGCTTATGTACCATTCATGACACTTTAGGTACGTACAAAGGATACCTTGTTGCACTGAGCTGCAGATGCGGCAAGAGTACCGGAATGGCCGTCCTTCGCAACACAATCTCGTGTATCGAGCGAGAACCCGCAGTGACTCGTACGAACTACAGCAGTGATAAGTATGACAGTATCAGCATTGCCAGGACGATGATAACGCACCACAAGAGTCGCAGTCCGTTTGTGTCGCGCAAGACTCGACACGCGGGGCGGCCTGCACCAGGATGGCAGTGCAAAGAAGAGCAAAGAATGAGAGGTAAGCAGCAGTAAGACGCATGGCAGGTGTCGTTGCACTCTTGAAGGAATAAAGGGCTGTTCACTGTGCTGAATGCGGTGAGAAGGAGATGAATCGAATAGTCGAACGTATGCGAAAGCGAAGCAGCACGAGTGATGGGGACCAGCCTGGCTTGCACCACTGCTCTGTCCTACCTCTTGTACCCGTAGATGGTCAACATGGCTATGCGACAGCTCATCGAATGTTGTTGGACATTGTGCCAGCAGACCCGCTGAGGCGCTCAAACAGCGCCACACAAGATGACAGATTGAGATGATATATGCAAGTCTCGTATGTGTCCTAGACCTGCTATTTCTGTACTACACAGCATATAAGCCAACATAGCACAGAGCGCATACAAAGAGCACTCACCTAGGGAGTGTCACAAACCCTATGCCATTGCCAGCATGCAGGGCCGAACGTAAAGCGTGATACTGGTATCCAGAGAGAACTGTTGTTTCATTGCACCTCACCTCCCCGTTAGATCCTGCCTCCTCCTGCCCAGGACTGACAGACGGACACAGCGCTGGCTGTCGCACTAGGCTGTCAACGCCGACACTTGAATTTCGTCACGCCTACCGCAATCAAACGCTTCAGGACCTCCCCAGCGTATTTGCGAGTCGGGGCCTGACGCACAGGGACGCGCGGCACTGCCGCTTGTAGAACATGTTGAAGTTGGCGCGGTCAAGGATCACGACGGGGCGGTAGAGATTATGCATGGCGCGAGGGTACCACGCCGTGCCCTAGACCAACGCAGCGCTGGACAGCGTAGATCTGTCTATCTGGTCAACTCCAGTGGTCAACTCGAAGCCCTCGAGCGGGGGTGTGTCGAGAGGGCAAGCCAGGGGAAAGCGACAAACTACCAGTACTGTTTGTTGGGAAGTAGCGGCATATCCACACGTCCCGGCTGTGAATCTGTCTGCGTGGCATAGTACTTGGCTGTATTCAAGTTCGGGAGTCGGGACGACGACGAGCAGAGTTACTGTATAATCTCGCGCCACAAGTTACCGGAGTCAATCTTGCGCAAACCTACGCACCCACTTGCTATCAGATGTACTGATAACACTGACTCGCAAAGACGACGTACAGTTGCCGGACTATTAGTAGCTATAGCTCTCGAGCAATTTGAATGATCGTCAGTAAGTTACTGACCTGCAGCAGCTCGAGCCTGGGCCATGGTTGCACGTGAGCGGACATATCAACCAGTAAGTCCGATTGTTCCGCCTGGTGCCTGGCGCCAATGACGTTACCGCGACTGTCGACACTCAGTCTAGTGTACCGAACTTGGGTTGGGCAAGACCGTGCGTGTATGATTGCAGTCTCTTTACGGCCGTTCTCTGGAACCTCACTCGAACAGGATAGATCTCAAGCGTCTGCTCAGAGAAGAATAGCCTGTTGCTGGGCAACTCGACGAGGAGCACTCGGGTAGACTGCGCGGCCACAAGTGCACACTGGACAACAAAATGCAACTGCCAACTGGCGGCCGCACCATCGTCTGGTCTTCGCATTCTGTGGACGAAGATCCCAAATATACAACTATCGCAACAATGAAAGTCGAGTTTGTCCTACACCAAACCCACACAGGCGAAGACAATGTAAACCGTCGTTGACGTTCGCTGAAACGCCAGGTTTGACACCAGTTGTCAGGCGTTTGAACAGAACATGACTAACGACAGCTCGCGATAACGGTGAGCAGTGAGCGCGAACTCTCTCCGACAGGGTCCGGGGTCGAGTACTTAGGCTCTCGCTCGGAGTCATAGTCGGCTGACCCACTCTTGTAAGCCCCAAGCGCCGAGACGGCGTGGATTCGCCTTCAGTAGTGTATGGCGAGCACAGATATAAGGACAATAATGACGTGCCGCTGGTAGCATTTGGTCGGAACACTGGAACAACATGGTTTTGTAGAGGAGGAAAGGTACAGTGACCATCTGAGTCTGAACAGGCCATAGTCTCACATTCTGACAGATCATCGTCAAGGGATCAAACCTAGGCCGAGAATCTTGCGCTTGCAATGACGCAGTATATAGAGCTTTGCTCTCTGACTCGGCGTTGATCGTGCTTGTCCCCTTCCACGTCCTTCGAGAGTGCGCCAGCATGATGGACACAAGGAGCCAACAGCCCTTCAGTCTTTCGAGTTGGTCCGTGAGCATCCAGGGAACAGTTCAAAATGCCTTCGCCGAGGCGCGAAAGGCTTGCAATCACAGTGTTTCTGTGCTCGGGCTGAGTGTTGCACAAGACGGAATCAAGTACGTTCGGCACTCCATTCATGTATTGACTGACGGGTTCACAAAACACATAGCTTTGCGGATTCCACAATGTCTTGGCCCTGCAGTGTTGCTGCGCTTTCGGTCCTAGTTAGTGCGTTGCAGGGGTACGGTCGACCCGCGGGGGTCACGGGTACGGGTACATGAGGGTAGGGGTACGGGTAGCCAAATCGGGACCCGTGGACCCGCCCATTACCCGTTATGGAAAGTTGTGTCGGCCAGCCTTCGGGCACTCACCACCTGCTCAGATCTTCATCTGTGGCCCTTACTCTTTGCAGCAAGCCAAGCCAGGCCCCGGTAGAATATAATATACATTTGTACAGATTACATGATTGCATAAGCCACGGCCACGCCAGCAGGGCCCTCAAAAGCTTTTCCCCCTTGAGCTCCCCACAATTCCAACCTCCCATCATGTCCGGCAGCCGTGTCAGCAACAGACCTAAAATCCCATCTGAAAAACGACGGGCCGCAGAGTCACCCCCAAGACCTGCAAAGGTGTCGAAAAAGGCACGTACCGACAGCGCTGACCCTTAGCCTAGCGCGAAGGCCTCAACGACGAGCGCGAAGGGTTCAGCGGCGACCACGAAGGGATCAGGGGCGAGTACGAAGGGTCCAGCAGCGAGTACAAAGGGATCAGCGGCGAGCACAAAAGGCACGGCAGCGAGCAGTGCGAAGACTTCGCAGCAGCCGCGCCGCTCTGTTGAGATCGAGGACGTTGACGACATTGATGATGTGCCCCCGCGCCGGAAGGCAAGCGAGCCAATCAACGTCAATACGTCGAGCTCGGAGGATGAAGGTAGTCGGCGTGCAGGCAGCTGCACTAGCAGCGGCGGTGAGGATCTTGCCGAGGAGACAGCAGAGGAGGAGCTATGTAGGTCGTCATCATGCATGCATAACACTGTATGCTAACTCACCTTGTAGCGCGCATGAAGCGCAAGTGGACGGCGCCGGTGTATGCCTTCTTCAAGCCAGACCCAGCGATTGAGTTTGTTGACGGACGGCGTCTCCATGCCTTCCGATGCGCAAACACCGGCTGCAAGCACGTGGTGCGCCGGTATCTTACCTCGAAGGATGCCAGGTCGACGAGTAACTTGCGTAAGCACGTCAAGAAGTGCTGGGGTCTTGAAGCGCTCGAGGCAGCCGACCGGATGTCGACGTCGTCGAAAGCGAAGGAGAGCGTTGAGAAGTATAAACGGACGCAGAACCTGAAGATGGCCTTCGGCGCGGCGAGCAAGAAAACGTTTCGCTACTCAACGGTTCAGCATACACCATCAGAGACGCGGTGAGTGGGAACATACCGCGGGAATCAATTGATCTAACATTGCAACCAGTGCGGAGATTGTGCGTTGGGTCGCCGAAAGCATGCGGCCCTTCAACATCGTGAAGGACCGCGGGTTTGAGTGTTTGATAAAAACAGGGCGGCCGGAGTACAAGCTGCCGTCGCCCACGACGGTTGGATGCGATGTTCGTAAGGTGTTCACGCGTGTGCGAGAGCGTGTAGCGCACTGGTTGCAGGCAAGCATGGATGAGCTGTAAATAGAGGCCGAGAATAATTTAGCTCACGCACCGATAGGAGTATGATGGAGAATTGAATTTTGCTACCGACGCGTGGACCTCCCCGAACCAGAAGGCGATGGTGGCATTCACCGTGCACTTCGAGCACCAGGGGGCCCCGATGACGATGATCCTTGACGTCGTCGAGGTGGCTGTATCCCACAGTGGGCTCAACCTCGCAACCGCCTTCTCGGACATGATTCACGAGCTAAAATTAGACACAAAGGTGAGCTCATTGACCCACACATTACTTAAAGTACGACTGACTTACCTGCAGATGCTCGGCGTGACTTGTGACAACGCATCGGCGAACGATGTGATGATTGAGGAAATGAAATTGATGATCTTGTCGTTCCGGGGTGGCCGCGCGCGCAGCAGGTGCTTTTGCCACATTATTAACCTGGTGGCAAAGATGGTTCTGCGTCAGTTTGAGCCACCGAAACGCAAGAAAAAGAACAAGAAGGGAACAGACGTGCACCTCGATGAAGACGACGATCCAGATCTTACGGATTGGGACAAGGAGCTCAACGATCTCATGGAAGATCTCGACTTTGACGACGAAGACGAGAACGTTCCAGGAGCGGACTCGCTGGATGGGTTTTACGATGTCCGGGACGATCTCGACGCCGCCAAACGCGCGTCGATGGAGGCCGAGGTCAAGCCCGTGAAGATGATGCTACTCAAGGTGAGTACGACCAGTGAATGCTTCGATTAGATTACTCACCTTTGTATAGCTCCGCAAGATCTCTATTTCCATCCATCGCTCGACGACGCTCCTCCTCCCGACGTGGACAAGACTCCTCGAGGAGATGAAGCTTGCCATCCGAAAGCTCCCGCGCGATGTTTGCACGCGGTGGAACTCAACGTTCCGAATGCTTGAGGTTGCGGTGGAGTACAGGGCTGCAATAGAGAAGATGACGGAGGCGCAGGCCAATGGCCTACGGAAGTGGGAGCTCGACAAGAGAGAGTGGACGCTTGCCACGCAACTGCGCGACGTGCTACAGGCAAGTCGCTTAGTCACCTTGTGGGTCCACTGTTTACTTACCGTATTTGTTTGACAATACCTGTTTGGGTCATTGTGCGCTTGCTGCCTTGTCCGCATACGTCTTGCTTGTCTCGCTATTACCTCGCTGTCCTACATTCGACTTGCTATCCTGCTCCTCTCCCGCAACCATCAACTCACTACCCGGCTACTTGTCTTGCCGTCTCGTCATCCACGACACTCCGGGACCTGTGTCCTCACCGTCACTCTGCTGCCACGTCGCGGCTACTTCAACATTCTGCGCTCGACACGCTGCACGGCCGACCTACAATCGACTTGCTCTGGACCGCCAACATGTTGTACATGGGCTCCCACACCTTGCGCTGTGGGCATCCTCGTGCACGTCTGCCTCTCGCGACTGCGGCCAACCTCGCGCGCGTGCCCAACCAGGTGTTCTATGATGCCACCCAGTACTTCTCGCGCGCGGGCAAAGATGCTCCCGACCTCACCGACGTCATCCCGGCTATGGATATCATCGACCAGAAGCTCGCGACTGGCTCACTCAATCAAGCCCTCGACCCTGCCATTCGTGTTGCATTAGGATTAGGCAAGCGTTCCGTGAATCACTACTACAACAAGACCGACGAGTCCGCCGTCTATCGTATTGCAATGGGTGAGCGTGCTTAGTACCTCGTCTGATACCATTGCCGCTGACATTTTGTTTGAGTGCTTGATCCCCGCCATAAAGTCCAGTATTTCCGGGACAATAATTGGCCGGAGGAGTGGATTGCGCAGGCGCGCTTCCTGGTGCGGCAGGCCTACGACGAGGACTGGAAGGGTCAGGCGGTGTCGCACGAGGAACGAGAGGGTGCCGAGGAGCCACAGGTATGTTCCCAACTCATCATTCCAGATCTTTCGTTGCTTATGAGCTCATTGTCGTGGTGCATGTAGCCGCCGACGGACGCGCAGCATGCCACATCATCCAAGAAATCAAACATGTTTGACGCTGCGCGTGCAAGCCGCAAGAAAGCTGCTGTACCCATCGTCGACGAGCTCGACCACTATTTGAACACAGACGCCAACCCTGCCATCGACAGCGCGCTCGGCTGGTGGACCAGCCACGAGCAACGCACGACGTATCCCAACCTCTCTCGCATGGCGATCTCTTATCTCACAATCCCTCGTAAGTGCATCTTCACACGTTAAGCATACACTAGTAACTGACGTCTTGTATCCTGTCGTTTATAGCTACGTCCGTCGCTGTCGAGCGACTGTTCAGTAAGGGCCGGATATTCATTTCGCACCTGCGAAATGGACTCTCGGCAGCGTCTATCCGCGCGCTCCTGTGTCTCAACAACTGGAGCGTGCTCGGCTTCATCAAGGACGAAGACGTCATGTCCGTGGTGCGTGAAGACCCTTCTGGGGAGCTTCCCGAAGACGTTGAGGACGTATGGGGCTTCTCGGAGCCGCGTGAGGATGCTATCTTCTTTGTCTGATGTCTGAATGTAGTGTACAACTTGTATCAAGATTACATTAGTTTATGATGATACTGAGGCTGGACCACTGCGAAACCCGCGGGTACCCGTGACCCGTGACGACCCGCCGTACCCCTGTGTGACCCGTACCCTCTGGGAGGGTACGTGACCCCTGCGGGTAGGGGTACGGGTACATGCACTGGTACCCGGGGGTATACTCGCGCAATGCACTAGTCCTAGTACTACTAGTGCAGCTGACCTTGCATATTCACACTCAGAGGACCCGGAAGACATACACGAAGCTTGCGCAGTCAGAACCACCACCGATATCCGAAGCTCTTCAAGCTCCAGAGAGCGAAAACGTGACAACGCTCGCACAGCACATCAAGAAACATGGCGGCGCTTCGATCATCGTGTTCAACCTTGTGCGTTCTGCGTCAACGTTGGCGTTACTATGCATGTCCGTATACAGCGCAATCAAAGTCCCGGACCATTCTACAACTCCGGGACCTCGGAGCTTCGAGATTGTCTTCCACGTCAGCACCTGCATAACCTACGTGAGCGCCTTCCTATACTTCGTTTTTGTGCCCAGTCGAGACGATCTCGTAATCTAGTTGTATGCATCAGCCCTCAGTGTTGTCCCCCTTCTTGTAGGTCCGATCCTTAGCACGACCATCGTTCGCCACCTCAATTGTATCTTGTTCACGGCATGGTCGGCCTATGCGTATCGTGACCTCTGGCCCTTGGCGACCTTCACACTCGTACCCATGGATCTCGAGGAAGGCGCGCTGCTATGGGCCAAGCTATCCCTGCTGACCGTCAGCGGTATCTTCGTGCCTATCCTTATTCCCCGATGGTACATCCCCTTCGATCCAGAGGTGCGGCGTCAGCGTACTACGCAAGGAAGAGAAGACGGCTGACATTTCTATAGAACCCATGGCCTGTCCCGTCCCCGGAGCAAACCAGTTCCATCATGTCGTTCCTACTGTACACCTGGCTCGAACCGACTGTCAGGCTTGGATCGCGCGTCAAACACCTCACTATCGACATGCTGCCTCCTCTGGCCGACTACGATGAAGCGCAGAATCTGATGAAGCGCAGTGCCGATGTATGCATACCAATTGGTGGCGGCGAGGCAGGAGCTGACATATTCGGAAGGAACTCGACCCACTAAGAGTCAAGAAGAAGGGCAGGCATCTGATGTGGGGTATTCTGCGTGTCTTTCGTACGTTCAAATTCGTCTTGCAGGGCAAGACTCACACATGTTGATTACGTCCAACAGGGACGGATTGGATCGTCATGGCTTTCGTGACGACTGCAGATGTACGTCTGCAGTTCCTCGCACCAATATACCTGTACACGCTGACAACCTATCGCACAGATAGCCATGGAGTTAATTAGTCCGCTCGCTATCCGATACATCTTATTGTGAGTACAATATCTTCACTTCATTTCCTGTTGCAATCATGTTGGCTCAGGTACATCGAGACGGACGGCGTCGGCGCGATAATCCGGCCCTGCTTCTGGATCACGATGCTACTCGTTGGAGATATAGGCGACTACGTCTTAGGATCCATCTACATCTACATCTCCGTGCGTGAGCCTGCTCTTCAGCCCGCAGGTGACTACTTACCGTCATTTGCTCAGTCGAGGCTTCTGACCCGAGTCGAGGCGATCATCACACAGCTCGTCTTCGAGCACGCCCTGCGTATGCGCATGAAAGCAGACATCTCGGACGATGTCGGAAACAGCGAAGGCAACATCACTGCTTCTGGGACGCTCGACACGGCATACGATTCGGAGTCCAGTGCCACCGCTGCCCAAGAGATCGGTAGCGACAACGACAGTGATTCGTCAGCGGGCAAGGGCAAGCAGAAGTCCACTACGGCGCAGACTATGCCTTTGCCCGGACACAGTGAGAATACAAACAAGGCCGGAGTCCAGGCGAAGGTGAAGCGTCGGGACGACGACACTGAGGGAAAGAACGTTGTCGGGAAGATCAACAACCTCATCTCGTCCGACCTCGCCTCCCTCAGCTTGGGAAGGGAGTTCTTGGCTATCCGTGCGTGTATACCGCTGCGGAGTACTTCTTTGCTTGCTCAATGTCTTGCTGCACAGTCGTTAGGTTTCCTGTCAAGCTTATTTTCAGTATATGGTTCTTGTATGCTGTTCTGGGCTGGAGGTGAGCGTGTTCATTACGACGCAGAACACAGAGAATGAACCAGATCAACAGTGCATTTGTCGGACTTGCCTCTATCATCGTCTTGTACCCGATCCCCGGTATGCTTGCAACAGTAGTCCGCGACACCCAGATAGCGAAGATGAAGAAGGTCTAGTCAATCTCTCGCGCTTTGGTCATTATTATTCTGACGCAGCGGCACGACACCTTAGACCGACGCCCGCGTGCAGACCGCGACAGATAGTAAGATCGATATCACTCTGTGTATACATACTTACTAATCTCTTGTAGCTATGAGCGTCATTCGCATGATCAAGCTGTTCGGCTGGGAATCCCGGGTAGCCGCGAAAATTGGGGATAAACGTGAGGAGGAGCTTCAGTCCGTGAAGAAGAATCGGGTCGTCGACCTTGTCAACAACAACTTGACGTGTGTGACAAGTCACCCGTTCACCTTGAATTCGGACTGACTTGCTTCAAGTCACATCATCCCTCTGTTAACCATGGCGGTGACCTACGCGACATACGTGAGTTTGCTTGGTCAGTAAAGATGTAAAGTACGGTCTGACAATGACTGCAAGACAATAATCATGAAACGAGGCCTCACTGGTGAGGTGGTTGCTAGCTATACGTGCACACTGGCATATCTTACGTTGCTTCATAGCCTCTGTCGTCTTCTCATCCATGACCGGTATGTCCCATGATCCCGGGCAGACTATATGACACTCATCCATGTGCAGTATTTGACTCCCTCCGCCATTTGATGCACATGGTCTTCGATTACGTGCCTATGTTGATTCGAGGTAGGTCCATATCTCCGACAGGAGACGATTCACGATGCTGACATTCGCACTAAAGCCAAGGTATCGCTGGATCGAGTCGATGACTTCTTGCAGGAGGTTGGTTTAAGTTATCTCTACCCGATAATTAACGAACATTGATAACGACACATCACGCCGCAGGCAGAGCTCCTCGATCAGTACTCTGAGCAGTCTGATGAGTCCCATACGCACATCGTCACCCAGCACGAGGAGGACGTGATTGGCTTCCGCAACGCTTCATTCACCTGGACAAAAGAAGCCAGCAGTGTTCTATCAACTCCCGGAAGCGGGAAAAGGAACTTCACCCTGCGCATCGACGACCTGGTCTTCAAGAGCGGAAGGATCAACCTCATCGTCGGCCCCACTGGCTCAGGCAAGACTTCATTGTTGATGGCTCTGCTGGGCGAGATGCACTACATACCGACGAGCCCCGAATCATTCTACAATCTCCCTCGAACTCGTGGAATTGCTTACGCTGCGCAGGAGTCATGGGTTCAGAATGAAACCATAAGGGTTCGTGATTTGCCACAAACACGAGTACGGTGACCTACATTTGAGCAGGACAACATCCTCTTTGGCGCATCATTCAATGAGGAACGCTATCATAAAGGTACGTTGACATGAAACACGATAGACGACAATTTAACTCACCCACCCCATAGTCATTGAGCAATGCGCTTTGAAACGCGACCTCGAAATGTTTGCTGCGAGTGACAAGACGGAAGTAGGCGAGAGGGGCATCACGCTCAGGTATCATTTCGTGTTTGGACATCGTTGATTGCAATCACTGACTGTCTAAACACCAGTGGCGGTCAGAAGGTACTTACTCGACATTGCGTTCAGTTCATTGAAAATTCATTCATAATCAACCTAGGCACGTATAACGCTCGCGCGCGCTATATACTCGGAGGCGCAGACGTTATTGTTGGACGATGTAAGTGCCAAGTTAAGTTTCATGAGTCCGCAGGGATAGCTTGCTTGCCAGGTACTCGCTGCGCTAGACGTTCACACATCACGATGGATCGTCGAGAAATGCCTCAAAGGTGATCTTGTGTGCGGCCGGACAGTGCTACTCGTTGTAAGTCTAGTTCGCATCTGTTTCAGACTATCTGATTGTGAACCCATGACTTATCGAATACATGGTAGACACACAACATCTTGTTGGCCAGTCCAATCGCCGATTTCGTTGTTGCCCTCGGCGCGAACGGCACCATATCTAGTCAGGGTTTGATCGCAAACGCCCTCGAGCATGACAAGGCGTTGGCTACCGAGGTTGCCAAAGAAGAGGCAGAAATAGAGAAAGCAGAAGCTACCGTCGATGAGCAAGTTCCGGAAGAGGCGACAGAGGACGGCAAACTTGTGGTCGAAGAAGAGGTCACAGTCGGGCATGTTGGTTGGCAAGCGAGTACGTCTTGACTCTTGGCATTTTCCTTGTCCTGGTTTCCTACTGATACGCACATCAGTGAGACTCTATATCAGCAGGCTTGGAGGGAACCACCAAGTCTTCTTCTGGTCAAGTTTTATTGGCGGCCTACTCCTTTCCAGTCTTTTGACCATTCTCGAGACTTGGTTCTTGGGATTCTGGGCTAGGCAATACGAAGAAATGCCTGCGTCGCAAGTTATAGCACCATAGTAAGTTTCCAATGCTTACCTGAGCAACTTCCTGACCGTGTTCCTTCAAGCTTTATTGGCGGTTATGGGTTGATCATGATCACAGCGATTCTCTCCTACATGGCAGCCTTCTATGTCTATATGTACGGGTCACTGAGAGCATCGAGGGTTATGCATAACGAGCTCATTTCTTCCCTACTGGCCGCAACCTTGAGGTGAGCGTGAAGGTATTCTTGTCGCGGCACACTGTTGAACCGTCATCATCAGGAAAGTGCGCCACCTGCCTATGTTGCCTCATTGAGGCAATGAGGCAATTAGACAGTCTGAGACGGCTGCCTCATTCAAGTCTCATTTGAGTAGATTATCTCTCATCTGAGACGCGATGAGGCAATGAGGCTCATAGGGCACATAGACACATGAGGTACTTAGGCGTGCGGGAAAGCAGTGCGACAAAGCAGCAAATATATTTCAGCTAGCCAATATTGTATTTTACAACAGTAGTCCTAATTCCTCGCTGTACCCGTCCGAGATGTGTTCAGCGACCCTATTTGCGAGCGCCATGAGGGCATCCACATCCCACTAGGTCACCCGATGCACACCCGCGCTCTGTCGTCTCCGCATGCTATCCATTGCTGCTCAATCAGCATGAGTTCACCTGTGCAACGTTGATCAGCGTCTCCGACATGTCTAGAATGCATAGGGGCCATGCACCCGTCACCGCGACAACCTCGTCCTTGTTGGCGAGACAATTCTTGTACCAACGCTAGATCGTCGCGCCGCAGTGCACGACCAGCACGTCAATGTTCTCCAGCGAGCGCCCGTAGTCATAATGCTGACTCTGCGCGCGAGATATCTGGCCTTCGCCCGCTGGTTGATGCTGCTGAGTACCACCGGCTCTGCTCAATTGATGGTGAGCCATGTGCATCTCGGGCAAAGCTGAGTGACGCGGGGTTGCGTGGACGGACTCGGTCGGCAGCTGCAGAGCATGGCCTCCAACAAACGAAGATGGCGGGACCTGCGCCTGCACCTGCAGTTGTGAGGGAGGGTCAGATGACACGGGGAGCGGGCTGTCCTTCCACCTCCGCTCCGCAGGACTGAAGAACATACATTGTTGAGAACCCCCGCGGACTGGGCGGAGAAACGGCTGGTGCCGCGGCGCATGGGCGACTCCGCACGGAAACACGGTGCTCACCGCACTGAATAGAACCAACCGTCCTGTAAGAGTCAGCGTCAGTAGGACTCGTTGTTAATGCTACCTTGCCTCGTCAACGTGAATTCACCTCGCATAGCCATAGAACTCACCGCTCTCGTTCCCGCAAAGGTTCACGCAAAACATCTCCTCGCCAGACGGTCGTGATGACGATTCCCTCGCCTTCAACTCCTTCCAAGTTCCGATTGCGGATCCAGCGGACATGCGGACCCACGACGCGCTGCCCGCCCATGCCGACTTTCAGGACATCCTCGTGTCTACGTACGCGGCACACGAGTCGCGGACAGCAAGGGTCGCCCGCGGCCTGCTGCCCACTCGCCCGGGCCCTTACCCATCGCTGTGCGCACCTCAGTGCCCACCATCAGTTTACTGCACGCGTGTGCACACAGAACTCACATTCTATCTACTTGGGGGATGTCTTGCACGGCGATGGTGGGTGCCCGCGACTGCGCGATGTGAGGGTAAGTGCTTGGTAAATGCCAGCAGAGCAGGCCGCGTGTGCGCGTCGACTCCAAGCGCCGGTCGGAGTCGTAATTCAGTTCAGGGCAGACATTCAACGGTCTTCACTCTTCAGCCTTCTTCAGCTTCGGGCAAGCCGCAACAGTCACTTACTGTTGTCGCCGCACAACATCACTTTCCGCCTCGTCAACCGCCCCGGGCGCGCGCGACCACCTGTGCGGCCAACGACGTGCATGGCCTGCACGACTGACAACGTGCGCGTCCCACAATGACCTCCCGTAACGTCCCTGCGCCTCGCGACGTCGTCTGCGCCTGCCGCGCCCCGTCTGCATCCCCGCTTGCATGCTCTATGTACCCACTCTCTCTTACATCCCCGTCCTTTGTTGCACGCAATCGACCGACCGTGCCCGCGCGACATGCGTCACGCGCATCCGCCACCCTGGCCGATGACGGGGTACAGCGTGATGCCCCCGCGCGCACGGTCATGCACCCGCCAGACAAATGGACATGGAGTGCAAGGGCGCATCATGGTGAGCATGGCGTTATGGTGAAAAACGACAGCCTTGCGAGAAGGCAGACACGGCGGGCGGAGGTGCAGCAACGAGCGAGCGAGCGGGCGGTGCGCACGGGCATGGGCACAGGCACGGTAAGCCCAAGCGCAGAACACCTGCGATGATTCAACCTACGGTTCACCGCTCACACGGGCGGTGAATACAGATTTGATCGAGCAGTGGCCGGAATGAGAGCATTGTAGCAATTCAGTAGCGATAGTGTCATACTTAGTACATATACTGATGTATTGCATTCACTGTATTGTCGATCAGTAAGTGCGAAAAATCATGGCCTGCCAAGTCGAAGATTCGTGAGGCAGTGAGACATGTGAGGTACAAATTAGACTGGTGAGGCCGTTTGAGGCCGTTGACATCGGGAAAAACCTCCCCTGTGAGATACCGTGTATGCGCAGACATTCCCAATAATACCCAGAAACGTTGTAGTCTCTGGTATTTCTGCATCATTCTCCGGTAATGGGGACCTTGTAGCAAATCTCGGAGTGAACGTTGATAATGTCCCACTAATCCGCATACTTACTAAGTCGTGACGAGGCCATCAGGGAATTGCCACACGAAGACGATATTATTTCAGTGCTAGTACAGATTGTAGAAGTCGTGTGGGTTCTTGTATTGATTCAAGTAAAACGTAGCACACTCATCCATCACATTCTCGCTTGTCCAATCCACTGGCACAGGCCCACCCCATTTCGGATGAAGGTGGACGCTGCGTTCAAGCAGTGCGAGCGGTACCACCGATGCGATCTTTTCGCGTTCTGTCAATGTCGCGGTTACCTTGTACATTTGGTAATGGGTTTCTGGACCGCGGGGAAACTTAGAGAACCACTCTACATATGCAAGGTGACGTGGACATTGTAAGTTCGGGGCTGAAGGAATCAAATGCTGGCGAACGGCTTCCGGAATCGAGAAGATCGCACGGACTCGACCTATACGCATATCTGCAGAGAAAAATCAGTCACACATCGTCATAGCGCAGCCGTAATAATGTCTGTACCTGATATGCCAATACGAGGGATGGCTTGATTTTCAATTTGCTGAACGCGCACGAGGGCGGTGTCGAACCGAGAAGGTATGAGGATGTCCCTGTTACTCATCAGGAAAACCCTGATTTACTGAAATAGTCTTCAGCTAACATATGTGGATGCCAGCCAACATTTGTAAACATTGGGGCTCTTCTTGCTACACTAGTGACCGGCTCTGACTATCAATGGCTGACTGAAGTAATGCAAAGTGCCACTTGCATAAACTGATGCATCAGGAAAAAAACATATACTATGTGACACAATGTAGTCAATATTGCAGCCATTGTGGCATTGCATAAACCCCTCTACATTGTGACTCATTGCATGGCTGGTTACAACCATTGCAGTCTGTTGCACACCCATTGCAGTCTGTTGCATTCTGCCAAGTCTCTGTTGTACCATATGGTCAACTGTTGCTTGATTGTACTGTAGACCTGTTGTACCAGATATCACATTATTGACGATGTATGTGACTGTACAATACATTCACTCAACGGCATTCACCATGACCAAACACAGATCATGATTAGATGTCAAAATGAGTGTATTGGTTACTAACAAACATATTATATACTCGAAACTACAGTACAGGATGACTACAATATACGGTAAGTCGCGCGGGGTATGAGGGAGGCACTAAAGATGGAGGCGGGAAAGATGGAGGCGGGAAAGATGGAGGCGGGAAAGATGGAGGCGGGCACGACAGGCATGAGGCTACCCCTCTTTGTGCGGTACCACGAGTCCACATGCTAGCGCCGTCGGCTGTGTCTATGCACAGAAGTGCTGGGATGTTGAAAGGACGATACGTTACCCTCGCGCGCTTGGAGCCACGGTGTCAGGCCGGGGTACAACAGCCAAGTCACAAAACAACATGCTGTCTTGACGATGGTTCAGTTCCGGGTGAACCCTGCCAGACCAGACGTGCATACTTGTCAAAGTGCTGTCCAGCAACTGCAGAGAGCTCGAGGGATAATGGCAGTCGCAGAGCTGAGCGCATTGGTCAAATACACATCTTGCCGCGGACTCCGTCGGGTTTAGAGTGCGTGGATGGAGGTGGAAAAGCCAGCATCGAGCAAGTGAGCATGAGGTGAGCGAGCTGATAAGTAGGGAAGCTAGTGTACGCACCGATACAATGTAAGTGAAATTTTTCACAAGCCCACGGGCGATAGCAACACGGTCGCGGCTCGGAAGGAGAGGTACACGATGCGGGAGCGATCATAGACAAGGCAACACTTGTCGGCGCGGTGGCTCCCGCCGCATCTGTCGGCACGGAGGGGTGACAGGCGTGGCTAATGACCGGGGTCAGAATGAGCGGGCACGAGAAGGTGAATGCCGGGGAGAGACTCACGGGGGGCGGACACAGCGGCGGCGGTGCGAGACAGTGACCGAATTGGCGATGAGACGCGCAGTGGCAGCGAGGCGGGATGCACAGAGAGGGACGCGACACACGGTGAGGGCGGGTGAGGGTAGTGAATTGGGCTGTGAGGAAGGTCAGCAGAGTGAACATGATATACGACATACCTTTTGTGCAGCCCCTCAGCCGCGCTAGCCCTCTTCTTTGCACCCGTGTCCTCCGTGAGCACACTAAAGACGCTTCGTTGGTCCTTTTATGTGCTGTCAACTTGTCGCGTTGGACACGCGTTCAAGTTGCATGACATGTCAATGGACCACAGCGTACCTGTATTTCTGATGGGCCCATTACGGGCTTGTCTCTTCGTGGAATGGCTGTACTTGACGAGCTCGAGGCTTTGCGGGCGAGTGACGGGCGAGCAGCGCAGAGCAAGGCTGCAGGCAAGAGGGAGTGAAGGGAGGACAGCACTTGCGTGCCGGGACACACGCAAGCGCTGTCGGAGCTTCCGTATGCGGCAGGAGTCTCACGTGATGCGGGTACGTGGACACCTTGCGTTACCAAGTCCGAGACAACTATAGTAGTAGCTACTGCAACTCCCTCGTTTCTCGCCGCCGCCGTCCTCCCACTCACCTCACCACCGCCGTCTTCCCACCCACCTCGCCGCCGCCACTGACACCAGCACCCGCCAGCGCCGCCACCCGCCCGCCACCGCCTGCCAGCACACACCTGCCGCCGCCGCCGCCTCATGCTGCCGCCTCGCAAACGATGCAAAAGTGAGTGACATCGCACGCGGGTGAGCTAGCTAATGGGCGGTGGGGCAGGGCCAGGGCGTGCACGCTGAGCCAGCGCGCACACTGGGCGAACGACCAGGCAACAACGCACACGCCAACCGCGAGCGCGCTGGGTGAATCCCCAGCACGCAGACACGGACAACGAACGCGAACACAAGCGACCATACGAGCAGCCGGGTATGAGGCTTGCCACGCGCGTCCGCCGCCCACCATCCCTCGCTACCTCACATAGCCCGCAGCACGCGCCCGCCGCCGCCACGTCATGCCGCCGTCTCCATTCATCGCGCGCGTCCGCCGGCCGCCATCCCTCTTGGTGCTCTGTGCTCCCGGGCTTGTACGTGTGGATCACGCCCTCGACCAGGAAGTGCGCCTTCCCCAGCCACGACTCCTCCTTGTAGTTGATCACCACCCGCAGCTTCTCCCCATCCGCCCAGGTGCTGCACTCGATGGTCGTCGCCTCGCACATCGCGACGTAGAAGCTCCTGCACAGGATACCGTTCACGGAGCCCACCGGGTGGGTGATCTGGTACGTCTCGCCTCTCCCGGCCCGCCAGTGAGGTGCACGAAGATGCCTTCGTTGTACGAGCCCGGAACGATGTGAATTGTCGTCCCGGAGACCTTCGCCTAGATCTGGTCTACACCCGATAAGCTCCGTCTTCCGGCTCGGACACGGCACGTAGAAGGCTGACACGGGCGGGTGGTGCGAGACCTGCTCCGTCAGGAACACGACGCGCACGCGCCATTTACCCAGTCAGTGCGCTCGACGTCGCGTCTCAAACACGAGCAATGCAGCATCAACCGCATCCGGCGGCTGGCCGGAGATACCGCCAGCGATGCTGCAAGAGTGTCGCGAATACTCTCCGAGGGATGGGGCGAGAGGGGAGAGGCTGAGCGCGGCTGAGAACGTGCATGTATGGTACGTCATCTCTCTCTTTCATCCTCACCACCGCGTTGCAAACGCATTTGAAGATGCGGAGCGGACGTGCAGCCAAGCCGTCAAACTGCCCGCGCAGGCGACACGTCCCTCCACTTTGACTCGTCGAGCCCGTCTGCGCAATTTGACCACCCCGAGACGAAGACAGACTATCGCATTTGTGCTTATCGATTTAGTTCAGCGGCGCATCCGGTGGCGTGGGAGCGAGCCGCCTCCGCGAGGCGGCTCGCTCCCACGCCACACGCTCTCGCCGGACGAGCGACTCAGCGTCGGCAGGGACAGCGTTGTGGGTCCCCGAGTCTGAGGGGTGTTGAAGGAGTGCAACCCATTCGGGTGTTGACAAGCTAAGGCAAAATGGGTGCAACGGGACCGAGAACTCTTGCGTACGACCACTTCCCACCTTGCCCATTGATCTACCTCCTCAACTTCATTTTATTCCCTTCCTGTGATCTGATGCACTTCAACCTACACTACAAGGGAAAGAGAAGTTCTGTTGTACTCAACACAGACTGAGAAATTGCTAAGTGGTTGAAGGAACAGAATGGATGGTCTCACAATGTACATTTTGTTTGACTCGGTACATGTCTTGTATGCTCTTAGAATGACATATTATATATTCGTCGGATTTGGCGCTTACTTCGGTGGTACATATTGAACCGTGGGTAATCAAACCCGTGATTATCTCAACTGGTCTCCATTCCGTTTTGCGGTGAGTATCATCTCACCTTAACTCTATTGCCCTGGTCAAATTGTACAACCCAAATGGACAGACATATGACCCGATCCGCTGCCTCAAAACAAGCAGAGAATCCTGCAGGCCAGCGAAGCACAGCCTTGAAGGGTACTAAGGACAAGCAGAAAGTGGTAAAGGCGGCTGCAACATCGTCCGCTGCAGCTAAGAAGAAAAGTCAGAAAGCTCAGGAGAAGCAGAGGGAGAAGGAGGAACGAACGGATAGTACGTGCCCTTGTCTACTCCAACACACACTAATCAACTTCACTTTGCTGTGCGTGTCAGAGATACGCAAGAGAAAATCAAAGATGATGGAGGAAGATGAAGCATCGCATGATGAAGAGGACGTAAGGCCCCAGAAGAAGAAGTCGCGCTCGCGCAACGACAACGCACAGGAGGAGGACGAGCCTGCCAATGACACGGTGCAAGGCAACAAGGTAGCTGATGTGGTGATGCAAGACCAGACGGCTGACAGCGAGGGCAAGCAGCCCAAGAAGCCACAACGTATGTGATTCATACACATTGGCACATGAAACTCACAACACCACGCTGCTCTAGCTATGCCAAAGCGGAAGTACGGCCAACATGCAAAACCTGCACCTACGCTAGACGCGGACGAGGAGGACCTGGCACGAACATTGGGTAAGTCCTTTGGCCATCGTGCATACATCAAACTATGACCACCTGCTAGGCGGCGGACGAAAAGAACAGGACGCTCGGGCTCCTCCGAGCAAGTCGGTCAACACCCCCTCACGAGCGACAGATGCGGCTGCAAGGGTTCGCACCCTGTTCCGTAATTTGCTCTTGGTGACATGACTCATAGTGACGTTCACGAAGAAGCAGGACAAGGGTAAGAATCGCGCCAACAACTCGGATGACGAGCGTAGCAAATCCCCGGCCGCCAGCGACGATAGTCGCAAGAATTCTGACAAGGCCAAGCGCATGGCTGCAGGCCCACATGACAAACCATCCGATGACTCAGATCAGGACGACAGCAGCAAGGATGATGATCAAGAGGAAGGAGAGGCGTATGAAGACGACAGAGATGAGGAGGATGAAGAGGAGACAGACCACGCAGAAGAGGGACAGAGCGACGACGATGGGATGATCGTCAGTGTCAATCATCTCTGCAATCATATTGAATGATGCAGACATCTCTCACACTTTACAGGTCTTGTCTGACTCCAGGCGCAAGGGCAAGGGTGCTCGTCCCAAGGCGTATCACACCGGTGGGGCCAAGGGCGCGCGCCTCAGGGTGTCAGACTTGCCAACATGGCTTGTTCCACTTTTCCATGCAGCACAAGATGCGCTGCGCCTCCGCACCGCTCTGAAGTCCGCCTGGACGAAGGAGCCGTCAGTCGTCTCCAAGCGGCTGCCCAGCGTGGATGATCTCATCAAGGCGAGCGTTCAAGATGCATATGAGAAAGGCGACAAGAAGGTGCGGGATTCCTGGAGGATGTTGCAGGATCGGAAGGGCAAGGACAACAGCCAGAGAGAGCGTCATAGGCAGGACATGCACAAACTGGTAAGCAAACAGATCTTCTGATGCGTTGGCATGAGCTGATATAGCGGAGATTGTGCGCGCGTTATCTCAAACTCGAAACGAGCTCAAGGGGAAGGCGTCCCAGGTGATCCAGAAGGCTTACGACCTGAGCCCTCACCTATACTCTCTTGATGACAGGAGGCCAATTGCGTTGTGGCTGATCGGCAAGGTCAGCGTGAAGATGGGCGATCGAACGGCTTTGCTTCCTCGTTTCATCTTCGGGGAGATAGAACACAACCTTGGGAAGGAACAGGGCTCGTCCGTGGAGAAGAGTGTGAGTACAATGCCTTAGCTATACTACGGAAGGAAGCACTGATCATGAATTACATCATGAGCAAGTACAACCGCTTGCTACCTTTCAGGCACCCGGCAATCCAAGAGCTGATCTACCTGTACTGGGGGCCCGCCAAACGTGAGGGTGCGTGCATCAAGGCGGCGATGGTAGACTTCAAGAAGGTGCCTCTGAACCTCATCGCACTAGTGTGCACCGCCGTAAGCCCTATTCCAATCCACGCACAAAACCAACTGACGTCATTGCACTTGTGTAGATAGAGGGAGCATTGGCTGACGTCGCCGCACAGGTGGAAGAAGACAACGAAGTGAACCTGAAATTTGCGAACTCGGTCTACGCCAAGAAGTAAGTCTGCTTACCTTGTGGTATCTATACTAAATGTTGGGCGCAATTCAAGATGGGACAGCCTGATGAGTGCACTGGAGTACATGAATAACAAGCCGTACCTTCAGGAGACGCAGTCACTAATCTGGTCGTATATAAGGTAACTTCTCGCAATCAATATGGCTTGGTTTGCTCACTAGGGACGTAGGTCGAAGATGCAAGGGGACGAGGATGGTGATATGGACGCTGTGGAGGAGAACCAGGAGGAGGAAGAAGACGGGGAACGTGTGGGCGGTGCGGCTATCGACCTCGACCAGCTGAACGTCACCTTGCCAGCCGTGGCATCAGGCAGCAAGGCAAAGACTCCTGCGGCGTCCAAGACTGCAGCTGGATCATCGAAGGATGCAGCGAACGCAGAGAGTGGACCGTCACGTCCGTCGCGATCGAAGTCCGGCGCGAAGAAGGCCCAGGAGAGTTCGGGGGAGCAAACTTCCAGCAGCGAGCGTGAGGTCGATGAACTCAGCAATGAGTGGTAAGTCAGTCAGTGTCCAGTGGTTTCTTTGTATCTCACTGCGAGAGGTACATCACCAAGATGTCGTAGTTGTCCTGTCGCATCAAGGCCGTGAACATCATCAACTTTGTCTGTTTCGCGTGGCAGGAGCAGTAGAATCGGCCCATTTCCAAGGCGAGTGTTTCTATGCCCATACCACCTCTATCTACACTTACTCATACGACAATCCTGCAGCTACTATATCTATCATCCTCTGTACTACTACACATCAGACGTGCATGCCTGCTACGTATCCCACTCCCCCTCTACTACTATTTGCCTGTCTCAGCCGTGGTCGTCATCCCGGCGCCGTCTGACCTCGAGTCTATGCCTATCTGTTGATCGTGCTATACCAGTAGTTATGTGTCTGTATATGTTGTACAACAACCCGCACTGCTAATATTTATGATGTGATCTGGTACATGTGCATAAGTGGACATCAGCACACTTAATTCTGTACATAACTGTACTTCAGCACGCCTACTGAAGTACATATTGTAGGTGAAATAAGGGCAACTAAAGACCAAAATGACAACACAATTAAGACTGAATAAGACACAAGATGTCTTCATTGCGTACATTAGTGCTCTTATGCATAATATCAAAGACACAATAAGACGGGGACTTGTCTTAAGTGCCACGTTTTGGTCTTATGTAACATTTTATGTCTTTTGTGTCCTATACGTTCCTAAGATGTCTTGTAGATGACCTCTGATGAGACCTTATGTAAACACGGTTTTTCCTGATGCTGCTGAGCTTCCGTGGTCGTGCATGTATTGAATCTAACGTCTCCTTGCCGTGGTATTCGAGGTTACGGAATTTGACCTTGTGGAAAACCGGGAGCGACGTGAAGGGAAACCGAACATAAGTAGCTTGAACTTCTACTTCGTTCCGTGAGAGACCTGGGCTATTGTGCTCGACAAGGAAGCGAGCGAGCGCCGGCATCAGATGGGTAGCGCCATAGCCATCCGGGGATACGAGCTCGGCAATTGGGACGGCCTTGCGACTTGGGTACTTTGTCATGAGGTGATAGAGGGTACATGCCATATCCGGCGGCCGCCATCGTACACCTTCACGTGAAGCGATCATGGTGTCGTGACCGCCGTCTGCGCGCAGCAGGCGCCATTGGACGTAGTCGGCGTGTTGTAGCACTTTCTCGCGACGCTCAAGCCACTTTGTCATCTGTGGGAATTCGTCCTTGTGGTTCGTTGCACGATATGCCTCTTTCGCGAAGTCGATATGGAGGCGCTCGGTCGTCTCGGTGTTATAATTGTCTGTCGTTCCGTAGAGTTTGATAGCCCGGACGTAATGGGTAAGCATGTGTAGTTTTGGTATCAGGAAGTTACCGCGAGCGCCAAGTCTGATGAAGACGTCCTTCTTGGCATGGAAGTCGGCGAGCGAGCCCTCGAGTGCCTTCAGAGTGGTTTCCGAGTGGACCGAGTACTGCGACATGTAGAGGAAGTCAAGGAGGGCCTTCGTGGCGCTGATAAGCTCTGAAGACTCCGCCCGAGGTAGTGGAACGTCAATGAGGAGCCCAAGCATGAACCGGGACATCTGTTTGTGCTCGGCGCCCGTGACGCGCGACAGGCTAGCGATCCCCTTGTGGAAGTTGTGGATAGAATGGTTCGGTGGCAGTCGTTTGACACGGGCATCGACTTCGTCGTTGCCGACAATATCTGTGACCCACGCAAGAAGGTGCTTAATAACACCTTGATGTAACTGGTGTAGCACATCCGGGGTAATCGACTGGAAGATGTCGACGTACGGGAGATGTTCCCAAAACGGATGTTGGATTGGCTTGATGCCCGCAGCATCACAGGCGCGGTTATAGTCCGCGGTACCGAAGAGATTGAGGGCATCAAGGACCTCGTCAACGTCACGGAAGGCCGACGTGCAAGGGTAAGTCCCTAACTCATCATGTGAACACTTGCATATGGGACAGTCCCCGGTGTACGTTGCTGTAACGAGAACCTGCTCAGGGTAGTCCCCGACGTACACGGCCAAGATAGGATGGCAGCGTCGCACAATCCCATCACCACTCGTCATCTGGATACCATCAACACCTGCACGGCGCAGCGGTTTGAGAATCTCGGAGAGGCAAGAGTGGAAGACGTTGGCGAGGGTCCGACGGCGGGCAGCTTTGTTTGTGATGTGCATTAGACGGCTCGCTGGCAGATAGGCCAGGAGAATCTGGCCGCGATGCGATGGCTTGCGGCGGATCTCCTTCGGTAGGTTGCCGATCGTAAGGTAGACTGGGTATGCCGTCTTGTTTCGGAATTGCGTCAGCTGCGTCTTATCTGACGAGATGATCAGGGGCACGACAGTTGCGCCCGGCCTCCGCGCCTCGAGCATCTTCTGTTATATGAATTAGCAACACTGTCTGAATCACAAGCAAACAGTGATGTACCTGTGTTGTGTTGAACTTCCGAGTTTTCAGTGTTCTTATCTTATCAGTCATGTACGGATATGGACTTATGTTCTGCGATGTCAGATTACATACATTCTTTGATGGACTTTGCCTAGATTACGTCATGTGACTTTAGTCCGGATCATTCCATGATATTCCACGACATTCCTTATCATTCCTTGATGTCCCATCACGTCTTATATTACTCTTTGATGTTCCATCATGTCTCATATTATTCCTGATGTTCCATCACGTTTCATATATCTCTCCACATCAAACTCCGAGTTTTGGCTTACTCATGCTGCTTACCAGCTTACTCATATCCCCAAAACCTCGGACTTAGTGCTTACTGATGAACCACTGATATAGCATGTGACCTGTATCAAATGTGTATATATACTGGGCTGGTTTGCCCTGTAATGATAACGATCCTTCGTCCTCTCCTCTGCCTGCCAGCATAGGATCTTCCCTTTGGGACTGGTCTGTTCACTCACTCATTAGTCCTTCACTGCCACTGGGCTTACTAAGCCTAAAACCTCTTTCTTCAACAGGTTATGAGCCCTGCGCTCTGATTCTTTAATCACCTGCACCCCTCTTTGCGCGCTCCAAAGCCCAACTCTTGAAAGAGTGAGTTGGCAATTTTTGTCCTTTGTTGGACTATTTTTAAGTCGCTGCGTGACATAGTGCCGAAGGCCTTGTCTGAGCGCATCTCTAGGGCAGCCCGAAAAGGCAATTACGAAATTTATCATCCGTCTCGTCGTGAGAGAAACGACGTTGACGAAGACGACTCTAACGTCATCGCCGTACGTCATCGGCATTTGTACGGTCATCTACCCGTCCGTCGCCAGATCGACATCATCCTTGCTCCTACCCCTCGTCGTCGCCGCCAAGCCTCTGGCCGCGTAGACACGTCCATTCCTCCCAAGGAGTCCTGCCGCACCTCGCCGGAGCAGCACCTCTTGTATTTGCAGAAGAAAGCGGACGTTGCCGAAGCTCTCGCCGAGACTCGCCGAGCCGAACTCGCTGCTGCTCGTGCCGCTAGTGCCGCTGCTGCCGAGACCAAGGCTTCGCTCATTGAGCGTCTTAGCGGAGAAACTCCCATCGTTCCCACGGCTCTAAAGCCTATCTTCCTGTCCGACTTCCGCAAGAAGTCCACCGCTGACAAAGTCGAGATCCTGTGCAAGCGTCTCCTTGCCGTCCAGAAGCGCCTTCAGCCCCTCTATCGCCACCGTAACCGCCTCTACGCCCGTCTTCCCTTGTTGGATAACTTGGACGATTTTGGCAGGCGTTTCAACTGGGTGCTGACGAATATCGAGGAGGAAGGAACCACGTGGTCTGCAGTCGAATTGAACGACATCTGTTCTGTCTGCGAGCTGATTGCGAAGATTTCCTTCATAAATCTTAGCCAGAATTTCGGCCACATTATCAAGGACGTAGGGGACTTGTACAAGAACAACTACTTGTACTGGGTAGATAAGCGATTGTAGTCGCATTTTTTCTGTATATCTTTGTCCCTAGAATTTAAGCATCACACTGTGGCTTCGTCTCAAGAAGAGACATTTGACCGAGACTCAAATAGTGAAGCATCGAACGGAGTAATTCCACCGTACGATTGCACCGACCATCATCATCTCTACGACTACGAGGAGAACTTCGATTATCATTTTGACGTCGAAGAAGATCAGTGGATTAACTGCGACGACGCTAGTTGCCCACATCGCTACGATCAACCTCTAGGTCCAGTTCCAGAAGGATTTTCAACTGGAATATCGGTCGCTCCTTGGCAGGAGAATTTCCTATTTGCTAGTGAATTTTCGGAGTTACCTCCAAATCCTGAACACCTAGTCCCGCTCCCTGAGTCGAGACCTCAATCTCCATTCTTCGAGGAATTACCCTTCGAAGTTTTTACCCCAGAACTACCATCCGTCTCACAAGACGAATTTATCCTCCTATCCGCAACCATGGGTGACGTCAAGCCTGACAATGTCCCCAAGCTTTCCTCAGCGTCCCAATACGCTGATTGGTCAGCCGCCATGCGCGGCTATTTGGTTTTTATCCAAGCCTGGCCCGCCGTTACTGCTACTGGCACACCCGCAGCGGACTTCGCCACTCAGAATGCCCGTGCCCAGGGTGTTCTATTTATGAGAACCGATCGCTCGATGCATCATCTGCTCGAGAAAGACACCGGTGATCTCAAGGATGCGAAGGACATGTGGAACTCGCTCAAAACCGCTTTTGGCACCCCCGACACGGCATACGTCTGGTCTCTCTTCCAGTCGTTAATCAAATCTCCGGAAATGTCTGACTCCAAGCCAATGCAGGATCAGATCAACAAGCTGGTTACCCGGCTCAAGGAGATTAGTGGTGGCGGAATTACGCTCGGTGACTCGACTCAGGCTCTTCTCCTTCTGTCGAAGCTGCCAGAGTCATACCAGTCGATGATCTCTGCGCTCCTAGCGACGCAGACCCTCAAAGATCTAAAGGTCGACTCGGTCCAGAGCAAAATTCTCGCTGAGGAATCACTTCGCCGGTCCGGTATGGGACAGTCTGCGTCTAAGACGTCCCAGGTCAAGCATAAATCCAAGGACCCCTGCGATCACTGCGGTGGGGCCCATGGTAGCGAGAATTGTTGGACCAAGTACCCGCATCTCCGCCCTCAGAATAAAGGTGGCGGAAAGGGGAAGAACAACAAGGGCAAGGGCAAGGGCAAAGGAAAGGGAAAGAACGGAGGAAATGGTCAATCTAGTTCTGGTACTTCTAACACTGCATCTGCGTCGGACTCTTCGAATGTTGTAACTGTAGAATCCTCCTCGTCGTCTGCGAATACTATGACTGCTTCTTGGTATACTGCGGCTAACACCGCATCAGGAAGAACGACTGATTGGATTATGGATTCTGGTGCATCCAAGACGATCACCAACGACATGGCTGATTTTTGGGATTACACTCCTTACGAGGAGCCCATGATTTTTAGCACAGCCGGCAAGAGTAAGATTGCAGCTTACGGTGAAGGCACTATCAAAGGCGTTGTGCATGTTGAAGGGAAACATATTGTGTCGACTATCACCAATGTCGCATATATCCCTGCCGCGTCTAGTCGCCTATTTTCAACTGGAGTTATTGAACGTTCAGGTTTCACCCTTGTTCAAGGTGGAGGCCGTATGGTCATTTTCGACCAACCTATTTTGCATGGTTCTGACCGAATCCGTGGTAACAAGATCATGGAGGCGCATCACACGCCCTTCAACAATCTCTATATGTTGCACATGGAAATTATAAAATCGCAATTGGCTAAGTCTGCGGACAAGTCAAATTTTCGCCTTTGGCATCAACGCTTCGGACATTCGTCTGAAGAAGTTATCCGTCAACTACCCAAGCACACCAAGGGTGTGGATTCTATCGGTGACAAGGACAAGTCTCCTTGTGCAGGTTGTCAATGGGGCAAGTCTCATCGTGCTCCATTTCCCGCGTCGGACAAGAGAGCTTCAAAACCTCTTGAAATTGTTCATACCGACGAGGACGGTCCTATGCGTACCACCGCTATTGGTGGATGGCGCTACTTCATCAGCTTTCTCGACGACTACTCCGGTCTTGGCCGCGCCTATTTCCTCAAACATAAGAATGATTCGACCCAAGCGTTCGATGATTTCAAGGCATGGGCTGAGAACCAAACTGACGAGAAAATCAAAGCTGTACGCTCGGATCGAGGGGGAGAATATACCTCTGCAGAATTTACCGAACATTTGCGCAAATTTGGCATTGAACATCAGAAGACGATGCCATACTCTCCTCAACAGAATGGGAGAGCTGAGCGCTGGAATCGGACCATTGTCGAGAAAGCTATGTCTATGCTTCATCATGCTGGACTAAGCCATGGTTTCTGGCAATTGGCTGTTGACGCTGCGGTTCACATTTATAATCGGCAACCAATGCGACGCCTTAACTGGCAATGCCCCATTACTCTCTGGGATAGCACAGTCCCGGACATTTCGTATTTTAGGGTATTTGGGTGCAAGGCATATGTGCATGTGCAGAAGGAACAAAGAGCTGGGAAGCTCGACAAGAAGGCTGTCGAGATGATCTTTGTTGGCTATGAGTTAGGTTCCAAAGGGTATCGTTTCTGGAACCCGGCCACTCGAAGTATCGTTGTGTCTCGTGATGTGACCTTCGATGAAGAGACATTTCCTGCACGTAAAGATTTAGGCAATAATCCGAAATCCCTGGATAAGCCGTTTGATGAACCTCCTGAGGATGCGAACTCGGAGGATTCTGATTCTGAGGATTTACCTATTCCCGTTCCTATCCCGGAACATGAACCTGAACCTGAAGACCATCCAGAGCCAGTGGGAGACAATCCACAACCGCAACCTGATCCTGTACCTCCTCCGCAACCTCAGTACGAACGTCCACGTCGTCAAGGTGCTGGACAAAATCCTAAGAGGAACAAGGACAATGCCTACGGTGACGAGCCACCTGCGAATATTGATCGTCGTACCGATGCTCAAGGCCGTCAACAATCTGAGGCTGAAACTCTCATGTTTGTGCGGATGCTAGCAGAAGCAAACCATGGCGTTCCCCAGAGTCACAGGGAAGCTATGGAGTCTCAAGACAAGGCTAAATGGCACGCATCTGAAGGTTCTGAATACAAGTCACTTATGGACAACAAGACTTGGGTTCTAGTTCCACGGCCTAAAAACCGAAAGGTTATCAAGTGCCGGTGGGTTTATGCGATTAAACACGATGGTCGCTACAAAGCGCGTGTTGTTGCAAAGGGATTTACCCAAGTATGGGGTCAAGACTATACCGAGACTTTTTCTCCTGTTGCACGGTTTGAATCCGTACGCTATCTATTGGCGCATGCAGCACTTGAAGATTGGGAGATTGAGTCTATGGATGTCAAGACGGCATTCCTTAACGGTGACCTTGACGAGGAAATCTACATGGAACAGCCCGAAGGATGGGCTGTACCTGGGAAGGAGAACTGGGTCTGTCTGCTCAAGAAGGCCATTTATGGCTTGAAGCAAGCGTCTCGTCAATGGAACGCTAAGATCCACAAGTCTCTCCTCGACTTAGGGTTTAAACGGACGTATTCGGATGCCGGAATTTATGTCTTCTCTCGTGAATCTGAAGGACACACCTGCTTAATCATTCTGTATGTCGACGACTTGCTCCTCATGGGCGACTCGAAATTGTTCATCGACAACATCAAGCAGAGACTGTCTTTGGAATACCAGATGACTGATCTGGGAGCTGTCCAGCGTTTCCTTGGTCTACACATTCGTCGAGAACGTCTTGCACGTCGTATCTTCGTTGACCAGGAAGACTATATTCAGTCTGTTTTGGAGAGGTTCCAAATGTCCAACTGCAAGTCTGCAAGGACGCCTCTTCCCGCTGGAGCAGTATTAGAGAAGAACACCGACATTGCGTCTGAAATTTTCCGAACCCGTTACCAGAGCATTATTGGCAGCATCATGTATGCTATGCTTGGTACTCGCCCAGACATCTCGTTCGCGGTCACGCGTCTGGCGAAGTTTTCTTCAAATCCGTCTAAAGAGCATATGAAGTTTGCGTACTATGTCCTGAGATATCTTCAAGGGACAAAGGAACTTGCACTTTGCTACGATGGAGGCTCAAACTCTGGTCTGATCGCCTACTCAGACTCAGACTGGGCTGAAGACCGTGATGATAGGCACTCTACATCTGGCTTTGTTTTCCTCATGGCCAATTGTGTCGTTTCTTGGGTGTCAAGACGCCAACCAACGGTATCTTTGTCTTCAACCGAAGCAGAGTATAAGGCCAGCTCCGACTGCTGTCGTCAGATGGCTTGGCTGCGTCATTTTGGAGAAGAACTGGGAGACAACATGTCTCATCCAACTCCACTTTGTCTTGACAACCAAGGCAACATTTTCCTTGCGGTGAACCCTGCCGTGGATCGCCGCACCAAGCACATAGAAATCCGGTATCACTACATTCGAGAGTTCTACGAATGTGGGGAGATGGACATCTATTTTGTCGCAAGTGAAGACCAACTTGCTGATGCCTTGACCAAGAATGTTCCCTTCAACGGAATCGAGAAATTCAGGTCTTCGGTTGGCATGATGAGATACTCGACATCTTGAACAAGTGGGAGTGTTGAACTTCCGAGTTTTCAGTGTTCTTATCTTATCAGTCATGTACGGATATGGACTTATGTTCTGCGATGTCAGATTACATACATTCTTTGATGGACTTTGCCTAGATTACGTCATGTGACTTTAGTCCGGATCATTCCATGATATTCCACGACATTCCTTATCATTCCTTGATGTCCCATCACGTCTTATATTACTCTTTGATGTTCCATCATGTCTCATATTATTCCTGATGTTCCATCACGTTTCATATATCTCTCCACATCAAACTCCGAGTTTTGGCTTACTCATGCTGCTTACCAGCTTACTCATATCCCCAAAACCTCGGACTTAGTGCTTACTGATGAACCACTGATATAGCATGTGACCTGTATCAAATGTGTATATATACTGGGCTGGTTTGCCCTGTAATGATAACGATCCTTCGTCCTCTCCTCTGCCTGCCAGCATAGGATCTTCCCTTTGGGACTGGTCTGTTCACTCACTCATTAGTCCTTCACTGCCACTGGGCTTACTAAGCCTAAAACCTCTTTCTTCAACATGTTGCCCACCACCACTCTCCCGTATCCATGTCGTGGTAAAGACGGAGCGTCTGGTCAGCGTCGGCATAGTGGCGCGCTGGGGTGAAACACAAGTACGGTGTATGTTCCGCGTCACCCCAAAGAGCCCGCGCACACTCTATGACATCGCGATTGAACATATCGAAGCGTTCACCACCGATGGAGACTTCAAAACGGTGGAACATCGGACGACGTGTCGGTAGTTGCTCGTCAATGACCTTATTCAACTCCGCCGAGTTCCTGTATGACAATCCCAGCCGCTCACGAACCTATGTAGTATGTACATGTGAGCCACCAATAAGATCATGAAAATATACTATGCGACAGACCCCTGGTATTGCGAGCAAATCTGAGAATGCTGTTGAGCCAGACCCACGCAGTTTCGCCCAGCGCGCCATCTCCCAATCGAGTTGTGATGCAAACGGAGCGTAGGGATTGTTTGCACCAGGGTCGACTGTCTCCGCGTAGGATTTGTAGCCTGACTGCGATGATTGTCCGGCCGCGGCGGCAGGGTCGGGCTGGACGGGAGAGCCTGCTTGACCTCCGAATGGGACGATGTATGCAGGTGGTCGACGGATCTGTTCATGGGCATCGGGGTGCACCCCACCTGGCGCGTCACCCGGCAACTCTGGGGTTGCGGTGTCCGCTCGTGCTGCCGCTGCGCCCTGTTCAGGCTCCACATCAATCGGAAGGTTTGGACGCGGGAGCTGACGCCCGTCACGCTCGACCTCGTGGCTGGGCTGGATGGTATCGCGTCCAACGGCATCGTCGTCAGACGACTCGTCGTCACTCGACTCATCCACTTGGTCAGACACCTGACCGTCGACCTCAGGCTGCTCATCATGACTCCCATCGAACGGGAGGTCTTCATCGGCGTAGTCCTCTGCAGCGCCGAAGAAATCGCCCTCGAACGGGACTGCAACATCCTCCTCATCATCTCCCACCGGTGACTGATGGTCGTGGCCCGCTTCAGAAGCTCCAGGTGACCGACCTCTCGAGCGAGACCGCGCGGCGCGCATATGGCTAGCCCGACGAGACGGACGTCGCATGGATTCTTCGTGCTGCCTGCGAGCGAGCTTACAAGCAGCGAGTGGACTTGTCTGGAGATGTTGGATGTACGCGCCATGCTGCAGAGTGAAGGAACGAGCGCAACCGGTGCATTTGATTGACATTGCAATGGAGACTCGGAGTAGTAGATTACACAGAAGGACTATGTGCAAGGGTTAGTGACGGTTCGACTACAGGAGACTATGACAGCAGTGACATACCAAGTACAGAGTGTTGAAAAGACAGATGTCGCACAGGTAAGCCTTAGAGCCCAAAGCGTAGGTCGTTGTTAGAGTCTGTAGATCGTGATGGCAGGCAGGACGTACAGCGTTGTCGGAGTCAGAAGCAACAACCGTTGCCGCTTTTCGGGTTCCGCCCGCGTCGCTCCAATGCAAAGTCCCGTGTCAGTGCCAGCGGGACTCTCTTGCGGAACTCTCTCTTGCACGTCGCCGTAAACACTCTCCCTGCCAAAGAATTTGGCCCTTTATCTTCAGACACATATCCTACAACACGGAAACTCACCAGACATAATCTACCTTCTTTTGCTCCAATATCCGCTAAGTGAGTATCCAATCTGCAGAGTTCCTGACGGACTACGAGTTAATCTTCCACTGCAATTGAACAATCATAGTATTCGCACCTACTACCTTGTTATCTTCGTCTCAAGCTCAGATACTATCTGTTACTACACATAGTCGAATGTCGTCAGTCAGAAGCGTCACGAGCTCCCGCATAGGTCGATCATCATCGAGGATCGACTCGGACATGGAGGAGGACGTACCTCAACGTCGTGGTCACGGTGCGCCGACTGTCGAAGACTCTAATCTCGAAGAGTGTATGCGTAATATCCTCTCAGAGATGTACAAGACTACTCACATATATCTTGTAGCGGCAGCTCCAAGCCAACGGCCCAAGCGCGTTGCTTCTCAAGCTGCTTCAAAGGGCAAGTATCCTTGCTTGCTTTTGCGTTCATCAGCGTTCCGTCCAGCATTGACTTGAGCTTGCGTCGTGTTGTGCAGCATGGGCCAATATGGTCCCGAAGGATCGCAAAGTGGCAAAGGCGAAGGTGACGGTGCCTAAGACGCACTCAAAAGCAGGGAAGACGAGCGGCGCAGGCGGCGGGGTCGTGCAGACGCAAGGCGAGTCGATCCGTCCTGATTCCGATCGTAGATACAGTGACTTACTGGATTTAGTAAGCACTGATGATCGTGGCGGTCAAGTGAAGAGTAGTACTCACAACTTGAAGACGAAGCGCAAGCGTGACGGCCCAGTGAGTACAGACAGTGCAAAAAAGCCCAGTGGAGATGTAGGGGCAGCAAGGACGGCGGTACCGCGCGCGGCGCGCCGTGTCAACAGCAGTGACGCCGACGAGTCAGGCTCAGAGCGTCAACCGCAGAAGAAGGCGAAGGTCAGCGTTTTGCCGCAATCCCAGAGTAAGTCGCTATCCCGTACAATCTCTGCTTCAACTGCGATGACACAACATCCAGAGAGACCGCACCGTGCGGCCGTCATCAATTTTGACCACTCAGACTCGGACTTGCCATTGTCGCTGCCACCACCGCTGCCACGCCGACTCCCCGCGGCGACTCCCCGCACGTCTCAGCCAGCGTCTCAGCCAGCCCGCAGTCAATCACGGCCTCGTGCTGCCATTCCTCAAGGATATGAAGACGACCTGGATGACGATGGAGAGGGCATGGGTCTTGATCATGTCGATCATGGAGAGGAGGCAGAGGATGATGTCGATGAAGAAGCTGAGTTGCGCGAACAATGCGTTGACTTCGAAGCAGAGGTGCGTCGCATTCGTGGTTCACTCGCTTTTCTCATCACTAATCTCACAATCTGTTCAACAAACAACGCAGCGCGTGTCTATTAAGGGATCTGGTGAGTCGTATGTTCCCTTGGCTCAACGTCAAAAGGCTACAATGCAAGTACTATAGGAGGGTCTCAGTCAATGAACATGGATCGCGATCCCAGCTCAAGCGATGACATGCCGAGTGCTCAACCTCCCCGTTTCCGCTCAAAGGTCTCGCGCTCATCGAGCGTGGTGTCCTATGCCTCGGAGCCACCCTATTCCTCGGAACCATCAAGCATGTCCTATGGCTTAGAGCCACCGGAGGACCGCGACACTGATGACGGTGAGTTTGAGGCACCACGCACTCGGTCTGACAACGAGGAGCAGGATGATCGAGTTGTATACGACTCGGATCCTATGCTCGACGATGACGAGCTGGATGAAGAGGAGGCCCCGGCCGTGGTATCGCGTGGGCAACGGCAGGTGTGCTGATATCGATACGTTTAGTTGAACGATATAGCTGATCTAGTTCATGCATACAGCTCACGAAGAAACAGCAAGATAAATTGAGATCTGAGGTACGTACAATCTCATCCATGTGAACGCTGACCGATACGTCATCAGATGCCGGAGATTCGTCCTGCTCAAGTCACTCCGAAGACAAAGAAGCATGCACAGACGAGTCACCACGCGGGCTCGGTCTCCGTCGACAGCAAGCACAACAGCATCAAATGGCGGGCGCGGACTATGATCACGATCATTGAGAACCCAAAGAGTGTCAAGATGGCAAAGAGAGCACAAAACGGGAACGTCCAGCAAGTTATGTCGCACGCCTATATACTCGGTGATCAAATGATGGTTTTCGGCCGCAAAGACGACCGTGGGCTCGACATCACCATCAATACCGTCAACACCATGCTCACGCCATTGGACAAGGCCGGCGTTGACCGCATCGCGTATGAGGCTCTTGTACAAGCTGCAGATGTGCTCGGGTACACCGGCGAGGGCGACATTGCTGATCGCCTGGAACGCGGGGTGTGGGAACACTACGCTAAACCTCTTGCAGGTTATGTCAGTAGTACTGTGCCACGGCTTGGTATTCCTCATTGCTGACTGTTTGGTTCACAGGTTGCTCATCGGCTGGGCATGGCTCGCACTGGGATCCGAAAGGCAATCGCCTTAGTGGTGGAACACCAGTTCAGGCTCACGATTCCGGCGGAGGACCTTCTGATGGTGCCCGACAAGACACTGCTGCTAAAAGAGATGAACTACGTCTTTCCATGGACGTCAATGGTGAGTACGGAACATATCTCCTGCTTAAGTGAACTGACGAGCCGTGTGCATCAACTGAAGGGAGGGTTTGATCAGCGCGCACCATACGAAAGTTCAGTGATCAAGTCAGCGGTGCGCTCGGGATTTTTCACCAATGCGGGGTACGTTGGAATCGGGCTGCAGAACATCGCGCTCTGCACGTCTTCGCTGGAAAGCAAGCCCTCAGAGCATGAGGTACCGCCGGAGATGGTTGCACTTGCTACGACAGCTGTAAGTTGTTGCCTTGTGTCTGAATGCTGAACATCTCTGACCTTGTCAGGTCGAGTCTGTGATACACGAACACAGCCTTCGCCTCAGCAAGGCAGTTGAATTTGGAGCAGCTTCCGCACCTGCATATCGGGAACACATGGTGCGATTGGCTGATTTCCGCCAGCAGAGGCCGAAGCGTTACCATCGCGTCATGCATGACATATTCAAAGCCGTGACGTGCGCTCTCAGACTCCTTGTATGTCGTCGCTCTCACTGACACTGTACACAGGGTTGGTCATACCCTGCATCAGGGTTTAGATGGTGGCGGCGCGATCATCAACTGGAATGATATACCCGACGATGAAGAGTAGAGTATAGGTACTCAGATCTAATACGTGGACTCTCGGACACATCTGGACTTCGCACCGGCTTTGTGTACATGTTTCATCTAGCGTACCGGCTCTCACCTGTAGTAGACTTTTGCAACATTCCCTATAGATCGGACGATAATCGTAGTTCTGACTCGCTTGTTATCTGTGATTCGTTACTATAGAGTACCCAATGGATCTAATGTCGTTCAATTCGAAACAAATGACCGAGTAAACTGCAAGATATATTGTCAGAGAACCACGGTAAGACTGTTCAATGCTCCGGAATCACTAGGTAATTCGTGAGGGGAGAGGTTGGACCAGCTATATTCGTGTTTTATTGGAGTTGTGGGAATGTGTGATGATACCTGATATTACCAGTATTGACGCGGTATTGTCGGGCATGTTGCGATACTATCGGGCATTCACAGGGGAGGTTTTTCCCGATGGAGGCAAGGTGCCACTTTCCTGATGATTCAGGTGGCTTGATAAGACACCCACATCTAGAATCATCGCTCGGTGTACGCAGGATATCCAAGAAGGTTCGACTATCATGTATAGCGAGTCAGTAACTGACAAAGATGTTGCAGTGGATGGCTCTGTGGGGAGATTGTTTGGTGGTATCACGGAGACGTCAATAAAGATGCTCATGAAGCTCGGCGTTGTGGTGGTGATATCGCCGATCTTTCTTCCTCCCGGTGTGTTCATCGCTGTTGCCGGCGGTTGGATTGGCGGTTTCTATATGAAGGCTCAACTCGCTGTAAAATGTGAAACAAGCAACACCAAGGCACCAGTCATCGGACATTTCGGAGCTGCCTTTGCGGGCCTCAGTACGCAGCGTGTCACTCTACTGCGCCACCATCAGGAAAAAGGAATTTCGGGCATAGCGGCCGCCCTAGGTACGTAGCCAGGATAGGCACTGTCCGTGTCATAGCCACAGGCGCGCACTATACAGTCGTCCATAGCGCATTGTAGACAAGTATAGGTAGTTGATAGTGACCCATAGGAATTCCTCATGGTAGATAGTGAACCATAGCGGCTGTATTTTGGTTTATGCCGTAGTAGTGTTGATATTGGTATCGAAAGAGATGATCATGATCATAGACTCTGTAGTCTGCCCACTCCTTCCTTGAACAACGCCACAAGCAGCGACAGTGATCACTTTAGTGTGAGGATCCAAGTCACAGATAAATAGATTGGTCTTAATACAACAAACATGCGTGTTCTGAGTCACTAGTACTAGCTACAGAACATGTTTGAGTCTCTACCTTCAAGTGCTCCAGTCTCGTCCAGGTATATGTTAGCCAATCATCCTCAACTTCATCCCAGAACTCTGCCACTCCCGGACCATGCGCCGCCCGTGTACTGCACTCACAGACGCTCCTGCTCTGTCCAATCCTCCCGCGCATGCTCGAAGCGATCCAAGAATAAGACAGTGTTGCCGGGGTTGAAAATGATGCTGTAGAACAGGACGGACCCTGTCGGCTGGTGGTACGCGCGAGAGATCGGGAGCTTCCTACAGAAGCGCGGCGCATGGATCGCACAGCTCGAGGAGCGCGTGGTGGGCAACTGGGCGGCGCTGAGTAGCGAGGGTGAGCAGGATAGCGATGTCGTGGCCACTGATACGGAGAGGAACAGTGTGGGCATGGCCCACGGTCTACGCACGGAATCGACAACATACGAACGCGTCAGGGCGAGAAATGGGACGGCAATACGGCGCAAGGCATCTCCGAGAAGTACGGACTTGGGGAACACAACACGAACGGGCCAAATACATTCCAACTAAGCCAAGCACACGGTTACAGAAGGTGCTACGGACGACTACATGGGGTCAGTTCAGCGAAGGGCTTGCATTACGAACGTTCCCTCCGTCCCCGTTCCTTCCGGACCCTCCAGCCTCTCGGTCAGCAGCAGCATCAGCAATGCTACGCGTGAAGCCCATGGGGCGTGGATTAAGAGACATCGAACCCCTAGACGTGGCGAAGACTAAACGACGAGGAATTCCGGAATAATCGTCCGGAAGGTACAGCCCGTGTGACAGCTGGTCTTGAATACCTTGGACCGCGGCGGAGAGCGTGGCTAGCCCACCATCGAGCTGGTCAAGGGCGTCGGTGGTCGAACACTGGGCATCACTAAGAGCTTCCAGCTGGTTGGTGACGACGTCCCATCCGACGGAAGAAGCGCGCTGGTTCGATAAAGCGAGTGGACTGCTGCGATAGGAAATGGCTGGGAGTGGAGCACCTTCCTCAGCAATGCTCTGCTCGGCGAGGACGCGGTTAGGCGACCAGGCGATGACGGGGTATGGCTCGGGAAGAGACGACGCGTGCTCGGAAGGAAGGGTTGCGAAGATGGTGTCGAGGTACACTATCAGGGCGTGCACGGATGGTGTCTGGCGGACGGAAGGGAGAGAGATATCCCCGGAGGCTACGGCGATGCTACGAGACTCGAACAGCATGCGCTGGAGTACAGTCAGCGTGGGAGACGACGAGCCCTAGGAAAAGGACACACCAATAGCCAACGGCTTCCATGGGCCCAGGCCAGCCAGGCAGTCGGATCGTGGGGGAGGAGACGGGGTTCCAGGTCGCGTTCGTGTCGAAGGAGCTCGAGGAGACGGTAGAAGCGGACGACGTAGGGGGATTGCCCAGGGAGTGACATGGTGGGCGGAGACGGTGAGGGAAGGAGGCTGGGGCTTCACTGACCAACCGGAAGGAAGGGGGAGTAGGGGAGAGAACGGGGAGAGTCGGGAAGGTTTGAGGGCGTGGGAAGTCGGGAGGGGAAGGACATGGCGTGCTGGCGCGAGGGGGGGGACTTACTTACCACCACCACTTCGAGAGCGGACGGTTAGAGGCAACTCCTGCGAACTAGGACAGCTCTGTTTTCTTAGCGGCGTATAAATCTCTCTCTCTCTCTTGCGGATCTGCGGCGACAGCGGCGAGCGTGCGTATAGCGAACTCTGCGTATTTGCGTGTCTTTGCGGGAACAGCGGTTCCATCGTTCAGCGGAACGAACATCGGGCAGCGTAGCCTAACCACTTCCCTCCCCCCCCTTCCTTCCGTGACTGCTAATAGTTACGTCAACATCGTCCGACAACGAAACCCGTCGTTTCTACCGACTATCGACCCCTGCTCCCTGCCACCTCATACGGCCCTGGGAGACTCGCAACCTACACAACTGGAGCCCACCGCGAGGGGTTTTTATTTGTTGGATTTCATCGACGCTTACGCGTAACAACCATACATCCTGCCTCCTCTAACTCGTCTACGTGCGAAAACTCTTCCCTCCGGACTTCGTAACCAGTCGCCACCGCGTCTGCGAACACCGTCTCGTAACCTTCTCCAGGAGTTAGCGGTAGCGCAGCACTCCCCCGACACCCCGGGCAACATTTCGTTAGCGGCTCCCGCCCTCGACGACATTCCAGGCGTTCACCACGACGATAGCGATAGTGATAACCCATTCTACATCTTCCCGGAAGGAAGAACTCCGGTCGGCAGCAACTCTCCTCTCACTTCCGTATCATCTATACCGCCGGATCCCTCGTTTGCCGACGTCTTCCTTAGGCGTAACTCGGACCCAAGTCCTATACCTAGAACGATTCATCCCGCCTTCATTCCTCTCCCACCGTCTCCGGTTGGTTCCTCGCCGTCGTTATTCCCATTGTCTGTTCCCACCTCCGATTCCCCAACGCCTTCTTCAGTCTCCTCTCTAACTCTTTTGTCCGTATCACCTTCACCCGCACCAAGTATGGCAACGCAAGGAAGCCGGATGCCCCTGCGCACGGAGCGTCACGCGCCAAAGTTTGATGGGACTCCGCGTGCCCTAGGGCGCTACTTCGAGGAGCTCGCGGACCTGTTCACGCTGGTAGGCGTCGTCAACGACGCCGAGAAAATAAAGTACGCGAAGCGTTATATCAAACCCGAGGATGACGAGATCTGGGGTACGGTTGCGGTGGTGGCCGACACTACTTTCGATGAATACTGCACGGCGGTCATGGGACTGTACCCCGGCGCTGACGGGCAGTCCAAGTATATGGTCGACGACCTCAAAGCTATTGCGAGGGAATCACTCTACGTGGGCACGTCAACCAGAGGAGCAGAAGCCGAGTACTATCGGAAGTTCCTTCCGGTGGCGAAGTTCTTGTTAGCACAGAGCCTAGTCTCGAAGATACAGGTCAGCGACTGCTTCCTGGAAGGGTTCCCGCCCATGGACGCGGAGCGCGTTAAGCGTCGCGTCGAGATCATGTACAAGGAAGTTGACCCTTCGAGAGGTTTCGACCTCGCGCAGCTGCACGCGGCCGCCCAGACCGCTCTATCACCCGTGGGGTACGGGGGCGGCGGAGGAGTCACTACCACAGGTGGGGGGAGTTCGGCGACGAAGGGTACCGCGACCACCGTCAAGGCGGAGAGCTCAGCTGACGAGATTGCTCGTGCGTTGCTGGCGTACCTTGGTGGCGGGAATCAGGGAGGAGGGGGAGCGTTACCGGCAAGGGTTCCATTTCGTCCGACGTTTAATGCGTACCCAGCTACCTACGGAGGCGCGCCCAGTGGTTACGGCAACTTCGGAGCTGGAGCGGGCGGAGGAATGGGACGAGGTGGAGGGTACGGGAACCAAGGAATGACGACTGGACCAGGCTATGGCGGTGCCGGAGCGTACGGGGGAGGACGAGGAGGAGGAGGAGGGTACGCCCCGAGTACGTGCAACTTCTGCGGTCAGCAGGGACACTTCCTCCGCGAGTGCCCCGAGGTGCGAAACTACGAGCGGATGGGGAAGATTGCCCTGGATTCAGACCGTCGTGTGAGACTTCCGAGCGGTGATTACGTGTCGAGGAACCTGCCGGGAAACCTCATGCGCGAACGGGTGGATAACTGGCACGCGATGTTTGGGGCTGGAGCGGGAGGAGGAGGAGGCACCGCGCCTCCGAACGCGCAGCCGGATGGGGCACAACGGGACGCTCCTCCGCACCTGGCAGCGAATATTGTCGAGATCGTCGAGGAGGTCGAGAGCGCCAACTTGATCGAGCTGGTGGAAGGATACGCGTATGAAGCGTGCGAAGAGGAAGGCACGGACTCCGAGGATCGAGCTAGAGAGCTGGAAGCGAAGGCTGAGGCCTTGATCGCTGAAGCAGCGCGAACGCGGAGTGGAGGAAAGAAAGTGACGTTCGAGGAGCCGACGAAGGGCAAGGGTTCCGGAAAGCCGCTCCCGCCCGCGCTGAAAGGGCCTAGTGGGAAACCTCCTGGTGTGCCGGCGAAGTCCGGTAGTAGTCCAGCGGCCGGAGGGAAGGAAGTAGGCTCCGGAACGAAGGGGACGAAGGGGGAACCGCAGTACAAGTACACCACGAAGCTTAGTGGCGACAAGGACTCCGGGAAGAAGGCAGAGGAGCTGGTCGACCGTATGCTCGACGGAGGAGCGTTGCCGGCCTGGAGAGAGATCGGAGAGGTTAGCACCGACTTCCGTCGCGCCATGACCGAGAAGAGCCGCACGTACCGCGTTCCCTTGTCGGCGAACCTGGCCGAGGTTTGGAGCGAGGCAGAGCCCGTGGAGACAGCCCTGTTGGTAGATGGGACGGAGCTCGACTTCGAATGCTGGGATTCCCTCCGCCTGCGCACTGTGAAGCCCAAGATCAACGGGGTGGAGAACATCGAGTGCGTCCTCGATACCGGAGCGCAAATGGTGATCGTCCGGAAGGATGTTTGGACGCGACTTGGAGGTTCCCTGCGCCCGGACGATCGTGTTATTATGGAGACCGCCAACGAGGCGAAGGTCAGGACGGTCGGGAAGGCAATCGGGTTGCGTTTTACCTTCGGAGCGGATCTGGAGGTGATCCTCAACGCGCAGATCGTCGACGCGGCACCGTTCGAGGTACTCCTCGGTCGTCCCTTCTTCGCGGCGACGAGCTGCGAGACTCGCGACTTCCCCAATGGTAACCAGGAGGTGATTCTGACGGACCCGAAGACCAGCCGGCGTATCATGGTGCCGACATTTGAGCGAGGCCCTCGGAAGGTGCTTAAGAAGGCGGAGCCCGTGCGAGTTCCCGTGAAGAAGGAAGAGTCAGACGGGGGCGAAGAGGGTTTTTAATCGTCGAGGATGTAAGCGCAGCGAGCGGAGACGATCTGGTATGCCTTTGGTCACTATACGCATGGGACGACGGAGATGATGGAAGCAAGGAGAGCTTTTACGTCGCCAAGCAGGAAAGGAAGCCAGGATTGTTGAACTTCCGAGTTTTCAGTGTTCTTATCTTATCAGTTATGTACGGATATGGACTTATATTCTGCGATGTCAGATTACATACGTTCTTTGATGGACTTTGCCTAGATCACATCATGTGACTTTAGTCTGGATCATTCCATGATATTCCACGACATTCCTTGATGTTCCATGATGTTCCATATCATTCCTTGATGTCCCATCACGTCTTATATTACTCTTTGATGTTCCATCATGTCTCATATTATTCCTGATGTTCCATCACGTTTCATATATCTCTCCACATCAAACTCCGAGTTTTGGCTTACTCATGCTGCTTATCAGCTTACTCATATCCCCAAAACCTCGGACTTAGTGCTTACTGATGAACCACTGATACAGCATGTGACCTGTATCAAATGTGTATATATACTGGGCTGGTTTGCCCTGTAATGATAACGATCCTTCGTCCTCTCCTCTGCCTGCCAGCATAGGATCTTCCCTTTGGGACTGGTCTGTTCACTCACTCTTTAGTCCTTCACTGCCACTGGGCTTACTAAGCCTAAAACCTCTTTCTTCAACAAGGATCGTCGGACGAATCGTCATATACCCAGTCATGTACAGCACTCGAGACGCGTAGCAGCTTGAAACACGAAGATGTTGCTCGGTATGAGGCCCATGGGTGTGACGAAGAGTTCGACGACCTGGGATGCGAAGGGGAGATGGAAGAGACGTTCCGGGTGGAGGTCGACGACGTGATTCACGCGCTGGCATACAAGAAGGTAGCGCGGAAGGTGCGGCCAGTGGCTACGACCCTACCTGAGGAGTTTAGAGTGGTACGGAGGGAAGCTACCGATGCCCTAGACGGGCTTCCCGAACTGCCGTTACACCCACCGGAGTTTGTGCCTATGGGACGATACACGCGGGAGAGGAGGGATGCCTTGGACGTCGGAGGGAACGGATTCCTTACTGAGGAAGAGACCAAGCTGGTGGACTGGATCGTCGGGGTACATAACCAGGCCTTTGCCTGGGAAGAGAGCGAGAAGGGTCGACTGAAGGACGAATACTTCGACCCGGTGGTGATCCCGACTATTGAACACGTTCCTTGGGTTTTCAGGAACATCCCCATTCCGCCGGGGATTTACGATGACGTCGTACGGATCATCAAGGACAAGATTGCCTCCGGAGTGTACGAACCCTCGAGCTCGTCCTACCGCTCTAGGTGGTTCTGCGTGGTAAAGAAGGATGGGAAGTCATTAAGATTGGTGCACGACCTTCAACCGTTGAACGCGGTAACTATCAAGGATGCGGCGGTACCTCCGTTCGTTGAGCATCTCGCGGAGTCGTTTGGAGGGCGTGCCTGTTACGGATCCTTCGACCTCTTCGTTGCGTTCGATCAACGGACCCTTGATGCTCGTTCCCGGGACTTGACAACGTTTCAGTCGCCCCTAGGAGCGATGAGGCTCACCTCGGTTCCCATGGGATGGACGAACGCAATGCAGATCGTTCATGGCGACGTGACTTTCATGTTGAAGGACGAGATTCCGGATGTGACTATCCCGTTCGTTGATGACGTGCCTATCAAGGGACCTAGGACGCGCTATGAGCTCCCGGAAGGAGGGTACGAGACGATTCCGGGCAATGCGGGTATTCGACGGTTCGTATGGGAGCAGCTACAGGCCACGAACCGGATCCTGCAGCGCGCAAAGGTGGCGGGAGCAACCTTCTCGGGAAAGAAAGCCTACGTCTGCGTGCCCGAAATCGTTACGGTTGGCCATAAGTGTACGTATGAGGGACGGGAACCGGAGGAAAGTCGGGTGCAGAAGATCAAGGACTGGCCTCCATGCCAGACGGTGACGGATGTACGTGCTTTCCTCGGGACAATGGGACTGGTCCGGATATTCGTCAAGGACTTCGCGAAACTGGCCAAGCCGTTAACGCGGCTCACGAAACGAGAAATCGAATTTGAGTGGGGAGAAACGGAGGAACGTGCTATGGCCCGGCTCAAGGACGCGTTGGTGAACTCCCCTGCGCTCATGCCTATCGACTACGCCTCAGGAAGGACGGTTATCCTAGCGGTTGATTCGTCTATCATTGGGGTCGGGTTCGTCCTACTTCAGCTCGATACTAGCGAGAGACGGCGACCAAGCCGTTTCGGATCGATTACGTGGAACGAACGGGAGTCCCGGTACTCCCAGGCGAAAGTCGAGTTGTACGGTCTCTTCCGAGCACTGAGAGCATCGCGGATATACATCATCGGAGTGAAGGACCTAGTGGTCGAAGTCGACGCTAAGTACATCAAGGGCATGCTGAACAATCCGGATATCCAACCCAACGCGACGATGAACCGATGGATCGCGGCTATCCTCCTGTTTGACTTCAAGCTCATACATGTCCCCGGAGAGAAACATTCTGGAGCGGACGGACTCTCGCGCCGACGACGAGCTGAGGAGGACGTCGATGAGAAGGACGATTTCGAGGAATGGATCGACGAAGCCTGCGGATTTACCATCCTATGCTGGAACAGCTGCGAGCCAAGTACTCGATGGAGAGGACCGCGGGCCCGGAAGGAAGAACAGATCTTGTGCCTCATGGCAGGGGAACAGGACGACGAGGAACCCGAGATTCCACGACATGTGAAGGCCGAGAAGCAGGACGGGGAGTTGGAACAGATACGAGAGTTTTTGGAGACCACGGAACGACCGGCAGACATGACTGAGCAAGAGTTCAAGCGGTTCGTGCGAAGGGCCAGCGAGTTCTTCGTGCGGGATGGAAAACTCTGGCGGCGCGACCCGGAGGGAAAACACAAGCGCGTCATACCTACAGAACGGCGGTTCGAGTTACTGAAGCAGGCGCATGACGACCTCGGACATCGCGGAGTGTACACGGTTAGGACCCGACTCCTGGAGCGTTTCTGGTGGCCGTTCCTCGACCAAGACGTAAAGTGGTATGTTAGTACCTGCCATGAATGTCAGCTGCGGAGCGTGCAGAAGGTGCGCATCACGCCGACGGTGGCTGTGCCGATGGGCCTGTTTCGGAAGGTGTATATGGATACGTTCCGGATGCCTAAGGCCGGAGGATACACGTGTGTTGTGCATGCGCGATGCTCGCTCAGTTCGTACCCGGAAGGAAGGAAGCTTCGGAGGGAAACCGGGAGGATTATTGGCGCGTTCATCTTCGAGCAGATCCTCTGTCGATGGGGGGCCATCGCCGTAATCGTGACGGATAACGGGACGCCCTTTGTAGCGGCGTTGGATTACCTTGCCGAAAAGTATGGGATCAGGCACATTAAGATTTCGCCGTACAATTCGAGGGCTAACGGGATTATCGAGCGACGACACTACGATGTGCGCGAGGCTACCATGAAGCTATGCCAAGGAAACGAGTCTCGATGGCCTAGCGTGATGGACGCGGTATTCTGGGCGGAACGTGTGTCTATCCAAAAGAGCACGGGGATGTCGCCATATCGGATTGCGCATGGGGTGGAGCCGACGCTGCCGTTCGACCTCGCGGAAGCTACGTACCTGGGGGAGAGCCCGGAAGCGATGTTATCTACGGAGGAACTGATATCGATGCGAGCGCGGCACCTGCTGAAACGGAAGGAAGATCTCTCTAGGATCCACGAACGGGTGGTAGCGGCGCGGTATCGGTCGGTCAGGCAGTTCATCAAGAAGAATCAACATGTCATTAAGGACTATGACCACCAACCGGGCGATGTCGTACTAGTACGAAACTCGCAGATCGAGATGGAACACGATAGGAAGGCGAAACGGCGGTACCTAGGACCTATGGTGGTGGTGCGGAGGACGGAAGGAGGGTCATACATTCTAGCCGAGCTCGACGGCAGTGTGTCTCGCCATCGATACGCGGCATTCAGGGTGATCCCGTATCACGGGCGAGGGCCTAAGCGCGTTGAGTTGGAGGGCCTCAAAGAGTGGGAGGAGTACTTACCGGACGAAAACGAGGAATTGGACGAAGAATACGGAAACCAACTCGACGACGACGAGGAGGGCTCCGAGGAGGAGGATTAAGGGGGGGGAGTGGCGGGCGCGGGGGAGGATGGGATTAGGAGGGAAGGAGGGAAGGAAGGAGCGAACAAGGGAGAGCGAAGGAGGGCGAGGATCGAAGCCATGACCTCTTCCACGGACGACAGGGCGCGAAGGACCTCGGCGTTATTTTCGTCGATGGAGTGGGCATTGGAAGAGAGAAAGCGGGAGAATTGGTCCTCGACGCGATTTAGGCGAGAAGTAACCGACCGGATTTGCGCGCCCCAGTCAGCGGTGAAGGACGCAATGGCCTCCTGAGCAGCGAGGGCGGCTTCGGAAGTAAGGCGGATGGTGTGCTGGAGCTCCGGAAGGAAGGGAGGAGCGTCAGGACCGCGATGGGGGAAGGGATACCCAAGACGGGCATTCAAAGCGTCGTCCATCAAGTCATTCGCGCGGCCATACATCTCTTGGTCGACTAGGGCCATCCGGGAGCTGAGGATGTCATGTACGCGGTCTGCAATCTCCAAGCCGTTAAGCTGGCGAGCTGCCTCGAGCTGGGAAGAAAACAGCTGGTATTGGATGTGGAACCGTCCGCTCAGTGCCTCGACGCGATCTTCGAGTTCGGCTACGCGGAAGGAGATGGTTCCTACTGGGGCCAGGGGCGCAGCTCCGGAAGAGTCGGGGGAGGACGAGGGCGAAAGAGAATCGTCTTCACCGCACGGAGCGAAGGAATGATGGGCGCACTGGTGGCACTCTACCGGAGAGGGTGTGAAGGGTGGGACATCTTCTGGGAGTACCCCACCACAGGCGAAAGGGAGAGCCTCGAAGGCAAGAAGGGTCTCGTATTCTGAGCGGCGCATGCGTGGCAAGTACGAAGGTCGGAGGAAGCACTCAGAGGAGAGAACCTCATGGCTTAAGAACGCGGAAGGAGGTACCCTGCGATCGATGAATGGGACGGCTCGGACTGGCGTTGCTGAAGATCTTCGGCGATCCTCGTGGATCAGGATGCACGCGGGACGGCGCGTGGTAATCTGAGGGGAACATACCTTAGGAGGCACGCGGGAACGAAACTCAGGATACCGAATGGACCGGGACTCGAAGGGGGAGCAGCCAGCCGATATCATTGCAGCAACGAGAGCTAGTACACAAGAAATGGAGGGGAAAACTAATTTACATTGGGTTTAACCGACCGCCCGCTGGTTCTTACACTTCATCCTCGAGTTCGTCGTCCTCCTCAGCCGTGGAGCCCTCGTAAACAGAGCCGTCGTCCGAGTCCTCCGATTCGACGTCGATGCGGGGAGGAGAAGCCTGGCGGCGTCGAGCCATGGAACGACGCGTGGCGGGAGATGGTGCCACTGCGGAGGTTCGAGGAGGGTTGCGACGGGGTTGGGCCTGGTCAACACGGGCCCTGGCCTCTTCTGCCTGCGCCTGGAGAGCCCGAGCACGGGTCGCGATACTTGGACGACCGGCGGGGGGTGGGGACGGCGATGGTGACGGGTCGAACAGCGGCGCGGACTGTGTTGCGCGCGGAGGCTGTGGCGGCGCAGGAGCGGGAGGCGAAGATGCGGACGATGGGCCAGGAGGCGGGGGCGGAGCAGCGCTCGTGGAAGCCTGTGTCGGCGGAGCGGACGAGGTGGCAGCGCGACCGCTCATCGCAGAGGCCGAGACGTCGGGGAATTGGGCGAGGAGGTCGGTGGGGTGCGGTCCTTCGATGCGCTCGGAGGGGAAGAACTGGTGGTTGCACTTTTTCGCGTCTGCATTTGTCTGCGTGCGGTGGGGGCCGATGTACTTCAGGGGCATCTGCCCAGGACCTGAGGTGGCACTCAAGATCAATGGAAACCAACGGAAGGTGATAGAAGGACTTACCGCGGTTGTTCAAGTCGCACTTGTAGTGCTCGTGCGTACAGCGCGCGCACGAGTGCCCAATGTGACCGTCGTGACGGCACACTGTTCCAGCAACCTTGGCACACGGACCACAGGGACGGATAGGGGACCAGACGAACAGGGCGTACCGGGACCGCTTCTTACCCGTGTCACTTGAGGGGACGGGTGGCGCCGGATCGATGGGCTCGGGTTTGGGCGCGGAGGACGGCGCCAGGCGGGCGGTTGAGATTCGTTCCCCACTAGCGGATAGCCGAGCTGGCGGACCGCGACGGCGCACAGTCGAGGCTGAGGACGGAGGAGCAGACGAAGGGGTTGGAGGAGCCGGAGGTTCAGTAGTGGGCGGGCGGGGACCAATAAGCCGGAGGTTTCGCCCCAGAGGGATGTAGGACGGGGACTGGGAGTCGCGGCGAGGAGGAGGAGGAGGCGCAGAAGGGTGCTCACCGCCGCGCTGCTCGGCATACCGGCCGAAAGAACCAAACGCGGCGCGATCTTGCTCCATAGTGCGAACAACGCGGCGCGCGGCGGGGTGCTGGCGGAGCAACGTGGGCTCGCCCCATCGCTCGACAGTGAGGGAACGGGAAGGTGTCGGAGGGGACGGACTGCGCATCCGGACGATAGGCGGGGACGGGGAACGGCGACGAGAGCTGGAGGACGGGAACGGGCGTGCGGGGACAGCGGGTGCGGGCGCGGCGGGTGGAGGATCGAGGAACGCCGGACTGACGGCGCGGGGTTCAGCGCCCTCCGCTTCCCCAGGAGAGTCCAGCGGGAGGGGGACGTCTCCAGCACCGGGTGAGGCGGCGCGCATCTCGACATCTCCGTCGAAGTACGATACCGCGGACGCTGGGCGCGGCGGATCATCCTCGACTATGCGGGCAGGAGAGGAGCCAGCGGCGCGAGGAGGATCTTGCGCCTCCTCGGGTTCAGCCGCGTTGGGATCCTCAGCATCGTCCCAGGCTCCGAACGCGTACTCAGCCCGAATACCGTAGGGGAGTTCGATGGGAGGAGCATCCGGGTCGGCGGGGAGGCGGATCGAACGGAGGAGGGGGATGAGGGTGTGGCCTACGGCCCAGGCAGCGGGGTGGTCCGTGGCGTAGGCTCCGTACCGGGACGGGTCAAGCAGGTCGCGCGCCGCCCAGCCGAAGTTCTCCGTCTCGGAGAGGCGTCGCAAGACATACACGGTGTCGAATACCGCCTGGCGCAGATCGCGCCCAAGGGCAGTCGACGGGTAGCCGTTACACGTCCCGAGGGTCATGTTAACCTCGAAGGTCCACTGTGTCAAGAGTCAGCCAGGCAAGCGGATGGCACAGAGACAGCAACTCACGAAAGCGCTGAGCAGATTGCGTGCCCAGCGCAGCCACAGAGCCGCGACGTTTGGAGTCAGCGGCACCACTAGGACCGGCTGGAATGTGACGGCCTCCGCAACCCCAGCCTGGAGTTGGTCGAGGTCGCGGGCCACTGCTTGCAGGCGAAGGAACACGGGGTCGACGAGGCGCTCGGGCGCAGAGAAAGGGACTTGGGAGGGGGCAGACATGGCGACGGGCAAGGGGAAGGATGGTGGTGGATGGGAGGGAAGAGATGAGCGGTGGGAATGAAGTCCAGGAGCGCAGGTATATCTGGCGGCGGGGCTCGCGCAACGTGTTGCTTCCGCGAACGCCGTCCTCGAACTTGCTGACTGCAGGTGATCGTGTCAAGCGCCCCGATCACTATGGGCGCTCAACGGTCCGCGGAACCGGGCCCTGGAAGCGATCGACGCCTACGTCATGGAGAGTGGGAGGAGACCGACCGGGGACGGTCGGAATTTCAGGTGGGGGGAGATGTGGGCATGGCCCACGGTCTACGCACGGAATCGACAACATACGAACGCGTCAGGGCGAGAAATGGGACGGCAATACGGCGCAAGGCATCTCCGAGAAGTACGGACTTGGGGAACACAACACGAACGGGCCAAATACATTCCAACTAAGCCAAGCACACGGTTACAGAAGGTGCTACGGACGACTACATGGGGTCAGTTCAGCGAAGGGCTTGCGTTACGAACGTTCCCTCCGTCCCCGTTCCTTCCGGACCCTCCAGCCTCTCGGTCAGCAGCAGCATCAGCAACGCTACGCGTGAAGCCCATGGGGCGTGGATTAAGAGACATCGAACCCCTAGACGTGGCGAAGACTAAACGACGAGGAATTCCGGAATAATCGTCCGGAAGGTACAGCCCGTGTGACAGCTGGTCTTGAATACCTTGGACCGCGGCGGAGAGCGTGGCTAGCCCACCATCGAGCTGGTCAAGGGCGTCGGTGGTCGAACACTGGGCATCACTAAGAGCTTCCAGCTGGTTGGTGACGACGTCCCATCCGACGGAAGAAGCGCGCTGGTTCGATAAAGCGAGTGGACTGCTGCGATAGGAAATGGCTGGGAGTGGAGCACCTTCCTCAGCAATGCTCTGCTCGGCGAGGACGCGGTTAGGCGACCAGGCGATGACGGGGTATGGCTCGGGAAGAGACGACGCGTGCTCGGAAGGAAGGGTTGCGAAGATGGTGTCGAGGTACACTATCAGGGCGTGCACGGATGGTGTCTGGCGGACGGAAGGGAGAGAGATATCCCCGGAGGCTACGGCGATGCTACGAGACTCGAACAGCATGCGCTGGAGTACAGTCAGCGTGGGAGACGACGAGCCCTAGGAAAAGGACACACCAATAGCCAACGGCTTCCATGGGCCCAGGCCAGCCAGGCAGTCGGATCGTGGGGGAGGAGACGGGGTTCCAGGTCGCGTTCGTGTCGAAGGAGCTCGAGGAGACGGTAGAAGCGGACGACGTAGGGGGATTGCCCAGGGAGTGACATGGTGGGCGGAGACGGTGAGGGAAGGAGGCTGGGGCTTCACTGACCAACCGGAAGGAAGGGGGAGTAGGGGAGAGAACGGGGAGAGTCGGGAAGGTTTGAGGGCGTGGGAAGTCGGGAGGGGAAGGACATGGCGTGCTGGCGCGAGGGGGGGGGACTTACTTACCACCACCACTTCGAGAGCGGACGGTTAGAGGCAACTCCTGCGAACTAGGACAGCTCTGTTTTCTTAGCGGCGTATAAATCTCTCTCTCTCTCTTGCGGATCTGCGGCGACAGCGGCGAGCGTGCGTATAGCGAACTCTGCGTATTTGCGTGTCTTTGCGGGAACAGCGGTTCCATCGTTCAGCGGAACGAACATCGGGCAGCGTAGCCTAACCACTTCCCTCCCCCCCCTTCCTTCCGTGACTGCTAATAGTTACGTCAACATCGTCCAACAACGAAACCCGTCGTTTCTACCGACTATCGACCCCTGCTCCCTGCCACCTCATACGGCCCTGGGAGACTCGCAACCTACACAACGGCCTAGTGTCTCGCCTGGACGGTGTTGGCCGCGCCGGGTCTGCGGTTGAGCTGCACCGGTTGCGCTCAGGACCTCGTCACGGGCATAGCTGATGAGGGCCCGGACAATGTGGAGGGGCCTGCTCGCTAACGATCCATGTGCAGTGCCGAGGGCGACGGCGCGTGTTGCGGGCAACGCGACACTGCGGTGAGGGCTCGGCGGATGCACGCGATGGGCGGACATACGCGATGGGTGGACACGGCGGCGTGATAGGGCAGGGTGGCGTGGCGCGCGGGCAAGCGTTGTGGTGGGCGAGCGTGGCAGGCGACAAAGCGTGGTGGGTCCGCACAACGCACGCGCTCCTGGACCATCCCACGGCGCGAGAGCACGAGGGCGAGGGGGTCAGTAGGCTACATCAATCGAACCCAAACATACACGAGTACTTACGATAAGCTCCACCCAAGAGGACGCACCTTGAAGCTTGAAGCTTGAGCGCTGAGCTCCTGGCCTTTCGAAAGCAAGCGAGCGCGGGTGGACAAGTGCGAAGGAGACAGCAGAGTCGCAGACGCCGGGGAGGGCTCGTGCCGGAACATTCCGAGGCGGGCGCTAGTCTTGACTCAGTGTCGTGCAACGCGCGTTGTGACTT